TGATGATGATGATGATGATGATGATGATGATGTCTGGGAGAGGTATAGATGTTGTGTGACCTGCTCTGCTGCTCCTCAGCTTTGTGCCGACGAGCTGCCGCTCTTCTCCTCCTCACCCTCCTCACCCTCCTTTGCCTCCTTCTTCCCCTGACCTTCAGACTCCTCGACCTCAATCCTCACGCCCTCCCTCCTCTCCGGCTCAAGATAGACAACGGATATGCCGTAGCCGCTCGGAATACAGCAGGCAATTCCCGGCAACAGGCCTGGCGTAATCACCTGTGGCTTGCCTCGCCTATCAAAATTCCTCGTCATCTCCCATTGTTGATCTCGGTCTGCTGCCCAGGCCGTCGGCGTGAAGGCCATACCGCAGGACTGCCTCCATACCATGTCTTCGACCCGCACTTGCATCGCCGCTTGCGCCTTGGAATCATGGAGAGGCCGAATACCCATACGGTCTAGAACGACCAGAGCTGGCTTGCCAGCGGACTGAGTAGCGGCCTCGCCATGTTGATCTTTCGTGCGCTTCAGGAGCCGCTCTTGCTGCGAGTCTGACAGAGGCAAGAGATCAAGCGGTGGCATGTACCCTGGGCGCTGTCGATGCCAGGAGGTGTTGAAGGGGTATTCGTTATCCAGATGCCAAATTCGCAACTTCCTGTCAGTGCCAAGTATTGCCATCATTCGACTGTCCTGATGGACGCTCATCTTGACGCAGCGCGTGCCTGTGTTGACATGACCAACGTACTGTCTAACAATTACAGCCTCGTTGTCTGTGATCTTAAGGAGAAGCACGGCACCCGTGGAGAAGGCGGCTACCACTTCACTCGTGCCGACGGTGATGAGGTTGGTGACAGCCCCTCGCTCCGTGGACTTTGGCAGGGCTTCCCAGATGTCCGGTATGACCCGGTAGACCCCAGCTGAATAAGCTCCCTCACGGTAGGGCTCGCACTCATCGATGACTCCGGTCGTGTATTCGGAGGGGTCAAAAAGGTCGATGTGACCGTCTGAGTAGCCCAGCCAGCAGAGTCCCGTGCCTTCGCTCAGGGCGACCGCGGAATGCTCTTTCTTGGTGGTTCTAGGAATGTTGACGATCGCAACGCCGCTCGGAGCCCAGTGAATCTCGCTCAGCTTAGGGGCTTTGTTCTGGTGGATGTCGACTGTGTACAGACGCGAGTGGAAGTGGGTGGTGATGGTCAGCAGGAGCGTCGATGGTCAGTGTCGGCCTGATCAGCTGGATGCGAGCCTGAACTCACAGACGATAGCGACGTAAAGGCTTTTCCAGCGCTTGTTGTTCTTCTGCTTGGTAGTCGCCTTCATTATCTCTCGGCAGGGCTTGTCGGCCAGGAGCGAGGGGCTGACAGTGGCGGTCAATACCTTCTGACACGTCGGCATGTCGAACGAGGACCAGACTTCCTCGCCCGTAATCATCTCGTGGTTCGTAGCGACCAGCCCTCGGGATCGCGGGGACTCCTCGTCAAAGTCAAAGAGTCGGATGTCATGCTGACTGTCGCTTGGAAGGCCAGGGTGCGGAACAGGGCTGAAGCCAATGTGAGAGTCGCGGAGGAAGGATGCGTCCCAATAGCAATCTAGCGTGGCATCCTCTCCGTACTCTTCAATCTCGGATGTTGTGGCAGAGGAGCTCTCGCGAAGCTGCTTTTGCCAGGACGATGTAAAGCGCTGCCCTCCCATAGTCCTGCCTGCGCTGTCGAAGTAGCTGCGAGCCGATGCCCTTTGCTGTCAGCATCGCTACGCCCAGGAAAGCCGACGCAGACCTGGCTAGTCTCAGCTCTGAGACTACTTACAGCGAGCCTGTTGTGATGCCATCGTAGTGACGTCGCTCAACACACTGTGCCTGGAGCCAGACGAGGCTGCCAGTAGCGTCGAAGGTATCGATCCTTGCAGAGTGCGAGACTTCCGATTCAATTGAAGAATGTAGACCCATGGGCAGATCATTACCGTCGAGGACATCCCGACTGAAGAACTTGTACGAATCGATCTGGCGCTGCAGCGTGCTCCTGAAGGGTCAAGGTCTTGATCAGCATGTCATGTCGTCCCGAGCATCGTGACATCGCCTGCTCACATCTTCCAACGATGAGCGGAAGCTGAAGAAGGTGCGGAGCTGCGAGGGGGCATAGGGGCTGGCAGGCCGCTTGAAGAGGACCATTTGATATGGCCAGCCGGAGGACTGGCAGGCGTAAAGGCGAAGACGGAGCGAGGTGTGGCTTGATCCCCATCGTAGTCTTCGCCCTCAAGTGCAACGTCCGTGATGTCTTGGAGCTGAGAGATGCGAGAATGGTGGCTGCTGCTGCGCTTGATCTTCGTATCTCCACTGCTCTTGGCTTTCTTCTTGGACGAGCCAGGCTTCTCGCCCTCAGATCCACTAGACCCCTCCGACACCTGAACGCGGGAGAGGTTGGGGGGCATCTTGTAGAATCGCTTGCCGTCCCAGAGGTAGCCAGGTGGGCAAGGGATGGGAGCTGCAGATGTCGAGCCTGCAGGAGCGGATGAGGACGAAGGAGGGTCAGGGAGGGAAGACGACGTGTCGCCACCGCCACCTCGGCCTGTGCCTGACGCTGCGCCCTTGTTCCTCTTGCGAGCCATGATGGCTCAAAGAGGGAAGAGGGAGCGGCTAGAGGCGGAGGGTGAGCGGAAAATGGAGGAGCGGCTGCGAGTTGTGGCAAGGTCGAGGACGCTGGAACACCGCTTGTCAACGAGCCCACCCGCGTCGCTGGAAGCTACGTGAGGATGTCGCCCACCTCACTGCTCGCTCTTGGTTGAGGAACGAAGGGAAGGTAGAAAAGATGAGCCGCTTCAACACGGACCAAGTGGAAGTCTTGGTCCGTGAGCTCACTTTTTGGCGCGGAAGGAGACGCGACCCTTGGGCCTCTTCCCGCCCTCGCATATCTTCCAGCCTCCCCTCACTCCATCAATGTGTCCAACATCGAATGGTACCAAGCAGAGCATGAGTGACTAGCATTGGGCCCGCACGCTTGCATGGAACAGAATCAGATGGATTTCATGGTAAGAGATGGTAGTCTATGACGTTTCCGTCCTTCCATTCACGCGCAGTGAAGCCGGTAACTCTGCCTGGTGGACCAATCCCTCTCCCCATCCTGGCTCGCGCTCTGCAGACTCACTGCCCCTCTCGACAGCCGCAGTGAGACATTCTACTGAAGCGTAGGCAGGTGGCGGCGATCGAGCACCCTCTGTCACCGTCTGCAATTCGACATCGCCCTGGCGAAGAGATAATTCTGGCGCGCCTGGGTTGGCCACGGCAAAGCTGCTGTGAAGACGATGCTGGGGAGGTGGGAAGGAGATGCCGCCGACAAGTTAACGTCGATGACAGTTCTGATCGCGAGCAGCAGCCTGAGTCGGCTTGACGATCGAGCTTGCCTCGTTCGCGCAGCTGCTGCCCATCACTGCGCCCGATCCACCAGAAGCAGGGCGGGCCCTCGAGTCGCGCGAGCTCCGCAAGCTTCGTCTTTGCGCTTCTTCCTCTCTCGAAGCAAAGAAGCCAGGCTGGCATATACCCGCCATGATCTCGTCTTCGTGCTGGCGCGCTCGCGAACGATGTCGTTCCTCCTCCAGGCGGAGCTGTAGAAGGGACAGGCCACCTTCGTCTTCTAGGCGGCGGGTGACGCCTGCTGGAGTGACTGCTGAGCCGTCCCTGCGGATGATGACGAGGGGGATCAAAGAAGCAGGCGTATCGCTCCTGTCGCTCACGATCGTACCCGCTGTAGTCGAGCCCAGAGCGATGGATCTTCCGATCATTTGCCCGCGAGTCTCGAGATGGTCCTCGGAACTCATCCCTTCCCGAGATCGTCCTTTGGAGCCAAGTAGCCAGGGCAGACGACGGAGCCCGTCTGAGGAGGAAAGTAGTTTGTCACGGCGACGACCGTCATGGCCAACTCGGATGCGAATGCAGCTGTGGTGCGGGCACAGAGGAAAGCAGTCAGCGTTGGGAGTGTGTGTAGTCGCAGGGACTCCCGCACCGCTCACCTGAGAACGAGGATCACTGTGAGGAGGACGATAGCCCCTATGACGAGGCCCGTGATAGCGTTGTGGGGCTGATCGAACTTGTCTCTGGTCAGCAGAGGCAATGCGAGCCAGGGCATGACCTGCCGTTCCAATGGGTGTGCTTGGGTTTTGCGGTGGATCGTCGAGCAGAGCAGCAATGGAGCGACCAGGTACGCTTGCAGGGACGGTCCTGAGGTTGAGTAAACGAGAGACGAGAGGCAGAAATTAGGTCAGTTGGTCAGAGGAGGCAATGACAGAGCCCTGCCTGTCAAGCGGCAAGTAGCAAAGAGCAAAGGCCGACCTCGCAATGCCAGACGCGCAATGCAGTCAGACGTAGCCGCCACGGTCCACTTTCATCGGTCAGCGCTCGCACTGCCTGCATTGGCAACGGCGTGAGTGGGAAGTCGACAACCATTGGCTGCTGCTCGTGCGATTACGACATCCAGCTCCGATGATCACCCATGAATATCGGCATGGCGGCAAGCACCGCCTAGAGCGGCATTCCGTAGACGGCACTTGCCTCCTGGGAAATGGGGAGAAGTCTCAGCAGCTCGGAGATGAGACGACGCACAAACCAGGTGAACAAGACGGACGTCAACCTCCTGCCTTGGCGCGGCTGCAGGCCAACGCTTCATTACCACCCGCCCGGAGCGGTAATCGGGGGGCGGCGGGCGAGAAGCCGGATCTGAAGGTGAAGGATGCCAAGGTGGGAAGGCAGCTCCGGCTCGCACAGATGTGGTCGCAGACGATCACGAGGAGCTTGTGAATGCTGACTGTGATCCTTCATTCTATTAGATGGTGATGAGTAGGTGGCTATGCGCCTCCGCCACCTGCGATCGTATCATATACATGCCCTACCTCACGCTCAGTCGATCCTGCCGAGCTCCTTGAGCTTCGAGATGAGAGCATCCACATCCTCGACCTTGGCGCCTCCCTCCCTCTTGGGCGGCTCAGCGACCTTGAGTACCTCCAACCTCGGCTTGGCGTCATCTTCGAGGCCCAAGTCCTTGAGGCTGTATTTCTTGAAGGGCTTCTTCTTGGCCTTCATGATGTTCGGCAGAGAGGCGTAGCGCGGCTCGTTGAGACGCAGGTCGGTCGTCATGACAAAGGGCAGCTTCGTCTTGACGACAGCAAGTCCACCATCCACTTCGCGAGTGACTTGGACCTCCTCGCCCTTCTCCAACTTTCCGCTCGTAAACTCGAGCTTGGATGCAAAAGTGGCCTGTGGCCAGTCAAGCTGCGCTGCGAGCATCTGACCAGTCTGAGAGGCATCGTCGTCAATTGCCTGCTTGCCCATGATGACGAGACCGACCTCCTCTTCTTCGTTGGCCTTCTTGATTACTTCGCGCAGGATCTTGGAGACGCCCAGCGGCTCGAGGGGGCCACCAAGGGAGTTGTCCGGGATCTCAACGTGAATGGCGTCGTCTGCGCCCATGGCAAGGGCTGTACGGAGGACGTCGGCCGTCTTTGCGGGGCCGGCTGATACGGCCGTCTGAAAGCGAGTAGATGTGAGGATTAACATTGTCAGCGTCGCCCGCCACTACCCTCGCCGTCTGCAGAGCCCCCCACTCACGATCTTGGAGATGGCTCCCTTGTGCTTCTCCCTCAATCTGACTGCCTCCTCAACGGCAATCTCATCAAAGGGGTTCATGGCATGCTTGACATTGGTGTCAACCCCCTTGCCGTCTGAAGCGACGCGGATCTTGACTGCGTAGTCGATTGTGCGCTTGACGGGGACCATGACTCGAAGGGCCGAGGCGATGCCCGTTGGGCGCATCATGCTGGGGATTGTGGCGTGCATCGTGCCGAAGATGGAGATGTGATGTAGGTGTTGATTGGATGGGAAAGGAGGCTTAGTCTATGCGGTCGACGACGACGTCGGTCGACTCGGTCGATGCGGGCGGGCGGGAAGGACATTGTGAGCCACGAGAGGTCGCCGGGGACCGGGCGGGGCGAGTTGACTTGAGGCAGCGCAGCCCGCTCCCGCCGCCACGCATCTGCGTCATCCACAGCGTGAATCGGCCCCCGCATATCTCAAGGCAAAGGCCCTGTTCATGGTGTGGATGGATGAATGAGATTTCAACAAGACATATGAGAAGACATGAAGGACTCGTGATGGCATCGCAAGCGTAGAGTAGTGTGCCGGTATCGTAAAACAAAGGAAGAGAGAGAGAAGAGGATGCAAAGAGGTGAAAGAGTACAGTTGACAGCCCAGGGAGCCAAGAGCGGTGGCGGCTATGGCTAGCGCTAGATATCACAATCGAGAATCAAAGTAGTGTGCGAGGCGTCGCGTCACGACACGATCTCTACCTCATATACTCGTCCTCTGACCTCCTTGACCCTCGCGCTCGTCTGGCCAAACCACACAATCGCCTCCTTGCTCTTCCCCTCCTGCCCCTCCAGTCGCTCCACAACACCACGCTTCTCAGCGAGCGCGACACGGAAGCGCTCCTGGAGGTCCCATCCGGCGAGGCGAATGACCTTGCGCACCTCGCGGGAGAGGCGCTCTTGGTGTTGAGTCGCGAAGTGTACGGGAGCAGCCTCCTCGCTGGTGGGAGCGACGGCGGTCGAGTCGAGCGAAGCAGCCGAGGCGATAAGCTTGACTACGTGTTGAGCCGTGGGTCCAGCGCTGCGGCGTCCGGTGAGCTCCTTCTTCATAGAACGACCGACTGAGCGTGGGATCGAGTTGTGCAGATTCATGATGAGGTGCGCGACGAAGCCGGCAGTGCCGACGAAGACGATTCGCGGTCCCCACTTTTGTACCGTGGGGTCTTTGAGCAGATTCGTAATGTTGACCGCAGCGCCGAGGGCAGACGTTGCGCCGACGACTTTGCTGCCCAACAAGGTCATGGCACCAAGGCCAACGCCGACGGTGGAAATGAGGCCGAGCTCATCCTCGAGGGAAGACTTCTTGGAGGACTTCTGACCCTCTCCCTCTTGGCTGTCGTCCTCGCTGCGCGTGATGATTTGGACGTAATAGCCGACATCGAAGACGTCGGAAAGGCGAGCATCGGTGATGTCACGCGAAAGACCCAAACCAAGCCCAGCCACACCGCTGTTCTGACGACGAAGTCGCTTGGCGAACATAGCGTCCGGCCTGAATTCGCGCCTGCTACGCTCGACGTCTCCAGGCAAGTGCACATCACCCATCTCCTTGATACGCTGCACCGTCTCGCCCGTAGCGACACGAGCCATCTGCTCAGCCTCGCGTACGGCGAGCTCGAGACTTTCTACGAAGGTCTGTCGCACAGCAGCACTGTACTCAAACGCAGAGAAGAAGCCGGGGTATGGCGGCAGAGAGGCCTGTAGTGAGGCTGGCTTACCCTGTCCAATGAGGTCGATGGCGTTGTTGAAGGCGGCCTGGGCATTCTGGGAAACTTGAGTGACGACACCGTCTTCTTCACCCTCGAGCTGGGCCTCGATCTTGTTGTGAGCAGCCTTGCATTGCGCGAGGGCGGGACGGGCCTCAGCGAGAAGACGCTTTGCCTCTTCGAGCTCTGCATTTGCTACGCCGAGGTTGGTCTGAGCAAGGAACTCGATGTCCGATAGGAGGCGGAGCAAATAGGTTTGAGCGGGCATGAGCTTGCTCTTTTCGCGGCGTTGCAGCACGAAGTCGCGCAGACAGGCCTCCAGGCGGGCAAAGCTCATCGCCGACGACGAAGTGGTCGCAAGGCTCTGGCCAGCATGTTTCTTGTCCTCGGTGGGCGTCGAGGACTCTACATCATCGCCGCCGAAGACGGAGTCAGAGTCGACAAAGTGGACGAGCTCCTCTGCGTCCTCGTAGGTGCGCGGACTGAGCTGCTTGATCTGCTCGAGCACCAGGCGCTTGCACTTGTCCTTGTTGCGGATCTGGTCGAACTTGTTGACGACGATGAAGATGTAAGCCTTGTCATTCGAGGCGTTCCAGAGGAACTCTTTGGCAGACAGGGTGAAGTGGTTCTCGGCGCTGACGACGAAGACGACGACGTCGATCTCCTCCTGGCGGGCAAAGAGAGCAGTGGTTTGAAGGCTGTCCCTGTTGAGACCAGGAGCGTCGATGAGGGCAATGTCGACGATGCCGTTGCGGAGCAGCGACTCTTGAGTGCTCCTCGTGTCGTGACAGTAGCACTTGATCATGGGCGCGTCCTCTGGGCTGAGCTCCTCTGCATCAGCGACGAGTTGCTCGATGTCTGAGAGCGAGTGGCGAGTGTAGGTGTTGTCGTTCTGCAAGTCGTAGAGCATGCCCTGCTTAATGAGATGGACTTCTTCTCGCCCCTCATTGGTCTGCTCAGCATCGAGCACCTCGCAAAAGACGGTGGTGCAGGGCTGCTGGTCGACAGGCATCAAGCGCCGTCGCATGAGCGAGTTGACAAAGGTTGACTTGCCAGCGTTGAGGTCACCGGTGACGAGAACCTTGGACTGCGTGTCGCTGATACGGTTGCGAAGGTTGTCGAGTTGGCGAATTGACGAAGTCATTCTCTCGTCAAGAAGCTGAGCAATGGACGACTTCTCGAGGCTGTGGACGAGGGCTTGGGGGTTGTTGCCAATGGCTCCGAGCTTGAGGTCGAGGCGCAGCACCGACATCTCGCTCTGGTCATCTGCCTCTTCGACGTCCTCTTCATCGTTGAGCACGATAGTCACCGGCGACATGGACCTCTGCGAAGGCGTGGCGGGGACACTGCCAGGAGCCGTCGTCGAGCTGCGCTGCAGACGCGGCTGATGGGGTGCGGAGTTGTCGCTCTCTTCTCGAGGATCGACGGACATGCTTCGGCGGAGAGCCTGTCGCTGACGAATCTGCTGTGTGCTGGGCTTACGATCAATGGCTGGGTAGTGAACGATCCATCGCTGCTTGTTGAAGTCGCGCAGCGAAGTGAGGATGCCGCCAGTCTCGTTGATTGTCGAGACGAGGCTGCGCGTGGAGCGAGGCGGAGGATGGAGGTCAGTCGTTGTGTGCTCGTGATTGCACTCCACACCTCAACCAAATACGTACCCATCACGAGCTGCTGCAAATCTCTTGCCGTGCTCCTCCATGGCCGCCATCTTCTGTCTTTGGTCCTCCTCTGACTCCTCTGCTTCCTTCATAGGCGCATGGATGGCATGGCTCTGATTGAAGTAGTCACTGCGCAGGCTCTCGTTGCTGGTGGCAGGGGTGTTCACCACAGACGAAGAGGCAGCAGAGGCTGACGAGGATGACGAGGGGTAGTACTTCTGGGAAGACATGGTGGCGAAGTGGTGTTGTGGGCTGGGAGTAGCCGACGCGACTGCTCAGTCGCAGCAAAAAGTCGTGGCAAGGGCCTAAACCCTGCAATGCGTGTCGGTGACGCTGACTGCGAACTGGCCAGTAGTCTGAGTTGAGGAGATGAGAGGTGTGTGCTCGGCTGCCTCAGATTGGTAGCAAGCAACGGATGGGGTGATCGTGGTGATGATGATGAAGCCCAATGTCCACGGCGTTGGCGCTCCGATGACGAGAAGCCAACCGCGCCGACGATCGGCGGGGCAGGAGGCGGACCGCCCGAGAGGGGGCCAAGGAGGGGCGATTTCAACATCTCACACGTGGTTGCCCCCCTCCTCCGCGCTCCGCTGCTCATTGCCTTTGGCCAGCCTCCTGCTCGCCACCACAGCCAGAGAACCGCTGCACTGTGCCTTCGTGCCCATCATCGGTTCACACATGCTCAGTGAATGGGATGGAATGGAGCTGATCGACCTTGTTTTACAAGAGGAGAGAGAGAGAGATCTCGACCCGTACCGTGGCGCGGCACGCTCGCCTCATCTGCCCGCGGGCTGCGCTTGCGTCTGAGCAGGCGTACTCACCTGTGACGGTGTGGACGGTGCCGCGCCAGCGCCAGCAGTCTGAAGCTCTGCCTGGCCACCAGGTCCACCGCCTTGCTGCTGCTGCTGCTGCATAGCCTGGGCCTGCTGCGCCTGCGCCTGAGCAGCTAGTGCAGGCCTGTCCTCCAACAACTCATAAAGCAGCACAAAGTTCTTGGTGACCCTTTGCCAGCTCTCTACGTCCCAAAAGACATACTGCCCCTTCTCGTACATCGGAGTCTTCTGCGTCGGCTCCATATTGTGCTCCTTTGTCAGCCACAATTGCAGCTCTTTGTGGAAGCGCCAGTTGCGGTGATGCAGCTCCATTGCTGCCACTTCTTGGAGGACGTCCCGCGGAGTGGAGTAGAAGATGAAGAAGAGTGTCTCGTCTGAGAAGTTTGCGACCTTTGTTTGGGCAGGTGGTGGCGGTTGGACATTGTAGCAGGAGGGCAGGTGGAAGTCCGGCTCGACCATGCTTCGTTGCGAGCGTTGGAGGGGGTGAGCATCCGAAGACCAGGGAGTATGGAAGTCGGGATAGAGCGGGTGCTCGCTCCCTACATCCAGTCCCAACGTTTGCAAGTCCGTGCCCAACGCCAACATCTGCACATCCTCTGGCGGGGCTCCATTGACGCCCCCTGCCCCCGGCCCTGCGGCTTGCAGCTTGATGATCCTCAGCAATCCGATGAGACCGAACCGATCCGCTGGCGAGTACAGTATCTGCGAGGCGGGCGTGGTCGTCGAGGGCGGATGCGGACCTGTCCCTCTTGCGCCCGTGCCATTCGTGTTGGATGCTCCTCCCTCTGCTTGTGACCATGATTGAGCGCCGCCTGTGTTTGTTGACAGAGCGGGCATGCCTGTTGGTTGCGAGCTACCTAGCTTCGTGGCGTAGTTCTGCACGCGAGGAGGATGATTAAGGTCAGGCTACCGGTCGCTCATTCAATTCATGCCGATCCCCTGCCTGCTCACCCTCTCCATCTCTCCGAAGCCTCCTCGCGCAGCATTCAAGGCTGGAGGCTGGCCCTGACCTGTCCCTCGATTGGCAGCTTGGGGCGATCCGTTGACATTGGACAGCATGCCCAATCTGTGCGCTTCCCTCTGCGACGCCTGATGTTGGAGAGCGGCCGCTGCTGATGCCTGTTCTGCCGCTGCTGCTGCTGCAGCCGCTGTCGCCGCTGACTGTGCTTGGCTGCCATTCGCGAAATGTTGTGGCCCGCCTGTCATGCCTCCTGCCGCTGAGGGAGCTCCAAGTGCTGGGAAGTCGTCGCTTGTGAAGCCACTTCCTTGGCCTGAGGAAGCTGCTCCGCCTCGCGATGCTGCGTTGCTCAGCGTTGAGGCTAGTGACGAGGCTGCGCGGAGAAGGAGGTGAGAGGCGTGAGTTCCTTTGCCCATTCGGATCGAATGTGGCCTTGTCGCGGCCTCACTTTGACCCTGGCTGACCCCAGCGCCTGCAGATCCAAGAGCTGGGAAATCACTCATATCCAAATTACCGCCGCCTTGACCTTGACCGTAGCTACCCGCTCCTCCTCCTCCGCCTCCTCCCGCAAAGAGGTAGCTGCCTGCACCGGTGTTGCCATGCGATCCTCCGCCTGATCGAGCTGCGTAGCCTGCCGGTCCCATGCTTCGTACGGCTGCTGGTGAGCCCATTCCTGATGGCGGAAAGCCCATTCGCGAGCCTTAAGAAGTAGCAGAAAGCAAGATGGAAAGTCAGCCAAAGACGCTCGATAGCCAAGCGGGATCCAGGCCTCGCCCGCTCACCCATGCCACCTGGAAGCCCTGGCGCGCCAGAAGGAGCTCCCGGCGCCGCATTGCCCACTGATCCTGCTCCCGAGGCAGATTGCGTCTGTCCAATGTTCATTCCCGGCGGTAGAGCTGGCCTTTGATGGCCCGCAAAGGGAGATGACTGGTGGTGCTGCTGCTGATGTTGGGTCGGCCGCGTTGGGGTTTGAGTTCCTGGCGGTCGCTGCATAGCCTCTTGAGGGGGGAAATTGGGAGAGGGGCTATACGGGTGCGGAGACGTGTGATCTGTGTGTTTCTGCTGATGCTTTCTGCTCTTTCTTCTGTCGATGGTACGTGAGCAAAGTCGATGGAGGAGAGAGAGAGTAGGGATAGCAGCAGGCAAGGCGCCGTCGGCATCCGTCGCTCATCGTCCTGGTCGAGCTCTCGACCTGGTCCGCGCGCGAGAGAGGGCATCGGAGCGATTAGTCCAGGGTTAAGCACGGTAAGGCGGGCAGGGCTAATCACTCGCAATCCGCCTGCTTAACACGCGGGCTAATCATCCGCCAAGGCAAGGCGAGCGTGTGTGTTGCTTTGCCCCGACGGACCTCTGTCTCCTTGCCGCCGCCGCCTCCGCTGCTTCCACGAGGGCTCGAGACGACACCCAAGGCACAACAGCCAATCAACTCCTTCCTTCGCTCCCTTCGCAACCAACACCCACCATGGCTTCAGGTCCGCCTAAAGAGGAGGTGAGCGCACGATGACAATGCACAGTAGGTGAAGCCTCGTCTCACTGTACTCAACCTTCGCATCTACAGATCGCAGAGATCTTCAAGCACCTCCGCACTGCGCAGAAGGGCAACAAGGTGAGCGCACAGTCGCGCCGATGAATTGATGTGAGCCTTTCAGCTGAAGTTACCTGATTTCTTCGTCTCTGTCGCCCAGGTCTGCTTCGACTGCGGCTCCAAAAACCCATCATGGGCCAGTGCAACGTACGGAATCTACATCTGCCTGGACTGCTCCTCCGTCCATCGTAACATGGGCGTCCACATCACCTTTGTCCGCTCCACCAACCTCGACTCGTGGTCATGGGCTCAGCTGCGTATGATGAAGGTCTCGGGCAATGCAGCAGCAGCCGACTTCTTCTCCAAGCATGGCGGCAGCCACCTCCTTGCGCCGTCGACGGAGGGAAAGGTCAAGTACACCAGCCAGGCTGCCCTCGCTTACAAGGATGAGCTCAAGCGTCGACTGGTGGCTGATGCCAGCCCTGGACAAATCAGCGACCCAGTCATTTTTCCAGGACTTACTTCGAGCACAGCGGCGGCCGCGCAAGCTGCTGCGAATGGCGGCGGCGCAGCATCAAGCGCAGGCGGCGACGATGATGACGACTTCTTTGACGAGTGGGACGAGCCGGCACAGAAGCAAAAGAAGGCAGCAGCAGCAGCAGCAGCAAAGGCTAAGCCTGTCGTGGCCAAGACGGCTGCCCCATCGCCTGCGGTCTCCCTGCCACCAACGATTGGCCGTGGACCTCGCCCTTCCGATAAGGTCGTTGACGCCCCGGCGTCAGCGACTGTAGGCGCTCCTCCTGCTCTTGCTGCCCCTGTTCCCGTCACATCATCATCTCTTCGCCCATCTTCTCGCACCTCAACACTAGGCGCTGTCCGCTCTGGCGCTTCAACGCCCACGGGCTCAGGGTCCGCAGCTGGTGGAGCCGGCGGCTCGAAGCTCGGAGGTGTCAAGAAGGTGGGAGGTCTAGGAGCCAAAAAGGGGGGTCCCGCAATTGACTTTGAGGCTGCAGAGCGCAAGGCAAAGGAGGAGGAAGCAGCCAAGGCTGCGGCTCTTCGTGAGGCAGAGCAACGCAAGGAGGCAGATCGTCAGGCTGAGGACATTGCCAAGCAGGCCATCCAGGCGGCGACGCAGGCACAACAAGCAGCCGCGGCAGCCAAGTCAGCGGCGTCGCCACAATCAAGCGGTAAGAGCGGCGCCGCTCCCACGTCACCTACTTCGAGCGGCAGAGGCAAGATCAGCGGTGAAGTGGACCGACTTGGCATGGGCTTTGGGCGTATTGCTGTGCGACAGGGCAAGGTGCAAGACGCCCTCGAGCGGGAGCGTCAAGCTAAGGTAGCGGCGCGTAGCGCAGCTGATGCGGACATGCCGGACTATGCGAGGTCCAAGTTCGCAGCCCAGAAGTCCATCTCATCGGACCAGTACTTTGAGCGCGGAGGCTATGATCCAAACACCTCAAACGAAGCGAAGGAGCGTCTCGCTGGTCTGCAAGGGGCGACGAGTATCTCGAGCAATCAGTACTTTGGGCGTGAGGAGCCGGAGGACGACGAAGGGGGAGGAGGCGGTGGGGGCGGATACGGTGCTGGGTCTCCTGGCGCGGATGGCGACTGGGCGGTGGAGCTCGAAGGCCAGGCCAGAGAGTACTACGCACGCTTCATGGCCAACCCAGATGTACAGAGTGGGATCGAGAGCTTCCGTGCTGGTGCGATGAAGCTCAGCCAGTACCTCGAGGACATGTCGCGCAACGGGGCGTGAGCGGGGCGGGTGAGCGAGGGCGAAGGGCTACTACAGATGTCACTAGGTGTTCGTGTGAGACGTAATGACCCAAGCCGACTTTTCATTATCCATGATCTTGGTGATGAGCATGGCTGGTGTGTTGCTCTTTCCTGCAGCAAGGTGCGGCTCACGCGGCCCAACTAGACGTCTCCCACTCTTGAGGAGCTCGCGCCTGTGGCTCCTAGCCACTCCGTCTCCCGCCGTCTTTGCCGCCCGCTCTGACTTGGCGGCTGTCCTGGTCCGCCCGCACGCCCAGGCCGCGACTCGGACTCGAGGCGGGAGTCTCTTCTCGAGATCGACTAGCTGCGCCTCTTGAACCATCATTCTCCTTCTCCACAAACACAAACACTCCCTTCCCCCCTTCACCACCACTCACTCCACCCGCAATGCTGAGGACGGCTAGCCTTCAGCTGAGGGCGACGACGCTTCGCAGCAGCTTGGGCACCAGCCGGGCTATTGCGGCGCCGCGAGCTCCGTGCTTGGCTTCCGCTGCTGCCGCCACTCGCTCATTCAAGACCTTGTCCAAGAGCCAACAGGCTTCTGCTGCTCCTCAACAGCCTAGCGCACCAAAGGGATCAGACTCTTTCATCACGACGTGCGTGCATCGATGTTACCGAGGTGTGCCTCTTGAGACTTACTCCTCCCGCCCCCAACATGTCGCTCGCAGCAACAATGCCTACTACGCCGAAGAGATGCACCGCAGGTGGAAAGAGGACCCGTCCTCTGTTCATTCGTCGTGGGACGTCTACTTCTCGGGACTCGACAAAGGCTTGAGCTCAGAAGAGGCGTACCGCGCTCCTCCTACCCTAATGACCCTGCCCGTTGAGGCTCCCCCGGTCCACATGGGCAGCTCAGAGAACAGCGTCGACGACCACCTCAAGCTCCAGCTTCTCGTTCGAGCGTGAGCAGCGATGCGAGCCAGGCTGAAACTCGAAGGCGAAGTCAGCTGATCCAGTCGTATCCCACACCCGCAGATATGCCGTCCGTGGTCACCGCATTGCCCGCCTCGATCCTCTCGACATTATTAATGCGGAGCGTGATGGCGCTGTGCCCCCCGAATTGACCATCGAGCACTACGGATGGACTGAGAAGGATCTTAGCAGGGAGATGCAGCTCGGTCCTGGTCTGCTGCCCAATTTCGTCAGCGCTGGTGTCAAGAAGCTCACCATTGGCGAGGTCATCGAGGCCTGCAAGCGCATGTACTGGTGAGCAGGCGCAGCGAGTGCGCAGCGACAACATCGAGCAGATACTGACGCTCCCTCCTCCGGCTCTTTGACAGCGGCTCCATCGGCGTTCAGTACGTCCACATCCCAGACCGCGAAAAGTGCGACTGGCTGCGTGAGCGTCTCGAGACGCCCGAGCCTTTCAAGTACTCGATCGAAGAGAAGAGGGCCATCCTCGACCGCCTCATCTGGTCCGACTCCTTCGAGCGCTTCATCGCCTCCAAGTACCCCAATGAGAAGCGATTCGGTCTTGAGGGTGGAGAGACGCTCATTCCTGGTGTCAAGAGCATGATCGACCGCACCGTCGAGCACGGCGCCGACTCGATCACCATCGGTATGCCTCATCGTGGTCGTCTTAACGTTCTCGCCAACGTCATTCGTCGCCCCATTGAGGGCATTCTGCATCAATTCGCTGGTGAGGACGTCGAGGGAGGTGGAGATGTCAAGTACCACTTGGGCGCCAACTACGTCCGCCCTACGCCCTCTGGCAAGAAGGTCTCCCTCTCCCTCGTTGCCAACCCGTCGCACTTGGAGGCAGAGGACCCAGTCGTGCTGGGCAAGACGCGTGCCATCCAGGACTTTGCCGGCGACAAGGACCACAAGACCTCGATGGCTCTCCTTATGCACGGTGACGCTGCCTTTGCCGGCCAGGGTGTCGTCTACGAGACGATGGGCATGTACAACCTGCCCAACTACGCTACGGGCGGCACGATCCACCTCGTCGTCAACAACCAGATTGGCTTCACTACCGACCCTCGCTTCGCTCGCTCGACCCCTTACCCTTCGGACATTGCAAAGTCCATCGACGCTCCCATCTTCCACGTCAACGGCGACGACCCCGAAGCTGTCACCTTTGTGAGCCAGCTTGCTGCCGACTGGCGCGCCAAGTTCAAGAAGGATGTCGTCATCGACTTGGTCTGCTACCGTCGTCACGGACACAACGAGACCGACCAGCCTAGCTTCACGCAGCCTCGCATGTACGAGGCCATTGGCAAGCAGGCGTCCACCTTTAAGCAGTACTCGAAGAAGCTCGTCGACGAGGGCTCCTTCACGCAGAAGGACATTGACGAGCATGAGAAGTGGGTCTGGGGTTTGCTCGAGGAGGCGGCTGAGAAGTCAAAGAGCTACAAGCCTGGAGAGCGCGAGTGGCTTTCTTCTGCGTGGGAGGGCTTCCCGTCACCCAAGGAGCTGGAGGAGACGATCCTCGAGCACAAGGAGACTGGTGTCGAGGAGGAGAAGCTCAAGCACATCGGCAGGAAGGTCTCGTCCTTCCCCGATGACTTTAGCGTGCACCGCAACCTGGGTCGTATCCTCAAGAACCGCCTCAAGACGATTGAGGATGGCGAGAACATCGACATGCCCACCGGTGAGGCTCTGGCTTTCGGTTCGCTCGCCATGGAGGGCAACTACATCCGTGTGTCCGGTCAGGACGTCGAGCGAGGTACCTTCTCTCAGCGTCACGCTGTTCTCCACGACCAGAAGAACGAGCAGATCTACACCCCGCTCAACGATCTCAGCAAGGACCAGGCGCCCTTTGTCATCTGCAATTCTTCCCTCTCTGAGTTCGGTTGCTTGGGTTTCGAGCTCGGTTTCTCGCTCGTCGACCCCAAGAATCTGACAATGTGGGAGGCCCAGTTCGGTGACTTTGCCAACAATGCCCAGTGCATCATCGACCAGTTCATCGCATCCGGTGAGCGCAAGTGGCTGCAGCGCACGGGTCTCGTTGTCAACCTTCCCCATGGCTACGACGGTCAAGGACCCGAGCACTCCTCTGGTCGCCCCGAGCGCTTCCTCCAGCTCTGTGACGACAACCCCTTCAAGTTCCCAGACGAGCAGGCCATGAACCGTCAACACCAGGACAGCAACATGGCCGTCACCTGCCTGACGGAGCCTGCCAACCTCTTCCACGTCCTGCGTCGTCAGGTGCACCGTGGGTTCCGCAAGCCTCTCATCAACTTCTTCTCCAAGTCGCTGCTTCGTCACCCTCTTGCCCGCTCGAAGCTCGAGGACTTCCTGCCTGGTAAGGGAGGCTTCCGTCGTTTCTTGCCCGAGAAGTTCCCCGACGAGATCAACAAGCCAGAGGACATCAAGCGTGTCATCTTCTGCTCTGGACAGGTCTTCGTGCCGCTCATCGAGCACCGTCGCGCCAACGAGATCAAGGACGTGGCAATTGTCCGTCTTGAGCAGCTGAGCCCTTTCCCGTACGAGGACGTCGTTGCCTGCCTGGACAGCTACCCGAATGCTCAGGTGAGCTTCACGCAAGAGGAGCCGATGAACGGCGGGTTCTGGGACTATGTGAACCCGAGGTTGAGGACTGCCTGCAGGCATACGAAGCATCACAAGGACAGCCTGACGCTGCTTTCAAGCAGGCCGCCCTACTCGTCGGTGGCTACTGGCTCGAAGAAGGTGCACAAGGCGGAGGTGGAGCAGTTGATGAAGGACTCGTACGACCTTGACAGGAGGGCCAGTGATTGAGCGGCGAAGGGGCAGCAGCAGAGGCGAAGGACAAGCACCGGGTTGAGATGGAGTGCGAGAGATCAGGAACGACTTTGATTGTGGCCTATGCCTTCATCTTCAATGACACAGACACACGTCTCATTTTCTCTACGCCAGGCGGCGGGCGCACCTGGCTCACGCGGCTGATATCGAGAAAGACGGCAATGATAACCTGATGCCGAGATAGCATGGAACCTGTTGCGCCTTCCCTTTGTGTGTCGACTCAACTGAGATCGTTTCTCCCTCCCTGGTTCTCCCTTATGTGGTCTTGGTCGCATCGAGAAGGACTTTTACCGCGTCCTCGTGTGTCGTTCTTCGCCGGGCCAGGCCACACTTTTGAGCGGAGACGACGGCGTGGGAAAGGCTTCGACCGAGGAGTCGGGCCCAGTGCCCCTGGCCCACTGCTCCCCGTCGTCGTCGCCTCCCGCATAAAGAGAGTAGTCAGACGCCGCACGCCGCACGCGCCTGATGCTTAAGCCTGCAGAGGGGAAAGCACGGCCCAGCAGCCGCTTGAGTGGGAGTGAGTGGGGTTGCGTTGGTTGGGAAGGCGAGGAGCAGACGACGAGATGAGGGCGCCGCCGACTCGAAGAAGGCTCAATCGACCGACGGACACGAGCGAGAGCCTCGCAGCGACGACGACGCATCAGCTATCCGACAGTCATCGCTGTCACATTCCCTTGAATCTCTCATTCATTCATCGTCACCGCCGCATCGACGCTACGATCGCAATCTGCGCCGCCTCCGTCGCCACAACCTGCACTACGCTCCTTTTAGCGCTCGAGCCTTCGCCTTGAATCGCCGCCCTCATCGCCGCGAGACAGCAAGCTAAGACTCCACTCTGCATTCGATTCGTAACGCGGATATCATCTCGTTCAACGTACGTCTCCATCCCTCGCGAGACTATTCGTTGCCTCCTCACCACCACAGAGCAAGGCACAACCGCCGTCGTCCGGCAAAAGAGAAGAGGATCCATTCGCCGACCTCGCCCCGCCGCCTACGCCGACGACTTGGACCCGATCTGATCGCGTGTGACTCCGCGTGTCCATCGCATCACATCGGCGCATTCGTTGCCTCCCTCTTCATCCCTACGGAACCCACACAACGTATCCCACCATGTCGTCCTGGAAGCTCGGCAAGAGTGAGTAGAGGTAGCAGCAGGCTGAAGACGGAGCTGTTGGGCTGCGCTGGTAGGCAGCGATGAGGTGCTGCTCTGCGTAGCTGAGAGTGTGGACGAGGTCAAGGCGCAGGCAAGCGTGTGCCAGGCAGCGGGCTCATCCTCGTCATTCCATTTCACCCCCAACTCTGATAAAGCTTGCTGACCAGTCCCTGCGCTACCGCTCCATCGATCCCCCTCGCAGAAATCAAAGAGGGAGCTCTTGGCTCTCGATCAGCCTCGCAAGTCTTTCCAGATCGATCGGCCACCCCGACGCCAGCGACCGTCGGCGGCGGCGGCGATAGCTCTACATCGTCGTCGCAGATGAATGCCACTCCATCCTCCTCATCCTCGCCGCCCTCGTCGTCCTCGGCAAGCTCTCTCGCCTCTTCGACGGGGGCTCCCATCCCTCGCTCGGGCATGCTGACCATCCGCGTCATCGATGCCAGAGGTCTGTCCCTGCCGCAAGGCACCAGCACCCCTCCTGCCATTGCTAAAGCCCTGGCCCACTATGGCACAAGCTCATCAGGTGTCGGCGGCCACTCGCTTGCCCACTCCTTTGCAGCACCGCAGCAATCAAATCGGCAGAGCATGCAGAGAAGACAATGCTGGTGGCTCCCCTACCTCGTCCTCGAATTCGACAAGAATGAAGTCCTCATCGATGCTGTAGGAGGAGATGTTCAGGCCCCCGTCTGGATGTTCAAGGCTCACTTTGATGTCTCGAGAAATTCAGAGATTTCGCTGCAGACGTACCTGCGGTCGGGCGAGGGCCCCGAGTCGCATCCGGCTGGCAAGGATGGTCAGGGCGACGACGTCATGGGCGTCGGGGACATCTTCTTGGGCGGGATCAAGTTCGTGCCGGACTTTGAGACGATGAGGACCTCCAACGAGTGGTACACGCTCAGCGGCGGCAGCGGTCAGGTCCATGTTGAGGTCTCGTACAGGACGCAGCAGGTGCGTGCAGGGCGCGAGAGAGAGAGACGACAGAGACGTGAGCTGACCATTGCCTCTCGGTCATCGCGCAGGCCTCGCTCGACATGGAGGCATTTGAGCTGCTCAAGGTCATTGGGAAGGGCAGCTTTGGAAAGGTAATGCAGGTACGCAAGAAGGACACATCAAGGATCTACGCGCTCAAGACGATTCGCAAGGCGCACATCGTGTCGCGGTCCGAGGTGACGCACACCTTGGCAGAGAGAACCGTGAGCAGCGCAGCGACGAACAATTCCAGGGCGATGACGCTGACGTACGCTTTTCCCGCCTCTCCTCCTCGCAGGTCCTCGCGCAAGTCAACAATCCATTCATCGTGCCGCTCAAGTTCTCCTTCCAATCCCCCGACAAGCTCTACCTCGTCCTCGCCTTTATCAACGGCGGCGAGCTTTTCCACCACCTGCAACGAGAAGGCCGCTTCAACGAGGAGCGCAGTCGCTTCTACGCCGCCGAGCTCCTCTGTGCCCTCGAGCACCTGCACGGCTTCAACGTGATTTACCGCGACCTCAAGCCCGAGAATATCCTTCTAGACTACACAGGTCATATTGCGCTGTGCGACTTTGGCCTCTGCAAACTCAACATGGGCGATCAAGAGAAGACGAACACCTTCTGTGGCACGCCAGAGTACCTCGCTCCCGAGCTCCTATTGGGCCACGGTTACACCCGCGCAGTAGACTGGTGGACGCTGGGCGTGCTCCTCTACGAGATGTTGTCGGGTCTCCCGCCATTCTACTCGGAAGACGTCAACGAGATGTACCGCAAGATCCTGCAAGACCCGCTGCGCTTCGGCGAGGAGATCTCGCCCGATGCTCGCTCCCTCCTCACTTTGCTCCTCAACCGGGACCCGAAGCAACGTCTAGGCAGCGGCGTAGGAGGAGCGCAGGACATCAAGCGTCACCCCTTCTTCGCGAAGCACGTCGACTGGCGCAAGCTACTGGCAAAGAAGGTGCAACCTCCCTTCAAGCCTGCCGTGGCGAGCGCGATTGATACGAGCAACTTTGATCCAGAGTTTACAGGAGAGACGCCCGTTGACTCGGTCGTCGATGATTCGCACATGCTCAGCGCTACAGTACAGGAGCAGTTTGTTGGCTTTAGCTATAATGCGCCGAACGATCTGCAGCAAGGGGAGTCACTGCGATGATAGGCGAGCGAAAGGAGGTGGCGACGACGACGACGGCGTTGGTCGGGAATGGCTCGTTCTTCTCTCCTCGATCTGCCCGCTCGTGCACCCCTCTTGACATGACAATTGATGAGTTCTATCATTCAGCGCCTTGCCCTCGAGATCAAAGCTGTGCCGTCGCCGTGGTTCAAGATGGGCGGTGCAGTGCAGCGAGCTCAATTCGGCGTGCGTGCGTGTTGAGTGGCGTGGCGGCTTTGGCTCTGACTGCCTGCCCCCGACTGGCCCGCCGCCGTCTTCGCGGAACTGACTCCGCACTTGGGACTTGGCGGCAGCAAGGCCAGGCACGGGACGGCAGCAGCAGCGCGATGCAGCACCTTCTCCTTTCCATCTCACCTTGCTCCACGTCGTTACTACATTCGCTCAAGAACATCAGCGACGCCTACGCCTACTTAGCGCCGAAAGAACCACTCGAGAGATGTCAAACAAGGATGTGAGTTGGTGTTGAGCGCCGTGTCAGAGAGGAAGGGGGTCTCGAAGGAAGCTGTGTAGCAGAGGTGGCGGACCCACAGCTGGCCGATAAAGAAGCGTCGCCATGCTGCGAGGTAGCTGCTATTGCCGGTCTGTCGTAGCTTGACACAGGGGGCATGGGGGCATGGCTGCTTTTCGTCTTGATAGCTATCGAGACTGACCACTTGATCCCCTCCTCATCTCGCTTCTCTCGCAGTACTACGGCGGCGGCGGCGGGCAGCAGGGTGGTTACCCTCAGCAGGGTGGCTACGGCGGCTACCCCCAGCAGGGCGGTGGATACCCACAGCAGGGCTACGGAGCTCCTCAGCAAGGCGTGAGTAGCGGCCTCCCTCACTGAATTCCTCGCGTTCGTCCAGGACCTCGAGGCTGACTCCCTTCTCCCGTTCGCGGCCCCTTCCTTCAATGCAGGGCTACTATCCCCCGCCGCCTCAGCAAGCCTATGGAGGACAGCAGCCTGGCTACTACCCTCAGCCGCAAGCGCAGCCTGTGAGCGGTCTTCGCTCTGCGCCTCGCCGCCAATCTAACCAAAGCTGAACTCCTTCGACGGCCCATCCCCGTCTCCCTTGCCCTGCGCAGGTCTACGTCCAGCAACAGGGTCAGAAGAAGGGAGGCATGGGTGCGGGAGCAGGCTGCTGCGCCTGTCTCGCAGGAATGTGTGTCTGCTGCTGTGCTGAGGTGAGTCTTTGCCGCCGTCATCGCGCTGCCCCTCGCGCTGCGTTGTGGCATCGCACGACTCAGGATCATGATAACACCCCGCTGACCCTGCCCCACCTCGTTCCTTGCGATGCTTTCCACCGAGAAGGAGATGTGTCTAGACTGTATGTTCTAAGGCTTCTTCGTGCTGCAGACCCTTTCTAGGATTTCATTCGAATGTGCTTGTAACTATTCCCGTATGCCCCAATCCTCCCCTGTCCGTAATGGCCGATTCTCATTCTGACGCGCTACCGTGTGGGCGCTGAGCGACGAGGCAGCGTGTGAAGTCTACGCTACGGTCAAGCGAGGGCGAAAACTGTCTGCTCTAGCTCGTCTAGTAGACAAGACTCAGATTCGTATCGCATATATGGTCGAGTAGGAGGCCGCTGAGCATGGCCGGTCGGGCCGGTGGGGTGGTCGGCCAACGCGTCGACTGCGCGGCGGGCAGAGACTAGCGGCCGACAGATCGACGAGTCCCAACCAGCGTGCTCGCCTTGACTCGCGTCTACATCCCTTTCCCTTCATCACCACGCCAGTCTTCTCACCAACGTCATCTCATCATGAACTCACCAACTTTATTCGTCTCGGAATTGTCTCACTTGAGTCAGAGGTGATTCAGACAACGGAGGCAAATGCGGTCTTGGACGCTCCACGCCACGTGATCGGCATTGCGGTCATGCCAGCAGTCGTCGTCGATCGTCAGTGACACTTCTCCCTCCTCTCTCATCTTTTCCATCCCGAAACACATCCTCGCGGCTGGCATCTTCTTCACGCTCGGGGGGCGCCGCCTTCGCCCTCTCGTAGCCAGCGTCGCTACTGGCGCCAGCTCCGCTCAAGCTGGCTCGGCCAAGCTCGTCATCATCTCAGCGGCTGCCAAGCGGGCTTTTGCCGCGCTCGCGTTCAACGTCGACATCGTCAATCGCTCTTGCTCGCGCGATCGAGGATGGCGTCCTCCTCCATCCCTCCTCTTCCCCTCGTGCATCACTAACAACATCGACTGGACGCGCCTTCATTCACGTGCCTATGGAGAGAGCTTCAGTAAAGTCAAGCTCGATTCGCCCAACCTGGTGTTGAGCTTTGCAAAGCAGTAGCCAGGCATTCTTAAAGGCCGCTAGCTTTGGTACTGTCCAGGTATGCGACGACGTGTCAATCGCCAAGCTCATCTTTCCAAAGATGCCCGTCGCACTTGGACGCGAACACCATGATGTCGAGGTGAAAAGTACACCCGGCCGCTCGATGTCAGTTAAGGGTCAAACATGAGCGCATCTGAGCCGCCAAGGATCAGAATCCATACAGCAATGCGGCTCGAACGCTCAGCTCAGTAAGCAAGGGTTTGGGATTTGACGGTAACGTCGCCCTTCGCAATGCTTGCGCGCAAGAGGCTACTGCACCTACCGCATCACGGAACGATGCCGACGACTCAGACGAGCTCTTGTAGAGCTTTCAGGCGTGAAGCGAAAGAGTACATCCGGTGGACAAGCACTTCAAAGCACACAGCGAGCTTGCCTGCGGACGACGACCTCCTTCCCTGCTGCCTTACCTGTCAACGAAGTAGCCTTCACCACCAAAAGAGCGACCTCATGGAGCTCTTATTACCATCACCATCATATACGAAACATTGACCTATCACCCATATGCAATAGGACCAGATGGTCGCCAGCCTTGACCTCCAAATTCGACATCGTGCTTATGTCAGCCTGGTCCAACCCCGACTCCTCCTCCCGCCCCTCCACATCCTCACGGCCTCGCAGAGCAGCTCGAGACCAACACTGCGCCTGCGGGTGGCCCCATCCCCCTCTTGAGCAACGAAGAGATGAGATGCTGCGAAGCCCCTGACCCCTTGCCCAACCCTCCAGGCATCCCAGCCGCCCAGCTGAACATCATCATGTGCTGCTCTCGCAGCAGTGGCGCAGCTCATCACCATCATCCACGCTCCACCACACCCTTGCTCACTAACAGCTCGTACAGGTTAGCTCCCTCCCTCCACAGGTAACTGGCTACCATCTGAATCGAGGTCTTCTTTCGCGTCCCTGGGCTCCAGACTGCCACTCGAGGCTTGGGTGATCCTTCGCTATCACTCATGATCTTAGGCCCCTTGTCGGCACGAAGGCTTCGGATTCGTCCTCGAGGTCTACCTCTGGCCTGCATTCTCTTCATCTCAAGTCGAGTCGACGTTCTCCCTCGTCCTGCACCGCTTGGGGAGGGCAGCGCGGGCGCCCAGTCAAGCCCGGGACCGCGTCACAGCTCGGACAGGCAGCAACCCGCGCCCGGCATTCAATTCCAAGTCCTTGCCTAGCCTGGCTGCCTACTACCACAAGCCTACGTAGAGTATGGAGGGAGCTGCTTTGAGACCTTGCCATGGATTGATTCATGCTACGCTGCTAGGATGATCTCGAATGGTGGGTACTCAGAACCTCTTTGCCGCATTCAGGTCCCTTGAGGCAATCGCGGGTGTCGTCGAATGAGACATGGCAGCTCTGTGCTGCACACTGTTGCTCTGCGTTGTGTTGGACTCGAGCAGCGAGGTCGAGCATCGCGTCAATCAACACGTCCGAATGAGGGTGGACGCGAGAGCGGACAAGCACCCTGTCCTCTTTCCCACAACAACCACGACGTACCACGCCCGCACAGCCACTCATCATCATTGCCATACTCGACACTCAACATCATCGCCATCGACTCGACATCCACCTGCTCTCAGCCATACCCTGCCTGACTCCTGACCTGCCTCGACTCATCCACTTGCTCCTTTCTCGTCCGGTCAACGACTTTCCCTCATTGCCCTTCACTCTTGGGCATCGTCCTCCACCTCGCTCCTCGCGACTGCCCAACGCTCGCTTCTCCCGCTTCCTCGATCATGTCATCATCCGCTCCTGTCTTCTATGCGCCCTATCACCATGCTGAGCTGGCTCAGAGGGACAGGATCATCGAGGATCGCGAGGGCGCCATGTGCGATATGTTCTTCTCGCACATGGATGAATGTGCAGCATTGCGGAGTCAACTCGACACGACAAAGGCTGCGCTGGACGCGAGCATCACTGCTCTTGACGCTGTGCGGCATCAGCTTCAAGAGCAAGCGCCCTTTGTTGACACGGGGATCAAGATTGCGCTGGGTGTCGTCTTCACCCGCTTGTACTGGATGGCAAAGATGACATATGGCATCTTTGAGTACTATAGGGTCAGGGTGAGTTGAAGGAAGCCGGCGATGACGAGGTTCGATTCTGAGTCCCTTTGCTCCGTCAGGTTGAACCGGATGTCTCCTCCAAGTACTTGGACGCCTCCGAGAGCGAGATGTTGGGCCGCGCAGGTCGCAGCCCAAGCTTCCAAGCCTCGCTACAGGCTGTGTACTGGACACGCGACCAGGTTCTCTCACCTGCGACGACGATGGGACCAGCGCCGTACAACCTCTTGCTCTCTAGACGGAACCACGGCGCCCACACTGCTCATCCCCTGCGCGTCAAGAAGATCCTGGAGTGGCACGAGCAGTCCATCTCTCGTGGCGGCGAAGGCTACATGTCAGCCGCTGCTTACAAGCTGCTGCAGGATGGTGGCTTTTGCCTCGCCTTTGGTCTCGAGCTAAGCGCGGTACGTAGTGGCTCGATGGCCTCGTTCAGACTTGATGGCTTGCTCATTTGTCATTTCACTTCTCCTTACCGCCGCCTCGCTCTCCGCCTCGCCCTCCGATCCCGCTTCTTGGATCCACATCTCTCCTCTGGATTCTCTCACCATGATTTTCCGCCGGATACCATCAGACCGAGGACGAGATGGACGCAGTCGGGCCGGTCTGTGATGGGTGGAACGTGTGGCGGAGATCGAGCCGTGGACCCGACCCCGATCATCCGATCCCTTCCTGGGCGCTGCAGGAGGCCAAGGAAGTAGCGGAGGCGGTCAAGGCTTTGAGGCCACCCACGGCCTCGACTTCCACGCAAGCGCCAAGTTCCTTGCGGTCTGCGTCATCTTCGCTCTGTGCGCCCAAGCCGCCACATCGCTCGTCTTCGCTGCTGGCTCTGCAATCGGGCGAGAGGGCTTCGTCGTCTTTGGGAAGAAGAGTTGATCCCAGGCCGCTTGCGTCGCGACTTTCATTCTCGCCGCAAGTAGCGACAAGTCAGGCAAGAACGGAGCATGAGCGGGTCATTGAGCAGGCGAGATCGGAGTCTTCGTCGCGCCCGTCCTCTTCGGCGCAGACATCCGCCAACTCGACGAAACGGGAGCCGAAGCGAAGGAGAACCATGAGACAGCGCCTGAAGCAGACGTTGCACGGCTTCAGGCGAGACGGCGAGAGCGGGAGCGGCAGGTAGATCATCCAAGTAGATTTGTAGAAGCTTTGCCGCGTTTGCCTTGTACCACTAGTTTGCACGTCCTCATCCATAGCGCACTGGCCTCTTCTGTACAACAGGCTCCACAGCATAATGATCAATCCTCCTCCAGTTCATTCGATTATTCATTGCCGCATTTTGCTCTCCTTCGTCGAGTTGTGTGCTTGCGAGAAGGCGTAGCTGCCGCTTGCCGGCCCGCCCTCTCCGTCCCGCGTGTCTTGTCAAGCTTTATAGACGCGCCCAACTGCAAATGTGCTCGCCGCGGAGAGTTTAGCCCAGCGGTTTGGCCACCGCTGGGCGACGCTTGACGAAGTGTGTGGATGGACGTCCTCAGGCATTTGGGACCTACGCGTAGGTCCATGCCTGCCAGAAATAAAAAGACTGCCAGCGTCTATAAATTGAGGAAGCCCTTCGGGGCGGCCAGACGATCATGTTTTTTTTTGTTCTGTGCCAAGGCGGGGCTGGGTGAAGTAACATAATCTGGCACCTTAAAGGTGGGCGGCGGCTTGCCCGCTTGACCGTGGGCAATTGGCGGCGTCGCCGCACGCTCCTAGGCGTCACGCACGCTTGCCTCCCCGCTCAGTTCAACACAAAGTCGTCGATGCACAGGCACATCATCGACTGGACAGTGGTCGCCACGAGCATCGCAACCACCGTGAAGGTACGTATTCTGGATGACCCCAAGCAGCAGCACGCAAGGGCGTCTCCCACCCTGCAGCCGCTCGCTCGCCGTACGCTCCGCCCTCGCTGCCACGATGAGGATGCCTAAGGCGGTCGCCCTGCCGATGTCGCCGCCGCTACGGATTCAGAGAGTAGTAAGACGGCTGCAGCAAGCGAGGACAGGGCTTTGATGATAATTCTCGCCCGCTCCTGCTCGCACCATAGGTGACGAGACGGTCTTCTAGCAAGTCACAGGAGCTTTCATGGGATTAGCGAACCGCGGCATCTCAAGCGCTTCATGCCTATCGTCATTCTAACCAGACCTCGCCCTACAGCACCGCGGTCTACACCGCCGAACCGGATCGCACTACGTCCATCCCCTTCTCATGGCAGAGGCGATTAAGCTACAGAAGCGAGCGATCCGAAACGGCATCACTTTCATGCTTCAGGCCGACGTCTACGAGCTGCTGGACAAGGGAAACTTCTTCCTCGCATTCGGCGTTCAACGAGCTGCGATGCGCATTGGTCTGATGCTGTTGACTGCGACTGATGATTTCGCTCACCCAGCATACTTCCCTGCGTCCCTCTGCATTGCTCCCGCAACAGCGTGGAAGTCATAAACAGGCTAGGCGCCGCTGGATATGGGCTCGCCGTGTGTAGCAAGGCAAATAAAACGCAGCAGCCAGGGCAGTCGATACCGGGCTGGGCGAAGAAGGCAAAGGACGACGGCGGTGCGGGCAAACAGAGGTTCCGTTGCTGCATGAAATGCGGACAAGCCTCAGGGGAGCTAGAGGAAGCACGAGTGAGCCACGCAGGCGCTCAGCTGTTTGTTCATCGACCACTCGAGCACACTCAGCGACCTTGAAAGATGCCATCGCGAGCAAAAGAAGGGCTGATATCGATGTCGATGCCTGGCAGCAACAGCGACGACCGTGCTTGAGCGTAGGTGAGGATGAGCGTTCGCGGACCAGCTTGGTGGATTTGATGTAGCCACGTCGTCGTCATGGGCAGCACATACCATCTTTGACGTCGACGCTGATGCATTACCTTTAATTCCTCGATGCTCTTCCCGCGATATCGCCGCTACCACTACGACCCGAGAGATCACTCCGCCGCGGCGTCGCCGCTGCTATCACTACGTTTGAGAGATGACTCCAGCTACAGGCGGGCAACGGACCAGCTCATGAATGGGTCTGAGATGTGATGGTTTTATGACCGCAAGATGAGGGACAATGTAAAGATAGAAGGTGCCTGTACCCAAAGACCAATACGGACTGGCAATCTCGCCTTGTCCGTCCTTCTACCTACACGCCTCCGCCTTGACCCTGGACATCGCACACGAAGAGTCCCCATGCATGGGAGCCAGGCTGCCCCAGAGGATATGAGAAAAAGATATAAGATGATCGAGAGAAAAAAAATGAGTGAATCGGCGTCTGAGATGATTGAGTGGTGGTTGCGCTCGCTCGTCTCGCGCAATCTGCGACGAGTCGATCAGCGCTTGCGCTTGCTGCGGGTGGAGGAGGAGGCGGCTGCCTTCCTCTTCCTGGTCGTCGTCGTCGAGGGGCCTGCCTCTGCAGAGGCCGCCTGCTGCTGGGGAGCAGGGGCTCGAGAGCCGGAGGCGATGCGGCTGCTCCTCCTCACCGTCTGCTGCACCGCAGCGCTGTCTGTCTCTCCCGCCGTCTCCTTCGCCGTCTCTCCCTCTGTCCCTGCCTCCGTCCCTGCCTCCTCCTCCTCTTCCTCTTCCTCCTCCCCCTCGTCATCTCCCTGCTCCCCGTCTGTCTGCTCCACCCCTCCTTCCTGCGTGTCCTCCGTCTCGGAGGCTTGGGTCTTGCTTCCTCTCTTTTTCCTCGTCATGGTGACCGGCGGCATGGCAGAGCGCAGGCCGAACACGCTCGCAGCACCTGCGGCGAGATTCTGTAGCGGCGATGCAGGGCCTTTGTTGCCCTGCTGCTTCTTCCATTCACGAAGCGCCTTCTGGAAGCGGGCGTGCTGACAGGGACAGGCGCAAAGGGCAGAACGAGACTATGGGGGAAAAAGAGCCTCCGCGCTCCACGGCTCCAGGGTAGTAGTACTCTCGGCAGGCCGGATGAGAGGGATGGAGATGGGCCTGGCATAGGCCCAACGCTGTCCGCGAGACTTGACGCAGGAAATGTCGAGAAAGGAAGCTGCTGGGCGACGAGGCTGCTGCTGATCACTGTTTGCTGCTCATCCTTGGATGGGTGTGACGCCCAGTGGAGTGCTGGACCAAGGGTGAGGCGGACGTGAAGTTGAGTCGAAAGAGGGAAGGCGCGGTGAGTGAGCAAGGAGCTCAATGTGAAGGCAGGTAGACAGAAGAAGTGTAAATCGATGGGCAGACTCGGCCTCCCGTGCCTAAGAACCAGCGCGTGGGTGCAGCGAAGCGGTAGAGGTAGGGGCAGGACGCGGAGATATGGCGGGTCAGCACGCTGGTGCTGGTTGACACCGTAGTCTTACTTACCAGCGCGCTCCAACAATCTCCTTTGGGCGCCAGAGAGGAGGACAGGGAGGATCTCGTCCGCGCGAGGAGCCTTGGTGTCGTGGAGGATGGAGAGGAGCTCGGCCGCCGTGAACACCTTGAACGTCGCTCCGTCGATGTCTCCTTTCAGGTAGACAATGTCGGCGGAGATCTTGCTGAGGAAGTACACTAGTAAGGAGAGGAGAAGGCGCGGTCAGCAAGCTGCTGCGCTGCAAACAATGCAACGAGAAGACATCATCGATTCACTCACGGAGCGTGCGGCGCTCGACCGACCAGGCGTCGTCGCCGAACAGGATGATCCTGTATGCCCGCTCGAACTGGGGCAGGTCATCCTCCCAGACCTGATGCTGTACTCTGCCTCCTTTGACAGTGAAGCTCGCCATGGCACTCCCTACGCGACCTGTGAAGAAGATCTTCACTTCGCCGTTTTGGGGGTTCGGGTGCTTGAAGCCCCGCGCCGGGTCCCCGAAGAGGTGCCAAGAGCGCTCGAGTACTTGGACAAAGTGCGCGAGCACCTTGTCCATGTCGTAGCTCTTGCAGTCCCCTGGAGTGGACCAACGGACGATGCCAACGACGAGGTCCTTGACGAGAGGCTGGGGAGGGTCAAGAGGAGGCTGGGAGGGGTCGGCAGGCGCGGTGTTGGAGTCCTCCTCCTTGACGGTGTAATTTGCGGCCTCCTTGATGAAGTGATCCAGAGCGTACGCGCGCGCGATCCTTCCAATCTCGACCACACGCGCCAGTTGCTCCGCCGACTCCTCTCCCTCGCCGTCCATCTCGCCGCCCGCCTCGTCTTCAGCCTCGCCGGCAGCCTCGCCGCTCGCTTCACCGCCCGCCTCACCGCCCGCCTCGTCGCCATCCTCGTCCATGTCTTCATCCTCCTCCTTCGTCTCCCCCTTTGCCTTCTTCTTCTCCTTCTCCTCCCGCTTCCTCTTCTTGTCCTCCTCCTCGCGCCTGAGCTCCTGCTCGCGCGCCTCGGCCATCTTGTATACCCTTCCCACCGCCTTCTCAGTCCCGCGTCGGTGCCTGATGTAGGCTAGACCGACCTTGTAAATCTCCTCCCTCGCTGCTGGATCCAGCGCCTCGGCCTTCTCCACGGTCTCTGGTGAGGGCAGAGGGATGCTTTCTGTGGGCATCTCGAGGCCTGCCCGCATGGCAGCGGTGAAATTGCTGCTCTTGAATGTGACCATGGTGAGGGTGGAGCTCGTGAGAGGGACAAAGCTGGAAGACGATTGGAAGTCGTCTAGGACCAAACGCGATTGCCGTTGAGACGTGTGCACGAGCCGTCACGATGACGCTTGTGCTGTTGGTGATGAGCGTTCGCCTGATGCTCTGAGTGTTGTCTTGAGGACGGAGCGGACGTGCGACTGAGTCGGCGTCCCGACGGGAGGGGCGGTGCGATTGAGCCATAAAGTCAATGAGGACGTCGTGCTCGAGCTTGCTCCACAGACGTGGGGAGGTGACGAAGTCGACCTTGAGTTGCTTCAGCGATGGACCAGCGGCAAGATGGAAGCACTGAGCCAGGCCTAGGACGAGAGCATAGATGGTGTGCCGAACCCTGGGGATGGGGGACACGGTCTGTGCCAAGCCGCCTGCTTGCCGTGCCGAGTACACGACTGATGCCTACAGCGACGGTCTTAGAGCAGGACCATGTCGAAAGCTAGCAACTACACAGCTGCATTGTGACGGCTCAGCTCTTCTCCTTGACTGTGTACTGTGCGAGGCGAGTGATGGTGACGGTGACGGTGACGTTGACGTTGACGGTGATGGTGACGGCGATGACGACCGAGGGCAGACTTGCGACAATCAGTCAGATACGCATGGGTGGGTGGTAGAGCCTTGACGAGTGGGTGCTGAGGCGAGACTGGGACCTAGCTTGAAGCAAGTGAGCTCGAGTGCGGGCAGGTGAGGCCGATGAAGAGTGCTGAGCTGGGCACCAGAACCCGCGCCACGGTGGACATCCTGAGCGAGGAGGAGGGCGATGGCTAGCGTCAGCCACGATGTGCGTGCAAGGATGCTGGCCGGCAGATGGGGCGGGTTCTGCGCAACTCACCGATGCTCTTGACGTCTCGAGCGGCGCAAGGCAGAGGATACCAGAGAGACAGGCGGGTCGAGTCCTGGCTGTGACGCTAGGTGGCAGAGAGCCGTGAGAGAGGGAAGCTATCGATGACGAGGCCGGCTCGTTGAGGATAGGCAAGGGTGTGTGAGGTGGGCGAGGAGAGAAGCCGTGACGAAGCGGGGCCGGGTGGTGAAGAGAGAGAGGAGATGGAGAGGAGGGAAGGGAGGCAAGAAGCGAGGCGTGCTGAGTCGTCGAGTCATCTAGCAGAGGCTCGCTGGCGTCGAGTCATCTTGCACTGCCCGCTCAGCAGAGGCTCGCTGGCATCGACTCATCACCCAACTTCATCCGCACATTCAGGGCAGGGCAAGAGAGCAATGTGGTCGGCTTCGCGTTTCCGAGGCTGTGCGGCGGACTGTCTTTTGCGGTCGCTAGCACAGACGGCCGTCTAGGGCGAGAGTGGGCCTAGTGTCTCGGCCATTCCGCCGAGCTCACCGCACGACCTCTTGCTGGTCAGGAACGAGAGCGGATGATTTGGTCGCGAAGGCGTCGCTGAGCACAGACGCGACCCAAAATCGCCTCGCCGCCTTCCGCCCCCCATGTGGTCGGGCGCGAGATGCGGGCGGGTCACGGAAGCAGCTCCTGCGTGAATTTCATCCTCTACCAATCATCCCACCAGATCAAGCATGGGCGGACGCAAGGTGAGCAGCAGCGCGGTGCTCTCCTGCCAATGACTACTCGCCCCGTGCTGATTTTCTCGTGTCTTTGATTTCTCACACCCAGATCACCGCCAAAAGCATCAAGCGCAAAGATGCGCCTACGCACCCCAAGTCTCGTCGTGCCCACCAGCTCGAGCGAGTGGCTCTTCGAGACGTCAAGCTCTCTTCCCGCAAGACGGAACGCAACCGTGCCGTTGAGCATCGCGTAGAACGCATTCTCGCCCTCCTCCTCCTCCTTCCCGACGAGATACCTTGCCTTCCCGATCTGCCGGCCCTGCACACCTTCATGGAGGCGTCCTTCCTCACTCGCAGAGATGCCGAGCTGGAAGAGGAGGTAGCGAAGAGGCGACCAGGGAGACCGCCTAGCAAGCAGGAGGTAGAGCTCAAGGAGGTCATTGCGGCGGAGAGGAGGGAGTACATGGAGCAGATGGAGGTTCCAGATCTACTGCACGAGGAGAATGTCAAGTTGATGAGGCAGTGGGAGGGTGATGCGCAGGCGTTGGGCTTGTATCGATTCGTGAGGATCAGTGGAACGCATCGGTGAGTACGAGATGCGCAGGAGAGGTGTTGAGCGTCGGGAAGTCGGCTGATACTTTGCCATTTCCCGCCACGCAGCGAGCAGTACGTCCAGACGCAGGCTGGGCGACACAAGGATCTCGAGATCGCAGATGCCGCAATGAAGAAGGTCATGGGCGGCGACGAGGAGATGGCTGCTGAGGCTTGAGGTTGAGAGCCGGACACCTGGCTCGCTCTGCGCAGGTATACATGACTTGATTTCGGACCCATCTGTACAACAATGCTGCAAGATACACACTCCAATTCACGTTCGTCTTCTCACAACCTGTCTAACGTCGCTCCGTTCGCTCCAACCTCGCTTTCACTCCCCTTTGCCGCTCACTGATCCTTCTTCGCCCCTTCACTCTCCTTCAATTGCTGACTCAGTTCCTTGGCAGCATTCATCCTCGCCTTCTGCTCCTCCCTCTTTTCCTTCTCCTCGATCCAGACTTCCGTAGCCTGCAGCAGCGCAATACCCGCGAGAAGGACCATGTTGATCGTGTTGGTCGCGGCGATGATGCGCAGCGCTGAGATGCGCTCCTCGGTGGTCAATGGGTCAGTGTAGAAATCGGGAGGGGTGCCGCCCTGGTGCTTGATGTAGGCGTCGCGTTCTGTGCGGATTGAGGAGCGGTTGAGGAGGGCGACGTTTGCCGGGTCGGCGAGGAGCTTGAGGTTTGGGATGATCACCACACCGTACATGGCAATGGCTCCTACCATGAGGGCTGGCGATGCGGGAGGAGGAGGGGCAGAGGGTGTGAGTGAAGGTCCACACATCGCGGTAGCCTTATCTTCCCGGCTACTCACCCACACACGACCCGTCAAAGTACTTTGCCGTCTCTGACCAGCGATGAAGCTTAGCCAGCAGACCGACAACGCCCAGCGCCATCATGCCGTGAAGCAATGCAGCGATGGCTCCAGGCCCCTTGTAGGCAGAGAGGTAGAACTGCTCGGCGACGATGGCCGACTGAGGGTCAAAGGGCGTCGAGTAGATCAGAGGGAAGTCATAGATCGATGCGATGAAGAGGACGCCGGAGAGAAAGCCGAGGGACGTGATCACATAGCCTGTTCGGAAGCCCATGGTGGCGGGCGACGATGGGGGATTGAGCTGTGAGGTTGCGGGGTGAGAGGAGGAAGGGAAGCAAGCAGGTCGTGGAGCGCGCCGTCGACGTCGACGAGAAGGAGCCGACGGTTTGGCGGGCGGACGGACGGACGGACGGAGACGAGAAGGCCAGCTTTGTCTGACTTTGAGGTGGACGAGCGGGCAGAGGAACCAACACTTTCGCAGCATCTTTACCACTCGTAGCAGTAGCAGCCATCATGAGCTCAACCAACGACGACAAGAAGGCTGACGGCGGTGATCTCGACGCTGTCACCGCGCGAATCAACTCGCTGATGGCAAAGACACCTGCCGCAGACGAAAAAAAGACAGGAGGAGCCGAGGGCGACGAGAAAAAGGATACCCCAGCGACATCCGCAAACGACTCCAAGCCGGCTGCCGCCACAGACAAGCCAGAAGCAGCAGCAGCCACCTCATCCGCCGCCGCCGGTCCATCATCGCCGAAGCAAGAAAAGGACAAGGATGGCAACCTCCTCGAGTCCAAATACGACGTGACAGTGACCCTCGCAGACCAGCAGGCAGACCCCAATTCACCCCTCTACTCGGTCAAGTCGTTCGACCAACTCGGCTTGTCCGAGGAGCTGCTCAAGGGTATCTACTCAATGAAGTATCAGAAGCCAAGCAAGATTCAGGAGAGGGCCTTGCCGCTGCTGCTGCAGAATCCGCCACGCAACATGATTGGCCAATCGCAGTCGGGTACAGGCAAGACGGCAGCCTTTGTCCTGACGATGCTGAGCCGCGTCGACTTCTCGCTCAATGCTCCCCAGGCCATCGCCCTCGCTCGTGAGTAGCGCGGCGACGCGGCAGGGCGACAACGTGTTCTAACCCCAATCTCTCCTGCCCATGTGCCAGCCTCTCGCGAGCTCGCCCGCCAGATCATGGACGTCGTCCACGAGATGGGCAAGTACACCAAGGTCAAGACAGCTTACGCCATTCCAGACGGCATTCCGCCGAACACCAAGGTCGACGCGCAGATCATCGTCGGCACGCCAGGCAAGGCTTTCGACTTGATCAAGAAGCGGGCGATTGATACCAAGAACATCAAGGTCTTTGTGCTCGATGAGGCGGACAATATGCTCGACCAGCAAGGGTTGGGAGAACAGAGTATTCGTGTCAAGAACACAATGCCCAAGACGTGCCAACTCGTCCTCTTCTCGGCCACCTTCCCAGACAACGTCCGCGAGTTCGCTGCCCGTCTCGCCCCGATGGCCAACGAGATTCGCCTGAAGCAGGAGGAGCTCAACGTGGACCTGATCAAGCAATTCTACATGGACTGCAACAGCGAAGAGCACAAGTATGAGGTTCTCGTAGAGCTCTACAACCTCCTCACCATTGGCCAATCCATCATCTTCTGTGCCAAGCGCGACACGGCAGACGAGATTGCGAGGAGGATGACAGCCGAGGGGCACAAGGTGGACTCGTTGCATGGAAAGCTGGACACCGCAAGTCGCGATAGGACCATCGATGCTTTTAGGGATGGCAAGAGTAAGGTATTGATTGCGACGAACGTCATTGCGAGGGGTATCGACATCATGCAGGTCACGCTCGTCGTCAACTACGACATGCCGGTGACGCAGGGTGGGCAGCCGGATGCTGAGACGTATCTGCATCGTATTGGTGAGTGTGAAGAGGCTCGAAGCACGCACGCGGTATTGCAGGCGCTGACCTCGCAACCTTCTCCTCTCTCTCTCTCTCTCGACCGCAGGTCGCACCGGAAGATTCGGTCGCAAGGGTGTGTCAATCAACTTTGTCCACGACGAGGCCAGCTGGAAGCTCATGAATGGCATCGAGCAGGGTGAGCGGAGCGCAGCGCGATGACGAAGATGAAATCGACCACGACGAAGCTGACCAACTCGACCTCCCTTTCCTCGCGCAGCCCTGTCGTGCGAGATCCTCAGAGTGGGTACGGAGGACCTTGAAGAGATGGAGACGACGATCAAGAAGGCGATCAAGGGTTGATTGGATGTCTTCGTAATGCAATTGATGCCTGCGCGTGTTATTCCTGAGTTCTTCGTGTTGTTCTGCGCTCTCGTCGTTTATGTCGCGTGGCTCTCATCACCCTAGGCCCTGCGTGAAAGGGGGGCAGGGGGCTCCGCTCTGACCGGGTCGGCAATTGAAAACAAGGCGCCTGCATCGTAAGCCCAGGTTGCCGACCGAGGTCGCAGCCTCGCAGCCTCGCAGCCTCGCAGCCTCGCAGGCCCTCTCGCAGCCTGGCTTGGCTCGCATCATCAATCAAGAGGAGCGGGAGCAGTAACAACAAGGCCCGATCAGAGCTCCTTCTCGTCTTTGCCATCACACGATATCCCTCAGCACAACATCATCATGAACACCTTTACCGCCGCTCGACGTCTTCCCAGCACCTTGTTGCGTGCCAGCCAGACGACGGCTACCACAGCCGCCACTGCCTCGTGCTCACGCACCTTGGCTCTCGGCGCTACTCGCAGCTTTGCCTCCGAGGCAGCAGAGGGCGCTGGCTCTGTTAGCTTTAAGCTAAGCGAAGACCAAGAGGCTTACCAGGGTGGGTAGGAGGTGCAAGCATAGACCAATGAAAGCATTTTGTCTGAACTCATCACTCCCTCGCCTCGGCCCGCTCGCAGACCTTGCCCGCAAGTTCACAGCCGAGCACATCATCCCCGTAGCACGCCACCACGATGAGACGATGGAGTACCCCTGGCCTGCCATCAAGAAGGCGCACGAGGTTGGTCTGCTCAACACCCATATTCCAGAGGAGTTCGGCGGACCTGGTCTGGGTTTGATGGAGTGCGCCTTGATCTCCGAGGAGCTCGCTTTTGGCTGCTCAGGCGTTCAGACTGCTATGGAGGCAAACGGGCTCGCAGAGGCACCTGTCATTGTGGCGGGCAACAAGGAGCAGAAGTCAAAGTACCTGGGAAGGATGACCGAGGAGCCCCTCGTGGCATCGTACTGTGTGACGGAGCCTGGTGCTGGGTCCGATGTTGCGGGCATCTCGACTCGCGCCGAGAAGAAGGGTGAGCTGAGAAGAGGCATCACAACACGAAACCGTAGCTGATTATGCTCTGCCCCCGCACCGCACCGCGTCAGGCGACAAGTGGGTCATCAACGGCAGCAAGATGTGGATCACAAACGGAGGCCACGCCAACTGGTACTTCGTTCTGGCCAAGACGGACCCGTCCGCAAAGGCTACCAAGTCCATGAGCGGCTTCATCGTCGATGGTGACTCGCCAGGTATCATCAAGGGCAAGAAGGAAGTCAACATGGGTCAGCGTTGCTCCGACACTAGGATGATCACGTTTGACAATGTCGAGGTGCCAGAGGAGAACATGCTGGGCAAGCCTGGAGATGGCTTCAAGACTGCCATGGGCGCCTTTGATATCACCAGGCCGCTCGTTGCCGCGGGAGCCATCGGTGTCGCGCAGAGGGCGCTCGTTGAGGCGTGAGTTCCAGCAAGGCGGCGTGCATGAAAGCACGGTCCTGACCAATCTCTTCCCCTTCTGCCCTCGCGCGCCGCAGCATCAAGTACGCTCAAGAGCGCAAGACGATGGGTCGCCCCATCATCCAGCACCAAGCAATTGCTTTCATGCTCGCCGACATGGCCATCTCCGTCGAGTCAGCCCGCAACATGGTCTGGAAGTCGTGCTGGACAAAGGATCAGGGCCTGCGCAACTCCTACTTCGCATCGATGGCCAAGGCTCTCGCGAGTGAGGCGGCCGTAGCCAACGCAGACCGAGCTGTACAAATCTTTGGTGGAATGGGCTACAACAAAGAGTCACCCGTCGAGAAGCTGTACAGAGATGCTAAGATCTACATGCTTTACGAGGTGAGTTCGGTCGCGAGGGCTGAGCATGACCCGGGCCATGCTGACGCACCGTTTGGTCCCATTTTTCGCGCGCTAGGGCACGAGCCAGATCCAGCGTCTGATCATCAGCAGGCAGATCGAGGAAATGTACAAGATCTAAGGCAGGGGAGCAGTGCCGACTCCCTCCACGAGCTCGCTAATCCCTCTAATAGATTATTCTCATCATGCCATCCGCGTGAGTCGTCAGCCGGCGAGGATGTGATTGGCTCATCGCTATTGCAGGCGGTCAAGGGAAGTGCAAGGCGGGCTGGCAGAACGGGCGGGCCAGGGGTTGAGCCGCGACCAATCTCGACGCGTTGGCCTGTTTGCCCTGCCCGCACGCACACCGCCCTTCGCTGTTGCCGTCACTTTCGTTGCTGAGCGACAGATCGACTCAGCACAGCCTGCCCTCTTTGCCTCCTCCCCATCACTCTTTTCCATCCTTCTATCCTCTCCATCCTCATCATCTCCGTCCTCGTAGACTCCGCTCGCACGGCGAAGCCGCCTATGCTCAAGCCACGGTCATAGGCGGCGACAAGACGATGCTGAGCCGGCGACCACACGCTCGTTAGCCTCCACGCTGAGCTCCTCCTTCTCGATCTCATCACACTCGCTCGCATCGTCCTCATCGTCATCGGCAGTGGCACCTCTGCGCACGCCCACACACGCTCCTTCGCACATCCGCTCCCTGCCATCTCAACGCTCGCTTCCATCATCACCGGCCATTGCTAATCGCCTACCGCCTGCCAACGCCAACGCCAACGCCACCATCACCGTCACCGTCACCGCCACCGTCAACGTTAGGGTACTGACTCAACACGCTGGTCTGCATGCTGCTAGGCATCGCACCCTCGACCCTCTGCTCAATAGCGACTGCCGTCAAGACATCCACGCCAGGTCACAACACGCATCTTGCTCACTGCTGGCACCGAGGTCGATCGATTCTTTCAGGCCTCAGTGCCCCTTCAGCGCAAGGCCGGAACAAGTGTCCGGGTCATCATGGACCAACAGCTGGATATGCAAGAGCATCGCGCTGGGCTGTGCGACCTGTACTTTGCCCAGTACGATGACCTTTGCAACCTCTCGCGGGACTTCGACACGAGAAACGCTGCACATGATGCGAGCATCGCTGCTCTTGACGCTGCGCGGCATCAGCTTCAAGAGCAGGCGCCCTTCGTCGACACTGGGATCAAGGTTGCGCTCGCAGCAAAGACGGCTGCATGTCAAGCGCTGTGTCAGCAGTCGTCTCAATGGCGTGTGCATTCGTTCCCTCTCAGCAACCGCTCGATGATCACTTGGACCAGCGATTCGAGTGCCACGGTCTTCACGGCGGCCGAGCTCCTCGCCATCCTCCACGACACCAAGGCTCCTCGCGCGGATGAGATCCTCCCGGACATCCTATCTGGCGCGCAGAGGAGGCTGCTCGAGTCGGCAGGTAGGTTTCTGCGAAATTCAGGACAGCGCAATCACGCACGCTCATCCAGATACTCTCCTCCTCGTTCCTTTGCTACCCCCCCCTTTCTCTCTCTCTCCCCCCGCGCAGCCAAGGCTTGCCCTCTCAGCTCGAGCGGGACGAGGCGCATGGCCTTCGCGGGGTCGAGCGTGCTGCAGGTGGCGGCCGAGTACCGGCTGCCAGCATCGCAGCCGATCGTCAGGCTCTCGGCCCCTGTCGCCGTCGACCCTCCCGGGCAGGATGGCACGCGCGTATGGGGCTACTTCAAGAGCCACATCGTCGGCGAGCAGCTGCTCGAGGAGGAGCCGGAGAAGAAGGAGGAGGAGACGGACGAGGAGGAGGAGGAGACGGACGAGGATGAGGAAGCGAACGATGGCGAGGATGAGATGGATGAGGATTAGCAGTGCTATCCTCGAGAGCAGGCGGGAGGATCGGGGAGTTCGCTCGGCGCAGTGGACGGGGAAAGCGGGGATGCGGCCGGGGACTTGTGCGTGGTGTTTCCCTTCCCTTTGCACTGTCATTCGATCGATGTGCTATCACTGTGCTATTCAGCTTATGGGTATGGTGTGCTGATGATTGATGGGTAATACTGTAACGAGGGGCAATAAACAGAATGGATGACTTGACGAAGTCGCGGAGGTGGCGTCTGCTCAATGGTATCATCATTCATACTCATCATCGCCATCATGTGCCAAGCCGTGTCACCGTAGAGCTGCGCCTGCTTGACGACCTAGTGCTGCCTTCCGTAGGCGGAATCCAAAAGTCAACGGCGAACACTCCACTTCGCCTCACCCCTTGAATGGATGAGAGCAGCGCGATAGAGATGGTAGGCAGATGCGGGGCTCGCAGGGGTATATGCAGCTCACGACGAAGCGCTGAGTCGACTGCAGGTCCAGATGAGGTGGGCAATCACCGCATGCACGACCTAAGGGGGCAGCGTTGCTTCGAGCCTCGATCGATGTTTCGACTATCAGCGTGCTACCGTCTGAACTTCAGCGACGATCTCATCACGCTCCACCGTCACGCCTGCTGCTGGCCCCGCGGATCCATCGTTGAATGTAGTCGCTGTGTAGTCGCTGTGCTCAGGCAGCCCAGCCGCTGCTCGTAGCCAGGCACTGACACGTTTCGACCTCATTGAGGTCACGATCAGGCGTCATCGCACAAGCGTCTACGCACTGACCAATTGGCTGCACTCCCCGTCTCGCGTTTCCACAAGCCGGGACGTCCTCGTACCTCACGAATGGAGTCACTTCAAGAGCGTTGTGAAAGGCGAGGACGAGGCGAATAGAGCACGACCCCCCGATCGCGCGCGAGGAGGGCATAACATCCTTACGTGTGCGAAATGATGCTTTCCACGATATCCGCCCACGCGTCTTGTCAGAGCTGCAGTGAGGTAGCTGCCATGCTCTGATACTATTGTCTGTTTTGGGTCAGCGCCTACGCGGGCAAAAGATGCGGGGAAGTACGAGGGCTGGTGAATGTGAAGATGGACACGGAGAAAGAGCCAAGCGATGGACGATGGGGCGTCGCTCTCGTCTGCTTCAATGGCGCCTCTGAGTCGATGCTGGACAGCTATGTGAGTCAAGACCTCAGTGCGCTGCGTCAGCGCATCAGACAACGAGGTGCTCTAGATCACGCCAGCACCTTCGTTGCAATACGCCGTGGCACTCTGCGACTACGACAGCATGCCCGGCGAACCCAAGCACACGCCTCTCTGAGCCTCGCAACACGACGCCAGCTGTGCACGTCACTCGATGGTGCCATCACGGTGATAGCTGCTTCCTGTGCGTATAGGAGGGAGATGACATGGCTTCGCCCACGTCAAACGAGGGCCGCGATTTGGCACAAGTACTGCAGCTGAAAGCTCGCGGGAGGCTCAGCGCCTGACAACAACGTATCAAGCAGTTCGCAAAGGCCCACGTCTGTAGTGTGAGGCTCGGCAGAGCGGTTCGTGGCCTCGGGTCGTCCTCGTCATTTAGGGCCTTATGCCCAGCTGATAGTGATGCTCTTCGCCAAGGTGGTGAGCGAGAACCGTCAGATGCGGCCAACAGAAGGCAGAGAGGTAAACGGGCCTGGTCTGGAGAGACGCGTCTGAGGCGAAAGGGGCAAGCGGGGGACGGGGGAGCAGGGTGGGGGGGGGCTGATGTTGGTCCAGGATGCCGACCATTGGCAGACATCACAATGTTTGAACATATACGCACATGCTCGTGCAATCAATCATCAGCAATTTGGCTGTGGGCGTCGTCTAACGGTGAGGACGTTACGTTGTGGCGAGTTCTTGCATCTCACACATCTTTCCGTGGAAATGGGGGTTCGATTCCCCCCGCCCACAATCAGTGGAGTGTGCCCGTACAGCTTCTTTTGCCCCGTCTCCTTGGTGAGCCTTGAGGATATGATCAAACTTAACTTTTGCTCCGTCACGCAGCGAAGATAAAAAGGGAGGGCAGAGAGCCGGCAGCAGGACGATGATCACGACATATAGCGCTGTTCTCCTCGCCGTTCAGCTCAGGGCCTGCCGCAGGCAGGCCCCGCCGAAGTGGGCACCCTCCTGACCAGTTCTCATCCGCAGTCGCCCTTCGGTATATTAGGATATTACGGACACTTGAGCACCGATCACACCAACATTTAGGTCCACAATCGAGGTGGACGAGCCTCGTCGATGTCGTCTGGTGATATCGTGTCCTGAAGTACTGCTCTCGAGACCAGTTGCTGTGACCACCGCTTCCTTCCAGGCCGTGCTCTGGTTCGATGCACCTCCGACTCAACGCGACTTGCACTACTGACCCATTCTGAGACAAGGAACGGGGGCGAGCGATCGCGTGCGACACGAGCGTATGGACAGGCAGACATGTCTGCGCTTCGGCGACGACAGCCACTCATAATCAGTAGCGACGGATGACGAGCGAGCCCACTGTCCTCCAGTGCGAGCTGCTGATCATCGCGTGGGGTGCGACTGCTATGCTTGAGCACCGCCGACGTAGCGTACGGCCCTTGACATCATTATGATGCCAGCGGCAACGACCCTGGAAGGTCGAGAGGCGCGGATTGACGGCAAAGCATCCAGCTAACACGCCCCTCTCCCTTCTTGCAGCGATCATTGCCAACTCGCTGCAGTCTCAAGTCTACTCTCTCTGGGTCACTCGCCGAGGCCTGACAAGGCCGGCCAGTCCGTAGCAACTGTTTGATGAAACCAGGTGCTGCAGTCTCGATCGCACTGCAAAGTCCTCGGCCGGGGCGACGCTCGCGCCACAAGGCATGGTGGCACGATGGAATGCTAGCACGCAGCTTCACGAGCTTTGGACTCGAAGGTGTCACGATTGGACCACAGCAAATATACAAACATCCCCAAGCTCGAGGTGTAACGTCCCTCGCTTCTCTCACTCCGCGCTACCTCTATCGCTCGCCGTGTCCATCGAAGTCGTGGGCGACAATCCGGGCGCAGAGTCTGCCGAGGAAGAGGTGGCCGAGGCCAATTTAGCCATCGACTTGGCCGCAGGTGCCGCTCCCTTGGCGCCGCCTAGGATCAGCTTCTTGGGCGGCGCCGCCCCTTCGTGTAGCGGAGGCGCCCCTCCCGACCCTCCACCGCCGAACATGGCAAGTAGCGTAGCCTTGTCGCGCTTAGAGCGGATGCGCTCTACCTCCAAGTGGCCGCCAGTCTTGCGCAATCCACTCCCAGCCGCCTCACCGCTACCCGACCCAGCAGGCGCGGCAACGAAGCCCGCCAGTTCCTCCTGAAACTCGTCCGTCCGACTGCTCATCTCCCTTTGCCTCGTCCTCTCTGCCGCCTGCAAAGCTCGCAAACGCTTCTCGTGGTCGATGCTCTGGCCGCGCACCTCAAGCATAACCGTGCTGAGCCCCTCGTGCCCCTCCTCTGGCAACGGCGGAATATATTTGCCCCCCGTGGGCCGGCCAGCGCTGCGGAGCTTGACGACTTGCTGAATATTCTCATACACCTCCTGCAGCGCCTTGTGATCCTCGCGTAGGTCGGCGATGAGTCCTTCCTGGTGATTGAGGAACTCCTGCTCCTCGACAATATCGCGCAACTCGCTCTCCCACGTCTTCTTCCAGCTAGGCTTGACCGTCTGCACGTATCGCTCTAGGTCCTCCAACCCACTGGTGGCCTTGGCGATATCTGCGCTAATCTTCTTGACCGTTGCGGGCTTGGGCTTTACCCCGCGCTGGATCACGTCCAGCTTGAGGTCGTCCACCACGTCCTGCAGGTCTTCGACGAGAGTGAGCACCTCCTGCGAGCTGGCGTCGAGACGAGCCTTGCCTGCGACAATGAAGTTGCGCTCTGTGGGAACGTCTTGCGCTGCGATGGAGCGAACACGCGCGCTCTGCTCTTTCATCTTCTTGAGCATACCGCCAACGTCTGTCGAGAAATCGCCCTGTAATTGACGGAGGATGGCCATCTCGCGGCGGAGGGAGAGGATCTCGTCGTAGTGGCCGCGAAGGTCGGGCGCCGGGCCAGTCGATGACGATGCCTGTCCGCTCGCGAGAGCGTCACCCTCGCCGTCGTCCCCGCGACTCTCACTACGCCTCATTCTCTCCTCTGCCGCAGCGAATTGCCGGTCTGAGAATTTGCTCGGCGAGACAGCGTCCGCCAGTCGCGGGGCATGAGATGTAGACGGCCTCCTTGCAAGCGCCAACGCATCCCTCTGCTCCCTCTCAGCCAACTGCGCCTTGACCTCTCTGATCTCCTTTGTGATAGCGCCCAACGTTAGATCGAGATGCTGCTTCACCTGGTCCAGTGGTTCGATGTTCAGCGTCAGCACGCACCCCTCCGTCACGTCCGCCAGGTCCTCCAGCTCGTATGACACCCCACTCGAGACGTCCTTGACGTAGATGCTAGGAAAGTCGTCCTTGCCCGGCGAGTAGGCGAAGCGCTCCACGAACAACATGCGGAGGCGCGCGACGCTGAGTGGAGTCGAAGAGTCCAGCGTCGTCTTGCGTGTCTGGCGTCCGAGTTGGAGAAAGACGGAAAGGTCTGACGTGCCCGTGGTCGCAGGACTGTCTGTGCTGCCTGCGTGATCGCGCGAGCTGCTTGCGGCAGTGAGGGTACGGGCGCTTGCACTTTGAGCGGTTGACGAGTCGGTGCTGCCTGCCGTGAATACGTCTTCTCCTCGGATGGAAGCGGCTGCTGCTGTTGCCACAATTGGGCTCCTCGGCGTCTGGTTCGCGTCGGTAAAGGGCAGCGACTCGTTGGAGCTTGCAGCCTGAGTCGACGGCGTAGGCGATCGATTGGCATTGCGCAACGACGACGGTAGACCCAGCGTCTGCGAGCCCGTGCGGCGCAGTGGGCTCCCTCCTCGCGAAGCCGAGTCTGCCAACTCCTCCATTTCACTCCCTCCCGCACCAGCACCAGCGCTGCTCCTCGTGCTCGCACTGCCCCTCGCCCCCGCTCCCAGCTGCGGCGTAGCCAGAGGAGACTTGCGCGCGAGATTTGGCGACTTGGGGACGGGTGGCATCTCTTCTGCGGCTGCGAGCTCAGAGATATTGGAAACGCTGGGCTTCTGCCTGCGAGAGGCGCCGCGCTTGTGTCCGCCCCCGCTTCTCGGCATCTCAGGACTGGCGTTTGCTCCTCCACCACCGGAGAGGATGCCAGAGCCAAAGCTGCTCATCCCACTTTGGCCGACGCCCATCTTGTTGAAGGTGTATGCGCTGAAGCGCTTGCTGGCTCGACGCTCTAGCGCATCGCGACTCTTCAACGCTCGCAGGCTGGGGTCCGCCTCTGTTGCATCTGCTACCACGACGTCGGAGCGTGAACGGGTGAGTTTTCCCGTCGAACTCGAGCCAGATACGCGACGGGGTGTTGAGGCGGGTGTGTAGGGTGAAGGGTCTGAGCCCGGAAGAGAAGTGTCGGCAGCTGCTGGAGGAGACATGGTCGGCGTCTTGAGGTAGTCTTCTTGCGGCTCGGGCGGAGCAGGGGTCGGGTTGTCAACGAGCTGCGTACCACCGTTTAGGCCTGCAGTCCTCGGTGAGGTGACGCTGGAGGAGTTGGAGCGCTGCGGGAGACTTTCGGGCTGTGAGTTGGGATTGGGCTCGAGTGGCTCTGGAGCAATGTACGACCCGCGGGCACTGTCGCTGACGCCTTGTCGCTCCTGCCTGATTGTTCTACTCGACCTTCGCTCGCCAGCCATGCTTGCCGCGACACCTGGCGCTGCCTGCAAGATGCTGCTGCGCTTCGACGTCGTAGAACCCCGTTGCTGCGCGACGAGGATGCGCTTGTACTCTGCTTGCTTGAGCTTGAGTCCTTGGAGGAGATGAATGATGATCTCACGCACACGAGGGAGGTGTTGCTCGAGGACGGCGGGCGAGGCATCTTCTGAGAGGCAACGTTCCAGGCAGACTCGAAGGTCGTCGGGGACGGATGCCAGGTCGCTGGGCGAGCGCGAGAGCCAGCAGGAGGTCAGCTTTCCAGCGAACCAGACTCTCTACTGGCGCGCCTCGCTCTCACCTCATGTCGATGTTGTAGCTGCCAAAAGCCTGCCTCGCAGTAATGAAATCGTTGCCCAGCCGCACATAGACGTCGCTGACCTGCGTTTCCGACTTCTGTCCGATGGACCACTTTGTGAGGGATTCGAGGAGCATCTTGGTCGCGACGAGGAGGCGAGTGACCGATGACTCCATGTGATTCGACGAGTAAGGGCTCTGCGTGTGCGAGCAAGGGAGGTCAATCATGCAGCAACTTGGCATCTTTGGTCTCGGCAGACCCACCTTGCTCGACGCAGTAGTCGAAGTCCTCACACTGGACCCACTACTCTGCCTGCTCATCTCAGCATTGATGGCCGTTTCTCTCTCCCGCTCCTTTTCCTTTTGTAGCGCCCTCATCTCTTCTGGCAAGAGATTAGGAGGTGGAGCTGCGCTGGCGCCCATGTTTGCCAGACTGCTGCCGCTGCTCCCAGCTCCTCCGCCGCCCATCGGCCTCTTTCCAGAGGACGACGAGGATGAACCAGAGGGCCCACTGCTGCCGCTGCCAGTACCGTTTACTGCGGATGATATGCCGTCGTGCCGCCTCATGTACGTCGATGGGCCGCCCGTCGCTGAAGGAGGAGAAATGGCATCGTTGCTCAGCGATGGTCGACCACCTCGGTCTGGCGTTCGATCGCCTGCGCCCGACCCGGAGGCAGAGGCACCGCCAGCAGCATTGTTGGACCCGCTGCCTTTGCCGCTTCGGCCAAGCACTCCAGACAGCATCGTCTTAGAGAGCTACGAGGATGAAAGAGTACGAGAGTGACGTGGAGGAGGATCAAGACGAAATCAACGCGAGGGCAAATGGAGCCGCGTCCTCGCCCAGTCGATCGGCCAAAGAGGCGGCGCTGCCTCAGATTTGAGCCCATCAGGTCTGCCCCTTCTGCCCGTCTGCCCGCCGCCCGCCGCCCACTTCAAGTGGCGCTGCCAGAGGACCGTGCACGTCTTGCTTCGCAGCATCACGCAGCTCGCAATGGTACGGCGATGGACTCGCCCCATGGTATTACACACATCTGCACTCCACTCGATCAATCGAGGTCGAAAGGATCTTCAGGCGCTGGCGCTGCTTGACTAGCAGGGGCTGGACCCGCAGCCGCCCGTCTCTCCGCAGCCTCTCTCAACCTCTTTCTCCTCTCCTCCCGCGAATCCATCTCCAGTTGAGCCTCAGGCGCATCATCGTACTCCTCGTCAGTGTCCTCAAGCTCGCCCATGAACGTCTCTGTCTCGGCTGGGTTGTGAGGGGTGTCGATGGGCTGCGAAGTGCCAGCTCTGCCTCCCGAATTCGCTGCGGATTGACCACCCTCTTCTCCTGCTCCTGCTGATGCTGTCGCCTCTCGGGGCTCGAGCGGCTCTCTACAGATAGGACAAGTGCCATTCCGCTGCAGCCATGGTACGATGCAGTCTTCGTGGCCTGCGTGCTTGCAAGGAAGGATGACGAGGGTGTCGCTCGGCTGGTCGTCAGCTTCGCCTGGGGCAACGTCTGGTGGATCTTCATCCTCGAGTCCGACGCCCGCATCTCCGAGCACATCATCCACTCGAGAGGGTCTCCGCGATGCTGTCGGGCTGTTTGCTGCTGAGTCTGTTGGCGGAAGGACGGCGTCGAGACAGGTGGGGCATTCACGATTACGGGCGAGTTCTGAGCGAGCAGCAAGAATGGGCCGGTCAACATTGAGCTCCCCTCGTCTCCGTCGCACACGCAACTCACTAGCAGCGTCCACATCCCCGACTTTACATCGCTTGAGCCTCTTGATCGCCTCGTCACTAGCAGGTGGAGGCGCCGTACTGCCCTGCGTCTGCTCCATCATCTGCGAGATAATATCATCCAATGCCTGCTGCCCAAAGACGTAGTCTCCCATACGACCCGAAGCAAAGGCTCCCGCACCTCCGCCAAAGAGGCTGCCCAGCAGCGATTGCAGGGGATTGAATTGGGCGTGGTGGGCGTGGGCTTGATTGGGCCCACTTGCCCCGGCTTGCGCTCCAAATAGATCAGCAAAGAGGCCAGGCAAGGCTGCGAGCTGTGGTGGGAGGTCAGGACCTGAGGACGGATCAGGACCATGCCCCGCAAAGGCCGAGAAGGGGGAGTTGGCGTGCTGTTGAGATGATGATGACGAGGGACCGCTACCATGATCAAAGTAGCGACCATCTGAAGCCCCTCCTGCACCACCCATGCCATCGTCTGGGCGAGGCGATTGGCTGCCTTGACCCTGAGCATCGTTGGCGCTGCTGCTGCTGCTGCCCGTGGACGACGTCGTCTGGTAGTGCCACTGAAAGCCGAATGGGCCAAAAGAGGAGGAGCCACTGCGCGATGAAGTGGATGGACCTTGACCTTGTCGCGACTCTGCCTGCTGGCCGCGCTGCTGCTGGTCCTCCCCATGACGAGGCAATTGCGACCCAAACGGCCCCCTCATGTACGGATTACTCGACTGACCGGCAGTGGCAGCCCCAGCCAGATTGCCTAGCACGCCGCTCAGCAAGCTGCCAATATCCATTGGCTGCCTTGGCGCCTGCCCAAATCCGCCTCTCCCTCCCCCTGCGTCAAAGTCATCCTCATCGTCGTCATCCTGGTCGCCATCGTGAAACGCCTGCGGATGGGCTCCGGCTCCCGAGTCCGGAATCTCCTCGAGGAACTCGCCGCCACATCGCGGGCAGACGGGACCTGGCTGCATGAGCGCGGTGACCTCGGAGGCGCACTCATGGCAGAAGTGTAAGGTGGCCATGAGTTGAGAGATGTGGTAAGGATGCGAGGGTGCGAAGTGTTGTTCGGGTCATAGGCCGTGTCGTGTGGGCCTATGCAGTTCCGGCCGCTTCTCCACACGGCGGGACACGGCTGCAGCAGTGCTGAGCGCAAGTGGCGTGGCACGAGCGCAAGGCGTCGACGGACGGACAGAGACGAACAAGTCGAGGATGAGCATTGACCAACGACCGACACTGGTATTCGATCCAAATCAATCACCCTCGTCTTGCCATCGCCATGACCAATACGGCCGGCGCCAGTGGCAGTGGATCAGGGGCCAGCTCATCGCCTTCATCCGCCTCTTTGGCCCGCATTGAGCCCTACCTCCTTCTGGCCAAGTCAGCTCGAGGCGCAGCTGCAGCCAGAATCATACATGAAGCTACGGCTGCACCTGGTTGCTACGTCTTTGCTGAGCTGGCTGATACGCCGGCTGTCAATGATGTGAGCCGGCCATACCAGTAGCAGGTACTCAGCAACCGGCTGGCTGACCTCTCGCCCCTCCTTCGCACGCGCAGCTGTCGGCAGATACGGCCACACACGGCAAGACGCTCGCCCTCCTTGAGCTCTTCATGTACGGCACGCTTGCCGACTATCAAGCCCGACCTGACGCCTACCCACCTCTCAGCCCCGCTCACCTGGCCAAGCTGCGCCAGCTCACCCTTGTCACCTTGGCCAGCCAGTCGAGGATGCTGAGCTATCGGCACCTCGTTGACGCCTTGCAGCTCTCCGGCGATGAGGCAGGCTCGAGCAGCTCCACTCCGAATGCCACCCTCGCCCCGACAATGGTTAGGAAGCTGGAAGACGCCATCATCGAAGCAATGTACTCTGGTCTGGTAGCGGGTAAGCTGGACCAGAAGAAGCTTCGCTTCCACGTCGACTCGGTTATGGGGCGCGATGTGGCTGGACAGGAGGAATTGAAGGGAATGGAGGAGCAATTGAGGGAGTGGTACGTGGTCCTCTACAACGACTCTACGATGCTCGTATTGACCTGACTCGCTGACCTCCTACGTCCCCCACTCCTCTCCTCGGCTCGCTCACAGGGACGAGACCACCTCTACCCTCCTGGACACCCTCTCGCAGCGCATCGCCCAAGCCAAGAGTCAAGCAGCAGGCGAAGCTCAAGCCAGAGGGGAGCACGACCGCCGACTGGCCGATGTGTTTCAGGCGTACATGGCCGAGCAGCAGGACAAGGCGCACCAGGCGTCAAATATGGCTGGGGCGGCTGCTGGGTCTTATGGACGTGGTGGGGGTGCAGAAGGAGGAGCGATGGACCTCGATGCTGTTGCTTCAGGCAAGAAGAGGTGAGTGCCGCGAGATCGTGCCACAGTGGACGACGTGCGAGCTCGTGTTGACTTTGGTGTCTGCCTCCCACGCTCGCGCAGCAGGGCCAAACGTACGAGGACCTGATCATTTCGAGAGCGCCGACCATCTCTCCGTCCTCACAGAGCCTTCAGCCCACCATAGCCCCTCTGAGCACTCCTGTCACGTAGCCATTTCCCATTCTCGCCTCTGCGAATCTACACCATCCTCTCTGTCTCTCTTCTCTTCGTCTCGTCTGTCTCTCGACTCTGCACCCGGATCTCGCGGCCGTGCGGAGACACCTTGATTTTCGATTGGACCCCACATTCGCGGGACGGACAAGACACGTCTGCTCCCTAATCATTCCATCGCTCTGGAGGCCAGGACAGAACGACTCGGTAGCAGCGCTCTTGAGCTGCAAGGCTTGCTAGTATATAGCCATGATTGCTACCAGGCCATTGCTTCAGGGCTCGACCGCCGGCCTCTTGACGGCAGCGGCGTCTCCCACTGCTAGGTCAGGCAGGAGACGCCTTCTCAACGAAGGACGTGGGAGCACAACATCGCAATCTTCACGCAGAGCTTTGACATCCTCAGTACCTCGGACCGCTCCGCAAGTATCGTCGCCATCAGCATCTTCGACCCGGGGCTCCGTTGCCGAACAATTGGAGGACGACGAGGCCTATTCTGCTCGCATCGAGGCGAGCCTCTTTTCCCTTCCCCTCGTCCAAAAGCTCATCGCCCTCAGCACCACAGATGCCTCTGCCTCCTCGTCTTCGTCACGGCCGCCCATCTTCAAGATGCACAGGCCGTACGGGGGAGTCCCGCCTACCTCACTACAGCACCACATGACTGCAGGCCTCATGCGCAAACGCACAGGCTTTGCGACTTTGCCTTTGTGCTTCTCGCCCGTCGGAGATAGCGATGGCAGCGATTCCATTAGTGGCTCCAGCGCTGCACCTGTCAGCCAGACCTCATCTTCCTTGAACCCACGCCGCACGTACACCATCTACCACCTGGGCCCCTCCCTCTGCGGCCACCCTTCGATTATTCACGGTGGGCTGATCTCGACTCTCTTCGATGAAGCGCTAGCCATTCCTGGTTTTGCTGCCTTTACTCGAACACGAGTTGGTTTGACGGCGAGCTTGGAGGTGCGATATAAGCAATTCGTAGAGCCGCATAGGTTCGTGGTGATTGAGGCTGGGCTGGAGGAGGGGAGTGAGGGCAAAGGGGGAAGGAAAGCGATGGTGAGCGGTGAAATGAGATATGCCGACGAGGAGGATGGGAAGGTGCTGGCGGAGGGTAAAGCGCTCTTTGTTGAGCCGAGAGATGAGAAGCTCGTTGCCATGCTGAGGAGCAGCCCGAATGCCACGCCTTGAGCCAGACAAAGATAGACAAAGAGAAGCGCAGAAGTGAATGGATATTGAGTTGAGCACGGCACGAGAAGACAAGGAGGGGCAGGCGAGCGTGGACGCTGCGCGCTTGTGGAGCGGTGTGTGGGCGAGAAGGTTGGCGGGCGTATGTATGTACACGGGGCTTGTCGGTGCTCAGAGTAAGAGAGTCATTGGGTGGCCAGCACACGGTGTTGAGTCGCGACGCCATGGAAGATCAGCTTCTTAAGCCGACGCCTCAGTGTTCGTCTCCTCCGGGTGAGGGTGAGGGTGAGGGTGAGGGTGGGGGTGCTTGTTGCCCTCAGCCGCCTTGATGGTGAACTTCTTGCTCTTGTTGCCCGAGTCGCCGAGGAGAACCACGATGGCGTTCCCATCGCGAGGGGTCGTGTTCGCTGGGAGAGTGAAGGAAGTTTTGCCGGCCGTGAGGAGGAAGCCCTCAGCAAGAGGGTGCTCGGCTTGCAGGTTCTCGGACTGAGAGCCTGGGTTGAGGTGGCCGAGGAGAATGGTGCCCTTGAGATTGGAGTACTCGGGCTTGCTGTTCACAAAGTCTGTGTTCCAGGTGACGGTGACCTTGTCGCCGGCCGTCCAGACTGTCCCAGTGGTGGGCTGCGAGTGCGTCAGGGTAGCAGGGATCGGCTCGTCAGCATGCTGAACTCGCGGCTTGTACGAACGCTTTGGTTGCGCTACTCACGCTGGTGACGGGAGGGTTGACGACGTCTCGGTCTGCGAGCTCCTGCTCCTCTGCGGCCCTCTTCTCGAGCATCATGTCCATCGCGGCGATACCTCCGACGGCCATCTCAGCTGAACCGCGTCCGACGAGGTCGACGCCAGCGGCTCCGTTGACCTCATCGAGGGAGCGAGCAACGGGGAAGGGGGCGGCGAGGGAGGTGGTGGCCGTGGCTGCGAAAGTGAGGGCAATGCCCATGGCGAGGGCGCGGAAGGAGACCATGTTGTGTGAAGAGTGTAGGAGGTTGGTGTTGAACGTCGATGATGGTGCTCGAGGGCAAAGCTATGCTGGTTGATGGGAGCAATCGAGGGAAAGTCTTGACGGCAGGTAGCTTCTTATAACTCTCTCTGATCCAGGCTGCAGTCAGCGTCGACGAGAGAGATTGGCCGGTCGACGGGAGATTGTGCGGATGGGCGTGGGTAGGCGGGCGTGGAGGTGTGAGAAGCTAGTCCAAGCTGAGACTTGGATGCGGTGACTACCACGGGGAAAAGGCCCTGACACTGCAACCCAGTCGTACTCACAGCAAGCAAGAGATGTTTGGAGCAAGGGGGAAAAGAAGGTACGGTGCGTGCGATGCGATGCTTGCGTTGGCGAGATGCAGACGCAGCCACGTCAACTTCCACGACGGATGAGGATGTTGGATGGACAGAAAGAGAGAGAGGAGCTAGAGCCGCCATTCGCCCGCCGGCCATTAGTCGCCCACCATTAGCGGCTTCATTGGACCACCCGTCGTCGTTGCCGCTCATCGCGGGACGCTTTCGACCCGCCCGCCCGTCCGCTCCATCGCTTGCTCGACGCAAGGAGTTGAGCGAGGCTGAGCCAGGCTCTGATCCGCATCTCAAAAGAGGGGCCGTGCCCACTGACGCAGTGCGTCGCTAGAATCGCCCGCCTCATCTCGCCACTCTACCGAGAAATGCGCTCGAGACGAGACCAGCATGCGGTGCGGGGAAGAAGCGCAAGCTCGTCACAGCACTAAAAACAGCCAGCCAGGAGACTAGTCTCGTACCACCATGCGATGCCATGCGACGCGCCCAAGCAACGGCGCCGAAGCTTCGACGTCTGCCAGGCAGCGACGAGCCGACCTGCCTTATTGAGGAGCACGTAGGGCTCTGGGTGCGAGGCTCGCACACCTGCTAGATGCAGTAGCTAGCTGTGAGGGGCTTTTCTTCAGACGAGACGTCCGGATGTCGACCGAAGATTCCGATGACGACATACGATCGTTGAGCCCGCCGGCCAGGACCACGCATGCAATGATACCAGGGTGCGGCGTCTAGCAGGCAGTGCGGTTGCGAGTGTGTCTTGGCGGTGTAGCGTGCGATACGAAGTCGCAGCCAGGGATGGACGGGCAGCCTCGCTCGCTACAAGCGGTTCTGACGGCGAGCTTCGGACAGTGCAGCCACAGGCCCGCTCAACCACCCCTGACCGGGCAAACAAATAGACTCGTGGTGGAGCTGCCAGTCCCGATAGGCGGATGTGATGATCATCGCAGGGAGAGCAAGCCGCGCTCATCACGTTCGCGTCACGTCTGTTTCTCGTGCGCAGCAGAGCGCTCGATATCATGATTAGCTACGAGGTAGAGGTTGGCGGACAAAGGTATAAGAGATGAGGCCCTGCAGTCCTGCGGCGCTGCTCTACATGACGGTGCACTGTGGGCGAGCAAGAGAAGAAAAGAGTTCAGTCAGCCGATGCTCGCCACTACCATCCGGCTGTCGCGGCTACTCACTTGCTCCTCATTCCCACTGGCCTGCTGTGCCAGCCCCCTCGTAAACCCACCAGCGTCCCTTCCAAAGGCACCCGTCGCCTTGCCGGTCAAATCTACCACAAGCACACCCGAATTTTTCGGGTCCAGATGCGCTTGCAGATTGTACTTCCTCATCAGATCCTCAATTGCCGGCTTGATATGCGCAACATGGTCCTTTGAATGGATGCCTTTGCCTACGATGATCCGCACAGTCTGGTCACCGCGTCGTTGACGTTGCGCCACTTCCTGCTCGGTACGGGTGATGGCCTCTGCTGTGTAGAGGCCGTGCAGATCAACCTCGTCCGGGCCAGAGTCCTCGTTGTTGGCTACGTAGATCCAGTCGGCCGCCTCCTTGTTGAGCTGCTCCATGCGCGACTTGTGCTCGTGGCCCTCATTCGAGAGCTGCTTGGCTTTGCTGCCGTCGCCGTGGCTGTACGCTGAGTGAGACTGGTCGAAGCATTTAGCCATCAAGTCGCCTTCCCGGCGAGCGTCATTACGGAGCTGCATGTAGCGTTGATTCTTTGAGTTGACCTGCAGGAAGATTTGTAGGAGGGTATACAAAGTGAGTTCCGGTGGTCCTGTCACGCAGCTCTCGACGTACTCACCGCATTGTCATTGTAATTCGGGTGGTGAGGCTTAAGGCCACTCTGCTGCTGATGACCCTGCTGAGGCTGGTAGCCATACTGTCCGTGAGGTGGCGGATGATCGTAGCCTCCCTGTTGAGGGTAGTTCTGTCCGGTAGTCGGCGCTCCGTAGCCGTAGCCTTGTTGTTGAGCTTGTTGGGCTGTGTAGCCGGTCCCTGCAGCCGCGCCTGCATACCCACCTCCTGCGGCGCCAGAGTACTGCTGCGTCTGACCTCCACCACCACCTCCTCCCATCATACCCCCAAATCCTCCTCCAGCACCAGCACCGCCTCCGCCGCTACTCGGCTTGTTCTTGTTCTTCTTCCACCAGAGGAAGGCCTGCGCGGATGTGGATGAGGGGAATCGGGGACGATCAGCTACCCTACCCCACTTCGACTCTCAGCCTACCCTGCCGCTGCGCACCTTCTTGCCATACTTCTTGATTTCATATTTGTGCGCCTTGACGAAGCGTATGATTTGGTCCATGGTAGCGTTGCAATGAGAAAGAGGAAGGAGCGAATGCAGGATGCGATGCAGCAAAAGCGGATGATTGGCCCGTCTTCCGTCCGCCCGGCGTTTGGGTGGAGAGCTGCTGCACCGCCGACTTGAAGCTCCCACGCGAGCCGTTCACGATCCTCATGGCGGACATCACTTCATGAATGGTGATGGCGACGACGACGCCCGTCGAATCTTACTGACCGCCCTCTGACTTGATCCTGATGTTCAGATCGGGACTCGGCGTCCAGGCCGGTCTCACGAGAAGATCTCTCATAGTGACTCTTGCCATCAAAGAGGGTTCGCTCGTCGACGGACTTCCTCGTCCTTGAAGCGAGATCACGCAGGCGTAGGCGTAAGAGCGTCGCTGGTTCGTATTACTTCGTTGTTCCTGTCTTTGAGAGTGACATGATGCTCGACGGCGATGTAGAGGAGGAGGCTGTATGAATGAGGGAGCAGTCGGTTGTCCGAAAGATACAAAAAGGCTGCTCTTCCTACCTCCCAACTCTACCGAACCTCCGTGTCACCAAGCACTACTCCCCCGACGCGACCTCCACTTCAGCATGTTCTTCCTGTCCACGCTCAGCTCCATGGCCCTCGTTGCCGTTTCGGTCACCAGCATTGCCGCCAGTCCGCTCTCCCCTCGCGCCACACCATCCTGCTACGGCATCACAGGCCCATTCTTCATTAATGGCAAATCTTACGCGCTCGATGGTCAGACAGTGTCGTCCCCCGTGGTCGTCTCGGGCACGACAAACCTCTCGGCCATCTGGTACGCCAACGGGCATGGAGGAGCCCCTTGCGACAGCGGCTTCGCTTTGGGGATCACCAAGGACTCACTAAGCAACGCGCCCAAGACTCTCCTCTCCTCCGAGTAAGTGCGAAAACAGCTCGGCCTGCCACGCTCATCTTGCGAACGCTGACGCTGAGCTACTTGACGCCCACCGCTCACGCAGCTGGCAGAACGACCTCTCGATCAACGGTCCCCAGGCTAGCCTGATTCGCATCGATGCTAACCGATTTCAATACGGCAACTACAGTCAGTCTCATCCTTCCCTGCCTCACCTGATCACCATCTCCCCACCAGAAACGCTGACCCTTCTTCCCTTTCCCTCCGCACAGCCGCCTGGTTCGTCCAGTACGACCCCTCCAACGGCAACGTGCTGAGCCAGAGCAACAGACTGCCACTTCTCATCAACTCGGACTACGGACGTCCCAACCCCTCTTCGTGAGCAGGCCGCCTTGCACTGTGCGAGAAAGAGGGCAGAATGTGGATCAAGCACCGGCATCATCAACCCATCTCAATGCTCCATCATCGACGTGGCATGTCTGAATGAAATATGATAAGGATACAATTTGAATGAGCAAAAACGAGCGAGCGAGGCGCCTGAGCGATGTAAATCGTGTCTGCGTGGCAGAGCCCCGAGGGACCCGCCTTCCTTTTGCGTGCGAGCCGACCTTCTACGTGACCCGACTTTGTGACCGTACTTGTCCATCATACCAGCCTGGCGTCGTGATCGGGCATCAACCACGCGTGGAGACCACTTGGTTGAGCCTATACCACGCCCGACTATCCTGCGAACTCGCTGACTCGCCCGCCTTGCCCATCGACCTCACCTCCGAAAGCGGGAAGACCGTCTTCTTGAGAGACGTCGTCTTGCCCGTCAACAAAGACGCCAATGATCGAGCTCCACCAGTGCCCACCTTCTCCTTGCCTGGCTGAGCGCCTCCTTCATTCTCCTCCTCCCCTTCCCTCAAGCCCTCAAGCGCCTCAATCCTCTTGCCCTCGAGCCCCAACCGTCCTGCCTCACTCTTCAGGCCCCTCGGACCAGGCAACCTCGCCTTGTCCGCCCACCCAGCAGGCTCAAGGGCGACCTCCTCCACAACGAGGGACAGTCCATCGTGCATCCCCAGCCAGTTGCGACTCCACAAGCCGCCAGCATAGCTTTCACGATAGCCCACCAGGCGGGGAGCTACGCGCAGCACGACGCGGATGTCGGGAGGAGAGTAGAGGGGTGTAGCATCGTTGGTTGAATGGCCATTCGGGGCGCCCAACTCGCCTTGAGGCGAAGAGGAGGGGAGACGGGTCGGTCCCTCGATCCAGCCTGCATGCACGCACATCCCAAGCACATCCGAATCGTCCGTGTACACCTCGCTGCCCCACACCTTGCGCTCTGCCAGACCACGATTGGACCAGAAAGGCATCGTCCGAGCGGTCGACTGCACTTCCTTTATTTCTCGCCCACTGTCAGTAGGCAGATCTACTCTGCAGCCATGCTGTCTCGCTTTCCAACCCAAAGTCCAGCCTGCTCCAGCCCTTGAGTCGCTCTTCTCCCGGTAAGCTCCAAGAAGCTTGCCAGGGATGCGCACCTCAAGGAGGGCGCCAACGTTTCGTACGATGAGCTCCGCAGGAAGGAGGGGACTTACGAAAGGCTCATAGACGAAAGAGCCTGCGAGATGAGGGCCGGAGCTTGGTGCTGCTCCATCAGAGCTGGCCTCGCCTTCTTTGCTTGCGGCGGCATTCTCTTCGAGCCAATGCCAGACCCCATCGCTGATCACGCGATGGCGCTGCAATTGATGAATGGGCGGGCCCATCTGCTGCTGCTGTTGATGGTGCGGGTGGAGGTGATGCGGATGGTGAGGAGGACCGTGGTGGGCAGGGTGACCTGGGCCAGGCGGATGCAGAGGAGCCGCAGGAGTCGGGTCAGGTACCAGACCGTGAGGATGATGAGGATGATGTGCAGCCATCTCCGCAGGGTGAGCATGCGGAGGTGGAGGCGGAGGTGGCATAGCCGCAGCCGCAGCTGCGGCGGCCGTAGAAGGAGCCCGGTGATGTCTGTCGTCATATGCGCCGTTTCCGTTGACAGCAGGTGGATGCATCTCGTGCTGGGGTGCAGAGGGATGCTCCACCCTCCTTGCCGGCTCTCTGCGTCCATCATGATGGCGAGTTCCATTCGTAGCAACAATTGGCGGAGGAGGAGGCGGGTGCTGCCCGTATAAGTGACCATGCTCGTACATGGCCATCTCCTCGTGCGTGGGCCTTCCCGGCGGACCAGGTAGCATGTGGGGAGCATCGTATGGACTGGCCATGTGGTGCGGAGGAGGTGGAACGGCGACGCTCGGGCTTACGGGTGGTGGAACTTGCTTGTTGCGTGCCTTCTGCTGCTCCACTGATGCAGTACGACGATGCGCCTTCTGGACGGGAGGAGCGGACGGTCTGACGTCGTCACGTTCTCGATCTCGCTCACGCTGAGCATGGCGCTGCTGCTGAGCTGCTGCTGCGGCTGCTGCCTGTTGCTGCTGGTGCTGCTGGTAGTAGTACTCTTCCTCTGCTGCTCGATAGTCATAGCCTGGCGGATACGTCTGATGGTGCTCCCAGGGCGCATATTGGTCGTAAGCCGCCGATCGTTTGCGCTTGTGCTGCGACTCGCGGGGATCGCGCCCACCATATTCTGCCGTTGCTGCTGCGGAAGGAGGGGAGCGACGCTGCTTGAGAGGCTCAAACCTCATCGCAGGGGACTGCCGATCAGAAAGCGTAGGAGGGAGAGGAGGAGGTAGAAAGGCATCCCGAGATTGGGTCCTGCTGTGACCTCGTCCGGGAGGCGATGGGGCTTGGTGGTGAGGCGGACCATGGGGATGCGCATGGTGAGGGTAGCCATCGTATCCTTCGTGGCGGTAGTGGACGGCTATAGGGCCATGCTGGGCCTCATAGTGCTCTCTCTCCCTATCTCTCTCCCTTTGCTCCATCATGCGATGCTGCTGATGCTGCTCTCTGCGCCAAGCCTCATGATGATCGATATGGCCATGATGGTATGCACCGCCGTGACCGTCCATCTGATGATGCTGCATCGGATGCGGCAGATAACCTTCTGCGGGCGAGTGCTGCTGGTGCTGAGGCGGCGGAGGAAGATGATGCGGATGCTGTGCGTGCTGATGATAGGGCGAGGCTGCCGTGCGTTGGCGCTGCTGCTGCTGCTGGTGTTGGTAAGATGATGGAGGAGGCGAAGATGGGTTCATGACAATGCCGTGATCGACGGCAGATGGTGATCGATTTGCTCCCGTAGATAGGTTGCGGCAGAGCAAAGTGCGTGCCTACGACGAGCGGATCAGCGAAGGCGGCGGCACAGGGCGGCGTTGATAGCGATGATGGGCGGCGGCGTTCCGTTGGACCCTTTGCCGTGAATCGACGATGAAGACGAGCAGGGGGGAGCGAGCGGACGATCGGTGACAAAGGATGAAGAAGTCAAGCTGCGTGAGATGGGTCGAATGATGACAACGAGAACGAAGGGGCGGTGAGGAGGATGAGAAGGGGGCGCAATGAGATGAGAAGCGAAGAGCAAGAGCAAGAGCAGCAAGGTGAAGACGGGGCGTCGCTTGGAGCGCGAGCGACCCCGGTCCCAAGGCTGCAGCTGAGGAAGAAAGTTAGGCGGCGACGATGACAGACCAACCAGACGAGACGAGACCGCCGCGCCCGTCTCTGCCGCTCAACCGCCAGCCGCTGCCTTGCTCCGTCATGAGCGTCGACGACTGTTTTGGCCTGACTGGCCTCCTGCTGCTACGCCTGCTGCTGCGCCTGCGCCTCTCGGTGCGCCTCTACGCATCGAAACGCTATTCTGGCCGCGCCGCCGCCCTAGACGCCGCCGACGACCTAGCGCCCGCTTGGGCCTTGCTTGCGTTTGTGCATCCCGCCGTCGACGTCTGCGCTGCCTGCCTCTGCGACGGCCGAAGCATCGAGATCTTCGCAACGCAACCGCAAGCAACACGACACGACATGACATGCCTGCTGACTTGAGAGATGGTGGTAGTGACGATCGTGAGTGAGCGTGCAGATGCGCGCAAGCACGGTGATCGATAATATCGACGACATTGTCTGAGCCAGCCATCCTCGTCTTGCCAGTCTCATGGACACTCTCTGCTTGTGTGTCAGAGAACGAAGTTACTCAGGCAGAGGCAGGGCCGACTGACGGACGGGACCCTGGCGGGCTGGCGGCTCAGACCGCCGGGGAAAAAAGAGACGCGGGCCGGTGAGGACGGAGATCTCGGCCGCCCTGACAGGCGAGTGCAGCATTGAGTCACTCGACTTCTTCCTTTCATTCCTCACACATCGATTGCTCGCTGTTACTTCTCGCAATGGCACCTGAAGCTACCAACACAAATGGCGCCTCATCCTTCTCGTCCTCATCGTCCTCGCCGGACTGGTCGACCTATCTAGGCACCTCCAAACCCCGCCTGCCCGCGCCGATCCGCTCTCTCTTCCCCCTTGAGCTCATCCCAGGCATGATCTCTCTCCTTGCGGGCAAGCCAAACGCAGACACCTACCCCTTTGCCAGCATCAATCTCGAGCTCAAGCCCGGCCCGGATGGCACCACACCCGCTCCTCTGCGCATCGAGGGTAAAGACCTTGAGGATGCCCTGCAATATGGGGCTACGGCTGGCCTGCCGAGGCTGAATAAGTGGCTGGTAGACTTCCAGAGTCATGTGCATCGCCGCCACGTAGATGCGCAGAAGTGGCAGGTGACGCTAGGCGTGGGCTCACAAGATCTGTTGAGCAAGAGCTTTGAGATGTTGCTCGACCCTGATGTGGATTCGATCCTCGTCGAAGAGCCAGCATACGCCGGTATCCTCCCCTGCCTGCACGCCTGCCGCGCAAATGTTGTGTCCATAGCATCAGACGACCAAGGTGTTGATCCGCAAGCACTGGAGGAAGCCCTCGCCAACTTTCCAAAAGACAAGCCCAAGCCCAAGTGCCTCTACACGACACCTACAGGCGCGAACCCATCAGGCACGACAGCATCAGAACAGCGTAAGCGTGACATTCTCGCCATCTGCAGGCGGCATAGCGTCTTGATTCTGGAGGACGATCCCTACTACTTCCTCGACTTCTCCAAGCTTGGCGAGGACCCCGTGACGCGATATAGGCCATTGAGCTATTTCGCCCTTGATGGCGAATCGGCCAGCCCTGGGCTGGTGCTCCGCTACGACTCCTTCAGCAAGGTCCTCTCTGGCGGTATGCGTCTGGGCTACCTCACTGCCCACCCTACCTTTGTGAAGGGCATCGACCTGATCACGGGCGTGGCCAACCTTTCCACCTCGGGCGCGGCGCAGTGTATCGCACTAGCCATTCTCGAGCACTGGGGCGTCGAGGGCTTCCTCCAGCACGCAGACAGGGTCGCCACATTCTACCGCGATAGGCGTGATCGATTCGAGGCGGCAGCGCGACGTGTGCTGGGTCGGGGTCCTGCAGTCGCAGAGTGGATTACACCGACAGCGGGCATGTTCTTGTGGCTCAAGCTCAAATTGCCAGAGGACGAGCAGGACTCGTTCAGCATCATCTCGAATGAGGCCAAAGATGCGGGCGTGCTAGCGGTGCCTGGCGGAGCGTTCATGCCGATGAGGGGGAAGGAAAGCTGTTATGTTAGGACGAGCTTCTCGCTGGTGCCGGAGAATGACTTTGAGGAGGGCTTTGAGAGGTTGAGGAGAGTGATCGAAGGAGTATGGAAGAGGAAGGGATTGAGCGTGCCCGCATGAGGCACGGGAATAGGACAGCATACTTGCCGCAGTTGCGTTATCTAGTGATCAATTGGACTGAGCTGCAACAATCGCGTCGCACCGCGTACACCTATGGCCCCTTCTTGACAACGGCCAGGAAGGCCTCCTTGTCCCTCCACCCTAGTCCCGTCTTCCTCAATCTACTCATGCTCGAAATCAGCCCCATGACCCCATCAGCCAGCACATCAATCTCAGGTCCCCTCGGCGCATTGCCCAAGGCACTGATGTCTGCCTGATACCCGGGGCTTGTCGGGCTCTCATCCACATCCAGCAGGCGAAGCTGCACACCCCTCGCAAAGGTCAAATCCGCACAGAGGCTCACCACATGCCTCAACGGCCCACCTGCCGGCTGCGGAGCGCTGCTGGTAGCGCTGGTCCTCGCGAAAGGGGTGGGCGGATCGTACTTGACGCTCGCGATGTACAGGTTGGCCTGTCCCTTACCCATGCGCAACGCTCCAGTGGCGCGATAGAGGTCTCTCCATGATTGGGGAAAGATCGCTGGGGAAAGGGCAGAGAGAAGTCCACGATTGTTGGAAGTGACGAGTTCTGGAAAGATGAGGATTGGTCGCTGTGAGCGGGAGGAGAGGGAAGGAATGTCGAGGGGTTGTGAGGCCAGAGGGTTGGATGGGTAGAGAGGGGCCTGGCCTGATGCTGCGTGATTGAGTGCCGTCAGGAAGGGAACGGGTACAAAGCCCAGGACTTTTCGTTGGTCGTTGACTCCTCCCGCTGATGCGCCTGCGGCGGCTGAGGCGGCAGCGTTGACTTCGGAGACGACGGACGCTCCCGCATTCCTCCTTCTCGCCGTCTTTGAGTTGGGCGTCCCAGTTGCCGTAGTGCTAGCGGTGCTGGGTGGCTCAGAGACGACGGGCAAGGTGAATTGAGGATTGAACTTGATGGCAAAGATGAGAATGTCGATCCAAGACGAAGAATTGCATAGAATGACGTCCCCTGCCTTTGGCTGCCATGGCTTGTGCTGCAGCGAGGCAGAAGTGGCTGCTGCGCGGCCTCTGCTTTTCAGCGAGACCTTGTCCGTGGCGATGGGGGCGAAGCCGATGAGAAGTAGGGATGCTTGACCGAAGATGGAGTACAGGATCGGCGAGGTTGCGGGGATGAAGGATAGGAGGGACCAGAGGAGTGCGACGATGCTGAGGAGAATGAGCCGCACGGCAGCGACTAGGTAGGCTGGCAGGCGTGCGAGGATGGCCAAGGGGGAGGCAGAGGCCGCAGACGAGGGGGCGACGGGTGTCAGAAAGACCTGAATACCCGTACCGCTATCCCTGAAGCGCGAAAACTTCTCCATGTTGACCACGAATGAGGATCGATGGAAGGGTAGGGTTAGCAGGGCACGACGACGTGCGTCCCTCTGATCCGCTTCGATCTTCCCGCTCGCTCGGACCACACGCGCGGCGCCTCCGCTCCCACTCAACTTGCCTCGGACCGCGTCTTGTGTGGGGCGAAATGAAGTAGTCGACCGGCAACGGCGGCGGCGGCGGAGGCGGCTGTCGGCTTTTGTCCGTACCATCAACTTCATCTCGACTCTCAAGCCCCTCACCTCCTCCCTGCTACTGCCATCATCCTCCGCCGGTCCTTTCCCACAGCATACAGCCACTGGCGTGCCACGCTGCTCCCCTCCCCCTCAATCAACTCTTGCTCGCCACGCCAAATAGCAAGCATGAGCACCTCATCACCACCGGGAGGAGCGTGGTCGTCGTCGTCGTCATCCGCGACTCACATCCTCCCCGCCCTTCAACATGCCCTCACCCGTCTCTCCATCACAACCCCTCGTCTCATACCCTCACCAGCCACTCAGCCACGACGCGCCTCTGTCGCGCTCATCATTCGTGTGCGACCTCGCCCGGAGGATGACGAGTATCTCGCGAGACAGTACGACGCTGATGGTCTCCCCTTGCCGGGGTCAGAGGTCGACAGAATTCTTACCCAGTCAGGACTAGGAATGGGTCAGAACGATGGCGCGGTGTCCAGAGCTGCGAGCCAGGTGGGCGTACCCGCCACTCCACCTGTGCCGCCCTCAAAGGCCTCCTCAAGGCAGCATCGTCACATGTCGTCTGCCGCAAGTGCAGCCTCGACCTCGACCACTGCGACTGCAGCCACGCAGCAACCCGGCCTCCATTCGACGCTCTCATCCTTCTTCTCCCTCCCTTGGGTCAAGCGCGGAACTCCCGAGATCCTCTACATCAAGCGCGCCACACGTCCCACCGACAAGTGGTCAGCGCATGTAGCTTTCCCCGGTGGCAGGAGAGATGAGACGGACGAGGATGGCTTGTATACGGCAATGAGGGAGACTTGGGAGGAAGTCGGGCTTGATTTGGCTGATAGAGACTTCGTCAATGTTGGGCAGCTGGATGATAGAGAGATTACTAGCTCATTGGGCAAGAGATTGTTGATGGTACTGAGCCCGTTCGGTGGGTATCGCAAAACCGAAGCGCAGCAAAGTCTGCAGCCACTGACTGAAAGAGTCTCTGCCCTCTCGCACCGCCGCAGTCTTCATACAGACCACCCCCTTCTCACACCACCCGGAGCTTCAGCCAACAGAAGTAGCCTCAGCGCATTGGGTCCCTCTCTCGCACCTGTACACCCCCGCACCCAAATGGGGTGTCGTCTCCATAGACATCTCTACGCGTCTAGCCCCCAAATCGCGGGGCATACGCATGCTTCTCCAGGGCTTGCTGGGCAAAATGGATTTCAGGTGTATCCTGCTGCCCAACGAGCCTTGGGCTGTTGCTGGGGAAGAGGGCGAGACGGAGACGCCCAGCAGTGAGGAGGTGGGCCCGAATGGAGAAAAGGCAAGAGCAGGGGCAGCTGCAATGACTACGCTGCCTTGGGAGGACGAGAGCAAGATGGAGTTGAAGTTGTGGGGACTGACATTGGGTATGACGATGTGAGTGTAGGAGGCATGAGATGAACTATGCTCTGCTCCTGTTGCTGACTGCCTTTACTCCCATTGTGTACCCTTCACAGCGATCTCCTCGCCCACATGTCGACCCTCCCGACCTCACCACGGCCCTCTTCCAGCTCCAATGACCGCCACTCTCAACCATCGATGCATAGCATCCTCCACCCATCGCACCATCAACGGAGCCGTCTCCTCCCAATCCCGCAATCAATTCGCGACGCGACCGCGAGACTACGATCAGAGCTACACCTCAATCCTCCACCAATGGCAAACGCCAAGGCTCCCAGCTTGACGAGCGTATTCCCCAGATTCAGTAATGCGGACGTCAATTTGTAAGTGCCCACGCTCACCTCGTTCTATGCTCGTCTAACTGATCCTCTTCTCATGCCATCACGCACAGCTGGATCTGGATCTGTGGCTTCCGTTACCGCACGGTCATCCGTTCATGGCAATCGGCTCTCGGCACACCGATGGAGCGACGCTTCAACTGGTCTGGTCTCGCGCTCGCCGCTTTCTACTCCGCAGTGAGACGGGCGCTGATTGTTGCCTTGCTGCTGCGGGGATTGGGAGCCATCGCCCTGCTCGGGGGCGGGGCTTGGTGGGTTGGAGAGTGGTTGAGGGGCTTGCGATCTGCCGGTACGGTAGGGATGGTGGGGCACGGCCAGGTCAAGAGGGGTTGAAGAGGAGAGATCGGTCACGTATTGCCTGTCAATTACGTTAAGAGGGCAATGCCTTCTACGCACACAACTCGCATCCATTGCTAGTCCATCTCCGTCCGCTTCACTCACGCAGCCTGACCGACAGGTAGCGCGCTCCACACCGTTCCCAGCACGGCCATGATGGCCGCGAGGACGATGAGCGTCGTCTCTGCAGCTCGTCTTAATGGGCCGAGAGTCTGATGAGGCTGAGAGCGAGTATGAGTGGACCTCATTGTGCTCGCAGAGGGGCGACGAGATGCTGCCTTCCTCGGCACTAGACCGTCCTCGAGGACCTCATCCTCACCGTCCTGCCCCTCCGTGACGCCCACAGTCACCCCGCTCGCCCTCTTCCCACTCGCCCCGCTCACCCTCCTCTCAATGCGCCGTCTCGCCTTTCCTCGCCTAGGGCCAAAGACAACCAAGTGCGCGGCCAATGGTCCGCAGATGCAGGATAGGCCAGCGAGGACCGAGCCAAGAAAGGACATGAGGGAGGCAAAGCCGGGTAAGAGAATAGCGGTCACCAATACGAGCGAGGGAAGGAGGAGCGTGACGAGGAAGCGGCGCCATGCTCGACTCCGGGCGTGAGATTGCGAGGAGGAAGCTTGAGCTGAGGCGTGACTCGATGTTGGGCGCCGGGGTTGATGCTGCTGCTGCTGGCTCTGCTCGATGCTCCGTTGCTTTCGCAAGCCCAGCAACGAGGCAGGCGTTGCGGGCGTTGTGCTGATAGTGTGCTGCTCCTCTTCATCATGCCCAATCGTCCTATCTCCCTCCGCCTCCGCCTCTGTATCAGTGGCGATCTGCGACTCCTCACTAGCTTCCACGGCCGCATGAACCCCACCCGGGACGAGTCCCTCGACCGTCGTCTGCACTGGCCTCAACGCAAGCGCGAATTTGCTCACGCTCACAGCCGCAATGAGCCCAACGGCCAGGTGGGTTGTCCACCTCGGGTACTCTTGAACTCCAGCCAGGTCCTGGGTGATCTCGTCGCTGACAGAGCGTCCAAACATGAGATACCCGGCGATACCCATAGAGAGATAGAGGATCGTGGCGATCACGTAGGCCGTATCCAGCATTCTGGGGAAGCGTTCTGGCTGACGCATGTCGCGTACCAAGCTCGGAATGATAGGATGAGAGGAGAAACCGCTCATGATCAGTCCGAACGCGAGTGGTAACTTGCCCCACTGCGGAGTGAAATCCAGTGAGTCGGGCATTGGTTGCCAGAGTGAGCCGGGAGAGTGGGTCTTGACTGATCCGTTGACAAAGACGATGAGGAGGAGAGAGCAGGTGGTGAAGATGCCTACCAGCGAGATCGGAGAGAGGAGGCGCATCGGCATGAAGCAGGTGGGGAGTACGACTGCAAAGCCGGCTACCTTCAGCAGCCAGCTGGGGAGTGACGTATTCGCTGGGAGAATGGCGGCTATACTGTCCCCAAACAGGACGAGAAGGGCGACGCTAACTGCCCAGAGCTCCGAGCAGAACAGCAGCGTGACTGCTACTCTGGACTTTTCCCCGAATGCCAGCCTCCCGATGTCCGCATAAGTAGCCAAGGAAGGGTCGCTCATCATAATCTTGTGTAGCAGCTTGCCCGTGTAGTTGGTGATGAGTCCCGCGATAATGAACAGGAAGATGCCCAGCGGCATCCCGGCGTAGGAGAGAGCCAGAGGTAGGGAGAGGATGCCCACGCCCGCAAGAGCATTTACGCAGTTGAAGAGGGTCTGGCCGAAGGTTGAGCTGCCTGTTGCTGCGGGCAGGGAGTGGTGAGGGTGGGACAGGTTGCTTTGCACGGCAGAGGAGCGTCGCCTTTGTTGCTCTTGGTGGGAGAGAGACGAGCGCGATGCGCGTTTGGAACGGAGGAGAAGGGGCGAATTTTCTGTCGCTGAGGACGTGGGCGCTGCGCTCGTCGCAGTGCGTGAAGAATCTACTGTGCCAAAGTCAAGGGGCTGAGGGAAGAGACCGTCCTCGTCGCCATTGATGCTTGGCTTGATTGAAGTTGCCTCGTCCTCGTCATCTTCGTCTTGATAAAGACTGTCCTCTTCGCCGACATTGTCATCGTCCTCTCCCTCAGCGTCGGTATCATCGCCATGCGGTCCCCTCCATCGCGCTTCGGCCGCGAAGCTTGGCGAGGTGTTGAGGTTCTGCCCATAGAATGCTTGAGAGCGAGAGTATGAAAAGACAATGTCTCTGAGAAGGCGAGCGTGGGGAGAAAGGGCATGTCAGTGAGACGATCGCAAGACGTAGCCTGATTGTGCTCACAAGCTGCTTCTCCATTGGCCTTGCGCCTGCTGCTCTTCTCCTCGGCGCGAGCTTGGTGCCGCCGCCGTAGCCTGGCCTCTTCCTTGGATCGGCCTACTAGCGGCGGGCATCGAAGGCGATCACGCTTGGATTGATGGGATGGATGAATGGTAAGTCAAGCAAGATAACAGCAAATGAAAGCTGCCATCGAAGCTCAATCTGGGTCGAATTCCACGGGCTGCAGGGCCTCGCCAAGCTGTGCTGCGTCCTGCATCGAATTGACCCAGTCGCGAGGCGGGGCTGCTTCCGTGCCACGCGAGCCAGATGAGAGCGACCAGACGACGGACATAGACAGACGGGCCGAGTCGAGATCAAAGGTCTGACGACTCAGCGCGATGGCCGCCTGCTAGACTTGGTATCCTTACCATTCACACATCTTCTTCGACTCTGGCAGCGATGGCGCAAGAGGCAGGCTTTGAGGGCACCATGGATGGCGCTCCGGTTGCGGGCCCGTCGTCTCACTCACCTCCACCATCATCAACATCACGCTCTCCCACCCCTCCTCTCACTCCTCCTCCAACCCTCACCCCGCTACCCGGCCCGCTCCTCCAATCCCTCTACACCTCTTACCCGCTCCCGCTCGCTCTCCCCTTTCCACCGCCCCTGCAAGATTCCTCAAAGCGCACAGTCTGCAAACACTGGCTGCGTGGCCTCTGCAAGAAGTCAGATGCGACCTGCGACTATCTCCACGAGTACGACATGCGCAAGATGCCCGAGTGCCGCATGTTCGCCACCTTTGGCTTCTGCAATGCGGGAGAGGAGTGCTTGTACCGTCATAAGCTGCCCAAAGAGAAGAGAAGGGAGTGTGAGGAGTATACGAGAGGGTTCTGTCCGAGGGGACCCGAGTGCGCCAAGAAGCATGTGAGGAGGGTGGTGTGCGACTATTATCTGGCGGGATTCTGTCCCAAAGGACCCGAGTGTGAGAGGGCGCAGTGAGTGTCGAGACGAGTCAAGATCATTTTGAGAGGTGGCACTGACGTTGCTTGCTTCTCCCTGTTTCGCCGAACAGTCCCAAGTCCACCCCTCCCTCAGCTCAATCACGCCGCACCTCACCCATCCTCACGCACAAGGTCCTCACAGCAGAAGAAGCCTTTGGCCCTCCTCCGCATCTGCGCGATCAAGAAGGCGGAGGCGGTAGAGGCGGAGGAGGCGGCTTCAGAGACAACGCAGGCGGGGGCGAGCGTCGACCGCCACGTCCGCCTCCGGGACAAGGAGGAGGTCCTCCCGGAGCAGCAGGAGGCGGCGGCGGGGGAGGTGGCGGAGGACGTCGCGATCTCAGCACGGTCCTTTGCTTCAAGTGCGGTGAATATGGTCACTTTGCCAACGTCTGTACGAATCAAAATCGACCTGGTAATCGCGGTGGTGTGGAGAGGGGGGCGGGGGGGAGGGAGAGGGGATAGGCGCTCATGTGGGAGCGAGGATTCTGTCAATTGCAAGCGAATACCCAATGATGTCGTGTGTGCGCTGCGGCTTGGCCTGCAATGCTCGGGGGGGGGGGGGTCTGGTGCTCATCATGAGTGCTGATTGGCGTTGTGTGCTGCTTGGCGCTCGTCTCATCGCCTCTCCCTGCTGGGCTGCCGCGTCGACGGCATCTCCAGTCGAGTCGAAGTCGCGAGAATCCCCAGAACGACGCACGGACTCGAGCGCAAATCTGGGCGAGTCGTTGCGTTTGCGGATCTTCCTTTCTCACTAATCATTGTCAAGCTTCACTTCATCATGGCATCTACAAGCAACCCTATCGTCTGTGAGCTCATCTGTTCATAAATGCGGGACATATCAACCAGCTCAGCCTCTTACCTCCTCCCTTGTTGTCCGCAGACTTCGACGTTTCCTTCTCCGGCTCTCCAGCCCCGACCCGCCAAAATGCCAACCGCATAGTCTTCGAGCTCTATGCGGACAAGGTACCCAAGACGGCCGACAACTTCCGCGCCCTCTGCACGGGTGAAAAGGGTACCAACGAGGATGGCGTCAAGCTGCAGTATGCGGGTAGTGGATTTCATAGGGTCATCGAGAAGTTCATGATCCAGGGTGGGGATTTCACAAATGGTGACGGGACGGGCGGTGTGAGCATCTATGGCGAGAAGTGAGTGTGTTGACGGGCCTGTTAGGATACAAACGTCGGCCTGAGAGCGCTCACCACCATTGCTTCCCGCTCTTTCGCCTCGCGCGCCAGGTTCGCCGACGAGGACCTTACAGGCAAGCACGACCGCCCCTTCCTTCTCTCGATGGCCAACGCCGGGCCCAACACCAACGGCTCCCAATTCTTCATCACCACCGTACCCACGCCCCATTTGGACGGCAAGCACGTCGTCTTCGGCCGTGTGCTCGCGGGCAAGGACGTGGTTAGGCAGATTGAGAAGACGCAGAAGGGCGCCAATGACAAGCCCGTCAAGGCCATCACGATTGAGAGTGCCGGAGAGCTGCAGAGGAGTGAAGAGGAGAATGGGTGGGGAATTGAAGCTGATGCGTCGGGTGACAAGTACGAAGAGTTCCCTGAGGACAGGGAGACGGAGAATGTCGAGGAGAGCGTGAGTGTCGAGCGAGCCGCGACAGTCTCCTCAATCAGCATTTCACTGACAAGCCCACCCTTCCTCCCGTCGATCGCAGCCGGAAATTGCTCTGCGCATTTCGCAAGAGCTCAAGTCCATGGGCGGCACCCTCTTTGCCTCTGGCTCCTACGGCCCTGCCCTTGCCAAATTCACAAAATCGCTCCGCTACCTCAACGTCCACCCCGTCCTACCCGACACGCACGACAGCAAAGCCAAGCCAGAGTTCGCCAGAGAGTACACGCAGTTGAAGGCGGCCTTGTACCTCAACTCGGCGCTCTGTGCTCTCAAGATGGCGGAGGCGGCTGCCGGTGACGTTAAGAAGGAAGGCGCGCAAGGCGAGGCAAAGGCTCATGCCCGCCAGGCAGAGGACAGTGCGAGTAGCGCCATCTCCGTCGTAGAGTCATACCACGTCCCTGGGTCTGCCACTTCATCGAAGGACGACGCCGACCTGGCAAAAGCGTACTACCGTCGAGCTCTCGCTCGCTCACGTCTGAATGACTTTGAAGGGGCAGGCAGTGATCTGACCGACGCTGCGAGGGTGCAGCCTAACGATGCCGGTATCAAGAGGGAGAAGGTCAAGTTGGAGGAGGCAAAGAAGGCGCAGAAGGAGAGGCAGAGGAGGCAGTACGCCAAGATGTTCGGGTGAGCTCGGGTTTGGGTGAGACAGAGGGTGACAAATGAGGGAGCCAGGTGTCGAGTCTAATAGAAGCGAGCAAAAATCAATCTCTTACATCACACGCCATCTGAATCGTGAGGCATTCGTCTGCAAGTGTATTTACGCATCAGTCATGAGGTGGTACAGCGCTGTCTATCCCAGTCTTCTCGCCTTGAGTTCCACTTCGGCCATCTAACCCGTAAGCTTCTCCTTGTCGGCCGCAGCGGCCGGCCTGCCATCCACGCCTGCCGCATTCCACGGTCCCGCATCACTCCTCACACAACCGCCCGGACCTTTACATTCACATTTGCCTCCAAGTCGCTTGGGCAGCGCCTCTGCATCAATGAACTGCAGCAATACCCCGCTGTAGTCAGCCCCGGTGATGTCGATCTTATCGACTGTATTCGGGGGTAGCCAGCCTTTCAAGTAGCCCCAGATTGTGCTGAAAAGCCAAGGAGCATTAATGATCTGTACTCTCCCACTCAATTCTGGGAAATTGTTGTCCAAAATCGAGAGGAGTTGCTGAAGTTGCCCCTTGAAATTCCAGAAGGTGCTCATCCCCAATCCCTGGATATCGAGGATCATCAGATTGTCCTCTATCAACCTCCCGTCGGGCGTGGCAGCACTGCAAGCCTTGTAGCGATACCGTACTGCGTGCTCGAGCGTGACGGCGAAGTTCTTTACGATGCGGTCCGGATTCGTATGAACCCAGAGTTGAGCTGGGTCCAAACCTGCGAGATCCTGAACGAAGATGGGACGACCGAGCTTGTCCACTTTGTGGAAGTACATCTGCCAGCCCGCCTTGGCCACTTGTTCCCTCTCGGAAAAGTCGAACTCCGTCATGAGTCGGTCGAGATCGACACTCTTTTTCCATTCGACGCTCTTGTTCCACATTTCCCGGGCTTGGCTCACATTCCAGTTGCGAGCGCGTAGGAAGCGGCATAGCGGGATCTCGAGCTCTTCTGGTGTGAATTGAGATGTTGGTGGGAGGGCAGAGTCAGAGGATAAGAGACCGGTGAGTTGGAGGAGGGCAGAGGTTTGAGAAGGCGATAGGTTTCCTGGATGGCCTGGGCGGGGTCGCTGTAGCAGCGGCAGGTTGACGAGGAGAATGGTCAGCACGACATTGAGTACGGTGCCGTGACACGAAGCTCATCAGCGCGGACACTCACCCACTTCTTACCCGTCATCTCTGGTGGCAGCTCCTCTGCATTTTCGTCTACGTTCGTGCTCGTGCTGGACACTGCGGCTCCTGCTGTATTGAGGGCGGCTTTCTCTCTCATGCCCACTGACGAGCCCGCTGCGAGGGCGCCGTTGACGCTGACACCTGCTCCTGTCGATGTCGTTGCGCTCGTCGTCGCAGCTGCCTCGCCCTTTGCGCCACCCGCCCCCTCTTTTGCGCTCTTATTGCTCTTCAAGCTCGCTTGACTGGCCGTCCGCGATCTCATCCCCAGAAAGCCACTCTTGCGCTCCTTCTCTGGGCTACTGCTACCGCTTCTGCTCCCGCCAACGTCGAGGTACTGCATGTCTTTCGTAGCTGCATTGACAGACTCGTCGTTGGAGGCTGGAGGGACTGGCGAAGGCTTGCGCGACCCGCGTGGCGAGTCAGCGGATGAGCCCTCGCCGGCGGCGTTGGCGTTCAATGAGGCGCTTGAGCGGCTTCGAGAGAAGAAGGACATGCTGCTAGCCTGGCGGTGGGTTGGATTGGACGACGAGGAGGGACACGGACAAGATAAGGAATGAAAGAGGCGACGTCGATTCGTCGGCCTTGTGGGTGGAGGGGCTGAGCCTTGCAGGCGGCGGACCACGTGGAACTTGCACGGGGATCGGTGCGATGATCTAGATGCTGGGCGGCTGAAGAAGTCGTGATGATCGTCGAATCTATGATTTGGCTAGGAGGTCAGGAATTCGATGCAACAGCCGTTGCTGCGTCGTGTGCGACTTGCGGATTCGACGGTCGCGGCCTTCAACTGCCGAGACCGGCCGGACCAGGGGTGGAGGGCGGGCCGGAGACTTTGACAAGGAAGACGCAGACAGAGGGGAGCAGAGGTGCATACATTCCACTCTCTACTTCTCTCGACCATTCAAGTTTCTTTCTTTCGGCGATCGGAAACACATGTACTGATCGCCTTTTGAAGCATAACTCATGCCCCGCAACTCGCTACTCTCCAGATGTCAGCGGGGCGCTCATGCCTCCCACTCGTCCATGGCCTCAAAGAACTCCTTCAAAAGTCCAACCTGATCGTCACGCTCTGCGCCTCGCACGACGCAGTACTTGCGACCTTGCAGAACCTGCGGAGTGACGATACCCAGCTCCTTGCCGTTAGCCTTGATCTTGGACAGCGTGTCATCCTTGGAGCCGACGGTGAGGCCGCCGGCCTCGTTGATGATCGTGAAGCCGGCGCCAATGTCCCCTGCGAGTTGAAACAGTAAAGGGGATATCAGCTTCGTCGCTTAGCACCATCAGGCTTCTGGGGCTGACCGTCCACTCACAAGCCCAGCAGCCGATCTCGTGGTACACTGATGTCGGTAAAGAGGGGTGATGACGCTGGTCAGCTCGAATGCTTAATGCCTGGCCTGAATACTGCGCACTCACAGTCCATGCTGCCCTCAGCCACAAAGCAGCAGCTGAGAGCGGCACTACCGATACTCCTGATGCCTTGGACCATGTTGCCCCTCTGCGATGCGAGCTTCTCCATCGTCCTCGCCTTCCTCTCAACTGTCTCATGCTTCCTGTCCGACCCCCACTCCAAGGCAATCAGCGCCTGCTTGAGTGATGGCAGAGGCAGCGGCTTCTGCAGAGGAAGTTTGCGAGGTGTACCGTCGCTAGGAGTGATGAGGTAGGAGCCTTGCCCGGCTAGACCGGTGTACAGGCGGTCCAGAAAGGGAGCATAGACTACCCCTGCGAGCAGTTGGGACTTGTAAGCTACGGCGATGGAGATGCAGAAAAAGGGAAAGGCGTGGGTGAAGTTCTGGAAGTCGGCAGAAGTGGTGAGATAGCATGGCGGTCAGTCAAAGGCGATGGGCAACACCCAGTCTCTCTGCCTCTTTGGACTCACCGTAGTGCCATCAATCGGGTCGACGATGAAAGTCAAGGCATCATCCAACACGTTCTCTTCCCCAGCCGCATAGCTCTCCTCTCCGATGAACTTTGTTTCTGGGCCCCATTTGTCCAGTATGGCCTTCTTTACAAAGGCTTCGGTATCCTGGTCCGTCTTTGTGACGAGATCGCTCGAGTTCTTCTTGATGATGGAATCGTAGTCCTTTGCAATGTCGTCGCGCAGCGTCTCGCGCCCTTTGCTGATGACGGATCCCGCTTGCTTGGCGAGGGAGATGGTCCATTCGAGTACTTGCTGCGGATCGATGCTCGATGATGAAGAGGACATGGCTGCGAGTCGAGGTCGATGATAGGATACGAGGGGAGAAAGTCGTCATCAACTCGATGGCTCGTGCACTGGTCGACTGCACGCGGACCCGGATCGAGAGGCGCGGCGGCGCCGTTGAGTGGACTCGACTCGCCTGAGGCGCATCCAATCGACGACTTGAATTCGTACCACACCACACGCATCAACAGACCATGACGAGCGAAGAAGCAGAGGCCCAGCAGTCATCCAAGCGCGGAGAGCTTGCGCAAGATGTTGCGGCCTCACAGCCTGCAAAGGACAACGAGACATCGGTAGCAAAGGCGGATGAGGCCGATGCAATCCAATCAGTCGTCGACGTCGATGCCGCCGATCAGGATAGCATCAACAAGCCAAAGCCGCCACGATCCCCCTCGAAGAAGGTATACAGGCGAGTCATACCCATGGAAGAAGCGCAAATCAGTGGTGAGTGGTAGGGATGACGCGCGTAAACCCTGCTACAGAGGCCATATGCTGATCGTCACCACCCACAACCCCGTCCGCCGGCCCCCTTCTTTCCACGCACTTAGAAGAAATCGCTAGCCGCAAACGTGATCGCGAGGGCAGTCTCGAGCCCTCCTCGTCCTTTACATCTGCTCTGCAAAAGTCGTCACAAGACAACCCATCTATGCCAGATGCGGCATTGCCCACAAAGAAGAACAGGCTCATCGAGAGCAGCAGCAGCGGCGATAGCCCTACAGTTGTGGCGAAGGACGACGAAGCTGCAAGTGATGAGGGAGGTGCCGTTGCTACTGCCAGCGTCGAGGGCGCACAGGGCGACGGAGGCGAGAAAGTTGGGCATATCAGGAGGAGAGTTGAGGAGTTGAGCTATGATGAGAGAGAGTCGAAGAGGGCCGATATGGGGGAGAGTCACGCGGCTGAGGGCAACGGCGAGGCAGAGAAGGGTACGACCAAGGCAGCTGGCAAAGATTCCGCCAACGCAGGTGATCAACCTTCAAAGGGTGACAATGCCAAGTCATCCGAGCCACCGGCTCTCCCTCCGCGCAAGGACGCCGCTGTCGCCGCTACCTCTTCCTCATCAACACCAGCTGCAGCAGCTTCGGCTACTCCCGTGCGCAAACAACCCACCTTCGCCTCCTTCTCATCGACTTCCTCTCCCTTTACGAGTACTAGCGCAAGAACCGGAGTCTCTGGACCTAGCTGGCTTGCCGGTTCTGGAGCGTCGTCGTCCTCGCCCTCTCAGAGAAGCGCCTCACCTTTCGGCGCCCCGAATGGCTCAGCGGCGGCATCATCATCCAAGCTAAGCGGCGGAATGAGCGGCACGACTGGTGCGATCAAGCCGAGCGCGTTAGGCAGCAGTAGCAGCAGTAGTGCAAAGTCGCCTACATCGGACACATCATCAGTCGGCACAGCCACGCCAAAGGCACGGACTTCGGCTCCGTCAGCAAAGAAAGCAGGCGGTACTCCTAGCTTGGGCTTTGGAGCCTTCGCGGCTTCCAAGCCTTTTGCATCAGCAGGAGCAACAACTAGCGGTACATCCTCACCTGCTACGCCGGCACCTGGTGACGAGGCTGCAGCTGGCTCTTCTTCAGCTGAAGGGACGCCTGCAGCCAGCCAGTCAATCTTCGACCAGAAGCAAGGGACAACAGCGGATGAAGCAGACGCTGCCGAGTCTAGCAAGAAGGCAAGCGATACCACAGACGTTGAAGCCACAGCTGGCGACGACGAAGCAGCCACTGGGTCCGCCCCCAAACCCAAAGTCCAGCAGCTGGCCGAGACCGATCTCGCCACAGGCGAAGAAGGGGAGCGTACGATCCACAGTGTCCGAGCAAAGTTGTACACAATGACCAAAGAAGGGTCCAAAGACGGCACGTGGAAGGAACGAGGAACGGGCACGCTACGCGTCAACGTGCCCAAGGATCTCTACTACCAGCAGCGAAGCCAACAGTACCCGCAGCTGGGGAAGTACCCGAGGCCCTCTGTCTCCGCATCAGGAGGTAGTGGTGGAGCAAGCGCCGCTCGTCTCGTCATGCGAGCCGAAGGCGTGTTGCGACTGATTCTGAATGTTCGCCTCTTCCCAGGCATGGGCGTCGAGCTAGCCCAGGAGAAGTTCGTGCGCTTTGTAGCTCTGGAAGGTGGCGAGTCGGGAGGGGCACCATGTCACTTTGCAGTACGCTGCTCAAACGGAGCGGCAGGCAGGGCATTGTACGAGGCAGTAAAGGGGCAGATTCCGGAGGCGCCTGCTAAGAAGGAAGTGGGGGAAGAGGACGGGACAAAGAAGGAGATGAGCAAGGCTACCGGCTTTGTGATGAAGGAAACCGAGCCTGAGGGGGACGAGGCTGCGTAGTTGCGCGCTACGGGCGCAACTCAGGAGGAAGAAGCCTGCGATGCGCGACTGCGACTTCCGTAGCAGCTACGGTAGCGGTGGATATATTGAGTCGTGCTCTTCGAAACTCGAAACTTATGCTTGCCCACACCAGAAGCACGATCTTGACACTCTGTCAACATCAGGCTGATGACTCGCCCGACACGCGAAGCTCAACCCGCGATAGCCGATGGCCTACCCTTGTCGCGTGACCTGGTTCTTCACAGGCGCTCTCACTTTACTCTCGCACGGGAGAGCAGAAGGTTTCGCTTCAAGGAGATGATGACGAGCTCATAAGAGCGTGGGGACCCATTCTTCTCCATTGTAGCGACACGCTCGCTCTCCTCTCTTCTCTCGGATGAACAAGACGCTGAGAGCCATTGGAAGCTTGTCAAGAGCGCCTGTCTGTCGAGATACCGGCGGCGCTCCAATTGGTGTTATTTGCGGAGACTTGGACTAGCCTCTCCCGTATGCAGACAAGCCGTGGCATCGGGCGTTATTGGTGTTGCTAGAGCACAAAGTCTTGGTACCGACGAGGAGAGCTGCGCGTCATCAAAGACCCCACACTGGACCCTTTGCTTACAGCCAAAGGCGTCGCGTGACAGTGTCAGGTCAAGTCATACTCGGTCCTCGTTGACCTGAGTTTAGGCGGCGACAACGTTCGTTGCAAGTGCCTCGTACCTGCCGCGGCTGTTCCTCGTATCCAACTCCGAGCATCTTTCTACGCTAGTGGTTCGTCGGAGACATACTCCCGGTGTGGTTGACGTTGACCTCACAATCACAATGCTGGGTTGCAGACCGAGGTGGAGTCGCGGGCATAATCATAATGAGGCGCAACGAGGCCACGAGGGTGAGTTGAATGAGTCCGTTGCCAGCTTGACGTACGCTGCACGTCGTACTTCGGGCTGCTGCGGGATGTCTTGGCAGCTTGCGGTTCGTCTGCGCGAATTGAGTTCATTGTTTGTGCACTGAGATCTTGGACGGAGATGATGCACGGCGCGTACGCGCAGATAAGGCAAAGGTACTCAGCACAGCACTGGCGCATCTATCACGAACGAATGTCGTCGCAGCGCTCATCATCATCAGTGATGGCGTTGTCCTTTGCGACGCCTCTTTTGCCGTGGATCATCTCCAAAATACCGCTAGCGGGCCGCGGCGGAGATCACCAAGCTCCACAGTGGCGCGGCCATTTACGTACTCTCCGTCGAGATTGAGATGAGATGAATGGCTACCGTGGAGCACCTGAGCAGAGGAGAGAGGATATATCTTCAAGGAGGATCGAGCCCGATTTCCCACCGTCAGGAACAGCTGGGGGTGAAACTGACTTCACAGCACGACCGGCAACAAAGACGCTCGTCACCGACGCCACACTTCAAGTTCTAGCTCCGATCTGATGGGGAGGCAAAAATCAAAGAGATAGGCTGTGTGTGGTAAAGAATGTGCGACGGGTAGGGCGACTAGTCTCTCTTTTCCAGAAAGGAAGACGCACATCAGCCAGCATCATGACCGTCTCGACGTCCCCACATCATGTCGCAAGCTGATATGGTGAATTATACATTCGAAACCTAGCGAGACGAGAACTCTCACGCTGACGCTGAGGCCACCGAGCGTACGAAGACGCCTGCTGCTCCTCGTCCTTCCCCTCTGCATGTTGCTCTTTCAATCAAGTCAGCTTAATGAGCTCCTTGCACTGACTGCATCGTACCTAGCAATTGGTAGCTCAAGTGCCACATTCGCTCGACCCCAACATAAGCTCCATCTGAGCCTGCGGGCCTGACAGCGGTAGCTTTTTGAGCCGTGTATTAAGCGTGAGATGAGAAAACGACTGAGACCCAATCTCGCACTTAGCGACATCAACTCCCATTGAATTGAGCAACAGAGGCCAAGTCAGCTGCGAGTGATGCAGGTGTATCTCACCAGCTGCTTCGCATCGCGACGGGCAGGGAGGAGCAGCAGCAGCAGCAGCAAGAGTAAGGCGGCTTCTTTCCACTCGGTTCGCCCGTCGTGCCGTCCCAGAGCCGCTTGGTCCGGTAAGCGTCGCTAACGCGGTCAGTGCCACTGCATCGGTGCGCCCGTGGTTCATTGCGTCTGAGTCTGAAGACGGGAGTCAAAGGTTCATGACGCTCAGCGAGGGGGCCGTCTCTTGGGTAGAGAGAGGGGGGGGGCGAACGAAGAAGGGGTGGTAGCGCTCCGCTCAACGCCAAGTCGTCACAATCGCGAGACAGGGACAAGGGAAGCAAGCAAGCCAGCCAGCCAGCCAGCCAGCCAGCCAGCCAGCCAGCACGTAGGCGAGCCTTTCACCTCCAAAGACGACAATTGAGCCTCCGCCCGGTCCTCTCATTCCTAGAGCTGAGGAGCTATCACCATCGCTTTACCCTTGCTGCCAATCAGAGAGGAGTGCGTGAGGGCGCAGCGTGCAGATTGCTCGCAATTCAGGCTGAGCTGCGAGATCAGTCGTGATGGCAGGACCCCTTCGCCCGCCCGATTTAGATGGGTCACAGCGCTATGAGCTCTCTCTCTCGGGGCAATAGGCGTCAGGCGCCAGGCATCAGGCTTGGGATGCGCAAGTGGGCACGAAGAGTCATATAGCCTGCGCTGATGACGACCCGTGTGTGTCATGACCTTCCTTCTTCAACCAGCTCTCCTCCTCATCCTACTAGTCGTCATCGTCGGACTCACACGAGAGCCACACCCCCTACCTCGACTCACTCTTCGGCTTCAATCCGAAGATCTCAGACTCAGTTGCAGCACCTCCATAGCCGACCGCTGCAACACCGTCCCGCTCTGTGTCGTTCCAGACACCGAGTTGCCAGCGACACGCTGCTAAGTAGCCTTCCTTGCGCCTTCGATCACTACTGATCGAGGGAGCAGCTCGAAGGCGCCGAGCGACACATCATCATCTTCCTTCTTCTTAATCTTCTCTGTATCGCAGACGGCGTCTGTTCTGTATCACAGCCTCTTCGCCGTAGCGTTTCAGCCGGTCTTTAGCAGCTCTTGCTTCCTTCTGGGCTTCTCCGTCTCGCTGGCTGTCGACTTCACACAGGCACCTGGACCGCTGATCACGGGCTTCAGGCTTACTCGACGAAAGAGCATCAACGCTGTAGCACCTCCCGATGTCATCATCTCACGATGGACGGCTGGGCGGGTTTCTCTTTGGGCCGCCAGATGATGGCAACGAAGGCTCTACCGACAAGGGCAAAAGCCGTCAGCGAGCGACGATGGCTTGCGTTCATTGTCGAAGAAGGTGCGTCGAGACCGGAACCTCGTTTCCTCTACCTCAGGCGACCAGTCTTCTGACAATTTTCCTCTGCTCACTCACAGGAAGATCCGCTGTGATGGTCAAGAGCCAGCCTGTGGCACATGTCAGCGATTGAACAAGCCGTGCGAGTACGAAGCAATCTCAGAGTGAGTTGCCCTGACGCCGTTGCCACGCACTGAGTCGTCTCGACTGACACAACCTCCTCTCCTCTCTCACCCGTCTCACCCTCGACAGAGAAGAGAACGTCATTGCTCGCGAGAAGAAGAGAGCCTCTCGAATACGCAAGGCCCAGCTCGCTGGCCTCGCAAGCTTCTCAGCCACCAACAGCCCACTGGGTATCGCCGGCTCGTCCTCTTCGCGCTTCGTCGTCCCATCGCCCGGCACACCGTACGGAGCAGTCGTGTCGCCTGATGCGTACAGCAGCAACAAGCGCTTCTTCTCGGACCACAGCTTCGACACTGGACCAGGAGCACTCCGACGACGGGGTGCTACCGTGTCAGGCCCAACCGACCTGATGCGAAGTACGTCGACATCACCGTACTCGACGATGGGCGGCCTGCAGATGGGCGGCATCACTCGTCAGGCGATGCCCGGTGCTGGCCCTTCGGCCGGCGAAGAAACGGACGTCGTGAGCAGCGATCTCCCACCCTGGGCCAGGACGACGATACCGCCTCAGGGCCTGGCATGGAGTCCAGATCAGACCTGGCAAGGCCATTCTACCAACCAAGCAGTCGCACATCACTCCAATGCCGGCTTGCGCCGACGTTCCTCTGTCGATAACATGCCTTACATTGGGAAGGGCTCGTGGACATCATCGCAAGACACGGTCGCTGCCGCCGCCAGCGCAGCTGCTGCGTTTGCAGCTGCCCAGAGGCCAGCAGCAGCATTAGCTCCTCGCGTGGGTCACGAGCCACCTGCCTGGCTCACTAATCGATCCGTGTCCCACCAAGAGCTGTCCCGTGATCAACTTCTCAACTGGTCCAACTATTTCGGCGACCGGAGTAGGTTCAATTCACCTGTCGCCTCTGCCTCCCCTCTTCCTCCATCTTCCCAAACGTCCACGCAACCAGCGCCTCCTCTGCCACCTCCGTTCACGGCTCATGGTAGCAACGAAACGCCGTCATCTTCTGGCTTCTTCGGACTCGCAGCTAATCTGCCCACCGACCAGGCTTCTGGATTGCAAATGGACCTTCGTCAGGCTCAACTGATGCCAACCAGCACTCACACCTCTCCAGCAATCACATCGCCAGTCGGCGCAACTCTTTCCCATCTTGCGCCGTACCCCCAAGGGCAAGGCCAAAGCGGCACAGAGGATCGCAGGATGAGCGGCGGCGGGCTCAGTCCGGGTTCATCATCAAATTCCGTTGGCTCAGGACTCGCCAGCATGGGCTCATCGTCGCGCCGCTTCTCAGGACAAGACCCACTGGACATGAGTGGACTTCAAGGCTCCTCGGCCACTTCCTCTGCAGGACTCACCGCCGCCACTGCAGCCATGGTATTGCAGCCTCAGCATCAACACCAGGGTGGTGGACGGATCAGTCCGGGCGTCAGCTCATCAGTGGACGGGGGCGGAAGCATCTTCGACTCGCCTGGTACATGGGGCTCAGGACAGGCGTCGACTCAGCAAACGACGCCAATCACCACTGCTTCTGGCGTGCCGGCGTGGCTACCTTCGGCATCTTGTCCCACCTCTGCTGCCTCGACGTCCTATCCTCAATCGCAGGCCTACTTCGCTCAGCCCCCACCGCCCTTGCCTCGCACGATGGGCCCGCCCAGCACGATGGCTCAATATCAGCAGGGCCTGCTTTCTCATCATCAACATGGCGGCATCAGTCAGCAGCAGGTTCCATACTTGGATCTGAGTGGGTCTACACAAGCTCTACCCGGCGCATCTTCCTCGTCATACGAAGACTACGCGACTGGTCCCGGACCTTTTGAGCAGCAGCGGCATCTCGAGCCTCCGCAGACAGATGCGCAGTCCTGGTGGCAAGCCATCACGCAGCAGAAGCAGCAACAACAGCAGCAACAACAACAGACTGAGGCTCAGCACCACCACCAATAGCCTCAGGCACAGGCAGCCCCTGTCCTTGTCGGTGTCGTGACTTTTCTCCTTTCATCGTCGTCACCTATTTCTTCATCAGATACCTCACCTTCCCGGGCGAAGGCTTCGCCCTGTCATTGTTATTCGCTTGTACTTCTATCCATTGACGCTACGATGCTCATAAGAGCCCGGCGTTTGTATCTTTCTACCGCAACTGATACACGATTGCATCCACTCACACGCACACGCACACGCCCACGACCGTAAATGATCCTTGGCATTGCTTGGTTGCGACGCATATCTATTCCCCATTTTGATCCAATCTGCCCAGCTTTGTTACTATGCCCTTCTAGTGGTGGAAGAGACGCAGCTCCGTCCTCGCGACGACGATACCATGTCCATCCGCAGCCTTGACGCACTGCTCATCCATCACACTACCGCCCGGCGCAGCGATGTACTTCACGCCGGACCTCGCCGCACGATGAACATTATCTTCGAAGGGGAAGAAAGCGTCACTCGCGCAGCACACTCCTTCAAACTTGTCCGCCCATTCCTTGCGCTCCTCTGCGCTCAGCGGCGCAGGCACGTTGTCGAAGAGGGCCTCCCACTGAGCGCGTTCCTCGCCACCAACGAGGGCGGGCGCATCGATGATACCCTCGACAAAGACGTCGATGGCGTTTGACTTCTCGGGGCGCTTGGTGCCCTTCTTGAAGGGAAGGCCGAGCACGCGCGGGTGCTGGCGCAGCCACCAGTTGTCGGCTTTACCGCCGGCGAGACGCGTGCAGTGGATACGGGATTGCTGCCCCGCACCCAAGCCTACGATTTGGCCGTGAAGGGCGTAGCAGACGGAGTTGGATTGGGTGTACTTGAGGGCAAGGGTCGCGACGACGAGGTCCAGAAGGGCGGAGTCCGGGATGCTCTTCTCCTTTGATACCACATTCTTGAAGAGGTCCTTGGTGATCTTCGCATCATTGCGGCGCTGTTGCAGTTGGATGCCATAGACGTGACGCGTCTCGATAAGGTCGGGCTCGTAGTGGGGGTCAATCTGAAGCACGCAGTACTTGCCACCCTTCTTCTTGGAGAGGACCTCGAGGGCAGCAGGCTCGTAGCCAGGTGCAATGACACCATCTGAAACTTCGCGAGAGATGATGCGGGCCGTCTGTTCGTCGCAAGTCGTAGACAGCGCAATGATGTCTCCGAAGGAAGACATACGGTCTGCTCCACGGGCGCGGGCGTAGGCTGTTGCCAAGGGGGTGAGGCTTCCCAGGTCGTCGACGAATGCGGCGCGAGCTTCCTCCGTCGTCAAGGGTACGGCGACGGCTGCTCCGGCGGGGGAGACGTGCTTGAAGGAGGCGGCAGCGGCGAGGCCGGTGCTCTCCTGGAGCTCCTTGACCAATGCCCAAGCATTCAGCGAGTCCAGGAAGTTAATGTATCCGGGAGAGCCGCACAGGGCCTTCACTGGCATCTCATCATTGGTCACAAATGCCTGAGCGGGCTTCTGGTGAGGATTAGCTCCGTAGCGCAGGGGCATCTGCTGGACGAGCGAGGTCCCAGCGCTCGTGGAGGCGTACTGCTTGCGGAAGTAGTCGGAGATGGCAGTGTCGTAGTTGCTGGTGTGCGTGAATGCCTTGAGGGCCAGCTGGTTGCGATGAGTCTGAGCAGCTTCGCCGCCCTTGGACCAGGCGTCAAGGAACGTCTTGTAGTCTGCAGGGTCCGAGAGTACCCAGACGCGCTCGTGGTTCTTGGCCGCTGCACGGAGAAGCGTGACGCCGCCAATGTCGACTTCCTCTACGGCCTGAGCAAGTGTCGGGGCAGGATCGCGACCGACAGTTTCCTCAAAGGGATAAAGGTTGCAGACGACGATGTCGATGGGGTTGTAGCCCTGAGCAGCAAGGTCCTGCTTGTCGCTGTCCTTCTTCGTCTGGGCGAGGATACCGCCGTGTACTGCGGGGTGCAGAGTCTTGACACGGCCGCCGAGCATCTCCGGTGCCTTGGTGATGTCAGAGACGTCGCTGCAGACGAAGAAGGCATTTCAAATGGGTCAGCAGTCGAGCATACATGCAGCCTTCTGAGGCGCATACACGCACCCAATGTCGATGCCAGCCTCCCTGACCATCTTGGCCGTCCCTCCCGAGCCGAGTAGCTTTACCCCCTGAGCATGAAGCGCCTTAGCAAGGTCGAGGAGCCCCGCCTTGTTGTAGACGGAGAGGATAGCAGTCGGTTGTGATGCCATTGCGTAGCAGTGTGGAGTAGAGTTGTGAGAATGGACAAGCAGGAAGAAGCTGAATCGGGGCCTCCAAGATTGGCGCCGGCGCTGCGAAGCAGAGCGGCAGATTGGGCTGAAAGGTGAGGCTCACGTGGCGAAGGGCGGACTGGCAGTCGTCGCCTCCACGAGCGAGGCCGAGCTGACCGATGTCTTGAGCCGTTCTCAACTACTCAGTAGCATCCTCAACCAACGCTATCAACGCACCTACGCCATCCCCGCCATGTCGTACGGTAAAGCCTTTACAGCCGCCTTGGGACGCAGTCTCGAAGTCGTCAGGGATGGCGCAGCTTCGGTCATGCGACTCGAGGTCAATCCCGGGACAGCCACCAAGAAGCCAATTCACCTCTTCTCCATCAAGTCGCAAAAGGATCTCGATGGATTTGCTACGGGATCCGATAAAGACATCGGAGGTCTCTCCGACGTCAAGCTGGGCGTCGACGAGGGACACGGCCGCTTCTTTGGTACGCTGAGCAACCAGCTACCTAGGAATGCGCCAATCCAGAGGACCGGGTACGCCGGAATGAGAACGAGGGTGAGCAGAGAGGGACTTCGCAGCTGCATACATGCAGCATTCTCGTACTGACCCTGCTGTTACTCTGTCATTGTGCGTCGTAGAATCGTCCCACCCTCTTCGGCGCTCAGACATGGGACACATCTCTCCACTCCTACCTCGCCCTCCGAGTCCGCAACTCCCTCTTCGCCACGTCCCCGCGCCCACCAGCCCCACCCTCTCCGCTCAGCCAAATCGACGCCTCTCCCGGCGATCGGAGCAGCCTCAACAGTGGCCGTAGTGAAAGCTTCTCATCCTTGACTCCTCAACAGCGAGCTCGTGCCGCTCTAGGCCACGGAATGGACGAGCCACTGGGCCCCAAGTTCTTCGCCAACATTCAAACGGACGGGCCGGTAACCTCTGACCTCTTCCAGCACCGCATCTGGCTCGACCCTGCAGCTGGGGATGAGTGGCAGACGATTGTCATCCCGTTCGATCGCTTCTTGATGCTCAACACGGGAACGCTCGCTGATAGCCAGATCAAGATGATGAGACAGGCCGTTCGTACTGTTGGCATATCATGCATCTTGGAGGCGCCGAGGCCGCCAGGACCGGATGCGAATGCTGCGCCTGCGGAGAAGAGCGATGTCAATGGAGCACCCTCTGCGCTGCGCGGTGGAGGGGCGAGCATCACACAGGCAGCCGAGGCGGCTGAGGCTGCGCCAAGGGAAGGGGAGGATGACTGGGGTCGCGATGGGACCATTCGACCCTCGGACCAGCCCGACGCTTCGCCCCTGCGAGGTATCAAGCGTGGGCAGAGCTTCCGCTTCGACTTGGGGTTGATGGGCGCCAAGGCTGTTGGATCAGTGGAAGAGGCGCTCGAGCTCGAGTGGTAAGCTGAGCGGATGAGCAATTGTAAACGTTGCTTCAGATTTCAAATGTAACACTATTCGCGCAGTCTCGCCTCGACGCTTTTCTCTATCACGTCTACTCGTCTCACTTGTTGCCCCCGCCCCCTCGCTGCTCCCAAATCTCGTACAGCGCATCGAGGATAGTACTCGCGCTCCAAGCCTGCGTCGCACACGAATCTCTGCAATACTGCCCGTTGGAGTTGGTCAACTCGGGCAGACCAGCCCAAGGGCTCGAAGCGATATGCTTCGTGTGCTCAACGAGCAAAGACGAGACATGGTGATATGCCTCGTCTCCCTCCTCTTTCCCGTGGAACAAGACCCAAGCTCGAAGGAAGAACCCAGTGGGGAACACCCACTCAGGGCCGTTGTGGTAGTTCCAGCCCTGAGCGAGATGGAAGTCCGTCGAGTCATTCGCGTTGTCGTAGTCTCCACGATAGTTCATGTCGCTTGGGTCGAGGGTACGCATGCCCAGCGGCCCCTTGAGGACATTGTGTGCAGCCTGCAGGGCGATTTGTGCATGCTCCTTGTCGAAGAGCTCCGGAGCAACGCACATAGCGATGGGGAAATTGGACCTGAACTGATAGTCGGACCATTCCCTCCCCTTGCCCGAACCAAAGACATCCTTGTAGATACCTCGGCGGTTGATGAGCCCAGGGTCCACCCGGAAGCTTCCGTCCTGTGCTGAGTCGAGGGGAACCCAGTAGCACCTCTCAAATGATCGCTGGATCAGTTCTGCCCAATCTGCGTAGCTGACCAACGTCTTCTTCCCGCCAATCATCGCCGTGACCCCATCCTTGCCTTGTAGCCAGAGGCCACGCTTGCGCAGCGAGTCGACCCAGGTGAGGGTGCTCTTGAGCAAGGCAGTGATCTCAATGGCGGCTCCATCCCTCGGCGAGCCTGGGTGACCACGATTTCCAGCCTTGGTGCTAGACCCATTCTTGTCCTGCCAGGTACCGCAGTTCCATGCATTGCCACCGAAGATCATCCCCGTCGACCAATCAGGATCAATGTCGATGTTGAAGCCTTCGTCCTTCATGTGCTCATCGATCTTTGGTCCGGCGTCGTGCTCGCGGAAATGGATACCAGAGGCGTGGCGTTGGAGTATTTCCTCGATCAGCTCAGCCACAGTGCTCTCGTGAGAAAATGCCTTGGGAGAGTCGACGGGCACCCATTCGTCATTGAGCGGGAAGCGACGCTTGACCTTCTCCTGGAGGATGGACTCGCCGCCGGGCACCATCTTGACATAGTCTTGGACATTTTGAGCGAAGAACCATGGGCCATCACGGCAATTGTACCTGGGATTGGTCGTCGAGTTGAGCAAGTTAGGAATCAAGCCGTGCTTGAGCGTGCATCCAAAGCTCAAGATGTGCTCGCGCGCATACTGATGCATCGCCGTCGTCAAGTAAAGCCCCCTCAGCGAGATGAATACATCACGACCCCACAATCTTGCCCACGAGGCGGCAAAGTGAGGCAGACCAGCAGCCATTGAGGCGCTCGGTCTGTCGTGCCAAAGGCTTGCTGACTTGACTTCACCGTTCATTTGGACCGCGCAGTGTGCCAGTGAGTGAATGAAGGGGTGGCCCTCTCGAATGAAGGGACTCATGTGCTCGATAGCTCGCGCAACCGCAGCGTCATAGGCTGTGGTCACGGTGAGTGCAAAGTACTTGGGTCTCATGAACGAGGGCACAGTACTCTTGATTTGGTCGAAGCGCTCCTTGAGCCACTGCGCCGGCTTGGTCAGGCGGGGGAACATGGCTAGCTGCTTCTCAAGACGACCATGCACGTAGTCGAGGGCCCAAGTGCCGTCTCGAAGGTGGGCGCACAGAGGATGTCCGAGATCATTGTGCTTCATCACCTGGCGAAGAGGGTGCATCCAGCCCTCCAAGCCACAATAGACCAGCTCTTCGTGACCCGGGATTTTGTACACACCGTCTTGTCCTTCCGTGCTGTCCTTCTCCTCGCCATCGGCGCGGTGCAGAACGACGTTGAGGTCAATAAGGTCGAGCTCGGCGAAAGCCTCCTTTGCGCCAGAGCGACACAGCTCGTCGAGGTCTGAGGCCAAGCCTTCCATTGCGCTGGCGAAAAGCATGATCGAACCGGGAGGGAACTCTTGAGGTACGTTGATCTCCGAGTAGAAGTCGCCGTCGATTTTACGGCCCTCGGTAACCTCAGGCGCGGGTACGTCAACCAGCTGGCTGGCAAAGCCTTTGAGAGTCTTTGCGTCCTTGGATGCGTTGCGATCGGTGATTTCAAGCGTCTTGCCGGTGATGTACTGAACCTTGGTGCGGTCAAGACGGATGGGAGCGACGTGGCCCCGAGCCTTGCCTCGGTTGTTGAAGGCGGTGTGCGCAATGCAGAGATAGCCCTTGTGTGTCTTGGGATGGACTCGATGGAACATGATATAGTCGCCCTCTTGATGGACGTGCCCCTCCTCGAACCCGTCTTCAACCATCTCGCGATGCAGCGCGTTGACAATTCGCTTCACATAACCAATCCCGCGCTGTTCAGGCCCATCATAGACCTCATACATGCGCTTCTCGTTAACGAGATCAAGCAGGTCAGGGTACAGCTCGTCGACACCCTTGGTCGAGCCAGTCGCAGACCACGAGAAGGCAACGAGAGCCCCCATGGTAATGATGTCCTCCGTTGTGCGCTTCTTCGTCGGAGTCTCGTTGTCGTGCGTGACGTCCATGAAGAGAGCATCAGGGGATGAGCCTGGGTGCGGCACGACGGTAGCTGGGGTCGGTGAGTTGCTGCCAGGCAGCAAAACGGAGCCAGACTTGGAGAGACAGTCCTTGTCCATGCTACCGATTGGCTTGTTCACGCCAAAACGGTACAACAGACGCGATTCCTCTTTCGGGTCGTGCCCATTTTCCATCTCCCGAATCAGTGCATTGAGTCCCAGCCGGGAGACAAAGTAGACGTCCATCTCCTCTGATCCGGTGAAGAGCTCGGCACAAACGTACAGATTGGGGTTGTGCCTTCTCGCTACGTCGAGGAAGTACTCGCCCACGTGGACAGGAGTGGAGTGGCAATTGTCGATGCGGAATGCGTCGCACATTTCGGCGCTCAGGGCGACGTACTCCTCCATATGCTTCCAAAGCCAAGGTGAGTCCTTTGGTTCCGAGCCATAGCGCAGCTTGACCGTGTCGCCCCACGCAATGACCTCGCGGCGGAGGTAGACGCGGGACTTGGACGAGGCAAAGTCCATGAGCGGATCGGCAGCCCAGATCCAGCCATTGTTTGCGACGGCTATTGCCTTGGGATGGTGCTTGTTGTTCGGAGCAAGACGGGTAAAGTAGGGCTCGCAGAAGGGCTTGTCCTTGGTGATGGGCCCCATCTTTGGGCCGCCCTCTTCAAGGCGCATGTAGGTCAGTCTTCCTGAGAGGTTCGCCACGATGGCTTTCAGATCATCGTCGTACGTGGCATATAGAGGAGCGTTGAGCTCGTCTACCGCTTTGCTCAAAGCGTCCAACGCGGCGTCCTTGGAGCCGAATTGAGAGCGCAAGATGGCGACTGTCGTAAGTACGTCGAGGGTGGTGATGTAGCGCTCTCCGAAGTGCAACTTGTTCTGCAGCGCCTTCTCCTCGAGCTGCTTAGCAAGCGATTGAGTCGACTTGGCGCTGTTGCCATTGGCCTGACCTTCCGACTCGGCGTCCCATCCTGCTGCGACGGCCTCCTTGACCGCCTTCGCGTCGATGACGTAGTACTGCCAGAGCTGAAGCTTGTCGAGGACCTTGCTCTTGACGCCGTCCATAATCTTCTGGACATCAGTAGGCGACTTCGGGTCGTCAGGCAGTCCAAGAGACGCAAGATTGTTTGAGAAATCGATGAGAGCACGATCGAGCTCCTCGGCTGGCGTGAGGTGCGGCGAGTTGTGCGGGCTGTAGCCTGCCTCGGGGTGATCGTTGAGCCAGGCGCTCGAGTGGGCCGTGTGATTAAGCACAACATCCATAAGGCTGAGCATGCCGTACTCGCGCTTGATCTTTCCAAGCCAAGCTTTGAGCGTGTCTGCTCTCTCGGCAGGCGTGGAGCTCTTGCCAGCCTTGTCATCGAACATTTCGTGCGAGAAGTCGAGCTGGTCGCCGATGGAATACGGTGAGTTAGAGGTGCCACGCACTTGCAGGGGGGTGTAGTGGATCATGTTGTAGCCAGCCTTGGAGGCGACGTCGAGGTGAGGAGCCCATTGACTCAGAGGACCAGCCCACTTGGCGAAGAACGAGAGGGCAGTAATGGCCGTCTGGCTGAGGACGCCTTCCTTGCCAGCTAACACCTTGCCTCCATCGGCGGATGGCTGCCCCGTCTTGGGGTCCAGGATGCGAGTGCGAGGCGGAAAAGTGAGAACGGGATCAACGTTGAAGTAGCCGTGCTTTGACTGGACGCGCTTGCGCTCGGACTGAGCCGAGCCCAAAGGCTGCGAGGGCGTCGGGTACGGCAACTCCTCCTCGGCTGCATCATGCTCTACGTAAAACTCGAATGCGCCGGCGGAGGTCACGTAGAGGTCGATGTGACTTGCCTTGCTGAAGTCGCTCGGGAGTCTGCGCGAGAACCACTCGCAATCAGTACTGACTCGACTGTACCGGCTCGCTCCGGGCCTTTTCCCTGCGCTCACCTGTGCTCGTAGAAATGGTCACGACGAAACTCCTTTCCCTCAGGAGGGAAGTTAGTCCACAGCACGCCGTTCTTTGAGGCTACAGTGCCTGCGTCGAAGGCGAAGCGCAGTACGTGGGGCTTGACAGGAGCAGGCAGACGAATGTACTGGCATCGCAGATCGGGGCATTGTCAGCGGCCATTGAGGTCAACGTATGCTGATCTTAGCCACACAAGCTCACACTCTTCTCCTTGGACGGGCTGCCATCGTACTCGAGCTTGACCTCGTAGACCTCGATCGGCTCGCCACGAGCGGGTCTCGCGGTAGCTGGGGACATGGCGGTGGCTGGCGGCTCTTCTGGCGATGCTGCGATGGCTTGTTGGCACGGTTGCTCTGACGTCCTCTTTGGCGGCAGGGGTGGTTGCTGCGGGGATGAGGAGCCTCTTTGCGAACGTCTGAACCAGCTAGAAGCGATAGCTCCACCGGCAACAACGACGACGAGAGCGATGCGAGTAGGAGTCAAGGATGAGGAGATGATGTTGGCGGCAGTGGGCAAGGCTGAGCGTCAATGGGGAGAGGCAAAGGTGAGATGGTGCTGGTCCTTCCCGTGCGCAAATGTCAGCTTCGCGGCCTTCGTTGTCCCTGGTTGGCGGCTCTTCTTTTCGCGCTAGACCCTGACAGCGTGGGTGCGGGACGGAGAGATGCTGCGAAGGATTCGCCCTCGTCCATCGATTGAGCGTCGGGATCGTGGGCCCCAGCCTCGCAGCGAGGCATCTGGGCCCGCGCCTAACGCCTGCGTGGCTGATATGCCTGATATGCAAGTTGTAGCCCCGCGCCGCTTGCCCTGAAATCGAATTCAACACTTTGGCTTCCGACGTCATTCTCGACGGGAAGCAAGACTCAACACTGGACGGACGGTGGCTCGCGTGGCCTCGACCCCGCATGGAAAGTAGAACAACACTCGAGATTGAGTGTAGCCTGCTTAAGCGGCCGACACGGCACTGCATTCAGTCGGGTCAGTTGACTTCTGATCGTCATCACCATACCATCATCGCAACGACCCACTTTGCCGTGGCTGCCTGCGGCCTCGTCATCATCACACCCACGCAAGCATACCGCATACTAGGCGTCGGTCCAGTGCGCCTCGCGCAAGAACAGAGAGCATCGCATCGCATCGAATCGCAAAAACAGAGCCGGCTGCATACCTTTTGTCGCGCCCTTCGTCTTCGTCGCTAGCATACACTCTTCATCATCAGCATGACGGTCGCGAGCTCAAGCAGAGCGGCAGCGGCACCGCAGGCATCTTCAACCTCCTCCTGGCCTTATAGGCACGACAGCATACAGCGTTGCCTTGCTGAAGCAGCCGTACAGACAGCCCTCAGCGAACTTACTCGAACGCCTCATGTCCGCCGAGCTCTCTCTGAGAAAGCCAAGGGCAAGGCCAAGGCGCACAGCGATAGCGACGAAAGAGACTTGCTCGTCGACCTCGCCCTCGAGACATTCTGGTCCAGCTCCCGTCTGGGGACCAGAGACATCAACACGACTCGTCTGCGAGCCTTGTCTCACCTGCAACAGCTGTCCAAGATCTCTCTCGAGACCAGCGACTTTCCTTCGGTCACCAGCCTGCAACGCTCATCTGCGGCCTACGTAGAGATCGTCCGCTCACGCTTCAACCGCCAGCTTTACGTCCTCAAGACCGTCGTCAAGGGCTTAGCTCGTCGCGAGTCGAACAGATGCAATCCCTCCTTCGAGGCTCAGCTCCTTGCAGCTGGTCAACAAGAGTCGCAAAGTCGAAGACCAGTACCAGACTTCGTTGCATCGTTTCAGTCCCAGAACTCGCTGCACATTGTCATGCAATATTTTCCAGCAGGGGATCTCGACCAACTGCTTCACTCTGCAGGTCAAGCGGGTCTGATTCACGGCTTTGGCAAAGATGGAGGCTTGCTCAGCGAATCCTACGTCAAGATCTACTCCACAGACATCGTTGCAGCAGTGACCTGGTGTCACGAACAAGGCTTTGCCCACCGCGACGTCAAGCCTGCCAACTTCCTCCTCGACCGCTCTGGTCACCTCAAGCTCTGTGACTTTGCAACCGCAGCGCCTTTCACGCAATACGGAAGTCGACGTCGTGTCCAGTACCAGTACTCTTGCCTTGCTGGAACGCCGGATTATATCGCCCCGGACATTCTCCTTGGAGAAGAGGAGCGCCTCAATGCCCTCACTGGCTCGAGAGGCGCCAGCTCAAGATGGGGCTTCTCATTCGCAGATGAGTCGAGCTTCTCGTCGCTCATGACCCGCCCTCAGCCAGAGTCGGAGGGCTTCTATGGGCCAGAGGTGGATTGGTGGTCAGTCGGTTGCGTCATCTACGAGATGGTCTTCAAGAATGTCCCCTTCTGGGCAGAGACGATCAGGGAAGCGCATCACCGCATCTGCAACCATGAGCAGTACCTGCAGCTGGACGAGCAAGTGACTGTCAGCTCGACCCTCAAGGATCTCATCATCAAGCTCTTGACACATCGTGAGACGCGCTTGGGGTCGCAAGCAAGCGCTCATGTGCAGCAGCACTCTTTCTTCAGCGGCGTCGACTGGTCAAGCTACCTCAATGTGGCAGCGCCATTCGTGCCAAATGTCGACAGCACCAAGACAGATGTCGCAGGTATGGCAACAGCTGAGGAACCTTCGATCCTGCACAGCCCGAGCGTTATGGCGGGCCGACCACAGGCTGCGCTGGACGAGGACCAGAGCATCTCAATAGAGCCCGACTCATTTCACTTGTCACAGATGTTCGACGGCAGCCTAGACGAGTTTCCCATGTTTGCCGACTCACCAGAGGAGGTTGACATGGTCATGGCGAGAAGGGCAGCTATGGTTGAGGCACCAAGTCGTAGTCGACCTCTCTCAGAGCCAGTCTCGCCCAACACGTCAAAGATCGGCGCTGCTAAGTGGTCGGACATCGACGTAGCTTGGGTCGGGTTCAGCAGACTTCCTCAGCGCAACGCCTTTACAACGGAAAAGCAGTTCAAGACGATGCCGCAGTCGACATTGACTAGGGTCGCGGCGACGCCAAGCGCTGCAGCTCGGCAGTCTACGCTGGCCTCCATTTGGGAGACGTCACCAGGCTGTGAGTCGATGGCTGCTTCGCCCGAGGCGTGGCCCAGAGCCATGCAACAGGGCGAGTCGAGCGCCACGGCGCCGATCACGTCAACGCCTTTCACTCGCAGCGTCTCCGACCCTGCCAAGCAGTCACCACCTCCTATGATCGCCTCAACACCGCGCGATGGTGGTATTGAGCGCAGATTGTCGCAACGTCGCAGGCTGCACAAAGCCATTGCCGCAGCCATCCCCGGAGACGGGCGCTACGTGACTCCACTGAGAAAGACGAGCATGCCCAACCTCTCATCAGCGTACAGCGGCTCGGTCGCTCCTCCCTCCGCCATCCCAGCTTCACCGTACCCATTCCCTTTGGCCGCCACTCCTGCCCCAGCAACAGCAGCTAGACGTCTCGTCTCCGCCTCAAGCTCCATCCGCAATCCATCCCTACTGCGCAGCGCTGTGGCTCAACAGCAGCAGCAGCAGCGACGCTCCGAGTCCCCTTACTCGCGTGTCGTCTCCATGGGCTCTGATTCGCGATGCTCAGGCGGATCAAACGCAAAGCGTAACTTCAGCGAGAACGAAGCAATGGAGCAGCTTGAGGCCGCTGTGCTGCAGAGCGCGCGCAAGGTCAGGCTTGACTCACAAGAGCGCAGCTTCCCGCGTCGATTGGCTGTGCTGGAGGAGAGAGTCGGTGCTGACGCTCGACGGCAGCTCAGCGAGCAGGGGAGGTTATCGAGGCAGGCAGGACCGTCGCGACCGCAGCTACCGCACAGCAATACCGAGCCTGCGTTGCTCAGCATGCAGAAGGTCGGTGGCTCTCTTGACAAGCGGCCTCAATTACAGGAGTTGCGGAGAGGCTCAGCGCCATCCGTCGTCGTAGAGCCTGCCTCACCGACCCCAACAGCGGTGCACTCGTCGGCGCCGCAGACTTTGGCTCCAATCGAGAAGACAGATGGCAAGGGCAGCAGTACCATCCACAGCAGGCGACTGCTCGGAGCTCACGAAAGGCGTCGCCCCCGCCTTCCGATGCCCGATCCCATTGTCATCCGCCCGACTCTGACCTCGTCGCCAGAAGATGGAGGCTCAGACCCGGACTCTCCTCTCATGTCTCGTTCTGGCTCATCTGCTGGCCAGTCTGGCGGAATAGGCTACGACGCGCACATCACATCGTCAGTTGACCTACCCGGCTGGTCCACCGAGGCGATTGCGTCTGCGCCCACCATTGAGGCTCACCAGCAGGACCCAAGTCACTTGTGCGCCCCATCCGCGCGTCCAATGCTGCGTATGAGGCGAAGCGATCGTCAGCTCAAGCTTGAGGCACAGGAACGCACTACCCCGACGCGCCCAAAAACGCGAGCCAGCTCACCTTTCACGACTACCGAATTCGACCTTGCCCACTTGAGTCTTGGGCCACCCACCCCACTGGAGGAGGTTGACATCAATCCGATGGCAACTGCAGCCGCAGCCGCAGCAATCGCCGCCGCATCGCCAAGTCCGGCAGGAGACAGTCGTCAGAACGACTGCCCTACGCCAGAGCTGGTGAGCGACCACACGAATGACTCCGAAGAGAGCGGAGTGAGCAGTGGGGGCGAGTCGTTCAGGACTCATAGCGCTATGTCGTCCCCCTTCGCGATGACATTCGCTCCTGCGGCGGCCAATGCAGACGGTGCGCTTGCTTTGGCCATGCCTACCACGTACGGTAAGGACGCCCTGCCGCGCTTGAGTGTGCCTACAACTGCCGAAGGAGCAGCAAGAGCCACATTGGCCGCTTCGCGTCTACGTGCTACCCGATCACACAGCCAACTTTCCAAGCTGCATCATCTCTCTCTCGGGTTTGGTCGCGAGCACGGCGTGCGCCCAGAAGGGACGTCGTCAGCCGCAGGCCCTGCGTCCTCCTCCTCCTCCTCAAGCTCCTCATCCACTTCGACTATCCACCCAGCCCAGCGTAGCATTCGCCGCAAAGACTCTCGCGAAACGCTCAAAGAGTACCGCAACTCTGCCCGCCTTCAGTCGTCCTCAGGCCTTCCCTCCTTCCCGGAAGACGACGACGATGCCTTTGGAGGCGGGCCGGCCCTTGTATCCTCTTCGTCACCGCCACTCAGCGGGGCCGGCCTGCTGGCTGCTGCTTCTGCTAAGAACCTTTCGTCCGCCATGTCTGGTTCCGCGAGCGGGACATGGAGTCGAAAGAGCTTGTCTGCTACCCGCAGGGCATCTGCTCAAAACCTGGGCAGGCAGTACCGCTTCTCTGAGGGGGCATCGACAATGAGTAGACCCAGTACGGCACTGAGCGCCGCCGCGGGCGAGCTCAAGCTATCCGCCAAGCGTTCGAGCTCAGATGGAAGCGTGTCTCCTACGTCAACGAGCACCGTCGTGCGCAGCAACATGAGCGTCACCAGCCCGCTGACGAAGATGGATAATCGTCTGACCGGCATTCAATCGAGTGTCTTTGGGTTGCAGACAAGGATCACAAAGCTCAAGGCGAAGCTGCACGACTGAATGCGGTCGAGCGATCTCAGCACAGCTAGCATCATCATCTACAAGCACCTAGGTCAGCATATCATCCATTCCCCTCCGGCCTTCTGCATTACCCAAATCTTCGCACGCAAACGGTTCTAGCATACCTCTCTTCAGTCTCATCGGATCCCTTCGCCCTATGTTCCCCTCCTTCGTCTTCGCTCCATTTCCGGCTACTGTTGCCAATTCGCATCTTTCTTTGTCTATACCGTCGCACGCATCACAAACTCAATGGAGAGCAACACTCATTCATGCATCGCAGGGAGACTGAAAGCTTTGAATTTCTCGACGTCTGAATAAGAATAGGCCTCGCGAACACGGTCTAGCAATCCTTGACTTCTCGCTACGCTTGATTCCCTGCTACCTCCTCCAGCTCCTCCGCTTACTGCCCAATCTCTGCCAAGAGGTCGCCCGCCGAGACCGAGTCGTTCACCTTGGCGCAGATGCGCTTAACCTTACCAGAGCAGGCCGCTGAGACGACCTGTTCCATCTTCATGGCCGAAGTGATGAACAGCGGGTCACCGGCCTTGACTTCCTGGCCCTCCTGGACTCGCACCTCGACAATCACACCAGACATGGGCGACCCAACCGATCCAGGGTCGCTGCTCGCCTTCTCACGAGCGGTAGTCTCGACAGCGGCACTGCGGTCATCGATTTCGATGGAGCGGGGCTCGGCGTTGAGCTCGAAGAAGACCTCACGCGTGCCCTTGGCCTGGTTGAGCTGCCCGACGGCGAGGAGCTTGACAATGAGGAGCTTTCCGCGGTCAATGTAGGCGTGCATTTCTTCACCCGTGTTGAGCTTGCCGAGGAAGAAGCGCGTAGGCAGGTTGGACAAGTCGCCGTACTGGTCGAGGAAGTTCTGGAAGTCCTCAAACACCTTGGGGTAAAGTGCATAGCTGATCGCGTCAGTGGTGCTCATGGCCTTGCCGTACTTCTTGGTGAGGTCCTTCTTGATCTTGGACAGGTCGACGGGCTCCAGCGACTCCCAAGGCTTGGCGCCGACGGTGGGCTTGCCACGGAGCACCTTCTTGCGGAGCTCCTCGGGGAAGCCGCCGGGAGGCGCGCCGAGGTAGCCCTGGAAGTATTGGATGACCGATTCGGGGAAGTCGAGCTTGTCTGCTCGCTCCTCGACGTCCTTGCGGTCCAGTTTCTGGGCAACCATCATCTGAGCGAGGTCACCGCAGACCTTGGAGGAGGGCGTGACCTTGGAGATGTCACCAAGAAGCTTGTTGGCACCAATGTACGCCGTCTTGATGGCGTTCCACTGCGAACCCAGGCCGAGCTGCTGAGACTGGAACATGAGGTTCGTGTACTGGCCGCCGGGCATTTCGTGGTCGAAGACGGATGAATCCGACGCCTTGACATTGGCCTCGAAGCACTGGTAGAGCTGGCGGACCTGAGTCCAGTAGAGGTTGAGGTTCTGGATGTCCTCGTGACGAATGCCGGGACCAAGGCCAGTCTGCTCGAGAGCACTGACCAGGGCGCCCATGGAAGGTTGCGAGGTCAGACCAGACATGCTGTCAATGGCAACGTCGACGACATCGGCTCCAGCCTCGGCGCAGGCGAGCATCGACGAGAGGGCAATACCGGCGGTGTCGTGCGAGTGGACGTGAATGGGCAGGTCCGGGTACTTTTTGCGGATGGCGCCAACGAGGAGGCGGGCAGCAGCAGGCTTGAGGAGACCAGCCATGTCCTTGATGCCGAGGATGTGGATTCCCTCCTTGACAAGCTCGTCAGTGAGGTTGACGTAGTACTCGAGGGTGTACTTGGGGTGCTTCTTGGGGTTGGCAACGTCACCCGTGTAGCAGATGGTTCCCTCAGCAACACCGCCAGCCTTCTTGGCGGCGTCAATGCCGAGACGCAGAGAGTCGATGTTGTTGAGCGAGTCAAAGACACGGAAGATATCGAGGCCGCACTCGACCGCCTTCTTGCTGAACTCGTAAATGAGATTCTCGGGGTACGAGGTGTAGCCGACAGCGTTGGCGCCACGAATGAGGGCCTGGAAGGGGATGTTGGGCACGAGCTTACGCAGCTTGCGAAGCCTCTCCCAAGGGTCCTCGTAGAGGAAGCGCATAGCGACGTCGAAGGTGGCACCACCCCAGCACTCGAGCGAGAATGCGTTCTTGAGGACGTGAGAGGTCTCTTTGGCGATGTTGATCATGTCGATCGTACGCAGCCGAGTAGCGAAGAGGGATTGATGAGCGTCTCTCCACGTCGTGTCCATGATGAGAGTGCCCTTGTAAGCGCGCACAGCCTTGGCGAACGCCTCCGGGCCCTCGTTGACGATGATGTTCCTCCAGCCCTCTTGGCATGGCTGCGAGGCATCGAGGGGCTTGGTGGGGTCCTGAGGGTCGCTGAAGGGAGGCTTGTCGATCTCCTCGTGAAGACCAGGCTCGCCCGTCTGACCAGCGATGGAGCTGCCGTTGACGGCGACGTCACCGAGGTAGGCGAGGAGCTTCTGAGCACGGTTCTTGGACTGGACGAGGTTGAAGAGCTCGGGCGTGTCGTCAATCATCGTCGTCCAGGTGCGAGCGTTGGCAAAGTCGTCGTGGGTCAGGAGACGGAAGAGGAAGGGAATGTTCGTCTTGACACCGCGGATACGGAACTCAACGAGGGCTCGAAGCATCTTGCGGCGGGTAACCTCGTAAGTGGCGCCACGGCAGGTGACCTTGACCAGGAGCGAGTCGTAGTGGGGCGTGATCTGGGCGCCGGCGAAGCCTGAGCTTGCGTCGAGACGGACGCCATTACCACCAGCAGAGCGGTACACCTCGATACGACCCGTGTCGGGCTGGAAGTTCATAGCCGGGTCCTCGGTGGTAATACGACACTGAATGGCTGAGCCACGCTTCTGGACGGTCGACTGCGAGATGCCCAGGTCGTCCAGGGTAGCGCCCGCAGCAATCTGTATCTGAGCACCGACGATGTCGATGCCCGTGATCTCTTCCGTGATGGTGTGCTCGACTTGAAGGCGCGGATTGATCTCAATGAAGTAGTGGCGGTTCTGCTGGTCGACGAGGAACTCGGCGGTACCAGCGTTGCGGTAGCCGGCCGTCTTGGCAAGCTTGACTGCGTCAGTGAGAATCTTCTGGCGCACAGTGTCGTCGAGGTTGCTGGCAGGAGCGACTTCGACGACCTTTTGGTGACGGCGCTGCACTGAACAATCTCGCTCGAACAAGTGGACGCAGTTGCCTTCTCCGTCGGCCAAGAGCTGGACCTCGATGTGGCGGGGTCTGTCGAGGAAGCGCTCGATGAAGACGGTCGGGTCGCCAAAGGAGTTCTGCGCCTCAGACCTGGCTCGCGAGAAGGACTCCTCGAAGTCCTCCTCCTTGCGCACGACACGCATACCACGGCCACCACCGCCCATGGCAGCCTTGATGATGATGGGGAAGCCGATGTCCTTGACGAACGAAGCGGCCTCGTTGTACTTCTCGATGGCACTAGGGGTACCGGGAACGATGGGTACGCCAGCCTTGCCCGCGAGCTCACGAGCCTTGACCTTGTCTCCGAGGCCGTCGATGGTCTCGGGTCGAGGGCCAATGAAGGCAATGCCAGCGTCTTCGACTGCCTTCGCGAAGTTGTGGTTCTCGGACAGGAAGCCGTAGCCGGGGTGAATCATGTCAACGCCATGCTCCTTGGCAATGCGGATGATGTCCGGGATGGCGAGGTAGGCTTGGACGGGCGACATGCCAGCACCGACTTGGTAGGCCTCGTCTGCCTTGTATCGATGGGCGCTCATGCGGTCCTCGTACGAGTAGATGGAGACTGTCGTCATGGCGAGCTCATGGGCCGTTCGGAAGATGCGGATAGCAATTTCCTGACAGAGTGAGGCATGGAGTCATGGTCAAAATCTTGGCAACATGCGGGCGTGGCCTGCTTCATCCGCCCGTACTTACTCCACGGTTGGCGACCAAGAGCTTCTTCAGGGGACCACCAGCCTGCTGGCCGAGGTCCTTTCGGATGCGATTGATGGTGCTACGGGCGCAAAAAGGGCGTTCAAAGGGAGGTCAGTCCGATGTCACAGCATCGTGCATGCTATCGTCCCCGCTCACGGGAAGACATGGCCGGTAGTCGCTCCCGGAGTGCCCGGTTGGCTCTCAAAGGTGTCCTGCGGAGAGGATGGCTAATCAGCAACGACACCTAGTGCTTTGCGGGCACTCTTACCCACCACAAAGGTCGAGCGAGGGACTCCTGTCGGAGCGGTTGCCGTCTCGGGCTCAGTCGGCATCGTGATTGCCAATCAGGCGGTGAAGGTGAGCGGGGTCGAGGTGGTAGGAAGACAAGGTCGGGGGGCGCCGACTGCAAAGGGGTCTATCAAGGTGTCACCGAGTCGTCGATGTCGCGGCTGATCTCTATGATGCTCAGCTCTGTCGACGAGGTGGTATTGGTGTGTAAAGAAAGGATCAGAAGGACTCCTGTGCTATGCGATGCAATCGACGATCACTCGATCTCTCGGTGGGGCCGGTCGAAGCGGGCGAGCGGACAACGGACGGCTGCTTCACGGGACAGCGACAGGCCCGCATCGCACGCACGGACGCCATCGTCGACTCTTTGCCCTCCTCTCGCCAAAGTGCCTCTGAGCCCGCACGCCCAGCCCCGGCGGCGAGCATGTGACTGCTTCCTGGGCGCGTGAGCGCGAGGGAGCGAGCGTCTCCAACCGCCCCGCTTCGATGATCGCAGTGCGAGAGTACAACTAAGAAGCCGATGCCGACAAGGAGACGATTCACAATGGGCGGCTAGGACAACGCAGCAACATCCACGATGATCACGACGATCACGACGCAGGGTCATGAGGTTGGTACTCGCAGGGTGGTCAAGGAAAAAAAATGGCCATGTCGCCATCGCGGCGATCATCGAGCGATGAGTAGTGACGATGGCTGAGCGTGCGTGCAGGCGTGCAGGTGTGCAGTTCAAGGCAGACACGCAGCCATTCTCGCCGAGATAAGGAAGGACGAATCTCGATGGCGCTGCTGAAGATGGCAGCGAGACCCTCTCCCTGCCATGTGGTTGACTTCTTTCGAGGATCAATGAGATGACGACCACGTGGTCGGTCCAGGCTTTACTCGCTACGCTACCCACGCCTTCCTGATGAGGGTGGGGGCCGCCTCCCGTACCGCGAGCCTCAACTTGCCCAGCCGCTGCACTCGCGACGCTCTAACGCATACAAGCGATGATCTGGCCCAACGATTCTCTCTTCAATGGCCCTACACAGTTCCTTCTGCATTCGTTGACGGACGGCCTTGCTCATGATGGCAGCCACTCGAGGAGCACCACAAGGAGCACCGTGAGTAGCAGCACTCGATCGATATCGCCTCTCGTCTCTCTTTCTCGCATCGGGCAGCCCCTTAGCCTCGCTGGACGAGCTTGGTAGATTGTAATTGGCCATCATCACAGTCAGTCACACACTGACCGCGTGCGTGCGTCTGCTCGCCGCCGCCGACGTAGTCTTTGTCTTGGTCGTCGATCTCGATCGTTGTTGTCGTCGTCGTCATTGCGTTGCGTGTGTCTGCCAAGCCCCGTCCATTGTATGTTCGCCGTACCCATTCCTGCCTGCCTAGTCGTCGCCCCGGCATCGTCGTTCCGCGAGCGGCAAGCCAAGCCAAGCTTCATTCCCCTTTTGCCCGTCCGAGCAGCAAGTGGGCAGCAGCGGCGGCCGACGACGAGGACAAGGAACGAAACGCGCTCCCGTCTCGCCTTCCGCGCCTGCGTCTCCACACCTTCACGCTTGCTGACTGCCTGGGCCGACAAAAAGCTCCGACGGCCTTATAGTGGTGGATGAGTTGAGATGGTCAGCCCGCCAGCCCTTGTCCCTGAGACGGCGCCCTTCATTTCCTCGCCTCTTGCCCTCCTGACCACCACCACCCACATCACGACGACAAGAGGTGGATCGTCAGCTCACCACCACTACCTTCACGTCTTGAGGGCTCGCGGCGATGCGACCACAGACGAGTGCTAGGCATTACCACTACCGAGACGATGAGGGCGATGCGCTGGGGATCAGCATGGGCGGCAGCAACAGCGATGACATTGCAGCCCTGAAAGCTGAAACATCTCCCCTTCCACGGCAACATCCGCAAGGCAAGCGACCGTCCTTCACCCTGCCTCGCTCCTTTTCCATCTCGGCCGCATCCACATCAGCGACACCTTATATCCACGCAGGGTTGAAGGAGTTGAGGGAGATGTTTGACCTCGACAGCCCAGTCATTATGCCAGACGAGGAGAACTTGGACGCTCTCGAGGCAAGCGTCGATATCAGAAGTAATAGAGTCGCGACGAAAAGGTCAGCAGAGCCTACAAGTACCTCGGCTGCGAGTCAAGGCTGCTCTCTGGCTACGAATCAGACTGCGCCAGGCGGCAGCTCAAGTCTGCGTCCGGCTCTCGTCAGTTCTTGCCTATTCTGGTCTACGGTATTCGTGTGGGGTCTGAAACAAGGTGAGCAGCCGGGAAGAATTCACTACTGCCCAGAGCCAGTCGCTGATCGCTGCATCTCTCAATCCCGCCGCTCTGCCAGATTCAGACCTCTTCTCTCCAGCATTGCTCGCGCCTCTGGCTCTCCCACTGCCGCTCTCTGCGATTGCCCTCTTCTTTGTTCATCGCGGCGATTCTTCCATCTACCGCGAAGGCCTGGACGTCGTCTCAAAGGTCTACAAGGCCCACATTCTACTGCAGGGCCTCATAGGTGTCATAGTCTGGAATACCCTGGGCGAGACGGCCGTCTACAAGGATCGCCATGCTGGCTCTCTCCCGAACCGCGCCGTTTTCACAATGGTTACCATCGCTCAAGCTGCTTTGCCTGTCGCTTCTGCTCTCTGCGCGCAGTGGTGGCTCGCATGCTCCATCGCTCGATGCGCCAAAGCTATTCGCCCAGCGCGACCGCTTTCAGCGACGCCTGCTACGTCCGTTTTGCTGCCCTACGCAGTCAGAGATTCTCCGCAGCCGACGTCACCACCAGCATCTCCCATGATGGCTGCGCCCTCCTCTCCTCGCCTTACACGCACGGAACGCGCCAACAAGAGATCTCGACCCTCAGCATCAGCAACCCACACCACCAAGTCACATCAGCACCGTCGCACCGTTTCGCAGCCCGTGATTCCACTTGGCATCTTCCGTGAAGCATCTGCAGCCACCCCTCACGATCGCGACCACGACGGCGGAGACACCATGAGTCGAGGCCTATCGAGCGAAGCTGCCTTCTTTGCTGAGCCTCTGCTGGCCAGGGGCGTAAGGCAGGGCCTCGTCACCCCCCGTCGCTCGAGGACGTGGGAGTCACCCAATCGACCGCGTAGCACCATCGTGGGCAGCGGTGGCGAACCTTCGAAGCAGCTGCTCGACTAGCTCAGCGCGATGTCTGGGTGTTATTCTTCTCGTCGCATCTCTCATCTCTGTATCATTAGCATCGCATACATAGCTCATCGCCGTGGCACATTCCCTCTCCCGCTCACCTTTGTCTCAGGCGATCTCATCGCCCTCATCGCCCTCATCGCCCCCGATGGCCCCCACTCTTGATAGGACAATTGATCTCTGCACTGAAACTAGCCATCGCATCTGCTTGGTGGTGATGAGCATGCGACTCAATGCTCGATGCCCGACTTGTTGGCCATCTTCATCGATGCCGTCTTTGCCGCGGCTAAGGCGAGGCGATTACAAATTCGCACCACCACCACGCTCAGCGGCGGAAGTCCCGAGTGTGGCTGGCCGCGCCTGCCAGTCTGCCATCCTTGCGTGCGTTGGCTGCTGCACGACCCTGCCTCGAGTTGCTGAACAAGCAAAGGCCGACTCGCTCTCACTCTCACAGGTCACTTCTTCATTTTTGCTGGGCTCTCGCGATTAGATGTCGTGTCGTCGTCGTTGCTGAAGGAAGCTCGCAGCTTGGCGAAACCGAAAAAAGAAGGTCGTGGCTGAGTAATGGCAGTGCGTTGAGGCTGAGGCTGAGGCTGAGGCCAAGCTCGAGCAGGGCGGACCACTCGTGCGTCAGATGGGATGGCCGTTCCGTCCTGATTGTGCCGCCTGATATCTAGCGGAGATCAAGAACGACGAGGCAGGCGAGACAGACGGAGGCTGCTGCTCAGTCGCCCGCTCTCTCCCATCAATTAGCATTTGGCCGCCCTCCATCCCATGCTCATCATCTTCACCCCTCTGTTCCATCTGGTCATCTTAATTTCTTATCGCAGCAACGCTTGATCGTCGACAAAGACATTCCTGATCGCAGACGTAAGAGCAGAGCAGCGAGACGACGACAACCACCACGTTAGCGTCTCAATTCGGCTGCAGGGTCCATTACAGCCACCACTACCACCACCATCACGGCCTCTACTCATCGCCATCATCGCATCGTGACATCCGCCCTCTGCAGCGATCAGCGCCAATCGCATCACTGTCCTTGGCGTTGATGCCAGTCCCAGTGCTCGATTCCACTCCAAGTCAGCCACTGCTCAGCAGCAACATGAAGAGTGCTCGCGGCGACTCGGGCACCTACCGCCTACCGCCACTCGAGTCACTCTCCGCATCAGCATCTCCATCGCGATCATCGCCCTACTCAGCAGGGCCTAATGGCGATGGATCCGGCCCCAGTGCCAGTGCTAGCGGTAGTGGTGGCCGCGTCAGCTTGCCAGGTATCGCGCATTTCAATCAACGTGGGCCGCCTCATACCAGTTTCGACTCGCCGAGGAAGACGGTAGCTGCTGCTCGACGATCGAGATCGCCGCAAAGTGAGAGGCTAGGAGCAAATACAGGCTATGCTGCAACAGGCTCTCAGCTGCCACCGCCGTATCGCCCTCAGCCCTGGAATGGACAGCCAAGGACGAGTCCTGAGCAAGGGAGGAGAGTGACATCGACATCTTCAGCGGCCAGTCACCTTGATGCCGACCGCAATGGAGGAGGTGAGTGCAGCTGAGCTCCAGAAGCGTCCTTGATTCATTTGCTGACGCCCTTGCGCAACTCTGCTCTACTCTTATAGCTGTGCCACCACCGCTCAACGCCGACGGCCCTCCTCGAGGCTCTTGCCCAGGCGGCGGCCTCTGCAACGGCACTGGTGGGACGGAATCATGCTCAGGCTGCCCAGCCTACAACAATAATCTCGCGCACGCAGTAAAGGCCGGGCAGATCGACCCCTCTGAAGCTCATCAGCACCTTCGCCCAACGGCCTCACCACTGATGGGAGCTGCAGACGCGTCACATCATCACCACCGCTCACCCAGCCTAGGTGATGCCCCTGGTCAACATCCGAACAATGTCACACCACAACGTCTCTCAGGTGGTCGTGCCTCCCCACCTCCCAGTGAGCTGGGAAGCGGCGGCGGTCTTGAGGGAGGAGGTGGCGGATTTGGTGCCCTCAAGTGTAATAATTGCGGCACGACGACAACTCCCCTCTGGCGACGCGACGAGGAGGGCAATAACATCTGCAACGCCTGCGGCCTCTACCAGAAGCTGCACGGCGTTGCGCGCCCTGTTGGCATGCGCAAGACGGTTATCAAGCGGCGCAAACGTGTCACGGGAGCAGGGTCCAATGCAGGACATCAGGGTCATTCTCACGCCCCGCCACCTTCGAGCACTGCTGGCGGAGATGAGGGCACGATGGCGGGGACTGCGGGGCCCTCATCGCAACAGCAACAGCAACAGCAACGATCAGCGGCTCCAGGTGGCGGTGGAGCGACGATGGCACAACAGAAGGGGCCTGCAGCAACAGCTCGAGGCTCGCATCAGCAGGACCAGGCGCATGAGGCGGCAATGACCTTGATCTCTGTCCACTCGGGTGCCCCAGGGCATGACGAGGGCCAGGTTGCTTCGTCATCTTCATCGTCGATGCAACCTGCGCCTGCGACTTCTCACTCTGGCTTGAACGGAGGGGTTGGCGTGAGGGAAAAGGCAAGAGCTCAAGCTGCTGCCTCAATGGCCGGAGAGAGGCCGACGAAGAAGGCGAAGCAGCAGCAGCAGCAGCAGCAGCAGCAGCAACACTCAGGAGTAGCAGAGGATATCGACGCTCGGGAGACTGGGGGTCACTCCCATTCTCATCCGGCCCACCATCATCATCATCACCACCATAGCCATATTCAACCGCCGCCGGCTCATCTTATCCCGGAGCTCGTCGCGCATCGAGACGAGTTGATCGCAGGGAAGCGTCACCTTGAGCAGCTTCTAGCAAGGACTGAGAGTCTCCTGCATAGCGCGGGCGTGGCGCTGCCCACCTCTTCTGGAGCGAGCGCAGTGGGGTCGACGACGACCACAGCGGGCACTGCGGCCAGTGCTGCTCATCATCACCACACGCACCCGCATACGCATGCTCACCCTCACGTGCACGCGCATCACCATCATCATCCGGCACATGCGCATGCCCATGCTCACACGCATAACCACGCAGTGCCCCATGTCCACCATCGTGTTCACACGCATGCGCACGTGCCTGCCACCACAGCTGGGGCGAGACCTGTCCCGCATCATCACCACCCGGTCGCTGGTGCTCGACCTGCTGCGACCGCAGCTGGGTCTAGCACAGAGGCTGGTCATGCTCATGCCCACGCGCACACGCATGGGCACCCTCATACGAGCGGCTCGCCCGAGGCTGGCAGGCCCGCCCTCTCCGCTGCTACTCCCAATGGTCCCATCGCCGGGCAAAGCACCTCGAGCGCCCCTCCTGCTGCCTCTGGCTCGGATGGTGGCGCAGGCGTGGATTTTGAAGCTCGTATTGCCGCTATACCCTATACGGCTGCTGTGCCCCTACCACTACTGCGGAAGCGCAAGCAGGATGACGAAGAGGGAAGCACCACGAGGTCCGAAGCCGCTTCTGCGATCAGTGGCTGGCTGAAGGGGGTTGCGGCTAGTTCTGGAGATCCGCACAGCGTGCATGAGGATGAGGCTGATGATCCTGAGGAGAGTGGGAAGGCTACGAACGCGCAGGAAGTGATACGGGACAGGTCGAAGAGTGCGAATTCGATGAAGGGAAAAGAGGCCCACGAGCCCGTCAAGGGCGGGAGCGCGGGTTCTGCTTCGCCGGGAAAGGTTGAGGAGATGTCTCAGTGAGAGTGCGAGAGTGAGCAATAGTATCCACCACCGCTGCGAGAGCGCTTTGTTGACGACCATTGATGATTGTCGCCTTGTCGAGTGAGAGTGACCCTCGCGCGAAGGGATCGAGCGGTTAAGCCGCGTCGCCGGGCGAGCGGGAGCTGGCCGGCCTAATTTTGAGCTCTGTCCAACCAACTCGATTCTCCCACTTCGCGCTATCTTTGATCCCCTCCTTCTCCTCATCTTTGCGCTTGCTGCTGCGTTCAAGGGCAAACATGGCTCCCAGCACGACCTCGGCGTCGTCATCAGCCGCAGGATATGGCTTTCCATCTTCCAGCTCTTCCTCCAATCCCACCTTCTCCTCACTACCCATGACCCCCTCAGCCCTCTCCGCCTCCCAACACCCCTCGAGCTCCTCTCTACCCCGTCTTCCCCCCAATGTCATCCGCCTTCCCGCCACTTCTCAGCTGGAGGCCTGCCTCACCATCATCAGAGACAAGCAGACAAGCAGGAGCGATTTCATCTTCTACTCGGACAGGATTATCAGGCTGTTAGTCGAGGAAGGGTTGAACCATCTGCCCGTGGTGGGAAAGCAGGTCCAATGTCCTACGGGGCTGCCATACAATGGAGTGGAATTCCAAGGGAGGATTTGCGTGATTTTCAGCACAGATGAGCTTTGGACGAGAAGGCAACTACTGACAGCAGCAAGCCTTGTCCTCGCACACTCAGGGCGTCTCGATCTTGCGAGCGGGCGAAGCGATGGAGGCGGGCCTTAGAGAATGCTGTCGCAGTGTTCGCATTGGCAAGATCCTGATCCAGAGGGACGAGGAGACGGCTAAGCCAAAGCTTTGTGAGTGCAGACGACCTCGCTGAGGGGCGACGGCTGCACGGTCGTCCGAGTGAAGCTGACCTCTGTGCCCTCTCTTCGTCCCGCCAGTCTACTCGAAGCTGCCAAGGGACATTGCGGATCGCTGGGTCCTGCTCTTGGACCCCATGCTCGCTACAGGCGGGTCGGTGATCAAGGCTATCGAGGTGTTGGTGGACCACGGTACGTGCCACCTGGCTGCGCAGCTGCACGGCCCTCACGCTCATCTTTGGTCCCCTCCCAATCCTTCGCGCAGGCGTTCCCCTCGAGCGCATCATCTTCGTCAACCTGGTCGCATCTCCCGAAGGCATCGAGAATGTGACAAAGCGCTTCCCTGCCGTGCGACTCATCTGCGGGTGGATCGATGATGGGCTCACTGAGCAGAAGTAAGTGCCAGTGGTCTTCATGAACACATGACTTCAAGAGTACTGACCCCAGCCCTGGTCGACACAGCCTGATCTGGCCCGGGCTCGGCGATTTCGGGGATCGTTACTTTGGAGCGTGAAGTTCTAAGGATCATGAGTGAAGTCGTCAGGATCATCAGAAGGTTGGACGTCGCTGGAGAAGGTGCTTTGCAGCTTGAGGTCGCGTCGAAAACCAGGGGGATGGAGATCGCGGTCAGTCGTGTCGACAGCTGCTTCGACGTCGGCTCGCGCCGGTAGCCTGCGTCTTTAAACGATTCATTCTGGTTCCCATTGTCTTATTCTCCTCTCTTTGCCTCTTCGCAAAATGGCCTTGCTGCAGGGACGTCGTATTGAAGGAGAAGCTTTGCAGTTGGGGTGGCCTGAGCGTCGCGCCGCCTTCCTGCCACGTGGAGGGGTGCAGGGCCTCGTCAGCGGTGCGCCTCCACGCGTTCGTCGCTCGACTTGGCCCGTCACTGTCGAGCGCCTGACGCTCACACTTTCGATCTGATCCATCACAACCTCTCTCCTTGGCTGAGCTCTCCTCGCAAACGACTCAGAGCTCGTCCACCGCAGAACACTTCCGCACTCGTCGACTAAGCGCTAAGCAGAAAGCTTTGCCCGACGACTGCTGCCTCATCAACTAGATTCTCCTCCCTCTCTTACCCTCACCCACTCCTTCGCCGCCTCAATCATGGCAGACTCTGGCTCGAACCCTGCTCAAAACCCTCCGGCGCCTAAGCCAGAGGACAACAAGACTGACGAGGACCCGGCCACCGCCATTCTCCGTCCCAAGAAGTGTGAGTGATGGCGAGCGCAATCGCCGGCGCAGAGCTCAGCCGCTCACCCTGCCTGCTCATATCGCCACCTGCGCCTTTCAGCCCCCAATCGCCTCTTCGTCGAGGAGTCTACGACCGACGACAACTCGGTAGCATGTCTTTCGCCAGCCAAGATGGAGGAGCTCGGTCTCTTCCGTGGCGACACTGGTGAGTGGTCGCGAAGACAGCATCCACACTTGCAGCTGAGCAGCCTGTTGACACCTCTCTCCGCTCTCAGTCCTCATTCGCGGCAAGAAGCGTCGTGATACCGTCTTGATCTGCTTGACCGATGATTCTACCGAGGAGTCAAAGATTCGCCTCAATCGTGTAGCCCGTAATAACCTGCGTGTCAAGCTCGGAGACATGATCACCATCCACGCCTGCCACGACATCAAGTAAGTCCGCCCGACTGTGATGGGCTCATCGTCGAAACTCACAGCTGACCCTGTCCCCATTCCTTCTTCGCAGGTATGGCAAGCGTATCCACGTCCTCCCCTTCGATGATAGCGTCGAGGGCCTCACTGGAAACCTCTTCGACGTCTACCTCAAGCCCTACTTCCTTGAGGCTTACCGTCCAGTGCGCAAGGGAGACACCTTCACCGTCCGCGGTGGTATGCGCGCAGTCGAGTTCAAGGTCATCGAGACCGATCCCGCCGAATTCTGCATCGTCGCTCAAGACACTGTCATCCACACCGAGGGCGACCCGGTCAAGCGTGAGGACGAGGAGGCCAACCTCGCCGATGTAGGCTACGACGACATTGGTGGTTGCCGCAAGCAGATGGCTCAGATTCGTGAGATGGTCGAGCTGCCCCTTCGCCACCCTCAGCTCTTCAAGGCAATCGGAATCAAGCCCCCTCGCGGTGTCCTCATGTTCGGTCCCCCGGGTACAGGTAAGACGCTCATGGCTCGCGCTGTCGCCAACGAGACCGGCGCCTTCTTCTTCCTCATCAATGGTCCCGAGATCATGAGCAAGATGGCCGGAGAGTCTGAGTCGAACCTGCGCAAAGCATTCGAGGAGGCCGAGAAGAACTCGCCTGCCATCATCTTCATCGACGAGATCGACTCCATTGCGCCCAAGCGTGAGAAGACCAATGGAGAGGTCGAGCGTCGTGTCGTCTCGCAGCTCCTCACCCTCATGGATGGCCTCAAGGCTCGCTCCAACATCGTCGTCATGGCAGCCACCAACCGACCCAACTCTATTGATCCTGCCCTTCGTCGCTTCGGCCGCTTCGACCGTGAAGTGGACATCGGAATCCCCGACCCGACTGGTCGTCTCGAGATTCTCCGCATCCACACCAAGAACATGAAGCTCGGTGAGGACGTCGATCTCGAACAGATTGCCGCTGAGACGCACGGCTACGTTGGATCAGACATGGCTGCGCTCTGTTCAGAGGCTGCGATGCAGCAAATTCGTGAGAAGATGGACCTCATCGACCTCGATGAGGACACAATCGATGCAGAGGTTCTCGACTCGCTCGGCGTCACCATGGAGAATTTCCGCTTCGCCCTGGGCGTCTCCAACCCCTCGGCCCTGCGAGAGACGGCCGTCGAGGTGCCTACGGTCACTTGGAACGACATCGGCGGTCTCGAAAAGGTCAAGCAGGAGCTTCAAGAGACGGTCTCGTACCCCGTCGAGCATCCCGAGCTTTTCCTCAAGTACGGCATGTCGCCCTCAAAGGGAGTCCTCTTCTACGGCCCGCCCGGTACCGGTAAGACGCTCCTTGCCAAGGCCATTGCCAATGAGTGCCAGGCCAACTTCATTTCCATCAAGGGTCCTGAGCTCCTCACGATGTGGTTCGGAGAGTCCGAGGCCAACGTTCGTGATGTGTTCGACAAGGCTCGTGCCGCTGCTCCTTGTGTCATGTTCTTCGATGAGCTTGACTCCATCGCCAAGTCTCGTGGCGGCGGCGGCGGCGGCGACGCTGGTGGCGCTTCAGAGCGAGTCGTCAACGCCCTGCTTACCGAGATGGACGGCATGAACGCAAAGAAGAACGTCTTCATCATCGGCGCTACCAACCGACCGGACATCATCGACCCGGCTCTCATGCGCCCCGGCCGTCTGGACCAGCTTCTCTACATTCCTCTGCCCGACGAGCTCGGCCGCCTCTCAATCCTCAAGGCTCAGCTGCGCAAGTCACCGATCGCCCCGGGTGTCGACCTCAACTACCTCGCACGCCACCTCTCTGGCTTCTCAGGTGCCGACATCAGCGAGATTTGCCAGCGTGCGGCCAAGCTCGCGATTCGCGAGAGCATTGCCAAGGACGCGGAGCGCTACGCCGAGCAGAAGCGCAAGGAGGCAGCAGCGGGTGGTGGCGGTGACGTCAAGATGGAGGACGACGCTGCGGCTGCTCCTGCTAAGCCCGCACCAGAAGATGAGGACTATGAGGACCCGGTCCCTTACATCAGTGTCGAGCACTTCGAGCAGGCAATGTCCACTGCCCGTCGCTCCGTCACCGACTCGGACATTCGTCGCTACGAGATGTTCGCTCAAACTCTCAATACGGCGCGATCCTTTGGCTCGTTCAAGTTCCCGGGTGAGGGTGGTGCCGGTGGTGGGTCACAACAGCAGAACCCTGCCCAGGGAGGCGGCGGAGGAGGTGCAGCGTTTGGGTCGAATGACGATGACGGGGATGACCTGTACGCGTGAAGCATCGGAGGAGGGTGAGGAAGCTGGACGATTGCAGCGAAGCTCTGTCATTCTATCCGTCTGAAGAAAGAAGAATTACAATTCGTGTCTCGAGATCAAAGATGCCATCGCTGATTGGTGACGAGTTGAGAAAGGCTGCGTGCAGTTCGCAGCTCATGGTGACCAACACTCAGACCGCGATGCAACGACCGAGACGCCGCGTTCGACTTGCTCGCTCGCCCGGCCTGCTGAACTGCTCCATAGCGTTGGTGACAGAGGCATTGACGATGGTGAAGACTGTATGCTCCGTGTGAGAATTTGGCCTCTTGGTCGTATCGACGCCCCGTATCTCACAAAAGAGGCCGGCCTGCCAAGTGCGGCGTCTTTTGTCACAACCACGGTCAGGTCCCGTAGCCGGGAGTAGCGTCGATTTCAGGGCAAGGTGGTCGAGGCCTTGCCGCCGGGGGTCCGCCAACAGACGCGAGGTTAGGGTGCGGGAGGCGCGAGCGAGCTAGAGAGCGAGCCAGAGTAGGGTGCAAGGTCAGCCGCCGCGCCAACGAACGAAGCCAAAGGAGGACGGCAACCTCGCAGCACAGCCAGCCCCGACTGCCCCCGCCCTCCATCTGAACGATGACGGCCGCGAGGATCGGGATTTGTTCCACTCGCACAGGTACGTCTTCCCTGTTTCAGACTAGGACTGCGACAACGCCAACACCTGTCTCTCATTCCTATCCATCATTGCTTCGCTCCACTCGCTGACTACCTGGACGATCATCGCACCCTCACACATCTTCCCTTTCTCGTTTCCAACCGTTAAAGCCAGCCAATCCCCGAGCGGGCTCGCATAGCCGCCGCAACACTCGCCTACCGCGATGAACGGCTCAACAGGAACGCCGTCGTGGGCATCCACGCAGCGGCAAACAGGCCAATATCGCCCGCCTACGGGCGACAACAGCTTTGACCCGAGGCAGCAGCAAAGCGGAGGAGGCGGCGGAGGACTGGGCGGTGTGATGGACTCGAGCCCTTCCCTTGGCCGTATGCCTTCTCGTGGTCGCGACCAGCAGCAGCAGCAGTGGCCTTCGTCGTCCTCTGGTAACGACACGCAGTCACACCGTGCTTCCTCTTATCAACCCATGCAGCAAAACGGCGGCAGTCAAAGAATGGCAGCTCAGCAAGACAGCCATCGTCGCACTCAATCGCTTCGACCTTTTTCAGCTTTCCAGCCTCTGGATCAGGCTGACCCTTATGGTCCCTCACAGAAGAGTCCAGGCACTCCCAACGACCGACCACCTTCACCAACAGGCTCGACTTCTCGCTCTATTCGCACCTCAGCCGCTCCCTTGACTTTCAAGTCGCCTGAGCTGCGCAGTGCTCTCTATCTGCAAGATGCTCAGCAGAGGAAGACGTACATGGAAGGATACCTGTCAAGGCGAGATGCATTGGGCGCTGATGGCAAGCCTTTGCACCCTAACGATCCCAAGAAGTGAGCGCGAAGCACCGCGAAAAGATTGTTGCAGGCCACTGACATCCATTCCTCCTCTTGATTCGCGCTCGCAGAGCTTGGCACTTGTGCTTTGTTCAGCTCAGCGGGACAGTGCTCAGCGTCTGGAGCGTATCGCAGATGGAAGAGGCTGCTCGAGAAGGCCGCGAAGTCCCTCCCACTTACATCAACGTCACCGACTCATTCGTCGACCTCATCGGCAACCTCATTGAGGACCCTAACGAGGTACCAGGCTCACGCGGCCGCTACGAGAATGTCTTCGCACTCAATTCGGCAGGCAACAATCGCATCCTCTTCTGCGTCGAGGGCGCAGTAGGCAGGCGACTTGTGCAGGCGTGGGTCAATGGCATCAGGCTAGCTTCGTGGGAAAAGGTCAGGCTCGAGGAGATCTACACCGGCGCACTCATTCGAGCTCGACTGGGCTCTGTTGGCGCCAACAGCACTGATACAGGCCCCATGCAGGGCCCACCACCCGCAATGGCCAACCTCACCATCGCCAGCCCGGTCTCCAAGGGCAAGATGGAGGGATGGGTCAAGGCACGCTTCATGGGCTCGACAGAATGGAAGAAGTGCTGGCTCGTCCTCTCCAAGGACAAGAACGAGGCCTCATCAGGGCAGAGCGTCACGAGGAGATTTTGGAACAAGATTGGCGGCGCGGGTGATCGAAGCTCGATCCTCAGCATGGCTTCGACTTCGGACAAGGACCCTACCGCTCCCACCACGCCAGGACGCACCTTGTCCAACACGGGCGAGGGCCTAGCAATGGAGCCCCCGCCAGGCAGCAACAATGCCCCAGGCATTGCCCAGTTCTACACGAGCAAGAAGGACAAGAAACCCTTCGCCACCATGCTCTTTGCAGCCCACGCCTTCGCCGTCTACCCTTCACGCCCAGAGCTCGTGGAGGGCTCATCGCTCTTCAAGGTAGAGGGCGCCTTCCCGCTCAGCCAAGTCCTCTCGGCCACGCACCGTATTCGACAGACGGGCTGGGTCATGATCATGCCGGAGCTCGAAGCAGGGTCGCGCGGCGCAAACGCCGAGATGATGAAGTGGGTCATCGGCTTCATGGACTCGTTCCAACTCTACGGCCGTCCAGAGGGGTTCAACTGGGACGCTCGCAGCCCGAAATCCGCTTTCTTCGCATACCCAATCGGGCAGTACAAGGAACGATTGTTCTTGGATCGTGAGCTCGCGGAGTTCCTTGATGTAAGGGAAGAGCGTCACTTGGCTACGAGGACGAACCTACATGGAATCATGGCTGCGAGAATGAGGGGCGAGAGGACCCCCTTACTGCCTCCTTTGCCTCAGCCTAATACTGCGCATACGAGGCAGCTCAATGGTGGGAAGAGTGGACCGCAGCAGCAGCAGCTGAGCGCGGATCAAGCTGCCACGTCGGAGCCAACTTCACCTTTGCCTGAGGCTACTGGCGGCCCAGATGATGATGACGACCAACAACCTCAACGTAGCAGTGGTCTCGAGCCAATTGGTGAGCGATCGCGCGAGGGCAGCCAGATGACCTTGGCCGCCGCCCAGCAGCACCAGGACCGATCCCAGCAAGGCAGCGCGACATCGGCTAAGGACTCTGACCTCCCGTATCGCAGCACCGACTCGCAGCAACAGCAGCAGCAGCAGCCGAGCAGATACGCCGGTGCTGCCGCTCCAGCTCTCGCGGCAGGTGCACTCGCTGGCTCGGCAGCAGCTTCGCAGAGGGACGAGCGCGCCAGCTCCTCGCTCGAAGGCCCTCGACGACCTTTCACGGCTGAACGACAGGACTCGTACAGGACAGCGCCGGCTGCAGCCACTCCGCCGCCCCCCTCAGTCAGGAGCGGTGTGGCCAGCATCGACCGCTCAGACAGTCTCGACTCGCGTACTCAGTCCCAGCAGCAGCAGCCCCAGCAGCAGCAGCCATCCTATCTTGCCGCTTCTCGAGGTGCGCAGGGTTCTTCTCCTGCGGATGCCACGCCGGTACCTTCGCCCATCAAGAAGGACACGTCGATGTCCGCAGCCGCGCCTCCCATTGCCGCGGCAGCTGCTATTCCTTCTGGCTCCTCCGCGGTGCCCGCTCCCTCAGGCCGTGGTGCAGAGGCCGACAAGCCCGCCACATCTTCTTCAATGGCCGTACCTAGCGACAAGACGCGACAGCGTCAGAGCGACGCCGATTTGGCCTCATCGTACGACGAGGGGGCCCTGTTCTACCTGCGCTCCATGTCCGACCAGCAGCCGCCTGCTCCGTCCAAGCCAACTGTCCAAACTCAGCCGTCTCAGCTCGCCGCTGCAGCGGCTGCGAGCGGTGCTGCTGGAGTTGCCCCAATGTCAGCAACGACTAAGGACTCGCCCGGCATTGACACCCCTAGCTCATACACTCAGCAAAGCAGTTACGCTCCATCTTCGAGGACAGCGAACGGGCTCTCGCGCGACCCATCCGTGCGCATTCCGCAGCAAGATGAAGACCGTCTGGATGAGGATGCACTTGCTGCATATTCATACCTCGATCAGCCTCCTTCCCCCTCGGCTCTGGGTCGTCAACGTAGCCTTCCCAAGCAGGCCACCGCTGCAGCCCCTGCGCCCGCTTCGTATGCCGCCGCACCCGTTCAGCAGCAACAGCAGCAGCAGACTCAACAGACATATGCGCCCACACCCACCGCGGCCAACCCCTCGACCTTTGGGCAGAACAAGCGCGCCCAAGAGAGGAAGGAGGCCGCTCAGGCTCAGGCTGCAGCCGTAGCTGAAGCTCGTAGCAAGCCTGGTAAGGCAGCTGGAGCCACAAAGAAGGGCGGACTCAAGCCAAAGGGCCGTCACGCATGGGGCGAGGAGAGCAGCGAGGACGAAGAGGAAGAAGATGAAGACGATGAAGAAGAGGAGCAGCGTCGGCAAGCCTCTCAAGGCTCACGCATGGCCCCTCCAGTCGCTCAAGCCATGAACTCTTCGTCAGCCAGCGGCTCTCAGGCTTCTTCCATCGCCCGTGGCATGACTGGATCATCTGCTGCAGCAACTGCTTCCGCCAATGGTCTCCCTGCTCCCGGCATGACCCCGGCAGGCAGCACCTACAGTAACAGCAGCGGTCGCCAAAGTCCTCGTTACGCAGAATCTACGGCGGCTCCCTCGACCATGCCAGCGAACAATGCTGGTGCTGGCCAAGGCATGATGCGAGCAGGGCAGAGCCACCCGGCCCTTGCTTCTACTCAGCAGCAGCGTCAATCTGTTCTCACACCTCACCTCGGCGCCCCCTACGCCTCGGAGGACGACGGTCGTCGCTCCGCCTCGCCGAACACCGCAGCGAGCTCGACCTACCCTGCTGCTCGCCAGCAGCCGCAAACCTTCGTCCAGCTCAACCCAGACGAGCAGCCAGGCTCGATGACTACCGTCTTCCAGCCTCACGGCCTCCTTGAGGCCGGTGCTCAGGACAAGCAAGACCGGTCTGCCAAGCAGCAAGAGCTGGAAGCCCGCATGGCAGGCGTCGGGCTCGTCAATGTCCCCTCGAAGCCTCCCCCGCCTCAAGCTGGGCTGCTCGGCGCTATCAGTGCGCATGAGCGTGAGCGCAAGGGAGCCGGCGGCTTGGGAGCTACGATGACGGAGAGGGAGCGACAGAGGGTCGAGGCCGAGCGACGTCAACGAGAGGAGGACGCTGCACAGCGCCAGCAACAACAGCAGCAGATGATGATGCAGCAGCAGCAAATGGCAGGCATGGGTGGGATGCTAGGCATGAACCCTATGATGATGGGTGGCGGGCAGTTCAATCCTTTCCTGTGGCAGCAAATGATGATGATGAACCCGATGATGATGGGTGGAATGCCCGGGCAAGGCTCAGGTGAATCGCAGTTGGGTGGTCACGGCGGTAGCCAACAGGGCAGTCACGGCGGCCAATCCCCTCCGCCGGCGATGGACCCTTACCAGCAGCAGATGATGCAGATGCAGATGCACCAGCAGCAGATGGCTGCGGCCATGGCTGCACAGCAGGCGTATATGGCTGCGATGTCACAGAGTCAGCAGGGCGGTGGGCCAGGCTCGATGATGAGCGGGCAAGGTGGCGATCAGCAGCAGCCTGGCATGCCCGGCTCTCCTTCTCAAATGTCCATGAGCCCCAGCATGCTCGGCATGGGCGGCTATGGTATGCCAAGCCACATGTCAATGTACGGCATGCCTCCTGGCGGGATGATGGGCGGATACCCAATGATGGGCGGAGGCTCTGGATCAGACTTTGGCGGCCCTGCCAGTGGCGGCGGGCACTTCCAGGGCGCCAGCGGTGGTAGCATGTCAGGCAGACCTGGAAGCGCGCATACGGGGGGAAGTCCGCAGCAGTCGCACGCTCAGCAGCAATCGACTGGCAGCAGGAGGTTCGAGGGGTCAGCGGCGCAGGAGAGACCTGGCCAGGCAGGCTCGCCGTTGAGGCGTTAAAGGAGAGCAGTGTTGCGTGCGAAGGCCACCAAAAGAATTCTGGACAGACACCTTTTCTGATGCTTTCTATACGTCTACGTCAACGTCTCTCTTGTCGTTCAGAAGTGTTGAATATCAGGAGTCAGTCACGAACAATGAAATTACTGAGTTGCTGTCGAGGCTTCGCGGGTCGTCGTCTCGTGGTGGATGTGGACGCAGGTGGTGTCGGGGCGTAAGGATGGCGCTGGGCTGGTCGTGTGCCGGCTCCCTCTCGCTCTCGTGTCGTCCTTTGCTTGGCGCAATGCGGGGAGATCGAGAGCAGCGGACGAAGCGGAGGGGCCGGACGGACGGGATGAGGCGAGGCGAGGCGAGGCGAAGCGGGTCAAATCAGGAACAGGGCTTTCTTGAATCCGTATCATCCGTCTCACCACGTCTACATCTCAGACGGGCCCCCAACGAAATGTCGGGAGGTCAACCTCCCGCCTCGCTATCATGGCGTGTGGGCACTCCCAGCGGCAGTGGCAGCGGCAGCGGTCGCTCCTCACCGCAACACCAGCGCAATACGAGCACCAGCACCTCTTCCAGCCTCGCAAGCGCCGTTCTCCCGGCAATCTCCATTGCCTTGCCTGGCAGCAGCGGGCCGTCATCTGCATCCTCCTCGAGCTCTAGACTGCCCATCCCAGGAAGCGGCAGCGGTAGCGGGATCGCTACAGATCAGCCAAGTGTTGCCTCCTCTTCATCAGCATCGACTGAAGACGTCCGCTCCTCCTCCTCCGGTCGTGCCTCCAATAACAGCGAAAATCCCCAACTAGAGATGCAAGCCTCTTCCTCCAATTCGCATCGCTCTTCCCTTCTCTACCCCTTCCACATTGGTCCCCTGCGCACAGACGGGAAGAGCGGGCACGATGCCTCTCAACGCAAAGCCCGTAAACGTGACAAGCTGGCTCGAGCAGGGAGGAGCTTGAGTCCTTTTCGTACGAGGCATGGACGCAGTGGTAGCTTGAACCGACTGGGCGAAGCGTTGGCTGCTGTCACGATGCGATCACACAGCGGAGATAACAAGCTTCTGACACCGCCCAAGGTGGGAGGGTCAGGGGCCTCGTCGAGCCAATCACGAACGCCGCAGAGCGATGATGCCAGTATTGGGGAGGCAACTGAAGATGATAGTACCGATACCGAGTCGGTGCGCAGTGTCGGCCTAGCACCTCGTAATACGGCTTTCGGCAGTGGGCGTGACGGCAGAGGTGATGGGGATGAGGAGCACAGTGGCTCTGCCCACGATGATGACGCCGACCCAGAGAAGCAGCGCACCTCCCTCGACGCCTCGGGCGAGGAGTCCCTCAGCAGTGAAAGCGACGGACATCGAGCACAGGAGGATGAAGACGACTCCATCATCGACTTTGACGATGCGACAATCGACAATACGCTGTTCAATGCCGGCTGCCTGGACCTGCACAACGCTTGGCAGAACAATAAGGAGTCGATTGGTGAGGGGGGCTGGTACCCTTCTGAGGATGATCCCTCTTGGTCCAACGACGAGCATCAGGACGAAGATGATCAAGTCTCGTCTTCTTCGCGTTCCCACCCGCATCGCGACCACCACCATCACGGTTCTCGTCACTCTGGTGCTTTGGTCGATGACCCCGAAGGCGAAGACGACGAAGGCTACACGCAGAAGGGTACTCGCACCGCACCTGTTGACGGTGCCCCCCCGATTGAGACGAGCGAGACCTCCATGGATCACCATTCGCGCCTGCCCAACGTCATCCTCCCTTCCTCTCATCGTCCCACCGCCCCTAAGAAGCAAGGCTCCAAATGGATCTCGTCCTCCTCGCGCAGTGCAGGCGGAGATGAATACTCCCTTGTCGCCTCTCGTCCCATCTTCGCCAAGAATCGCTGCACCATCACCTTGGTACACGGCGAGTACGAGAAAGCCGTCGAAGCCCGGCGGTCCGGCAGTGGAGAGGGGCGCAACCCTCGTCGTTGGGTTGTCGCGTCTGACGGGTCCGAGGAGTCAAGCTATGCCATCGAATGGACAATCGGCACAGTCCTCCGTGACGGGGATGAGACTTTGATCGTCTCGGTGATGGAAACCAGCGAGAAGCTTGATGGGTCTCACCTGCCTACTAACGCGGCTGGAAAGGCCGCACTCGAGGAGAAGCAGAGGATCAGGCAGAGCATGGCACTCGTTCTTGCAAGGCAGGCTACTGCGTTGCTTCAGAGAACCAGGCTCGCGGTGAAGGTCAGCTGTCAGGCGTTGCATGCTAAACATGCAAGGCACATGTTGCTCGACCTGATTGACTTCTACGAGCCAACGATGGTGATAGTGGGGTCGAGAGGTTTGGGGTCGCTGAAAGGGATCCTCCTCGGCAGTACAAGCCATTACCTCCTTCAGCGATCAAGCAAGCCGATTATGATTGCGAGAAAGCGACTGCAGCTGCCTGCTCTGCCACGCGGCAAAGGAGATGTGGTCTCTTCGGTGCGCAGACGCCATATGAGGTTGGATGAGGCCGCGATTGAGAAGAAGAGTAAGGTGGGAGAGGAGGAAGGAGCGGACGGTGAAAGCCATAGCGAGGGAGAGGAGGGGGAGAAGGAGGGAGGAGAGAAGAAGGCAGAGGAGGGCGACAACAATGCAGAGGAGGGCAAGAAGTCGGAGGAGAGCGAGGCAGACGCCACGGTTCTGTCCCCCGAAAGTCAGGGCGACAAGAAAGAGAAGGCTGACAAAAGGAAGATTCATGTTGAGACTCAAGAGGAGCAAAGGCGTAGGGAGGGCTCATCGACCATGGCTGCCGTAGAGGACAGGCGGCTGAGAGAGAGTGAAGGGGACGAGGACGACGAACACGACGGCGAAGGCGATCTGGCTGGGCAGCAAAGCCAAGAGGGCGCAGCGTCGGAGCCATCTGCCTCTACGAAGTCACTCTCCTCGAGCACAACAGCAGAAGCGGACAACGACGAGCAGGTGTACAAGAGCGGCGCAGCTGTCAGCGAGAGAGCCGAAGAGCGCGGCAGACGACCGTCCGCAACCCCCGCCGAAGAAGTCGCTCCCGACGCTGGTAGCGAGGAGGCAGAGCGAGGCAGAGGTCGCTCTAGGACGAGGGATCGATGAGTTGTACCCTGCATTCTCCACGACCGTTATGTCCATATCCATTGCTATAAAACGCCTGAGTCGTGTTGTGTCGTACGAGGTCCACTGCGTCTCTATTTTGGTTCTCGACCTTGCCTCGCGGACCCCGCCTTTTGTCCTCTCACACGGCGCAGGCTGAGGACCGGCTTCGGCAGACGATGAAGCCGGGGCACGCGGACGCGGCGCAGCATCAGAGGAGCACGGCCACGCTGACTGACTGACAGATGGCCAGGCCGACTCAAGTTGAGGGCGATGAATGCCAATACGAATGCGAGACCCTGAATATCACTTTATCCTCCAATCTCACATCCATCTCCACCACCTCGCAACTATCCGACAAGCGACAGGCGAAGACTCGCATCCTCTCCTTGCTCCTCACCGCGACCGCTGGCTCTTGCTCTCCCATCGTCTCCGCCATGGCCGTGCAATCCAAGCCGCTTGCTCCACCGGGAGGCCTCGCCCACTGGCTTACAACCCACCCAGCCGGCAAGCCTAGCATCCTCGGCCTGATCCTCTTCCTTTTCTTCGCTCGTAAACGTCTAGCCTCCCTTGCGCCAAAGGCAGTTCAGCGTAGACCGGCCCTCAGTGATGCAGAGATGGATCATGCGCTGGAGGAGGTGTATGTCCCCGGCCAAGGAGAGTCGAAGGGGTCGTACGAGCTGCTCGTCCCGCATAGAGGGAGAATCTCGAGGGTGAGGGTCAACCCGACGAAGCAGAGCACATTCGACGCCCACTTCAGAGACTTTGAGAAGCTGCCGCCGCTCGCTGTTGGTGGTGGTGGCGGGTCGAAGAAGAAGAAGCGAGACGGGAGCGCCGACAGTAGCACTAATGGCGGTAAGGGCAGAGGGACCAAAGAGGACGCCGTCGAGCGCAAGAGGCAAGAAGTCGAGGCGGTACGAGCTCAAGGGGGTGCGGCTGCTGCGAGCGCCAAAAGGGTGGGCGTAAACAAGGAGTTCTTCAGGCAGCTGAGAGCCCTCTTCAAAATCATGGTGCCGAGAAGCAACGCCAAGGAGGTGTGAGTACGGTCGAGTCGATGTGGGAATTGGGACAAGAGGGGATTGGAAGGAGCTGACGTCGTCTATTCTCTTCCCGTATAGATTCATCTTCTGCTTGCATACCTCGTTCCTCATCTTGAGGACGTACTTGAGGTGAGCCATTGGCGGTCTGGCTGATTGTATGCTATGCTTATCGGCGCGCTGACACCACCTTCCCTCTGCCCACACTCGTACAGCGTCCTCGTCGCTCGCCTGGACGGTCGCCTAGTCCGTGACCTCGTCTCAGCAAATGGCAAAGGCTTCCTTCGCGGCCTCGGCCTCTGGTTCCTTCTGGCCGTACCCTCAACCTACACCAACTCGATGATCCGCTACCTCCAGACCAAGCTGGCGATCTCCTTCCGCACACGCATGATGCGATACGTCCACGACTTGTACCTCAACGATGGCCGTAACTTCTACAAGGTCATGAATCTTGATGGAAGGATCAACGGGGCCGATCAATTCATTACGGCCGATGTGGCGCAATTCTCCAGTGCGCTCGCGGCGCTGTATTCGAACATCTCCAAGCCGGTGTTGGACATGATCGTCTTCAACTTCCAGCTCGCGTCCAACTTGGGTTGGAAGGGACAATTTGCCTTGTTTGCCAACTACATTGTCACAGGATGTGAGTACGCTCGCCGGGCTCCCCCTTAATGTCTTACTGAACATCATCTTCCCCTCCTGGCTGCAGGGATCCTCCGCAAGGCCACCCCAGCCTTTGGCAAACTCGCAGCCCTGGAAGCCAAGCTCGAAGGAGACTTCCGTGCAGCGCACTCTCGCCTGATCATCAACGCAGAGGAGATCAGCTTCTACGGCGGTGCCAAGACCGAAGCTGGCATCCTCAATCGAGCCTTCCTCCGCTTGGTCAAACACATCAGCTCCATCCTCAAGATCCGCATCGCATTCAACATGTGCGAGGACTTTGTTCTCAAGTATGCCTGGAGTGCTGCGGGATATGTCATCATTGCTTCTCCCTTCCTCTTCGGACTCAAGCCGCAGCAGGCTCAGGCCGTGTCAAGCAAGACCGCCGAAGCTGGCGCAGAGGGCTCGACCGGCTCGCACGAAGGCGTCGCCCGCAAGACGGAGTCGTACATCTCGAATCGTCGCCTCCTCCTCTCCCTTGCAGACGCAGGTTCGCGCCTCATGTACAGCTATAAGGAGCTCGCCGAGCTTTCCGGGTACACGAATCGCGTCTACACCCTGATCTCTACGCTGCACCTCCTCAACAAGGATCGCTACGAGGCCATAGACCGTCCGTCGGACCTTGCACGTGATCAGCCCTTCTACGACATGGGTAATGTAAAGGGCAAGGTCATTGAGGCGAGCAGCTCTGCGTCCGGGGCTAAGTTGCTTGACTTTGAGAAAGTACCCATCGTCGCACCCGCGCCAGGCTCCGCCAGGGGAGGCGAAGAGCTGGTGCGCGACTTTACCCTCGCAATGCAGCCTGGAGATCATATACTCCTCACTGGAGCGAACGGCGTAGGCAAGTCAGCCGTAGCGCGCGTCATTGCTGGTCTCTGGCCTGTATGGTCGGGCAGCATGCGCAAGCCTACCGAGAAGGACATCTTCTTCCTTCCTCAACGCCCTTACCTCTCTGCAGGTTCATTGAGGGAGCAGGTCATCTATCCTACCACTTACCCTCAGTGGCGGGCTCAGGGAGGCACGGATGAGAAGTTGATGTCTATTTTGAAGGACGTCAACCTCGCGTATCTCCCGAGTAGAGAGGGAGGCTTCGAGACGAGGAAGGAGTGGAAGGATGTCCTTTCTGGAGGGGAGAAGCAAAGAAGTGAGTGCGAGAGGCCTGTCTTGTTCTGCAGAACCAAAGCTGACCTTTTTCCTTGCCTCTTGATGCCCACAGTCAATTTCGCTCGTCTCCTCTTCCATGGCCCCTCCCTCGGAGTGCTAGACGAGTGCACATCAGCCGTATCAGTAGATGTAGAAGGTGGAATGTACGCCACGGCCAAAGCTGCCGGTATCTCCCTCCTCACCATCTCTACTCGCCTCACCCTTCTCAAGCACCATACCGTCCTCGTCCGAATCGATGCCGGCGGGTACGATGTTGAGGTTATCAAGGACGGAGGCGCGGGAGCCATACCGAAGGGATTGGAGGAGGAGAGGAAGGAGCTCAAGAAGAAGTTGGGCGAGGAGGAGGGATGGAGGAAGAGGTTGGAGGAGGTCAAGGGGGAATTGAGCGCGATGGCATGAGGTGCGTTTCGAGTTTCTCTCCTAATCCTGTTCGAGCAGCAGCAGGCAGCGGCTTGCAATACCATTCGTTCGCACTCGCACTGCTTTCATCGTGCTTTGTTCGCTTGCAGCAAAGGGCACCCTCTCACCCCGGGTCTTCAATCGCACACTTGCCCCAGTCTCGACTTTAATGACGCAGTGGATTATCGGATCAGATGGGCGAAGCGGTCCGTAATAGCCTGCTTGCTATGGACGACACTGACTCTTCAATTCTTGGGTGCGATGGTTGTCGTGAGGTTACGGTGCTCAAACCCGCTCCTTCACCCGAACATAGGCTTGAACCTCTTCTCCCCTCCACCGCCTTGCTGCTGTTGTGATTCTTCTTCATCACCTGACGAGCTTGCGGCGGCCTGGCCCTTTCTCTTGGCGCCTCCAGATTCTGCAGTTCCACCAGTCATTCCACTGGCCCTCTGCGAGGTAGCCGTGGACCTTAGTTGTGGCTGCGGTTGCGGCGCCGGCGCCGACGGCTGCGTGGCGGGCAGCTCCTCTTCTAGCTCATCAGCGCTGCCAGGAAGGAACTCGTCTGCCTCTTGTTCCCTCTGCTCATAGCTGCCGGGGTCATCTCTCTCCTCAATCTGGATTGGAGCGCTGGGTTGCCTATTAGTCTCGTCGACTGTGCGCGAGGCGTCCTCCTCCTCCTGCTCTTGACGATGCGAGCCATGCACTTGGATGTGACCATTCTCGGTGCCACCCTCGACCTCATCAAGGACGCCGCCGTAGTCGAAGTCCTCTGTCTCGTCATGCCCTTGCTGCTCCTCTCTTCTCTCTCGCTCTTGCCCCGCTCTGGTGCCCGTACGACTCGATCCACCAAGCTGTGACTGCGTCTCCCAATCGATCTCGCGACGACTGTGATGCACGTTTGTAAGGCGCTGGATGGCTGCTTCAGAGCGAGCGGCGCGGTGCTGCTGCGTACCTGCCCGGAGAGGGGGAGGCGGCATGGCTCTGCTGCTTTCTCCGGCTCCGCAGACACCCTGCTCCTGAGTGCTAGGCAAAGCTCCGCCAAGAAAGAGACCGTTATTTGTGTCCTCTTGCGAAGGCAGAGGGGCTGGGACGCTGGCATGAAGGCGAGGAGGGGGGGAGGAGGCCCGGTGTCGCAGTGGGGCAGCGGTCGCTGATGCTGATACTGCTCGTGGTGTTGACTCGTGCGGCGGTTGGAGATCTGCGCCTGCGCTTGGTGGAGGCTGAGAGTTGGGACCACCATTGAAGTCTGCACCCTCGTCGAGAGGGACTGCATCCACTGCTGCGTCTTTACTTCGTGAAACTTCATTTGCCGCGTCCTGTGCTTGCGGCGTGAGTTCCCTTGGCCCATTGCTGTACGATTGCGCAGCCGGTGCAGAAGTTTCAGCCTCGACCATCCCTCTCTGCGGTGCCGGCGAAGTAGCAAGTACCATCTCGCATCTGACGGACGGGATGGACTGCGTCGACGAGTTAGCATAGATGGAGTCGGAGGAGGACGCGACGTTGATGAAGAGCGGGTAAGTGTCTGTCGTGAAGCGAAGCTCGAGCACCTCGTTCATGGCCTCGGCAAGCTGAGCAATTGCACGAAATTCCTTGAGATTGAACGTGATGTACGCCTCACGCTTGACTTGATATACGGCGAAGTCTTCTAGGACGGGAGTTACTTGTGTCATGCGGGCTTTGCGGGTGCCATCCCTAGGAGCGTACTCATCGCTCTTGCTTCGGACGCTGCCTGTGCCGGTGAGAGCCAGTGTTGAGCTGCTGATCGTTGCTGCCTCTCAGACATTACTTACAGTTGTCTTCGTGGGCCCATATTGTCACTTCTGCTCCCCTGATGGCGGAGAAGTGGTGCAACCAGGTCAAAGCCATCTGAGGATGCACAGCAACGAAGGACCCATCGCCGGGCCTGTCCGATGGGAATTGCGCAGCCTTCTGCTCGTAGGTCAGTTTCTGCGTTCTGACGACCCCCTGCGTGTAGTGAACTCGCACCACGATGCGGCATTCAGCGCCTGCATCGATGATGCTAATCTGGCAGCGTTCAAGCTTGCGGCGGTCGGTGAGGTTCAAGCCGCCGCCGCCACCAGAGGTGGCCACTTTGAGACTTGTGAGCAAAGGCTTTACCTTGATCTCGCAGGTGACTTGACCTTGTGGGTGGCGTACACGGATTGAGTCGAAGAATGCTTCATCGAGGTCTATGGCGCAGATACCGGAGAAGCCGGCATTGATGGCCGAGATCCGAACCTGAGCGCGTGGGCGGCCCGAAGGAGGGAAATTCAGAATGACTGGATTGCAGATGTAAGACGGTGGAGGACCATGCTTACAAAAGATCCACGCGAGCTGTGCGTGCTTGACTGCGACTGCTGAGGATGAGGAGCATTGGCCTGCCAGTTGATCGAGTCATTGATCTTGGAGAGGCAGCTGAGGCAGTTTTGCAGAGCTGATTGTGGTGGAAGGCTGGCATCAGACGAGATTGATGCCTTGGCCTGTCACGCCATCTCACTCTTGACATTGTCAGCCGAGATCGTAGCCTCCATGATGGCGGGCCCACGATCACGATGTTCGCTGAAGCATTGGAGTTGGTGTGAACGGCGAGGAGGAGAGAAAGCGCACGCACCACCATCTTGTCGGCTTCCGCCCAACGCGTCGTCCCGTGCCGCATGGGCGTGGAGGCGACCGGCGAGCGAGGAACGAGGCGAGGGGCGGCAGCAGCGAGCCTTGGGAGACCGAGGCGACGATGGCCATGAGCTCGAGCCTTCCCCTCTTCCCCCCTCCCGACCACCTCATTCGCCTACTCCTAGCGCCAGTAGCTCCAGCAGGTCTCTTCGGAGCCCTGAGGTCGTCGTCGTCGTCGCTGCCATCGACCAGGCAAGAAAGCGCCGAGACCGTGGCTACCTGAAGTCTCACCGGCTTCAGATTTGGTACCGCGAGGAACTGTGGATGCAAAACAGCGACACGCCAACAAAGTCAAGTCGCCTCCCTTCCTCTTCTCTTCCTCTTTCCTCGTCATCCTCATTGTGCGTCCTTCGATCGTCACAGACCATTCTCACCGCTGGCGGTTCCCCGGTCAGAGACAAGTCGAAGCCTCACGTCCAGTTGCAGCAACAGGCTCAACGTCCTCGTCCTCGTCAATCCTCAAGTCCAACTTTTTATTGCCTTGAAGACGGCGACCTCACACCTCGAAAACTCAAATCGCTTATCACGACTCCTTCAAGTCAGCCCGTCACAATCAGCAGCGCCCGTCGTGGCCGTCCATCGAGTAAAAGGCCTCGTTCCAGCAAGTCCACCCCTCATCTTCGCGCAAACGACGTCTTCGCTACGCCAAAGATGGAGTCAAGCGGCAGAAACTCGTCCAGGCTAGGGCGTCGTAGTGAAGTGGGCCTTCGCTCCACTTCGTCCGCTTCCAATCACCATCCAACCTCGAGCACACCTCGCAGGCAGACGATGACATCCCCGTCGCACCCCTCACCGCCCTCGCAGCTTGGAGTGGCAGCCAAGTCTCGACGCAGCGAAGCTCACGCGCAGGAGATGGATCAATTGCGCGCTCAGTCTCGTGCAGGCTTCTCCAGCAGAGCAGGGCACGACGAAGACTCGGACGACGATTATGATGATCGCGGCGAAGGGTCGTCTGCGAGACCTGCATCGAGGAGACATACCACAACTTATCGTAATGGCCCTCGCGTGACATCCCCACTCAGCAGAGCCACCGAGCTATCAAGCAGCGGCGGACATGATACTGCAGAGACAGAGCGGACGCATCGGCCAGTCGGCAGCCGGCGAGCGACAGCATCGATGTCACCTCAATCGCAGACTCTGCCCTATCTCCCGTCCAGCGGGTCGAGGCATCAGCCCATCCCCGACGAGTTCTTCCCATCCGATCGGCGTACAAGACAAGGCTCAGAGGAAACGGTCCTCAATCGTCCATCGGACATTGCAGCAGATACGCCTGGTCCTCGCTCTGCGTCACGCAGTCGCAATCGACGACGACATGCTTCTGATGCGCAAGCAGACGACATCCCGTCATTCGACTACGAGGGAAGGGCCGGCTTGGGCCTCGCAAAGCTATCCGTCGACGCTTCGTCTGCGAAACGCCACCTCGCAGCCGCCACTAGAGCACGCACGACGAGTGGCCCGCACGCTTCAGCAGCAGTAGCGGCCACTACAATGGGCCTCTCCCCACGCCTTGGGATGCAAGATCTTCTCGAAATGTCGCCGCACGAAGCTGGGCTACGAGCGAGAGGCATGTCCGTAGCATCTCCGGCATCTGGAGCGCGTCCTTCCTCGCGCCTGAGCTCGGGCGGCGGAGGCAACGACCCATTTGATGACAACAGCATGCGGTCGCCCACGCTGCGAGCCAGGCCAGACCTACCGCCTGAGGCGCTCGAGCGAGTGCGAGCTCTACGTCTGAGACAGGAGGCGTTGCATGCTGTTCCCCTCTCCTCACGCACAAACAAGGAGGGCGGTAGCGGTGCTGCTCATTCCTCAACCGTGGGCAGCGCAATAGATGATGTGCGAGCTCGGATAGAGGACATCGACATCCGTGGCTCTGCCATCTCCACCGCATCACGCAGCTCCTCTGTCATCAGCTCAGCGCCACGTCCTCGAGCTCATACTGCTCAAGTGGATCGACAACGTCTACTTGCAGAGCAGCAGCGGGCCAATGCCCCGTCAAGCGAGCCGCGGCATCGTGTTGAGGACTCAGCGCAGCTCCGCCCCAACGGTCTCTCTCACGAGCCCCTCCGTCGCTATGCATCACATGCTGCTTTCCCATCCACGCCAGACGTCGCAGCTCATTCTACATCACACCGTCCAGCCAGTCGCTTCTCTACCTTCTCCCGCGGCGTAACCCCTGGCCCGGTCCTCACCTCAACCTCCTCCGCAACCAAACGAGGCGCAGGCGCAACAACAGCTCACGAGCGGAATCTCCTTGTCGCTTTCGACCTCTTCGAGCGCAATTTTGGCGGGACGGATGTGTCTGTCCACACCTCACCCACTGCTGCGCGCTTGTTCGGCCCAGAGTCGGGCGATCTGGTCGAGAAGGCCAGAGGCTTCCTTGATACGGTCACGACACTCAACGCCGGATTGAGGGACGTGGCCCAATTTGTGATCCAGCGCGAGATAGATGCGGAGGTTGATGCAAGCCTAGATGTACCTGTAGGAGGAGGCGCCTCGTCAGCGAGCGGACCTGCCTCTTCTACCCTATCCATACTCAAGGACCTGGATTCGGCCGTGGGCTCCTTGGTGAAATACAGCGACAATCAGGTGCGCAATCTTGGAGAGCTTCTTCATTCGTTCACGCGAGCCGACAGGGAGAGGACCAGAGCGATGCGCGTTGCTGCCGGGGCCGGCGAATACGACAGACCTGAGTCGCGGATGTCTGCTCGCACTGGGACACCGACAACGGTCAACAATTGGAGCCCGACGAGGCGTGGGGGATCCCTACGGAGGGGGGCGACCTTGGGCAGTGCAGGAGCGATCACGATGGATGGGAGCAGTATTTCAGGTAGTCGACGCGCGGGTAGCGTGGCAGGTAGTGTGAGCCAGGCACCCACATCAGGCCTGCGCAGAGAGACTCGAGACATTCGCCAAGCCACAGCAAGCAGCGTAGCAGGCAGTGACTACGGCAGTGTCGACCGACGCTCCAGCATCTACCGCAGTGGGGATCGTGGCAACGCGAGCAGTAGTGTTGCTGGCAGCTCCGTCGCGAACGGCATCGCACCTGACGACCCTCGCACTAGCCCCACTATGAATATCAGCTCCCACCAATCGCAGCATCGCCCGCGTAACAGCGCTGTCGCTGGCGGCAACCAGGGTCAGCAACACGGTCGCTCTTACTCGGAGCTCTCCCCCGGCCCACTCAGTACCGCAGACGAGCGCTTCCCCTCGACGAGACAGCGCTTGGACTTCTTGAAGCAGAGGAGGGAGAGGGAGCGTGAGCAGCGGGAACAAGAGAGGAACAGCCCGGCGACGATCGGTCGCGCCGGCACCTTGCCGCTTCGCAGGCCTAAGCTCTCCGATCCAAGCGTCGCCACAGCCATTGCCGCCTCGTCCAACATGCACGCAATGAGCGATGGACCCGTCGCCTACTCTCGAAACCACCTCGAGGATGGTGACAGCGACTACAACAACGCCCTGAGCGGCGACTCGGCCGTCGACAGCGCACGTGGGGGTGAGACGCCTCGCCTAGGCATGAATATGAAGACCAGCCGAGACGAGATGCCTCCCCCTCCCCCTGCCTTCAGGCATCTGCAGCGTGCAACTTCAAGGGTGGGTCTGGGGATGGACAGCCCAATTGCTGCCAAGCAGGAGGACGGATGGTACTATTCGCAGCCCCGTAATCATGAGCGCCGCGCCAGCTCCGGCACCACTGCCACGCCTGGCTTCTCACCCGGCCTTCCTTCCCCACAACGTCCATCTCGCAACCCACGACGGTCGATGATCCTAACCCGCAGCGATAGTGCCAGGACGGCAGAAGATGAGAGTGAAGAAGGAGGTGCAGGGCGTGGTATGGGCTCGGGGACGTTTGATGGGCTGTTGGATGGGTATGAGAATAGTGAGGAGGGCGGCCAGTCGAGCCATCACAGGGCGCAGAGTATTGCCGGTTACTCACCGCCAAAGGGTCGAGTTGTGGACCTGCATCAGCAGCAGCACCTCAAGGGGCCGTCAGCTTGGCGTCCTCCCACTGCCAAGGGCGACTTTGTAGGCGGCAGCGGCTCGAACAACTCAGGCAGTCCCTCCTCTGCGACGAAGGGACATACAATCAGCGCTCGCACCTCCCTGCGGCAAAGCCTGGCTGCAGCTACTGCTGGTGCTGGAGAGGAGGGAAGAGGGATGCGAGAGAGTGAAAGGTAGATGGAAAGAGGGGACACTCGCGTCGAGCAGAGGATGCTCCGCTCAATGAAGAAGCATGAAGGAGGTTGAGATGGCTTGATCGACAAAGATGTATGTACAACAGCAGAAGCTTCGTGCCCTCTCTCGTCTCGCGTTTCGTTGAGGGCGTTAATCAAGACGGCTGTGCCGCTTCTTGCCCACTTTCATGACGATGAGCCCTCTGCTTCCTCCGCATGCATGTCTGCCACGCTCTCAAGACTTCCTCGGCGGCACAGGCGGCGGAGGCACTCTCCTTTTGATGCCACCTGTCGACGCCTCTTCTCCCTTCTCCTCCGCAGCATGAGCAGGCGCCAGCCCCAACCCACCAGCCGCGTCCGCCGAATCGGCAATGATGCGTTGTGCCTCAGATGCGCTGTACGATGGTGGCTCTTCGCCACTCTTGCTCCCTCCCTCGAACGGTCTGGGAATGCTCAAATGTTGTCTCCCTTCCTGCTGCACTCCCGAGCTAACCCCTCCACCAGTCAAGGCACCGAACTCTCCTGGCACTCCACTTCCCATACCGTCGCCTACAGGTCCGACCGCAGGTCGCGCATGAGGGGTAGAAGGCTTGCGAGGGTCCTTCTCGCTGTACGTCTCGTTTGGCTTTAATTTGGCCAATTGACCTGAGCGGAAGAGTTGCTGGCGCTTCTCTAGGTCGTGAGCGTACATGGCTGCTCCGACTCGATTGGAGATGGAGAGGACCAGACCGAGGAGGGGGATGTTCTCCACTAGGGCACTGCGAGCGACGGAACAAGAATGATCAAATTAGCCTGCTAATCACCGATTCCTCCGCTCACGGCTGTAACGACGCACTCACGCAGCGAATCCGAATTGCCTGTAGGCAAAGCTGCGCTCCATCATCCATACCTCGACCTGGAGTGGGGTCATCCTTTTGCTCGCAAAGAGGGGAGCATGGAGCTGCCTGCCCAAGCTCAAGCTGCGCACAAAGGCGGAGATGCCCAGGGTGAAGAACGGAATCCAGTCCAATGGCAGGAGAAACACCTTGAGTACCACCATCCTCACGATGGGCGTAGCCAGCCGGGCGTAGAGGCTCTGTCTCTTGGCAGCCTGCATAGCGCGTTGTGTGGGTGGCTCTTCCCACTCCTCGTAGTAGTCCGTCCACCATTCTGCACTCTTGCCGCGAGACTTGACCGTCTCTCCATAGGCGAGGGTGCGTGCCCTTCTCAATCTCCTGCGAAGCCACAGCTCCATGATGGTGGAGCACTGCGAGAGGACGAACATGAGTGTAGCAAAGCCCTGCAAGCTGGGCAGGGGAATGACGAATGGCAACGAGTCATCGATCTTGTCTGCCTTGCTACTGATACTGGAGTAGAGGCCAGAGAAGCCGAGTACTGTACCGCTTCCTCGCATGAAGAGGTGGACAAAGGCTCGTTGAATTGGCCAAGTGAGGACGCCCCATAGCGCAGCGACGAGACCAGCCTTCTTTGCCGCGCCTGCAATGTCGGCCCACATTGGTTTCCAGAGCGCGGGGTCATGCGCTAGGCGATAGGCCCCGATGACGACGTAGGAAGCGGGGAAGTTGGTCGTTTCTTGAGGCATGCTGGGTTTGGGGGAGAAAAAGGTGCGAAGGGAAGGAGCGAAAGAAAGTGTTGGTCGAGGACGACAAAGTGGAGTCGAGTCGACGGCGGCCGCTCCGCACACTGCCTCTTCAGCCGGCGGCTCGATTTTGCAGCACAGGCGAGCAAAAGGACTTTCAACTCTTGACCATTCAGGAGATCAAGTGGGCAAGCAGGATTGGCATGGACCATGATGGCGAGGAGAAGCCACCGAAGCTGCCGTCAAGTCTGCTCAACCTGGACGCAGGTGCCCGAAAGGTCACGGACGCGGATGAAGAGGTGGGCCGGCGCAGCGCTGTGACGCAGATCCTTGTATGCACAGCAGCTCACCATGGCTTCACCGGCAGGTCTTCATCCTCTACACTCTCTATCCGGCCCCAGCAGGACGTACAGGGCTAGGTCAAGTCGACTCACACCACGATGCGCTTTCCATCCGCTTTGATCTCGAGGATGAGGAGATGCCAGAGGTAGAGTCCGTGGTTGCAGACCAAGAAGCCTCGTACCTCAAGTCAAGCTCGAGCAGAGGTGGCAGCAAAGCAATCTCGAAGCGCAGCAAGGGTAAGGGCAAGACAAGCAGCAACCCATCCCTTACGTCGTCCTCGCGTGTTGAGGTCGTCGTGTACCAAGACTCAACCTCCCTGCGCAGTACGGGCGGGGATACGGGGAGCGTAGTATGGCGGTCGAGCGTGCGTCTGGCCGCCTGCCTCATGAGACAGCTACATAAACCTCCTTTCGGGGAGCGTCGCCCCCTCCTCCATGCTGATGCCTTGCCGGGCGCCAATATCCTCGAGCTTGGATCGGGGACGGGAGTGCTGCCCGCAGTCATGCTTCCCTTACTCTCAAGGGTGGTTCGAGGGGTGAATTGGGTCGCTACAGATCAGGAAGCGATGCTGCCGTTACTGAGAAAGAATATGGCGCAGCTCGCAGCAGGAGACGAGGGGGCAAGCGTGGCTGAGCTCGACTGGGTGCACTGCGCTGAGATGCTGCGTAGTGGCAGTAGCTATGGTGGTGGTATAGAGGCGATGAAGCAGAGAGTGATGGACACATTCCCGGCGTCTTCCTCGGGCAGCGCACCATCATCGGTAGACCTCATCGTGGCGGTAGACTGCGTCTTCAAGTGAGTCCGTCTTGGTCTCAGTCTCATGCCACGACACCCTCTCTCACACCTCCTCCCACACCTCTGTGCGCAGCCCTTCCCTCTTTTCGCCGCTCATTGACACGCTCAACATCTTTAGTGAGCCAGACAAGACGCTTGTCCTGGTCGTCATCGAGCTGCGCTCTTCTGAGGCCACCATGGCCTTCATCGAGACGTGGCTGCAGGATGGGGGAGGTGATTGGGAGATCTGGGCTGTACCAAATGAGCAGCTGAGCTGTGGGCTAGACAAGGGGTATGTGGCCTGGATTGGGTGGAAGAATGCAGGCTTTCATCACTCAGAACAATAGATGATCCTCAGCTCACGAAGAGCCCTCGCCCGCGATGACGGCAACGAGTGAATGGCTTCGCGCGCGGCGGCTTCCGAGGTCAAGCTTGTCGTCGCCCGTCCGCTCGTCGGTCTGGCCGTCAGTCCGCCGAGTCAATCTTGGTTCGTCTTGGATCTTCTCAGCCAATTTGCATCTCACTTCTCCAGGCCACATTGTATGCCTGGATCTAGACTACTACTACAACCAACGTACTCCTTGCTTCGTCGTACTGCTACCTTTCGTCCTCGGCCTCGACCCATTTCGATCGCCCCAATTGCATTCGCCGCCATGTCGTCCTCCCAGGCGCCGGCAGATGGCTCCTCAGCTCCGCAACCCAAGCGCGACATTGGTGGGGCTTACCACCCGCCAGAGAAGGACCTCGTCCCTGGCCCTGATGGTACCATGATGTCCAAGTCGGCAGCCAAGAAGGCATTCAAGCTTGCTGAGGCTGCAGCCAAGAAGGCGGGAAAGCAGGCCGTTGCCGCTGAGAGGAAGGGCAACGCTGCTGAAGGAGCGCCAAAGAAGGAAAAGGCAAAGAAGGAAAAGGTCGAGGAGCCCGAGTGGGTCAACAAGACGGTCGCAGGAGAGAAGAAGGGTGAGCCCGAGAGGCGGAATTTCTGTGCTACATTGACTCCCAACTGACTTTGCCTCGATCCTTCGCTACCCCGCGCCCGCAGATCTCTCGGCGCCCATGGAATCAGGCTACAACCCGGACCACGTTGAAGAATCGTGGTTCGCCTGGTGGGAGAAGGCTGGCTTCTTCACCCCGTCAGAGCCAAGCGAAGCAGACCCTTACGACCCAGAGAAGACCTTCGTCATCCCTGCTCCTCCCCCGAACGTTACTGGCTCGCTGCACATCGGTCACGCCCTTACCATCTCCATTCAGGATGCCCTCATCCGATGGCATCGTATGCGTGGCTATCGAACACTATTCGTCCCGGGATACGACCACGCTGGTATTGCGACGCAGGCTGTTGTGGAGAAGCGACTGGCTAAGCTGGAGGGCAAGACGCGCTACGACTACGGGAGAGAAAAATTCGTTGAAAAGGTCTTCGAGTGGAAGGACGACTATCAGGCGCGCATTGCCAATCAGATGAGGAGACTGGGAGCATCCTACGACTTTACTAGAGAGGCGTTTACGATGGATGAGGCGAGATATACCGCCGTCACCGAGAACTTCTGCAAGCTCTACGAGGATGGAATCATCTACCGAGCTAATAGGCTGGTCAACTGGTGCTGCAGGCTCAACACGACGCTCTCCAACCTTGAAGTAGACCAAAAGGAGTGAGTACGGCGACGAGCAGCATAACTACCTGTACATTCGTACTGATACTACATCGCCTCGTCCCCGCGCCAGGCTCAAGGGCCGCACGCTCATGAACGTCCCCGGCTACGACGACAAGGAAAAGATTGAATTCGGTGTCATCGTCTCCTTCTCTTACAAGATCGCTGGCTCAGACGAGAAGATCACCATCGCTACCACCCGTCCCGAGACCATGCTCGGAGACACGGCCATTGCCGTCCACCCGAAGGACCCCCGCTACACTCACCTCCACGGCAAGTACGCCGAGCACCCCTTCCTGCCCAACCGCAAGATGCCAATCGTTTGCGACGACGTGGCCGTCGATATGGAGTTTGGAACCGGTGCCGTCAAGATCACTCCCGCCCACGACCCCAACGATTACGAGGTTGGCAAGAGGCACAATCTCGAGTTCATCAATATCCTCAATGATGACGGCACGCTGAACGAGGAGGCGGGGCCCTTCGCCGGCCAGAAGCGTTTCAGCGCTCGTCGTGCTGTCATCGAGGCGCTGAAGAAGGAGGGGTTGTACGTCGAGACAAAGGACAACGAGATGACGATCCCCATCTGCTCGCGATCGGGCGATGTCGTTGAGCCGCTGATCAAGCCGCAATGGTGGGTCTCTTCGCGCCCTCTGGCTGACGGAGCGGTCAAGGCCGTCAGGGAGCAAGGTATGGTCATTGTCCCTAGCCAGAGCGAGCGCGAGTTCCAGAAGTGGATGGAAATCATCCAGGACTGGTGCATTTCGCGTCAACTCTGGTGGGGACACCGCATCCCCGCTTACTTCGTCAACGTCGAAGGCGTAGAGCAGGACAAGGACGATCCTGCCGCGCTCAAGAACTGGGTCGTGGGCCGCACTGAGGCTCAGGCGCACGAGCGAGCAAAGGCCATTGCGGGTGACAAGCCCTACAAGCTCGAGCAGGACGAGGATGTGCTGGACACCTGGTTCTCCTCCGGTCTTTGGCCATTCAGCATCATGGGCTGGCCGGAGAAGACCAAGGATCTCGAGTACTACTACCCGAACTCGATGCTCGAGACTGGGTGGGACATCCTCTTCTTCTGGGTGGCGCGTATGGTCATGCTTGGCGTGCACCTCACCGGGTCCATCCCCTTTAAGGAGGTCTTCTGCCATGCGATGGTCCGCGATGCGCATGGACGCAAGATGAGCAAGTCGCTTGGCAATGTTGTTGACCCGCTTGACGTCATCAGCGGTATCACTCTCGACAACCTCCACGCCAAGCTGCTCGAGGGCAACCTCGGCCAGGCGGAAGTACAACGTGCCGCCGCCTCACAGAAGAAGGACTACCCGAAGGGAATCCCGCAGTGTGGTTCCGACGCCCTTCGTTTCGCCCTGTGCGCCTACACTTCCGCAGGCCGCGACATCAACCTTGACATCATGCGCGTGGAAGGCTATCGCAAGTTCTGCAATAAGCTCTGGAACGCGACCCGCTTCGCCCTCGCCAAGCTGGAAGGCGGCTTCCAACCCCCTGCCGAGCGCACTCCTAGTGGCAAAGAGAGCCTGGTCGAGAAGTGGATTCTTCACAAGCTCGACGCTGCCGCCACCACGATCAACAACGGCATGTCGCAGCGAAACTTCATGGCCGCGACGGCTGCGGCGTACAACTTCTGGTTGTACGAGCTCTGCGATGTGTACATCGAGGCCATCAAGCCCATCACCGATCCCACCACCTCTGACCCTGCTGCTCGTGCCTCGGCTCAAGCCACCCTCTTCACCTGCCTGGACGAGGGACTCAAGATGCTACACCCTTACATGCCCTACGTCACCGAAGAGCTCTGGCAGCGCTTGCCCCGTCGTCCGAGCGAGAAGAGCGAGACAATCTGTCTCGCCTCTTACCCGGAGGAGATGGCTGAGCGTAAGGATGCACAAGCTGAAGAGGACTTCGAGCAGATCTTTGCGGCTGTGCGTGGTGTGAGGAGCTTGGCCGCGGATTATGGCATCCAGTCCAACATCCAAGCCTTCATTGAGGTCACCTCCTCTGACTCGCGCATCGCGCAACTCTTCGAGTCTCAAAAGGACGTCATCGTGACCCTCGTCAAGGGCTGCAAGAGCGTAAACGTCGTCCCTGCTAGCTCGAAGGACATCCCGGCAGGCTGTGTTGTCACAACTCTCTCCGCCTCAGCAAATGCGCACATTGTCGCCCGAGGTGTGATCGATGTGGGCAAGGAGCTCGCCAAGCTGGACAAGAAGTTGCAACTCAACGATCAGGCATGCAAGAAGGAGCGTGGTGTGCAGGAGCGTAAGGAGGAGTTTGAGAAGATGCCCAAGGAGGTTCAAGAGCGCAGTATTGGTAGACTGAAGGAGTTGGAGGCGGAGGGTGAGGCATTGAGGGCTGCGAGGGGGAACTTTGAGAGGATCAGGGGTGATGAGTGAGTGCAACGCGGGAAAGGTGTCGACACTCGACTGGGGCGGTGAATGACATGAGATTGATTTACATTGAGCGACTGCGGGCCTTCGTCACACCTCAGCTGCTGAAGCTGATGGCGAGCCCGGAGACAGGAGTGAGTTGGCGCTGGCGATCAAATGTCGCAGCTTCGCAACATCGCCGCTGGGCGCAAAGTCATCCCTTCGCCCCTCCCTTCGCTCCTCTCGTCGAGGCGACTCCGGCTTGAGTTTCTTTACCTGCTTCGCATCCGATGTAGCAGGACGATCTCTGCTCTCCTGAGCCGCAGCCTCCGCAAGCGCCTCCCTCATCCTTCCATCCAATAGCTGCACTGCCCGCTTCCCCCAATCGGCCATACGCTGCGCCTCAATCTCGACGCGAGCTTTGCTACTACGCCCTTCATCCTCATCGTCGTCTTCTCGCACGCAGAGGAAGAAGTGATTAGCGAGCAAGTCCAGCCTTGAAGCGGCGAGAGAAGAAAGGAAGGTGGTGAGGGGAAAGGAGGAGGAGGAGGGTTGAGAGAGGAGCGCTTGGGCCATGAGTAGCCCACCTGAGGGGCCTGCCTGGCTGCGCATCGTCTCATCGCCATCCTCGTCTGCCTCGTGCCCTACGTGATCATCCCGGTCAAGCAAGTCTTTGACAAGCTCGCGACCCAATCGAGCCAGGGCTTCATTCACCGTGTTTCCTCGAGGAAGGCGAGCTAGGAAGCTCTCCACGTCGAGTCTTGGAAGCATGAGAGCGCCGGATGTGGACTCATCCTCCTCCTCAATGAGCGTCTCGGCGTTATTGAGGAGCGCAGTGATTCCGTGATTGGCCATGGCCAGCAGAGTCGTAACGGCTTCGATCGCTGCACGCACAAGGCCTCCTCGAATGGCCTTCGTCGACGCGTGCTGGGCAGGCAAGCGAGCAAGCAAAGCCTGCACTCCCACGAGCGCCTCGTCCCACGGCCGCTGAATGGTCGCCACCAGCTCGTCGAGCGTCGTGACCGTCTGCCCCGCGCCGACAGCCGTGCCCAGCGGATAGCGAAGAAGCGGGAAGTCCCTGACGAATCGCACGACGCTGCGCGCGAAGACGGAGTCGATGTCGTCTTGGCCCGCCTGCGTGAGTCCGCCGAGAGAGACGACCTCGATTGCCTTCCAGGGCTCCGTGGTCTTCGTGAGGCCCAGCCGGGAGAGCGTCTTGCGCCTGTCGGCAGCGGCTCCCCAGTCGACGACCAGGAGGTAAGGGGCGAAGTGATTGCCTGTCAGGGGTCCATTAGAGGCGCTGGAGGATAGGCGCTGGAGCCGATGAGCTTCTAGATCCCATGCCTGGTCCATCCCATCTGTTGAGAGAGCCTTCCTGTTCGCTAAGGCAGGGGGAAGTGGGTAGATGACCAGCCCGGTCGAAGGACTGCAGCGATTTGCCATCACATCGTCCTCACCCTCTTCCTCATCGTCATGATCTAGCTCAAGCATCTCGCCCCTAACGCTCAGCTCCTTTCCCACGGGCAACTCTTTCTCCCTCGTTCCATCCACGAACCCAAACTTGTGTTTGAGCCACTGCTCTGCCCCGCTCTCCTCCCCATCCGAAGAAGATGAGACGAGCGTGAAGCTCCAATCCGCCATCGCTGCAGGACGCCATCGCGCCGCGAGATCGGCAATGTGCGTGGCGATGGAAAGGAAGAAAGTGCCCTCCGCCCAGAGATGATGACGTTGCGAAGTGAAACGGCGGAAAGACGCGCGCAGCTGCGCATCCTGCTGCACGTCGGACATCGTGACATCCTCGTCGTCCTCATCGAGCGGGCGCTTCGAGCCTGCCCGAGTGATGGGAAGAGAAGTAATCAATGACCGTCGCAGCGAGTTGGATGCAGCCGATGAAGAGTATGTGCTGTTGGTGGAGTCGATGCTCATGCTGGCGTCCGCTGCACCCATGACAGAGCGCATTCCTCCCCTCTTCCCCCAACTACTGCTCCCTGCTTCCTTCTCGGACGAAGACGCAATCAAGCCTCTTTCTCTCACGCGTTGCCTCACGTACTCGAATCGCTCCCTCTGTCGCTGCTCCTCGCGCTTCATCTCCCAGCGCGCGACCCACCGGTCCAGTCTGGAACGTAAAGTCGATCTCCGACTCCACTCTTGCGAAAAGGCCTCACGGGCTAGGTCTGCCGCGAGCTTCGCTGGGGTAGACTCCTCCCGACTCTCGTCGCCGCCTTCGCCGACTAATCTTGTGAGGAGGCGCTGCGCCAGGGTATCGAGGGCTTCATTTCTCGCAAAGGTGCGGCGGCGCTTGACCTCTGCTGCGAGGGCCTGCTCGGCAATCATGCGCGACTGCTGAGAGACGACCTCGTCAATCAAGCGTTGCTGCAGGGCTGAGCTGGCTTCACTCGTCGAGACAGGTGGAGGACGCGGCGGGCATTTTGCTGCGGGCGCGCGTGGTACGGGCGCGGGCGGCTTGACGTCCATGAAAGACGAATGTGCTGCGCCGTCAGAAGATGGAGTTGACGGCTTGGCGCCGTGGGTAGGTTGTGAGAGGGCCTTCGGCTGCGACTGCTGAGGTGCGGACGTCCATGCTGAGCTTGAGGCGAAGGCGCTAGGCCCTCCTGCCGACGTCCCGGCTGCGGGTGTAGCTGAGGTCGATGGTCTGGAGAAGCTGAACCCTCCAGTCGCTGGCGCTGGCGCTGGCGCGTCAAAAGCAGCTGAGGAGGGCGCGGCACTCGTCGCAGGTAAGCTGAAAGCTGCTGTTTTCGCTGACGGCTCTCGAGCGAATGCGGGCTGAGCAGCAGGCTCCTTAGGTCGGAAAGAGGGAGCAAAGGGCGAGAGCTTTGCAGTGGCGATTGAATCGAAGCTGTCGAAGGCCGCACTCCCGGTGGATCCGAGTGTCGACCTGGCTGCGGTCTGCGCCGGCTGAGAAGGAGCGAACGAGCTCGTCGAGGTCATCGCCGCTGCCTGATCCCCATCAACAATCTGCTGGCAGGTCCTTCTCCCCCTCTTCGCCTCGACGAGCGTGAGGGAGAATGACCCCAGGTCGACCTTTGCGAAGTCGATGATCTTCTGCTTGTGCAGCTTCAGCGCCGCCCCACCGCCCTCTCCAGGCGCGGCAGGCAGCACCTCAATATCGCATATCTCAGCCCACTTGGCCACTTCCTCCGGCGAGTCTGCACCTAGCGCTCTTTGAACGAAAGTGAGCGTCGGGCCACGATGTGCCTTGTTGTAGTTGGAGCTCAAAGCCTTCAGCGCCCCCTCCCTGACCGGCCCAAATTGATTTTCGAGCATGCAAGCCAACAAGTAGGGCACCTGCTCTAATTTGATCTCTGCAAAGAAGCGCGAGAAGAGGTTCATAGGCGCATCCGTGTTCAGCTGGTTGGCCCTGCCCGATCCACCACGGTTGGAGCGCTGTGCGTAGGCTCGAAATTTGATTGCAGACTGCAGAATGGGAGCATCGAATACCGCCTCGGGAAGCAGCTCTACGACGCGTAGGACTTCTGGATCGAAGATATTCAGGATGAGGTGGTACGCCCGGAACTCGGCTTCGTGCGGTGATGGTGCCTCTTGGCCTGAGGTGAGACGAAGATCGTCGTAGAACTCGCACAAGCTGGTCAGCGTCTTTGCGAGCTGCTCCAACTCTTGCTGTTGGCTCCATGGATCTCGGTCTGCCGGCCATGAGTCGCGTAGTTGTCCTTGCCCATCGACCGAGCCACCCCTCCAATGCAGGCTGAGAATGTGCCAGCGAGCAATACGTTCGTGGCATTGGATGGTGAGCGGGCTTGCTTCACCCTGCACGATGAAGTCTTGGCGGATGGCGCGTGTACGGTTCCAGACGAATCCTTGCACATTCGCAAGGCGGTCCGAATCGGGTTGAGGGGGGACGACCTTGTACAGGAGGTAGTCGAGAGTCTTTTCAAGCACCTCCGGCGGTCGTACGTCTTCTGGCAGTGGTAATTCTCTGCCCGCAGCTGGGCGACGGTAGATTTTGACAGCGATGGCTGGGTCGAGCTTGGTAGAACCGGGGTATACCTCTAGCTCATCACCCTCGCCCTGAAATTCTCTTTCTTCTCGCTCGAACTCGGGGCACATATCCATGCAACTCCCTCTGAAGTTGGCAGCGTCGGAGAGCTGCTGAGGCTTCAGAGGGTCGGGGAGAATGCCCTGCTGGATGTATTTCTCGCGCAGAGCTGGGCGCTGCTTCTTCATCTCGAGGAAACGATTGTTCTTGGGCGTAGTTGCAAAACGCTTCCTTCTCTCCTCTTCGTCTGTTGAGGAGGAACCTTCATCGCTGCTGAGGTGGTGTGCAGGCGTGGTCGAGCCGGAGGGGGGACCTGCGGCTGTCGGCGGGGCCAGCTTTGGCGCCGCCGGCCGTGGCTGTTCTTGAGACTGAGCCGGCTCGGATGATTGTGAAGGTGCACCAAATGGTGTGAAGGAGGATGGTGCGAAGGGAGACATGGAGCCTACGGGCGAGCCGAAGGCAGACGAGGATGCCCGCTGACCATCGCCTTCGACGCGAAATGCAGTCTCTGTGGGTATCGATTGCTCTTGTGATGCTGATGCTGCTGAGTCGCTGGCAGGAGAGGCATTGAATGTGACGCTCTTGTTGGCGAATGGCCTTGCCCTCGGCGCTCCCCTGCCTCTGAATCCTCTTGTCGATGATGATGTCCCGTCCGGCGCAGAAGCTGCACCTCTTGCTGCTCCACGGAATCCTCCGGATCCTCCCCGGGCGCCGCGAGAGGCGAGTGGTGTTGTTGATGATGACGACGATGAAGGCCGGGCAAAATGCCCAGCATTGTGCTGCCCGAATCCTCCATGCCCCTGCTCATCCATCAGTCACGGGTGATGGAGAGCGAGTGGGAAATGATGGATGGTGGAGAGACAAAGTCAAAGGTCCCTCGAGTCGCGCGTCTCGCTCAGGGCGGAAGTAGAAGCGGGCGCCCACGCGGCAGCTGCTGCTCATCAGGCCTGCCAAGCTGCCAGTCACTGCCTGTATGCGCTCATGGATGCATGGCCAAGAGCCTGAAAAGGCATGCACAAGGGAGGTCGTAGCTCAGTCGCTGTCAAATCTAGTGCTGTCGATCATGGCTTCCCTCTGACTTCACCATTGTTTCGTGAACCCTTGATGCTCCTGTTGCTGCGTTCGCTGCCGGCGCTGCCGGCGTTTGGGCGCCTCGTCCAGTCGACGTCGACAGTCGACCTTCACCCTCGATTCCAACTCCGCGCCCGGCCCTCGTCGTGAGCCCCTCGTGAACCCCTCATCAGCTCCTCACTACTAGCTTTATTCACCCTTCGATCACCACTACCATCAGCGCGCATTCCATCTCGATGGCGGCTCTTACCTCAACCTTTCCATGATCAGATAGCAGTACATCGTCCCCATCTTTTTGGCCTGGCGTAGTCAACGATGAGTTCAGCACATCCACGTGAAGGTAGTGGCACTCGTCCGCCATTGGGAACGACTGCCTCAGACAAGAGCGACGGAGTCGCTCCCACCAACGATGCTGCACACCGTCCACGCAGGAGGACCTTCAGCGAGAAGACCAAGGAACTATTCCGCAAAAAGCCTGGAGACAAGAACGAGGCTCCCCCTATTCCAGCCCAGACGCTAGCATATCAGCCTCGACTTAAGACCGCCTCGAGCCAGACACCTTTAGCCTCGGAGACTGTGCCAGAAGAGCCCCATGAGCAGACAGGGCCTCCTTCACTCACGAATAGCCCAGCTCATCGGCCTTCTCGGCAACTCGCACCCCTCGATGTAGCCGCTTCCCACAATGCCTTTGCAGTCTCGCCCGCCTCAGCATCCGCTACGCCGCGAGCGATGAACTCGATTGCCGTAGTCGACAATTCAGGATCAGCAACGCCCACAAAAGCGACAATCGTTGAGACTCCAGTCACCCCACGTCCGTCGTCTTCAGGGTCGGGCAAGCCTGTACCCTCGCCAGAGCAACATCACCACTTTCGCCATCCCTTCCATCGACCCCTGACAAAGCCGCGCCTTCTTCAGTCACACCGCAAAGCCTCTGCTGACTTGTCGACAGCAAATGCAGTAGGAGAGATAGATACGGGGACACTTTCGCTCGGCGCCGCATTCCCCGTAGCACCTTCATACCATGAGCGAGCACACCCATCGCTCCAGCCTCCCAAGGTAGCATTCAGTCTAATCGATGGGCCGGCGTCTCATGAGGAGCCATTCACCACCAGGACGCTGCCTCCTCCTCGGTTGCAGAGGCCCGCGATTAAGGTCAAGATCATCACTTGGAACATGGGCGGAGCATCGCTGCCCAAGGGAGATCTCGAGGTGCTGCTAGGTAGAGTCGGAGGATACGTCCCGCCAGAGGAAGACTGGGATCTGGACGATGCAGAGGGTGTGGCTTGGAACGAAGGGGTGGACGAAGAGGGAGCCCGGCGGCGGTCGTCGAACACCCGAGGAAAGGGCATACCCGGGCAGGAAGGTACACCGCGTCACGAGCGCATTCCCCCTCTCCCGCACGACGACGGCCATCCGTATCACCTCCTCGTCGTAGCTGGACAGGAGTGCCCATGGGGCGATGGAAAACGCATTGCAACTGGCATTGGTGTGGCTGGTGAGCTCAGCGACCTGACGCGAAGCAAGAGCAAAGCAACACATCTGAGCAAGTCCAAGGAGAAGAGCGGCGAGGGACACAATGGAGCTGCTGTCCCTCAGACTCCCGCTGGATTTGGGACAGGAGCCGATACACCAGCAGGCGGTAGCGACGGCTTTCCCTTTGGATCTCCTCCTCCAACCGCAGGCCCGGGCGGAAATGTGCCTGCGGGTGCGCCTGCTACTCATGGCGGTGGCAGAGTCTTTGGCGGCAAAGGGTGGAGTGACATGTGTGAGGACTGGCTGTGTCGAGGCCCAGCAGCGCAGAGCAAGGCAACCAAGGGCCTGGCAGCTACGACGGAAGCCCTCGTCTCTGGCCACATCGGTCCAAGTCAGGAGGGATCGAGGAATCCTTCGCGTGCTCCTAGCCCGTGCCCGAGCTCGCGTGAAGCGAGCTCGTCTGTAGGAGCAAGCAGATCGACCAGTCCGGTCATGGGGAGCTCGCCGCCTAAGCCTACGACGCTGGCAAACGCCAGGCGAGGCAGTGCCGTCTCTGCATCGCTCAACATCCCCGCGTTGCCCTCCTTTGGGCGCACGGCTAGCACTGGCTTGCTTGGCGGGGAGGCACAGTCGAGTCCACCTCCCCTCACAGTTCCCTCCCTGCCCGTCGTACGTGACTACGGTGCGAGTCCAACAACGCCTCTATCGCCTCCTCCTACTCTGCCACTCCAGAAGCCAACTCCTTCTTCGAATCTTGCTCGGCAGGGCCTGCAGATCAAAATTCCCGGCCAATCAGACGAGATCGACGGCACGCCTCTCTCCCTCGGCGCCTACGAGCTGCTCGTCAAGGAGCGCTGTGCCATGATCTACATGGCTGTCTACTGCTGGCGCGGCTGCCGGGACCGTGTGCGAGGTTTCGATCGTGCCCACGTCAAGAGCGGCCTCCTCGCTGGCCGAGTTGGCAACAAAGGCGCCGTAGGCATCAGTGTCAAGCTGGGCCAGACACGCATGCTCTTCGTCAACTCTCACCTGGCAGCACACGAGGGCAAAATTCAAACGCGCTTGGATAATATCGCAAAGATCAAGAAGGAGCTCCGCCTTGATACCTTTTTGCCCACGGAGGATCCGACGAACAAGCTTGCAGATGTAACGGGGATGTACGACCACTCATTCTGGTGCGGGGACCTCAACTTCCGAGTAGACATTACGCGACAGCATGCTGATTGGCTCATCATGAATAAGCGATACGATCAAGCTCTCGAGTTCGACCAGCTTCGCAAGGTCATGAAAGAAGGGAGGGAGTTTCAGAACTTTCGAGAGCACGATATCTCGTTCCCGCCTACGTACAAGTATGATGTACTCAAAACGCTCAAGAAGCCCAAGCGGGACAGGACGGTCCGCCGAATCCTACGTCGTCGAGGACATACGGCCTCTTCAGCCGTGGCTGCTACGTTTGCTGGCAACGAGACGGACGAGGACCCAGACGAGACCAGGGCGACGGCAGCAGATGCGGACGAGACGATGGATACCAACAGGAGTGGAGCCACGAAGCGCGCCTCGATGATCAGCTTGCAAGACGGGGAAGATGAGACGGACGACGATGATGATGCAAGCTCGACATCTTCGATTGGACCCTGGGGCGGCTCGGTAGGCTCGTCGGGCTTCACCGGCCCACCGTCAGAGAGTGAACACTCTGGCCCTTCAGACGTGTCCAGCCCCATCGACCCTGTTGTCTCAAGCAATACGACGGCCGCGTCGGGCGCCCAGATCTTTTCCCATGGAGCGGCTATCAAGGCCAAGTGGCGCTTCATGGACTTTGTGCGCACAGCGACCGGAGCGAATGAGGGGCAGGAGAAGTCCAGCAAGGCTAGTAAGCGCAAGAGCAAGGATGTTGCGGCAGCGATGCCGACGCGTTCGACTAGTGCGACTAGTGCGACTAGTAGCCCGATCACGCCTACGTCGACTCGATCTGTGAGCAGTGCGAGCAATGTGCACAAGTCGAGACAAGCCTCAGGGCCTGCTCCGGCCGCCGCTCTACCAACGCCGATTCAGTCAACACAGACATCCCCTTCGAAGAAGTCTGATCCTACCGTTGCTGGCTCCAGCCAGCTACAGCGCCAAATGTCTCAGACGGCAGCCTCGTCCGCTCCGATCTTGAGCCCGGATGGAGTCAATGGTCTAGTACGGCGCGACTCGCAAGGGTCGCTCGACTTCTTTGGTGGCGGTGCCGAAACGACTGCCGGAGTGGACAGCGAGAGCACCATCGATGTTGGCGGGGCACCTCCCGTCACGCCGCCCATCACGCACGATGACATGGTCGGCACTGGCGCCGGCGGGATCACCTCGCCCAAGACGAGTCCTAGCAAGAATGGGCAGGCCATTCCCAAGCGACGCAGGCGAAGTAGTGCTGCAGGAGATCTGGAGGGCGTTTTCAAGCGCAGCGAGTCGAGTGGGAAGATAGGCGTTGCCACAGCCGCTGCCGGTACGAAGGAGAAGACGCCCGCCGCAGCGAGCGAGTCGCAGCCGTACGATACGAGCGCAAAGCAGCGAGTGCCAAGCTGGACGGACCGAATCCTGTGGCGGACGAACGTCAAGCCAAAGGTCGTAGGCCCTACTCTGGCTACTATTGGAGAGCGTGGCGAGCAACAGGCTCGAGAGGTCGTGATGGATGGAGCTGGTGCTAAGTTGGGGAAGAGTCTAGGCAGTGCTCTCCGTGGCGCGGGTGGCGTTCTGGTCAGCACCGTACATGGTGGAACGGGGAGCGCGCCTGCAGCTGTTGGTGAGAAGCGTAGTGTCACGCCGAGCAGGTCGCAAACGTTCTCCCATCCAGTCAACGGCAGTACCGGTCGAGGGAGCGCCATGCCCACCACGGCTCCGGCTGTAGGAGCAGCGGCATCGTCGAACACATCGTCTTGGCGACGTCGTGGCTCGATGGAAGGCCCCTCATCGGCATCCGCCGATGCTCCCTCTCGCACCGCCTCCCCCGCCAATGTTTCACCTCGGGACAGCCCCACGAGTGCGAGCGCAGCAGTGAAGCCATGGATGAGGCCCCGTCGCACCTTCTCTGCCGATCACGACATCTCTGGTCTCGGCGACGGACAGAACGGGAGACGCAGCGGTACCAACTCACCGCGCATGTCGATGTTGCGCCTCTCCAGCCGGCCAGGCACTCCTGATGGCGGCTCGGAAAGCCCACGGGGAGGAGGAGCAGGAAGAGATAGTAGGCCTTCCACCCGAGCCACGACGAGGGACAGCGCGATCGGATCACGTCGCTCCCCCTCTGCCGACTATGCAGCCCGACGCGCATTCAGTGGCAATGTCAACCGCAGCCCCTCCCCTCCCGGAGGTGGAGGAGGGGCACGCCGTCTCTCGTCGTGGTGGGCAACACACATTCCCACCATCCTCACGGCGCAGGGAGCTGCTGCCGCCTTCGCTTCCTTGACCTCGTCGAACCGGGGAGGCGTCGGTGCATCGGAAGCTAAGGTCAAGTCCGAGCTGGAGATCATTGGGCCGAGACGCGGCGAGGTGGAGTGCTTGCTGTACAAGAGCTTGGATGATGGAGAGATGAGGGCCTTGGAGGGCAGGAGCGACCACAGGCCGGTGATTTTTGTGGGTAGCATTGGTATTTAAGCGGCGAAAAGGGGGCTGCTACATCTTTGTTGTTCCTCATGCATGTTGTTTGATCGATTCTTCGAATACATCTTTTTAGATACCCATCAACTCGCTCGAGGCTGCCCCGCGACGCTCTGAGCGCTCCACCGGACCATAGCCGGTGCGATGTGTTGGGCTGACTAAGCAATCGTCGCTTAGCACACACTCAAGTGGCGCGGGCGGCGGACAGAGCTTTTGTCGATGAATCGGAACAAGGATCGACGGTGCCTGCCAATCATCGACTTCCTCATCATCATCGTGTCACTCCCCTTGATTGCCACTGGCTCAGCTCGTCCCTAGCTACAGACTCACACAGCATTATACCAAGCATTCCCGTCGGCATGGACTCATAGCATCACGACCCTGGTCTCCATTTCTTCCTCCTCTTCAACACGCTCGCTTGGTGGCTCGTCCCTTGAGCTGCTCCGATGATCCCATCGGGTGGCGGCGGGCGTCCCGTTTGGCTGCTATGCTCGGAGGCAATCCCAGTCGCCAACAGCGTCGCATCGACGTCGAGGGTGCGTCTATGCCCATTCACGCCACCATGGCCACCGACGGCTACCACGGCAGTCGCGCGTCCTCTTCAACGGCGTCACGCTTCAACGAGTGCAGCGATCCAACCAGCATACAATCACCATCATCACCGTCCACCTCCTCCCCACGTGCTTGTCCAGCAGGAACAGAGCTCTGTGACGAATAGCCGGACAGCTTCACCTTCCAGTGAGCCTTTCTTCCAGGAAGGCCTCCTGGACCCTCCGCCCATCACTCCAACTCGGCGGCACCGTCAGGTCTTCTCAGTGCACCGGCAGATCCGCGCACAAAAGCGCAATAAGCAAGACGTCGGTGTCTTTCTTCACTGGCTCGCCAAGCCGCACTCTTTCGATCATTCAAGAAGAGGCCGCATCCCCTCCGATCCGCTTGCCGTCATGCGGGAGACTTTATACGAGCTCATGGCGATAGCGCAACCGGTTCTTGAGCGTCCAGACTTGCGCAAGTACGGCGCTGTCCTCGCGCAGCAGATGGTGAGGGTCAGCTTGCTCCTCCGGCGTGAGGGTGGGCACAGGTCCGAAAGGAATACCCACATTCCAGAGGCGGGAAGTCTTGCGTTAAAGCTGCTGCCATTCGTAGACAGCCAGCATGGCACGCTCAAGACGCGGACACTGCGAGCCCAGGCTCTGGCTTTGGCGGGCAATCGCAGACTGGCTCTCTTGACTCTGGACAGCGTTTTAGCGGAGGCCGGCGAAAATCTCGTAGCAGCTTTGGGCCCTACGCAGCAGGTCGACCCTTCCAACATGCACCTCTTCGTCGATATAGCTGCGGCGTTACAGGCGATCCTCGAGCTTGACCTCGTCTGGGCTACTGCAGCTAAAGGGCTGACGCCAGGGCTCGCAAGTCAAAGAGCAGAGATGTTGCGTCTCAGCCGCATCCTCACACCATATCGAGGCTTGGGAGAGATCAGCAATGGACCTAGCAGTCGCAGGGAGGATGCAGCAGACCTCAGAGAAGCCAGAGCAGCATTACATCGTTTATGCGACGTCCTTACACGCTACAATCTCGCCCTACCATGCACGTCACACGCTTTTCGTGACCTCATGCTCGCATTTGACGACAACGTCGCCCTGCTGAGTCATTCAGCGCTGCGAGAAGTCGTCGAGGATGCCCTCGCCCGTGATTCATATGCTGCATCGCGGATACTCGTGGCTCTCGCCTCGAGCCTCGTGCGTATGAATCGTCTCGACCATGCACTACTTGTAGTCAAGATGGCGCACCAGCGTCACTTCGCTCTTCCGCCGCAAGTTGTCGAGACGCTGATCCGCAACGCATCTGGTGCGGGGTCGGGGCAGATAGCAGACGCCGTCGTTGCTCTGGTCTTCCAGTCGGCAGATCACGAGGAGGGGCACCGCATAGCGCGTTCAACATGGATCGCCATGGCGGGCTACATTGCTCGGAAGGGCGACCAGGCCCTCCTCAAGGAGGTCTGGCGACGAATCATTGCCGAATATCCCGATGAGGCGGGCTCTCGCCTCCTCAAAGATCACTTCCTGGTTGTGTACGCTCGAGGCGAGGGGACGATGGGATTGATGAGAAAGCATCTCGCCGACCACTGGATCTTGCCCGATAGCGAGGAAACGACGGAAACGGCTCGATTGAAGCGTCCTTTCACAGAGCACACCTACAAGACGGTCATCCACGGCTTCTGTCAGGGAGGCAATCTCGGGATGGCAGAACAGTACCTCGATTTCATGGATCAAGCTGGGCTCAGCGATGCAAGCACGTACAATACGCTCCTCCTCGCCTACGTTCATCGTAGTGACGTTGCCAACGCGAAAAGCTTCTGGTCGCGCTATGACTCTCGCGGAGTGACGCGCAACGCTGCCACGTACGAGATCATGGCCCGCCTATTCGCGCAACGAGGCGACGTCGAGTCAGCCTTCTCACTGCTGGATATCCTCGAGCAGTCGGGCACTCGCCCCTCGCAAAAGATCCTCGGCACAATGATCGCAGCCCTGACCCGAGCCGCAGAGTACAAGAGAGCTACGCAGCTTTTTCAGGCCATGCTCAAGTCGGGATCTGCAGGAGGAGGTGCTGGGCCGGACGTTGTGGCTTGGAACTCAATGCTGAGGATTCTAGTCACGAGGGCTGCGCCTTTCGAGAGGGTGATGCAGCTGCTGGAGGATATGGAAAAAGAGGGAGTTGAGCCGGATGACAAGACTTTTGCTCTTGCGATGCAGAGCGCGAGTGAGGCTGGGGACTTAGCTTCTGCCGAACATTTGTTCGCTAGGGCTGATGGAGCTGAGGCGAAGCCGAGCGACGAGGGCACGGCAGAGCAAGAGTCGAAGAAGCAAGAGGACGAGGAAAACGACGAGACGTACGGCTTCGACGCCGCTCCGCAGCACCGAACGACGACTACGACGTCCTCTTCATCACAGCCGGAGCAACACGACCCTCTCGTCAGCCTCAAGCAACGTCGCGCCAATCGCTACCACTTCACAATCCTCATACATGCCCTTCTTGGCGCCGGCAACGTCAGTGCGGCCAAGGAATACTTTGACGAGATGCAGCGCCGAGGGCTGCGTATTGACTCCCTCTCGTGGTCAGTTCTGGCTCGCGCCTATACCAAGTCCGACTCCGAGAGCAACCAACGTCTGGCACGCGATATCGTCATGCGCAGGATGGACGAGGCCGACCGTGCATCCCACGACGAGTCGGACCCAGGCGTCAGGTTGAGCCCCGCTGAACCGCGAGGCAAATCGGCAGAGATCCTCGTCACTCCACTTCTGGTGCGAGCGGCCAATGTGGGCGATCTATCGCAGGTGGAAGGCATCATCGGCGAGCTGGAGTCGGATGGGATTGAGCTGTCCATCTCCACCATGAATATCTTGCTTGACGCGTATAGACGTACATCGGAGATTGGCTCGATGCTTGCAGCATGGGAGCGCATCTTCAAGCGCGCGTCGGCCAACACAGGCCTCGCGTCACAATTGCGCATCGAGCGTCAGAATGTGGACGGCGATCTACGAGCAGCGAGTAAGGAGTCCAAAGGGCGCGCAAAGATTCCCGCCAGTCGTGGTAGCTCTGCAGCAGGAAGAGCACAGCGCTATGGCGGTCTTGGCGTGCTTTCAGACATCGAAGTCCCTCAAGTCCAGCGCAATGCCCTTTGCGTTTCCCTTTCCATCGTACTCGACGCTCTCCTCTCGGCTGGTATGCATGAGGCCATCGCCTCCATCTGGTCAAGGGCGCGCGCCGCAGGCTTCGCCTTTGACCCATCCAACTGGAACGATCTTGCCGTCGCCTTGTGCAGGGTGAAGCGGGTGCCAGATGCGCTGCGCGTTGTCGAGAGAGTGCTGAATGAGGTCCGAGGCGCCCAAGGAGAGGAGAGGGAGATGCTGTTCAGGTTGAGGGAGAAGAGGAGGGAGGCAGAGGAGAGGAGGCGATCAGAGCAGGAGTGGAAGGCGCGCCTTCAGCAGCAAGAGGAGGGAAAGGCTGCCTCTACATCAGCAGGAGCAACGGCAAGCGCCGAAGAAAGCTTGCTAGCCGCCGCCGCTCCGTCACAAGCTAGCCTATTGAGCGACCAAGCCGCAGACGCCCCGCGGCCTTCTCTCAATGCTTCGACTTCGCACGTCCTGAAGATGGAGCAGTCTCGACCAGACGATCAAGTCCTTTCTCCGACTTCGTCTGCACAACGTCGCAAGGACATCGTGCGACGCGAACGTAATGCTGCACATCGCAGCGAAGCTGAGGCGGCTGCCGCTGAGGAGGAAGCGGATGAGGATGAGGAGGGTAGTGAGGACGAGTCTTCGGAGGCATTGGAAGCCGAGGAGGCGCAGAAGGAAGACAGCACCACCGCTGAAGAGAAGAGGTCCACAGGCTGGAGGCTTCCCATACCCTCTGCTACCCGCTCACCGCTAGATGTCGATCCCGACGAGCGACTGCGCAGCATGTCTCGCGAGGCTGCAGCCCGAAGAGGCGGAGGCGTGTCCACTGCCACTTTCTTGCAGCAGCAGAGAGAGCGTCGTGAACACATGCGTCGTCGACGAGGTGGCGACATTATCGATCCTGATGACGAGGAGCTCGGCAGGACGGCAGGAAAGGGCGGCAAGGACAAGAGAGGTGCCCAGAGGAAGAGGCAGCATCCCATTCTCGAGGCACTCGCCCGGCAGAGACGCTATGATGACAGTCAGGCGGTGTGGGTCGCTGAGTGGCGGACATTGGATGAGGTCAGGGAGGCCTTGCAGCGGTACGGGGATGAGGAGAGCAAAGCGCAAGCTCACGTCGACTCTGGAGGAAAGGCCGACCTCTCGAACAAGGCTGGTCATTCAGCAGCTGCATCGACGTCTGGGGATGCGGACGACCTCATCGAGGCTCTCTTGTCACGCTTCCCTCTTGCTAGGGACGTCCTTGACCTGCAGTGGGAGAAGCAGAGGGCCGAGATGGCTAAGCAGCGTGAGATGGAGGCGCGGGTCAGATTCGATGAGGCGGCGCGCTTGACCTGACGTGGTTGGAGGCAGTGATCGTAGGCAAAGCGGCTAGAGAGGACCTGTCACCATGCAACGGTGCTACGTGGAATGATGAATGGTTGATTGTGCAACGAATGCGCTGCAATGCGCCACCGATGAGAACGAAAGCTCCGAGTCTGACTTTGCTTCTGGGGTGACCGGGTGACCCTCCGCTTCCCTCGCCCTTTCCCTCTCATCCTTTCCTTCCCGACTACTCTTCCCACCCTCACTTGGCCTGCTCCTGAGGATCCTGATCCTGCGTATTAAGCAGCAAACTCTGCGCATCCAGCATGACCCTGTTCTGACTAGTAGCCAGAATCCCAGCAATATCCCTCGCAGCCTCCAGCTTCCTGAGCTGCAAGAAGCCTTTACTCTTCTTCATCGCATCACCAATCAACTGCGCACTCTTGGCTTCTCCCTGTGCCCTTACGATGGTAGCATTCTTCTCCTGCAAAGCCTGGTCGACGAGGAAAGCGGCACGTAGCGCCGTCTGTTGTGCTACTTGCTTTGCCTCAACGGCATGAGTGAATTCGGGAGAGAAGGTAACATGAGTCAAGGAGACGTCGTCCAAGAGGATGTTGAAGCGTTGCGCTCTCGCGGTGAGATTCTCTCGTACGAGGCGCGAGACCATCTCTCTTTGAGTGATGAGTTGGGAGGCGTTGAATTGGGCGACAACTGATTTGAGGACCTCTGTCAGCGAGAGAAGGGGTGGCAAGCATTGGGTCAGCATGGCGAGCAGGACGAGATAGTACTCTGTCATGAGCTAGCGCGCCACACACCATTGACAATCGAGGGCAGAACTCTCTCATCATAGTCTGCGCCCAGCTCGCGGTAGATGGTGGGCAAGGCGTCGACCCTGGGCCTGCTGAGCACACGGCAGGTGATGTTGACCATCTGCAAGTCCTTGGTCCCTGTCAAGCTGCCGATGCTCCTCGGCTTGGCGCGTACGTCGTAGTCGATGGGTCGCTCCAGCCACGGGACCTGTGCAAGCGTGCAAGGCAGAAAGACGATGTCAGTCTGCGCATATTGTCGCCTCTCGCCATCGCTGTGCCACGCACCATCAAGTGCGTCCCTTCCGGGTAGATCTCCTGCTTGATACCACTCATGCGCGAGTACTTGATTGCGCGATGACCACCATCAACGTTGAACAAGGACTGACTGAGCAGGATGCCGCCTCCCGCGAGGAGGAAGAGCAACCCACCACCTCCGGCAATGGCTCCCATGTTGGGTCCACCACCTCCGCCTCCAGATCGCATGGGTCCACCTCCTCCCGCCTGCTGATTGCGCATCTGCTGCTCGAGCTGCCTGCGCACCTGATCGAGGGCGCGCATGAAAGGGGGGCGACCACCGGACGCCATCGTTGCAGCTCTCTGATGAGGATACGGTGAGATGAGAGGGAGAGGTGGGAGAATGACAAAGGTCGATGGGACGAGCGGACGACGAAGCTCAGCCTAGCCTCAGCCAAGCAGCCGATGAGACCACGCGGCGCTGACCAAAGGTGAGCGGCGACGCCGCGCCACGTGGTAGACGTAGTGTAGGCACCTCACGCTCGAGCCATGCGATTTAAGTTGGGGTCAACACCTCCAGCCAAACAAGACTCGGCGCGGCCCACGATAAGAGAGGAGGAGCGAGCAGTGCATATGGACGAGTAGAGGCGGAGAGAAGTCGATGGTCGAGCTGTTTCAGAATGTTGCTACATGATTATGAGGAGACGTAGAAAGTCATGGCGCCTCTGCTTCCTCCGCTTAAAGATCCATCGCGAATTGCTCCTCGCCTCCTTGTGCTCGAGCCACTCGGCCGGCCTCTTGCTGCCCTTTGTCGTCTGTTCGAAGTCCTTCAATCGTAGCTTGCCCACCGCCAGAGATGTTTCTGTCTGCATCACTGCCGTTCCCTTGCCTACCAACTCCGCCCGCGCCACTGCCCAGCAACGTCGAAGCGGCTGAGCCAACTCCTCCTCCAGACTTGTGCTGGTGGAAATCGGCGCTCTTCTCCGGCGAGCGAGAGATGGAAGCCGGAATTGCAGAGAGACCTTGAGCAGGCGATCGGGATAGAGGAGAGGTAGACAGGGCGAGGAGTTGCTCGCGACTATACATGAGCTTGGTGCTGAGCGTAGACCAGGGGGGAAGAGGACGATGCATATTAGCGCTGTGCTCACGGTACGCCGGCGGAGAGCAACGTCTACTTACCCTCCAGGCGTGCTCCCGTAAAAGTTCATCCCTCCAGGAGTCTGACTGAGCGTGCTCCGCTCAACATGGTCCCCCGGTCCCGCCCTCCTGATAGCCATAGGCATCGTACCAGGCCCGGTAGCGTCGGAGGTGCGGGCGCTGCCTCCTGGAGAGGTGATCACAGGGTCGGTCGTCATGGTATATGGAATCGAGGTGTTCGTGATGGCAAGGTAGGAAAGGAATGAAGATCGAGCGGGAGTAGGTGGGAGCGAGGCGGAGGCGACGGCCGGGGTGGAGTAGCAACTGTTGGACTCAACTCGATTGGCCGCTCGTGAACCGGACCGGACACGGAAGCAGGCTAGACAAGGCTGGGCGGATGAGCGGGCTTTCGTAGATAGCGAGATAGAGAGGCTGAGCAGTGCCGTACATTCGAGCTTGATCCTCGCCTTCGCAGTCTGCTCACTCATCCTGTCACGAGTAAATGAGGGCGTCGTTGGCGTCATCGACTTCGGGGAGGTGGCCTGAGCGCAGGTCCTCTCCAGGCGGGTTGCTCAGCCGTGACGCCTTCGAGCGAATTTGTCATCGTGATGAGGGCGAGTGAGCACACCATAGGGGTCGCATTGATGTCTGAGGCCGGCTTTATGTGCTCACTGATCCCAGTCGGCTGCCCATTGGGTCGGCGCAAGGCTGAAAAAGACCATCCTACTTCCCAAGGACGAGTGTAGGACCATCATGCTATGGAGACCCTGCTATGGAGCTCTTACCGAAGGAGCTCTGTGACATGAATCTTAGAGCGCGCCGACTATCGAGCACGACATCGTCGAATTGGTTCGGTGTCCGGCCTGACAGCTTGAAGAGGAGATTGTCTACTCAGCTCGGAAGTTACGAAGCCATCAAGCTGTCGACTGTCTCACCGCCAGCCGGAAGAATCCCTGTACTATCAAATGGTGTGACGAAGAGAATTGTCTTCCTGTTCGCGGGGTTGGTCCCTTTGCTAACGACAGTGAGCCACGTCTACACGTCGTGAATACGAGGTCCTCTTCAGTCGCTCATCGTCGCCGCTTTCGGACCACGTTCGACCTTTTGTACCCAGCGCTCCTCAAAGTAGCTGCCATGGGTGAGACGGACAGGGACCACCAGTGGTACCGCCACTAGAAACGGCCAAATTAATGCAGTGAGACCACTTCTACGGCGACGTCCGCAATCGAAAGCGCGACCATTTACACGTCCGAGTCGTGAGGCGAAAAGTGGACGCTCGGCGTGAAGCTGTACCGTGACAGTGCTCGCCCAGCTCGCCCAGCAGATCGGCGATCTCACTGTCTGTTGAGCGACATGATACGATGACACCGTCTGCTCTGACTTGCTAGCATGCTGCGTACGAGCATGTGAAGCGCAAGCCTGCCTGCCTGCTCACTTGCTGTGCTGGCTTGGTGAGCTTGCCTCATGCGCACTGCAACTCATCAGCCGCTTGCTTTCTCTGTGGCTTGCTCTGCTTTCGACTCGACTCGAGTCGCGAGCGTGTGCGGACGTTTTTTGACGAGCGCCAATGGATGGCAGGGCTGGCACTGGCAGGCCGGGGCAGCGAGACGGCCGGCGGGGCGGAGCACCACGCGCCTGCGAAGAAGGCTTCCACCTTCTCACCAGGCTGCCCGGGGGCGGGATCCCAATCCTGAGCAAGAAGAAGCAACGAAGCACCCGGTTGGACCTGCCAGCCAGGCAGCGCCATAGCTCCTCGCTCGCAAAGGAGCGATGATGAGCTCAGGTACTGGTGCCGGCGGCTAGGCGATGGCGATGATCAGTGACGGATGAGGGTGAGGCGAGGTGTGCGAGGCAGGATGGTGAAGCGAGGGCTGACCACGCGAAGCTCGGGTTCAGTGATCTTCAACGACATCAAACGACGAATTCGACCTGTCTCGAAGCTTGATGGTGCTCAATCGTAAGCTCGGCGATGTATCCATGAGCATCATGGAGGCGCCTGCGAGCGTGTGTGTGCTGTGTGGTCGCCGGGCTGGTCTGACGATTGAGCGTAATTTCGCCTGGTGTGTGGGCGGGTGCATGGGCGCGAGCGTAGACGTGCCGGCAGGGCAAGGCAGGCCAGACGAGGGTCCCTACTGATCGGAGGCTGAAATCGCGCACAAAGCGGCGGCGTTGGTGGAATGCGACAGCTGCTGGATCTTGCTTTGGGCCCTGCTTCTCGCGAGTTGGCGAGAATAGAAGTACGAACCAAGTGCGTGCGCGAGACGACGACGCTAGGACAAGGCAGCTCAAGTCAACGTCGTCGTCAGCCATCGTCTTCGTCGTCGACACTCCGATGCCGGAATCATGATGATCGAAACTCCACGAGCGGCGTGTGCGAGCGGGGCTTCTTCTGCGTGTGACGACGTTCGAGACAGTGTGCCAACTTGCTCTCATTGCCGTTCGCCGTGCGTCGGCCACGAAGCAGTCGTAGCTGGCACCCTGGGCACCGCACCCTGTCGCTCCGCCAGGCGGTTGCTGATTGGCTGCTGCTATTAATCAAAGAACCGCCGGCAAGGCAGAGTCCCCGTTTTCATCTCTTTCAACCCGTTCACACTCACTCCATCCTTCACTCCCTTTTATCCACGCCTTCTCAATCCTCATCGTCCCCTCCCTCCCTCCTCAACCACCCTACCTCACATCACAGCCCGCACCACGTCGGCGTCAGTCTCTCTACTCTCTTCTCCTCACAACGCTCATTATTCAGATTGACAGCCTATCGGGATCCCTCTCTACTCGACTATCAACAGCACCGTCCTTCACTCTCGTCCTCTCACAACACGATGCGTGCCTCCCTCTCCCTCTTCGCTGTTGCCCTCGTGGCCCTCACCTCGGTAGCCACCGCTACTCCCGTTGCCAACGACTCGAGCGACCTCATCGCTGAGCGCTCTGCTGCCCTCGCCGATGTCGATGCCATGGTTGCTCGTGACGAGGACGTCATCCTCGAGAGCCGCCGCAAGCACCACAAGAAGGCAAGGAAGCACAAGAAGCACAAGAAGCACACCTCCGCCAAGAAGGGTGGCAACGGTGTCGCTACCTGGTACACTGGCTCGCAGGTGAGTGTGACCGAGAACGAGACCCTCACGACACGTAACGAGCACAACGCTGACCCGTCCATTCTCTCACGCGCAGATGAACGCCCCCGCCTGTGGTGGTGGCACGCCCAGCGACAACGACATGGTCGGCGCCGTCTCTCAGAACAGTCCCTTCAAGTGCCACGACAGGGTCACCCTCTCCCGTGGCAGCAAGAAGGTTACCGTAAAGGTCGTCGACTTCTGCGAGTCTTGCTCGCCCACCCACGTCGACTTGAGCAAGGCTGCCTTCAAGAAGCTCGCGTCCCTCGGTGAGGGTGAGCTTCACGGCCTCAACTGGTCGATGAACTAAGAGCCCTGGCTACCACAGACGCCGTTGATCGTTGATCAATCACACGGCAAGCCAACCATGACGGGCGTGCTCGATGCTCGCCTGCACTTGCTCCTGCCTTTCGACCCTCGACCCTCGACCCTAGATCGCTGCGCCTCCTTTCTCGGATACATTCACCCTATCAATGATCGTCAAGGATGCCCGCTCATAGAGGCCGTCATCTGCGTCAGATCCATCCTCGATTCCCCCATCTACTCGGCTCCACGTTCATCCCTGACATCAGTCAACAACCAGCTCTCTCCCAAGTCATCCATCCTGCGAATCTCACGCCTACTGGCTGCTCGCCATCACGTCGATAAGCCCGCTCAATCGGCAGCAAGAACAGTCAAGTCAATCAAGGACGTCGAACCTCGCAATGCGTCACGAAAAGAAAGAACAATCTCCCACCAACACTCCCCTACGCTCTTTTACACTCCTCCCATTCTCTTCCTCATCGAGCAGGAACGGTGGGGGAGAACAACGACACCACACTTCTTGTAGCACCCCGACCCGGCCCTACCTTTTGACTTCATTACGAGCGAGCGGCGCCTGCGTCCTTTGGCTTGACCTCTTTGTCTTTACCCCTTTTTTTGGCACACGTGTGCTCTCACCTCGCAATACTCTAGTCATTTATCACTCTCTACCTTCTTGCTACGATGTGAATTGTGAGCTCGCCGTGCTCATCTTGAGGCAGTGCGATTCGGTTGGGCATTGTTGTTTGGGAGCCGAAGGACCTCGAGGACGGCTCCCGCCGGCTCGACGAGGGTGCACCGCAGGTCCGCATGCCTGGGCTAAGCCACAGGTACGGGCGGGCGCATCATGGCCCTTCCCCACGCCCGGCAATCATCGTGCGCTGTCAGGCTGAGTCCCACGGTTGTCAAACATGAGGGCTGTGTGATGAATCAATGAAGGAGGGCACGTCCCGTCAAAGCAGGCTGAATGACTGAGCTGAGGCGAGCATCAATTCCCTCGAAGCGGGATCAAGCGGCCGAATCGCGAGCAAGGCAAGCAGCGTCAGAGGCAAAGATAGTGTCCATTTCTTAGGCATAGGGGAAGCTATTCGTGAGGCTATCAACTCGAAAGGGACAGACACCGAGGTGAAGGGAGAGACGACGTGTGAGTGGGGCCGACTAGCTGCCTGGGCGCTCGCGCGGCTGTAGCGGTAAGATGAGGGATGGGGCATTGAAAGGAGGGGGACCTACGAAGCCACCGTGAAATGAGTGATGGTGGGAAGAACGTGAAACAGAATCCAGAGGAGTGAACGAGTCGTGGCGGCGTGGCGTGGCGTTGAGGATTGATGATTGGTGGATGGGTAGGCGAGGTGCTGCGAGCTGCGCTGCGCTTAGGTGTGAGAGGCGTCGGCTACTGCGCTACTATGATACGGTAGTTGAGGATGAATGGCGAGCAAAGAGAAAGGAGAATTGGACTTGCGAAGGGTGACAAGAGACGAGATCAGGGCCTCTCGGCCAATCATCTTCGCCCTTGGCTGCCGTAGCTGTACTGCGACGCATGGTGCGATCCCTGGTTGTAGTACTGCGCCGCACCGCCGTCAGATCGGTCCATGTTGTCGCGGTAGTAGTCCCCGGCATCGCCACCACGGTGCTCTCCCCATCCTTGCGACGCATAGTCCCCAGCACCGCCCAATGTGGCCGCATCCTGGCCAAGCGGCGAACGAGTCGCTGTATTCCGCGGCGAGTCGTAGTAGGGAGTGTTGGGCCCACTGACGTCCTGCATGCGGTACGAATCGTACGTCGCGAGGCTGCCGCGCGTCCCGGCTCCAGGAAACGCGCCTACTGAGCTTGCGGGGGTATTGACACGCTTGTACTCGCCGCCAGCTCCCCCGTCACGGTAGCTCGACTGGCCATACACTGCTCCACCTGCTGCGGCTGCTCCACCTGCTCCACCGTAGCCGCCAGCGGCCTTGGCCTTCTTGTTCGACTGACGGCGCCAGCAGAGGAGACCAAGAAGGATCAAGAGGATCAAGGCTGCAGCGCCAACGGCAATGCCGACAATCTTGCCAATGCCGAAAGACTCAGCGCCAGACTCGTCAGGCGTGGCGTTGTACTTGGCATTGGTGACCGAGGCAGGGAGTGAGGGCTGAGTGCCTGCAGCAGCAGCGTAGTTGAATGGGACGGGGCCGCCCGCTTGGCTCTGGCCGATCATAACGTACTTGCCCTTCGACGGTACGCCGTCGATGGTGACGAAGAGGAGAGCAGGTCCAGGTGGGAAGAGGTTGACGTTGGTCGGCATAGGCATGACGGTGTACGAGACCGTGCCGTCACCATTGACGGTGAAGGAGTGCTCGAGCTGCAGGGAGCGCTGGTTCATGTTCATGGCGTGCGTCGAGTAACCAGGGCGAATGACCATGATCTTGGTGTTGTTGGCCTTGTAGTTGGCAGAGTCGCCCATGAAGTTAGAGTCCATGTTGAATGTGAACGTCTTGCCGCCGTAAAGGATGTGGTCAGGCAGGCCAGTGGGCTCGGGTCGCGTCTTGAAGTAGTACATCGGGTACCACTTCTCGAGCTCGTACGTCGTGTTGAATGCGCGAATGCCTGCAATGGTCTGAGGCATCGTCAGGGCGACGTCCATGTGCGGGTTGGAGCCACCGACGAGGACAGAGCCGTCGGGCAGGAGGAGAGCAGTGGAGTGGTAAAGACGGGCAATCGGCGACGAGCCAAAGCCGTCACGAGTCAGGCGCGAGCCCATGGGCTGCTCAGGATCGTAAAGGACGGGCTGGTAGGTGGGGTCCTGGCTCATCGACTCGGTGTAGACCGTCTGGCCGTCTGAGGTGTTGAAAATGTTTGTCCAGTCCCAAACGAAGCCGTCATTCGTCTTTGCACCAGCAGAGACGTTACCGTATCCAGCAGTACCCTTCTGCGCACCGTTGACGATGACCATCTGGCCATTGGGCAGGTGGATAAATTGACCCATCGTGCGTGGCTCAGGGAGCTTCTCCTCGGTGACGTATTTGGCGTTGGGATTGTCACTGCCGTCTGAGTTGGAGGGTGTGATCGACGAGCAATCGTCCGACGCAGCGGTGGTGAGAGCGTTGAAGCGAGGAGCGGTGAAGTCACCCCACAGAGCGTCCGTCGTAGCAAAGCCACCGCAGAAGAGGATCGTCGGAGTGTACTTGTTGGCGGGCGTCAGAGGGAGCATGGCCGTAGCACCAGAGGCGGGGTAGACACGGACAATCTGGCCAGGCATATCGTCGAGGTCGGTGTACGAGTCATCGTCTGGCTTCCAGATCGTCGTCGAGTAGTTTGCCTGCATGAACATGTTGCCTGAAGGGAGGAGGTACATGTGAGGGTACATGTTGAGACCGCTCGTCTTGATCATGAACTGTGCCGTCTTTTGCGTGCCCTTTGAGGGGAAGTACTCGTACGTTGGGTTGGATCCACCTCCGGAAGTAGCGCTGCGGGCGTGGCGGGGAGCGATGGGAGGATGTGTCAGCGCCTTGCGAAGGTCTCTTCTCACTAGACGCGCGGTGTACTCACCGGTCAATGTTGGGGTAATTGCGGTTGATGTATCCGCCGCCAGTAGCGCCGCCAATGAGAATGATGGAGCCATCGGCCATCGTCTCCATACCAGGGTACCAACGCTGCGACTGCATGACGTTTCCTCCAGGGTTGTCACTCCAGCTGATCGAGGCATTGTTGGCTCCAGAAGCTACGGGCTCCATGATACGGAGAGCTTTGCGCCCATCGTAATCGCCGTAGGGCTGCGCTGATGGAGGCGCATCGGTGGCGATGGCTTCACCACCGTATGAGATGGCCTGATTACCACCAGCAACCACCCACGAACCGTTGCCGAGGGTTGATCCTGAGGCACAGAAGGTGTTGGTGTTGACGTCGATGACGTTGACCGAATTGTCGTTGAGGTTAAGGATGGAGCCCCATGCTGGCTTGTTGGAGCCAGGCACCTTGTCGCGGTTGTTCTCGACCTTGTCAAGAATCCAGACGTAGTCCTCATTGATGAGACCGAGCATCATCGCAGATGCTTTTGAGTTCTCGACAATGGTCTCATACTGGCCAGGGCAATTGCAGCTCTTGGCCGCTGACTTGCCCGCGGCCGATGCCGCTGGCGCAGTGGACAGGGCGAGGACAGCCGCGGTAGCTGCGACGGCTGATACGATACGTGATGTTGATGAGATCATGGCGAAGAAAAACGCTCTGTGTGTGTGCTCGTGGTGGTCGTGGTGGTGAGGTGGATGGCTCCCTCTAGTCGTCGCTGGGGCAGCGAAGGATGAGGAGGGGGAGAGAGAAAGAGGGGCTGCTGGGTGGCGAGAGCAAGCAGCACTGCCTTGCAATAGGGTGGAGCAGCGCGCGGACGTGGGGTGAAGAGACAAGGGACCCAAGAAAAAGAAAGTAGGAGTGAGAGAGTCGTGAAGTTGTTGCTTGGAGTGGGGTTTTGGTGGTGGAAAAGACAAAGGTAGCCTCTGTCTTGGTCGTCTCAGGCAATCTGTCGAAAAGAGGCAGTGGTGTGAGGGTCGTAGTTGAGAAACGCGAGTCCCAGTGCGAGTGAGAGCGGCGGCGGCCGTGTGTCCAGGGCAAAGCAACAGGCAAGAGCAACCAAGCAGGCAGGCAGGCAAGCAGGCAGGCAGGCCCGGCGACGCTGGTTCAGGAGACGAGGGGTGGCGGGCGAGCGGGGCGGCTAATGCCTGGCTGGCTGGCTGGCGGGCGGGCTGGCGGGCGCTGACGGCGTCCCTCGGAGAGAGTCGACATCGACGACTGACTGCGCGCCTGCGCCCGCGCCCGGTGCTCTCTTCAGCTCCGTTCGTGACTGCCTGCCTTGGCCGCCGTCGCCGCGCTTGCTTTGCTTGTTCGTCGCCTCATTGCCGGCGGACTGCTTTCGCTCCTGCAGTGCCACTCTGAGCCTGCTCGCAATGGCCCCAGCGCGGGTTTACAGTGCGATGTGCCCCCTGGGGCCTCCTCGCCTCAAGAACGACGCCACGACCAACGCTGCCAGTTGGCTGCGACTTGGCTTCCGTCTAGTCGGGCGACATGCGTGCCGTATCACCGGGAGTACGACGACGAAGACGGCCAGACGAGACGAGGACAAGCCGATCTTGCAGCGTCGAACTCCAGGAAGACAGACTGCAACGGCGATCAAGAAGAGCAACGATGTGGCCAATGACGGCAAGACGCAACAAACGCCTGCCGTAGCAGCCGTAGGGCCGCTAGTCACGGCCGCCGGCTCAGCGCGAGCTCACACTATCAAGCACAAAGTGCGTGTCCGTCGACGTCCGAGGTCAGTTTGGAAAAAAGGGGTGAGGGAGACGGCGATCTTGCGGGGACTCAGATCGTGGATCGAAGTTTCTTCTCGCTACCGCGTTCAAGTCAGCCAGGGCTCAATCGAGCGAGCTAGCAACAGGCGCTCGTGAATACCGGCCTGAACCCTGGCAGGCTTGCGCGCTCTAATTGTCTCGTGTCTGCTTGTCTCACCAGGCATTCCAATCGGCACATCTGCTCGTCGAGCAAGGCGCATGTCTTGTACTGAATGCTATAGTAGCATTCGCTCTGCCTGTCTCGCGCCTATCATGAGTAAGCCGCACCCTAGCACTTGACATACTGTCGGCCAAAGCAGCATTTCCGTGCTCCCTCTGAGCATGGGTGAGTGAAGGAAAGGCCCGACGAGCGAGCGGCGTGGCGTCCAGAGGATGATAGACTAAAGGTCCGTTACAGCTGCATCGATGTCGGTGCTCTTCGTATCTGCAAGGAGAGACGGGAGGAGACGGGACCCAGCCCCGACCACGCCAGATGTCAGTCCAATGTGAGGCTCGGTCTGAATTAGAAGCTCGAGCCAGAGTCAAAATCGCGGCCAGAGTCAAAATGGCGACAGGATAGCGTTGGCTCGAGGCTCATCGCTCCAGGCTCGAGAATGATGATGATGAGTGTATTAGTACAATAGTAGACGAAATGGCCCGAGGCAGAGCGCGTATATTCGGGGACGAGTAGAGCAACACGAGAAGCCATCTCCGTCCAATCTCCTCCGCATATTGAGACAGCTCCTGGAAAGATCCGTCTCTGTGACAGCTCAGATCCGTGAAGCGGTCGAGTCTGCATCTTCATCGCTGCCACGAGGAGGCAGATGATCTTCTTCCCTGGCTACTTCAGAGAGCATCGCCCTTTACGCCTCCTCTCCACTTTCCTGCTGCTGCTGCCCTGCCTGTTGCCCACTCGCATAGCTCTGATCGACGGGGATGCGGACGAGCGTGTCAGGTACCAGTGTCGCAAGCCTCTCTTCCTCCTCGTCTGGGTCGGCGCCTTCTGTTGGTCTTGTGCGGTCAGCGACGGATGCTGCGTGAGGAGAAGATGCAACGGGCGCACGAGGGGGTCAGCTTCGATGGCTCTCGACTGATTTCAGCATCGTTGGCCAGCTGGCTCTGTGACTCTCACCCTGTGCTACCTGAATACCACGAAAGACCGTTTGCCATGAAGCCATCACTTGCGCGGCGCCTGTCGCGGCGGGAACGATGTACAAAGGGGCACTGATCAGCCGATCCTTTCTCGCAGCATCACCCAATGCGTCCATTGCGCAGTCATACTCACTCTCGCCACCCTTCCTGATCTGATCCAGCCCCTCGCCCATCTTCTCCAGCTCCTTGACCAGCAGCGCACTGTAATCCCTGAGCTGCTTTAACCCCTCCAGCTCGGCCTGCTTGGCCGCCAGCCTCGCAGCGGGGCTCTGCGCTGAATTTGCTGATTGTGACGATGATGATGATGCGCTGCCTCCGGGATATACGGAGGGGCGTGCACTTGTTGATGAAGAGGGCATCACGGAGGGTCGTGACATAGTGCTAACGAGTAGGGAGGTAGTTGGGTAGTGAGGGTCGGACGGATGCAAGTCGCTGGACGACGAGATGGACGGACAGAGCGAGTGATGGTCTGCTGCAGGCGGGAGCGCGTTGAGCAGACGCGTGTGGCGCCCAAGGCCCGCCTGCTTTAGCGTTGCCTCACCATGGCAGCACCACGGAGTACAGTAGCTACGACTGTTACATTGAGACGTTCATCTGGGATGTACACTCTGTTTCTGGTATTGTTTCGCCGCAAGCGCCATCACTCCTCGTCATCTATCCGCCACTTCTCAACAGTAACGTTGCGCTCCCCCGCCTTCTTAACCACCTTATACCTGCCCAACCTGAATTCCTCATACGCTCGTCCCGCATGCCTCACCGCCTGGCGATGTCTAGGCAGCTTCGAAGCTCTCACAGCACTCTCTCGATCCGTCCAAATGCACGTTGCAAGGTTGTCGCCGGTCTCCTCATCCGGCTCCCCGTACCAGTATGCAAGAAGCCCGCCACTTCGTACCGCTTCTTCGTGGGAGAGACGGTCTGCCTCGTACAGATTGATAGACTCTGAACCCGAACGACGGCGAGAGAGGAAGAGGACCCCGTACCAAGTGCCTTTGATGTGTTTTGGCAGCGACAGCGATGACCAATTGAAGGAAGATGTGAGGAGGGAGACGTCAGAAGCTTGGTCGGCGACGAATGGGCACTTTGATCTGTCTGTGACGCCGACCGACAGAGGATGAGGCGCTTCTGTGGCTCTCACTCCCTGCAGTAACTTCCAATTGCTCAAGTAGTGCGCGGACGTTGTGTTGAATTGGTGAAGCGCAGTCCACAGGTGACGACTGGCTTCATCGATCTCAGGCAGCTGAGCGCGAGTGTAGAGCACACGCGTCCCAGAGGAATAGCCTGACTTTTCGTGCAGCGCCGACGAGATCCATGGTGCGAGGTAGCTGTTGTCATCATCCTGCCTTCCCGCTGGCTGCGCATAACTGGATTGCAGCTCGAGTGGCGTTGGCGTGCCTAGATGGCGTGGGGGCCGAGATAAGATAGGCATGCCGGATGTATTGCCGTCATAATGCTCGAAGAGGGTGCTAGAGCTGACTACCTCCTCTTTAGATTGCTCCGGACCGTCAGACTTCGGGAGGCGGGCCGTCTCTGTGGACGAGCCTCTGCGTTCCTTGGCAAGATCAGCTTGGACTTGGCTCGAGGACGAGCAAGCCCAGAGATGGCGGACCTCGCGGGATCGACCGCGTCGCTCCTCCTCGGGGCGTTGAAGAGCCGTGTAAGAGGGGCCTGCCGCCATCGACGAGCTCAGCGGCTGGAAGTGGACGGTGCCATTGCGCTTGGCTAGCTCCTGCCTCAGGCTCACGTAGCTGGGTGGGCGAGCTGTAGGATCACCCCACGACGAAGAAGGGCGGTACGAGCTACCGTAGGACATCGCAGATGATGTAGACGTAGGAGGATGGGATACTTGACACGAGACTACTCTGAGCGACAGTGGGCACTGCTGTCTTCACTCATTTAAGACCGTTGCGCCCTCTCATTTGCCTCCGTCGATCCCGAGTCTTTGCTTTGCCTTCGTGACTCGTCTCAGCGATCGTGGAGATCATGGCGCCATCATTTGCTCTTGTCACTCGGATCAGCCTGTTCAGCTTGTTCGCCGCGATGAGAGGGTCAGATCGTTTGGTGGCGACAGAGGCTCGAGCGATGCCAAAGATGCCACGGTGAGCGAGATCGCGCCATCGCTTCTCGGTGATGGCGAGCCGCCGTTTGCCCTCCCGCGTCACTCGGCCCGCTGCAGATTGGCAAGCTGCACCCACGTGGTTGCGAGGCGGACTGGGGCCCGTGCCGTCCAACACTGCCGTCCGCCGCTACACGATGAGCCAAGGCCAAGGCGAGCCCACTTTCTCGCGATCCATCCATCCTCAGACCAACACCAACTCAGACCGCCGGTCTCGCATTATTCTCATCACCACGCTGCGGCTGCGTGGCACTGGCCATGTCTCAGCTTCTCCTTGCAGACCTCACCTCGCTCTCCAACGAGTCAAAGAGGAGATGTCCTGAGGCAAAGGTGGCTGCAGACGCGGCTCTGACTGCGCTGCGCGCCGACTTTAATGCTACTCTGACGACCTGTAGACAGGGACCTAACAGAGATGGCAGCGTTAAACGGCCTAGTGGCCCGAGCGCTTTCGCTCGAGGCTCATCAATATCTCAGTCTGCGGACGTCCTCAGCGAGGATGAGAAGAAGGAGCTCTTTGAGGGTAACTTGCTGCTGCGTCCCATCTTCTTTGCTTGCAACTCAAAGACGCACTTCAAAGTAGCTGGACTCGGCGTCGCGCTGCTACAGCGCATCGTCGCGATGAAGGTCGTGCCAGATGTGGGTCATGAACACGAGCTTCACAACTTCGCAGAATCACCGCTTAGCTGACCAGCATGCCGACATCCTGTCTCCCCGCTGCGCAGGCTGCCATCGGTCCGGTCCTCGATCTCTTGACTCCCCTACTCGCCAAGGGCGACGTCGACTTGCTGCTCAAGCTGTTACAGACCTTCTCAGCACTGCTGTTGTCATATCCGTCAATACATGGGCCGCTCCTGGCGCTCACTCTGCGTCACTGCCTCCAGCTGCAGAGCAACAAGGTCCAAGTAGTGAGCTCCACAGCCGCAGCTACGGTCCGCCAAGCCATCATGATTGTCTTCGAAAAGGTCGTTGAAGAAGATCGCGTACTTGACGGCATCAAAGAAGGAGGTGAAGATGCAGCTGTCGCCGCGCCCTTGGCTGCAATGACGACCGAGGTACCAGGCGAAGAAAATGTCACGCTTTTCCCCTCATCGGCAGATGCATTCAAAGCCTTCTGCGACCTCAATGCGCTTGCACAGGACGAGGCGGCTGACTTCCTGGAACTATCCTCACTCCCTCGTACCTTCACTCTGGAGCTCATCGAATCAATCCTCACCAATCACACCGCACTGGTCCGCAATCACCCAGAGCTCCTACATACATTGCGCGAGTCGACGTGCCCGCTACTCATCAAAGCCCTCAGCGAGAAGCCAGCATTTCCTACTGCGCTACGTTACATGAGGTTGCTCTTCGTACTACTGCGCCAATTCAGCGCCGACCTGGTCATCGAGACCGAGATTCTCGTCAGCATCCTGCTGCGCTTTGTAGCGCCTAGCGCGGATCCGCAGCAAGAGGCCGTCCCCAAGTGGCAGAGGATCATCGCGCTCGAAGTCACTCGATCTCTCTGTTCTGACAGCATATTCCTTCGGAACCTCTGGGCCTGGTTCGACGGCAAGGACTCGCCAGCCAAGGTCTTCCTGAATCTCGTCGAGGTGCTCAAGGCAGTAGCCGAGGAAGGCGGGACCGCTATTGGAGCGAGTCGCAATGCGTCTGTGACCAGCCCTAGGCAAAGCATCGATCGCAGGACATCTGGCGCCTTTAGCCTGTACGAAGCCGCCGCAGGAGTTGCCAACGCAATGCTCAGCGGCAGTCAGGACAGCGCAATTGGCAACCTCACTCTGTCATCAACGCCACCGCTGCAGTTCATCGACCAGCTGGAAAAGGCAGAAGCACCCAACGCCCCAGCGACCTACGCCTACCTTCTAGGTCTGCAGTCCCTCGTCCACGTAGCGCAATCGCTGGCGCAGCACATCCTGCCAGCCTACTCGAGCTTCGTCAATGCCAGGTCATCAGGCGCCCGGCTGGCACCCCCGAGACTCGACTTCCAGCAAGTCGAGCAAAAGCAGCGTCGTGACCTTCTCAACTGCAAAGCAATGGTGTCTCAATCCTCCAAGACGCTTCGCTCCTCCTTGTTCTTCCTCCTCTCTGCCCAACTAGACGACTCCCTCTTTTGCGAGGTGTTGACGGCGGTGCGCAATTGGACAAATGTTTGCGGCGTGCTTGGAGAGGACGAGGCTAGGAACTCGTTCATTGCTGGCATCTCGTCCATAGCTCTACCCCAGCAGCTCCCCGACGATGATCCCAGTGCACCTGAGATAGGCCTTTCAGAACGCAACCTGGCAGCTCTGCGAGTCCTGGCGCATGTCGCCACCTACCTCTCTGGAATCCTGGACGGGCACTGGCGTCCTGTGCTGGCAGCCCTATGCGACGCAGAGCTTCTCATCAAGAGAGCAAAGGGGCGGCGAGAGAACGTACAGGGCAATATCTCCCAGGATGACGATAAGGCCGCGGGACCCATGAGCCCCAGAGCCAGCTCGAGTACCGCCGTCTTTCAGCCTGGCTTTTCGGTCGCCTCAACGCCGACAGACTCTAAGACGGGCAGACCGCAGCTCCTCGCCGGGCTCGACTTCGATAGCCTGTTGCGTGAAGTAGCCAACTGCTTTGAAAACACCACTTCCCTCGACGGTGATGCCTTTCAAGCCTTCCTCGAGGCTCTCTGCGATCTCTGCGATGCTTCGGCACGCCAGGCAGCAACTAATTCATCAGCGCCACCGACGATGGTTCTGTCGACGCCGACGAAGGATCGCCGGCCCTCTGGAGCAGCGACCTCCGGCCAACTGCAGAGACCACTTCGCGATAGCGTCCTGTCGGGCTCCATCTACATGCTCAATCTCGACACTGTGCTGCGTCTCAACGTCAAGCGACTCAACGAGAGCAGTGAAGAGCGCGGCTGGAGTCAGGCGACCAAAGTGCTGCTCGATCTAGCATGTGACTCCAACGTCCGGCCGGTCCTCCGCACTCAAGCCGCAGAAGCCCTCGCTGCGCTGCTTCTCGCCTCCATGGGCACAGAGCACGAAAAGGCAGAAGCGGAAGCCTTGCAACGCCGGGTGTTTGCGCCTCTGCGCACGGTGAGCGTCCTCAACAAGGATGTCTCGCAGCCCGCCGTAGAAGTGCGCAAGGTCGGTGTTGAGACACTGCGCAAGATCCTTGAGACTCACGGCTATGCGCTGAGGTTAGGGTGGGACGACATCTTCGAGACCGCAATCGCCGCTTGTCATCGTCCTTCGCACGACGCAAATGCAGCCAGGATGACACTTCCCCTCGTCAAGACGGCGTTCGCTGCCACGCAGCTGATCTGCAACGATCTTCTGGCAGCACTGAGCCTCGATCAGCTTCTGCTTGTCATCGAAGCTCTTCAAGGCTTCGGCTTGGCAGAGGATATCAACGTCGCGCTCACGGCCAGCAGTGCTCTGTGGAGCCTCACAGCAGAAATTGCGGACCGCTCCTCGCCCTCGTCGTCCACATCGTCCTCTACCACCGCTGCTCCTGACTGTCTCCCGCTCTGGCTTAGGCTCCTTACAGCCTTCCGCCTCATTGCCGCAGATGGCCGGGCCGAGGTACGTGATGCGGCCATCTCTGGACTCTTCCGCGTGTTGTCCTCGTATGGGCAGATGCTCGACTCTACAGCATGGTCGACAGCGTTGCGTAAGGAGGTCTTCCCTCTTCTGGACGCTACCGCTGCAGCTAGCGTCGCGCCGAAGTCACCGCCTGCACCGACAATTGGCGCATCTGAAGCCGACACAGCCTCTTCGCCCTCTCGCACTCGTCGCAAATCGTCACTGAGTCGACCGAGTCAGGAAGACCCCGCTGCAGAGCAGGCCCAGCAATGGCAAAAGACGCAGTCCGTGGCATACGAAGAGCTTGCGCCGGTCGTCAGCGCCTTTCTCTCTTCGCGCCTGATAGCCGCAGAAGACTTTGTCGAGCTGTGGGACACACTTTTGGCAAAGATCAAGTCGAGCTTCCTCGCCGGACCAGCCCTCGTCTCGCAGGCATCCATCGCTGCTCTCCGTACCATCTTGTCATCTCAAGTCGACGCACAGAACGACAAGATCCGCTATGCTTGGCGGCAAGCCTGGTTGACCTGGGCGGGCATGGCCGACAGTCTTGCGTCGGCCCCCACAACTTTCTCGCACCCCAATCTGCTCGCGTTCGGGGAGACCTTCTCCGAGCTCTACCGCTGCCAGCCGGAGAGCGTAGAATTGGAGGCAGTACCACGGCTGCACCTCGTTGAGACGTACGCGGGGTCCGGGCAGGGCATCAATGACGTTGACAAGTTGACGCCTGTTCAGGCTGCGACGCGCGACATTTTGTTCGCGCTGAACCACCAGCCTGGCCTACCTGCAGCACTGCTTCGCACGATTGCTGAGAGGATCTCCTTGCCCTTCACGCTGCTGCCCTCGGCATCAGGGGCCCAGCCGCAGCAAGGTTCGAGCTCGCAGCGTACGTACATTGCCGCCCACAAAGAAGCAGTGCGCGACGCCATCAACCTTTTTAGCAAGCATAAGCACGAAGCGGATACGTATACCTCAGGCGCCTTCAACGCCGTCCTAGCGGCTCTGGCTGTACCCATCAAGCTGCGCTACGATTGTCCACAACCTTATCGGTATGCGCCGAAGGACCTGGCCCCTCCTCGCCCTCTCTGGCAGGAGGCCACCCTGGCTTTCGCCTCGATGTGCCCTGGAGCCTGTGATTTCCTTGATGAAGCGAGCGAGCAGGACCTGCCCGACGAAGATTTGGAAGGTATTTGGCGTCACCTGCTCGCCGTCTACCAGGCAGCTTTCGACGGCGACTGCTCAGGCCACGAAGAGGACCAGGAGCGAGACGGAGCTTTCGACCTCGTCATCCTCTGCATCTTTGAGCGACACGTCTGGCCCGTGTTGGGGAGTAAGCGCACACCTGCAGCCATCGTGGAGCAGTTCGCCGTCTCCCTCGCTCGTGCGAGTCGGTGCCACGAGGAGAGTGCAGCCCTTGACCGCGACCCACCCCAATCATCCAGTAGCGGGCAAGCGGAAGTCTACGAGCTCAACGGTCCAAAACTGCCCTCAGGTACCGTCCTGGCTCCGCAGGCGACGTCGCGGGAGAATTTGGCCAAAGCCTGCCTGAACATGCTCTTTCTTATGTGCTCGAACTCCCTGCTTCCCGGCATCGAGGACAACGAGGAGCGCAAGCGTAGACGACATCGTGTCGCGGCCCTGTCGCTGCCCGTCCTCCTTCGACGAGTCAAGGCAAGTCTCAAGAGCTACACAGCAGACGCAGCGTTGCTGGGAAGCGCCCCTTTCCCGCGTCTGAGGGACGAAGAGGCCTACCTCATCCTTTCGCACCTCCTCGATCTTCGTCTCCAACCAGAGACACTCTCCGCCGCGAAGTCGGGGGACGCGACACAATACCTTGAAGCACACTACTCTGGCGAAGAGCAGCAGGGCGAGGCAACGCTGGCCTCATTGGCGCATCGCACTCCACTCTCGCACCTCTTCGCCCTGCACGGTACCCTCCTCGACGTAGTTGCCCTCAGCTGCGTCGCTTCAGCGTCCCCAGTGAGCGGGCGCGGTCCGCTGCTCCATCACATGCCGCAGGGCTTCGACTATGGGGACACGAGCCTCCTTGGCGGAGGCGATCTTTTCGGCGGTGATCGCCGAGATCGTGGCCAGCCGAGGAGGATAGCGGACCTCGCCAGGGATTGCTTGAACCTGCTGTCTGAGTCGTTTGAGTAATGGATGGGCGGTCGGCTGCTCACTGGACTCTATTGTATATTCGCATCAACAACCTCAGTACCATCGTAATCATCATCATCATCATCATGATCCTCATCGAAAGTGAGTTTTGCATTGCGAGGCCGCTACGCCAGCCGTCACAGATCCCAATCGAGATCATCGTCCTCTTCCTCCTGACTTCGCACGCTTGGCTTGTCGTATTTTCTATTGCTCCCTCCAAAACCTTCGTCCTGATCCTCGGCCTCTTGACGCTCCTCCTTTCTCCTCTCCTCCTTCTCCCTCCTGTCCATATCCCCCTCCCCATTATCCTGGTGCGTCGCCGACCCGGGCACCGTCGAACGATCGACGACGCCCACTGCGGTAAGGAGCAACTCGATATCTTCGCACTTCGTCTTCATGCCGTCCAAGCCAATCTCGGGTCTGAGGCCGATGATCTGTCGATGGAGCTCGCCGTTGCGGTAGACGAGGAGTGTGGGCAGGTTCTTGTCTGGATAGTTGGGGATGCACTGGTCCCCAACTATGCTGACGAACTTGGTTGCGGGGTACTTTGATGCGAGGCGGTCCAGGTAGCCGGAGAGGAGGCGACACTCCTCGATGCTGTCCTTGTACAGGAAACAGACGACGCCGGTGCCCTTGGCGCGTGATTGTTTGGCTGCTGAGCCACCTACGGTGCCCGCGCCAGTCTCTGCGACATCGTCATCATCGTCTGGGTCATCGTCGTCCTTGCCAATACGATCCGGATCCACCTTGCTAGCTTCTGTGACCTCACGCGTATAGTCTGGTCTGCTGATTGGATAGACACGTCCGAATCTGCCCCTCTTCCTTTCTTTGGCCAAAGCATCGAGGCGCTGCTGTCGTATTCTCAAGAGGAGTTTCTCCTCCTCATCGCCGTCTTCACCGCCTCGACCGCCGTCCTGCTCCAGGGCGCGGTCTATGTCCTCTACTGTGGCCTTATCCAGCTCCGTTGCGCGACGCTCTTGATCAGTTGGAAGCTCTGGCGAGGGAGAGCGTGAAGGCGGCTTGGGCGGGATAATCCCGTGAGCACGGAGGGCATCGTGGCTGCGGGCCGAGGTGAGAGAGATCAATAGGAGTCAGTGACGCTCCTGCTTCTGCCATCTCAGCTCGCGTGTGCGCTTGTACACGTACAACTCGGTGTCCTGCGTTGGATCGACTTCCGCTTGCATCTTAGTAGTCGCGGGTGAGATATAGAATCGAGAAGAAGTCAAAGTCACAGCCGCACTTCGATCTCATCTTGACGCCGGGGCCACTCACTCTCATCGACGGACTGGGCTCGGTTCGACCACGTGGCTCATGGAGCACCACGGGGGGCGTGGTTTCACTTGCTCGCCTCTCCCCTGCAGGTCGAACGCAGCCTCGAGCGAAATTTGTGGTCTGCGTCCGCTCGACACGACGGGCACGAGCGCTTGCTTCCTAGCTTCCTCACTATTTGTCACCCTCTCCTTTTCAACCACCACTCAACCCTCTTCCTCCTTTCGCGATGGCAGCCGTCAATGGCGCTGGTTCAGCGTCTGCTGCCACTCACCTAGAGGCCCTCTACAAGGCGCCCTCAGCTGAGGACTGCCAAAAGGCCGCTGACTCGCTGGCCTCGTACATCAACGACCATGGACTGCGAGTAGTTGATTCCGAGGCAATCATCCCCTCTCTTGTCAAGGCCGCAAAGAACAAGAAGAGCGGCTACGAGAGGGAAGCAGCAGCTATCGGCCTCGCTGACATCTTCAACAAGGTCGCAGGCAAGAATGCGCCTTCACCACTCGGAGCTGAGCCATGGCTCCTCCCTCAGACTCTTCCCGTCCTCCTCGACCTCCTCGCCGACAAGGGTGACGTCGTAGTCGAGGCCGCGCAAAAGGCAATCGATTACCTCTTTGTTCTCGTCCCCGCCGAAGCCATCCCCGAGCTCCTCGATACCCTCTATGCCACCCTCTCTTCCAGTGCGTCAAAATGGCAGTCCAAGGTCGGCGCCCTCAAGCTCATTGGCAAGCTCGCCGACAAGAACCAGGAGCAAATCGGAGAGCAGCTCCCCACACTCATTCCCTACCTGACTAATGCCATGCACGAGACCAAGGCGGAGATCAGCAAGGCAGCAATCAAGGCTGCTACTAAAGTCTGCGGTGTCATCGACAACAACGACATCCGACCTTATATCCCCGATCTCGTCGAGACGATGCGAGCGCCAGACACTGTGTCGGCCACTGTCAAAAAGCTTTCGTCGACGACCTTCGTAGCTGAGGTTACTGGACCAGCCCTTGCCGTTATGGTCCCGCTCCTCGTCCGAGCCCTCGGAGAGCGCAACCAGACCGTCCAGCGCCAGACTGTCGTCGTTGTCGACAACTTGTGCAAGCTCGTCCGCGACCCTCACGAGGCAGCCAAGTTCTTGCCCGCCCTCACGCCTGGTGTCGAGAGGATCGAGAAGGGAGCTTCCTTCCCCGAGGTCCGAGAGTACGCCCGCCGCGCTGTCGAGACGCTGCAGGCTGCCACCAAGGCCGTAGGCGCTGCCAAGGCCTCGGATGAGGATCCCGTCGCTGCATTCGAGCAGGCCAAGAGCGCAGCTCTGGGCTCCATCATTGCAGCGGTACAGGGCAACGTGCCCGAGGAGCACGCCAACGTCAAGAGCGACGAGTTTGCTATGCTCGGTCTGGATTGGGTTGCCCGCCTGATCGTCCGCCTGGCCGACAAGCGTGTGGTACAGCAAGCGCCTTGGGACGATGTCTATGTCCTTCCCTACCTTCGCCGCATCTGCTCTTCCGAGGAGAAAGCAAGGCTCGTTACTGACAACCTGCGCCAGCAATACTCTGAGATCGACCGCGCCCGCTTCGGCAAGCCCGAGGATGAGGATGACGAGGTCGGCGAGTGCGTGTGCCGCATCGAGTTCTCCTTGGCTTACGGTGGTCTGCTTCTCCTCAACCACACCTGGCTCAAGCTGTACCGCGGTAGGCGCTACGGTATCGTGGCTGCCAACGGTAGCGGTAAGAGTACTTTGCTGAAGGCTATGCGAGACGGCAAGGTCGAGGGCTATCCAAGCGACTTGGTCACGGTCATGGTTGAGCACAACCAGGGCGAGGACGCCTCGATGCCCATCCTCGACTTCATCGCCAAAGACCCGCGTCTTGGAGGCAAGACCAAGGACCAGGTCAGCAAGGCCTTGTTCGAGGTCGGCTTCGACGAGGAGAGGCAGAGCAACCCGGTCGCCTCGCTCTCCGGTGGCTGGAAGATGAAGCTCGAGCTGGCTCGTGCTATGCTCATTGGCGCAGACGTTCTCCTCCTTGACGAGCCGACGAACCACTTGGACGTCGCCTCGGTCCACTGGCTGGAGAACTATCTCATCTCAAACGACAACATCACCGTTCTGACCGTCTCGCACGACGTTGGCTTCCTCGACACAGTCTGCACGGACATCATTTCGTACGAGTCGAAGAAGCTCAAATACTACAAGGGCAACTTGTCCAAGTTCATTGCGACCAAGCCCGAGGCCAAGTCCTACATCTCGCTCGCTGCCACATCGGTCAAGTTCTCCTTCCCTCCGCCTGGCTCCCTCATGGGCGTACGATCGACGACGAGGACGATTCTCAAGGTCACCGACGCCACGTACACGTACCCTGGCATGAAGAAGCCCTCCATCACTGACGCCTCTTGCGCCGTCACCCTCTCGTCTCGTGTCGCGGTCCTCGGCCCGAACGGTGCGGGCAAGTCGACCCTCATCAAGGTCCTGACGGAGGAGGTCATTCCTCAAAAGGGCAAGGTCGAGAAGCACCCTAACCTCCGTGTTGCCCTCCTCGCGCAGCACGCCTTCCACCACCTCGAGCAGCATCTCGAGAAGACAGCCTGCGACTACATCCGCTGGCGCTACAGCGATGGCTCGGACAAGGAGGCCGACGAGAAGGCCAACCGCAAGATCTCCGAGGAGGAGGCCGAGCAGCTTGCCAAGCCCATCGTCTCGTCCACGGGCGAGAAGCGCCAGATCGAGTTCATCGTTGGCCGAAGGAAGATGAAGCGCGGCTTTGAGTATGAGATCAAGTGGAGGGGAATGCTCCACAAGGACAACACCTGGATCCCGCGTGAGCGTTTGAACGAGTTGGGCTTCGCCAAGATTGTGGGGCGCTTCGACGACGTGGAGAACGCGCGCGAGGGTGCTGGCGCCAGGGAGATGACACAGAAGGCTATCAGGGAGACGCTGGAGGAGGTGGGTCTCAACGGCGAGATTGCTCAGAACAACGAGATCCGCGGTCTCTCTGGTGGGCAGAAAGTCAAGGTCTGCCTGGCTGCTGCCATGTGGAACAACCCGCAAATCCTCGTCCTCGATGAGCCCACCAACTATCTGGACCGTGAGGCCCTTGGTGGTCTGGCCATCGCCATCCGCGAGTGGGGTGGAGCAGTCGTCTGCATCAGTCACAACGAGGAGTTCGTCAATGCCCTCTTCCCCGAGCAGTGGCAGGTAGACAATGGCCGTATCATGTCCAAGACGAAGAACGTCGGTCTTGAGCAGAACTTCGGCGACGAGGCACAAGAGGAAGTCGTAGACGACAATGCCTCTACCCCGGGCCCTGGCACTCCCGCCTTCCCTCCTGGCACCCCTGCTGGCGGCTCATCACGCGTCGCCTCCCGTCTGGGATCAAAGGCTGCTACCCCTATGAGCTCTGCTGCCGCTACCCCCGCTGGGTCTGATGCCGAAGACCAGGACATGTCGAAGCTCAAGGCTGCCAAGGGGAAGAAGAAGAAGAAGACTCGTAACGAGATCAAGGCGCAGGAAGAGCGCAGGAGGGCGAGGGTGCAGAAGTGGCTGTTGGAGGGCGGCGAGAAGCCTGTTGATACCGAGAGCGAAGGTGAGGGAGGCAAGGAAGGCGGGGAGGCCGCTGCCGCTGCCGCCAAGAAGAAGCTGCCCCCGAACAAGCGCAAGTAAGTGCCTTTGGGGTGGTGGTGATGATCATGATGTGTTGCATTGCCTCTATGCCTCTGTAGACGATCGTGTGCTCCTAATCTCATAGACTGGAAACTCGAGCGAGCGAGCGCTTTGCTGCGAAGGTGTGAGTCGTGCGTGGGAAGATGGCGGACGTGCGGGCGGACGGGCGTGGGTTGGTGTGTTGGTCGAGCGAGCGGAGAGGCGGGGCGAGGCGATGGTGACGACAGACCGAGTTGCGACTTTGCTCCCTATCCTTTCTCCTTCACCAACATCCGCTCTTCTCTCGTCGAGCCGTCGCAGGGACGCTCGTTGAGCATCATGTCTTCCTCATCAGATCCTGCACAATCGTCGATGGCCACTGATGCCTCCGCTTCGACGGACACCGTGAACACATCCGTCAGCCAGGGGGCAGACGGGGAAATGCATACAGCGACGACGGCCACGGGCAACGCTGGCAACGGCGAAGCTCGACCATCCGACGGCAAGGCTGAAGCTACCGCCGCAGCGCCGGACACATCGACCGGCGCTGCCTCCTCTACCGAAGACCTCGACGATGTGGCCACGCTTCGCAGCCGCATCGCCGACCTGACCAACCAAGTGACAGGTCTCAATGGCAAGCTCGTCTCGTCCTTCATGCGCATCTCCGACCTCGAAGACGACCTCTCCGACGCCCGCGAGCGTGTCATGTCTGGCACCACCCAGGTCGCCTCCCTCGAGAAAGAGAGGCAGGAGCACTTGGCTGCTCTCAACACGGGCCTGCTGGTGGAGAAGGCTCACGTGTCGACGGAAATGACTCGTATGATGGATCGTGTTATCGAGGAAACGAAGCAAAGGGGACAGGCTGAGAGCGACAAGGCAAAGATTGAGGCTGAGCTGGATGAGCTGAGTGCAAGTCTCTTCAACGAGGCCAATCGCATGGTTGCGGTTGAGAGGCTGGCGAGGGCGAGGGCCGAGGAGAAGAGCAAGAGCATGGAGGAGCGATTGCAGGATACCGAAGGCATCATGCTTGAGCAGCAAAAGGTGTTGGGCGATCTGCAAAAGAAGCTGGAGGCTAGCAAGGAGGCTGGAGAGGCGGCGTCAAGCTCGAGGGCGCAGCACCAAGTGGGCTCGCCTTCATCTTCGTCGGCTCCACCGCCCCTGGTCCTCATGCTGGACATTGTCCCCTATCAGGAGCTCCACGCCTTCCTTGCCCACCTTCGCAAACTACGCAAACAGCTGGCCCCCTTCTACAACTATCCTTACGACCCTTCCCGTCCCTACCTCTCGCACCGCAAGAACAGCTCAGGCAATTACATCGGCGGCGGCCAATCTTCCTCTTCCTCTTCCTCTTCAATACCCACCTCCCCTACACTCCGCTCATCAGGCTCCTCTTCCTCGTCCGGCTTCACCCCAGCCTCATCAGCAGATGCGACTCAGACATCTCCCTTCCTCCTCGCCGGCGTATCCCGGCATAAGGACTATCCTCTCCTTCCCAGCAACTGCGAGTCTCTGGTCTCCCTCTCCTCCCAGCTCTCTCTCCCCTTCATCAAGCGATGTCAAGAAGAGGACTCGGACCCCTGCCTTCGTCTGGACTTTGCGCCCGGCTTGAATTGGTTGAGCAGGCGACAAGCGAATACGGCAATCCTAGACGGGCAGCTCGTGATTGAGCCCGTCTTCCCAGGAGGCAAGGTGGAGGATGAGCAGGCAGTCCGGGCGCTTTATAGACATCTCCCTCCGGCCGCGTGTGCCCTTTGCGGGATGCACGTAGTCAATGTGCCAATGCCTGGGGGCGCTGACGGGAAGGAAGAGGGAGCGTCCGCGACTGGGACCCCGGACTTGAGGTCGGTGACGAGCTGGGCGTCCAGCATGGCTGGCTCGGCTGCTTCATCGTTGAGAGAAGCGGCAGGAGGGAGCAGTACGCCCGGTGCCTCATCGTCTTCGCAGTCCCTCTCTGTAGACTCAAGTGCAGGAGGGGATGCCTCCTCATCCTCAGCAGCGGCGACTACAACCGGCAGTGCGAGTCCAAAACCTCCCACCCTCAAGACGGCGCGTAGTGGCCTGTTCAGTTCGCTCAGCTCGCTGCGAGCGAAAGCAGGCAGTCCCAAGCTTCCCTTGTGGGCAGACGGCTCCGCAAGCGGTGAGAGCGCCCCAGCTAGCGATGCAGCGAGCAGCACAGCTACCACGCCCGGCGCTTCCGCTACTCCTGGACCCACCCCCAATTCGTCAGCCTCGACCACCCTCATTTCCACCACCACGTCGGCTCACGACCAGCCTTACCCGCTCCCAGTCCCAACTCACATCTTCCGTCTATCCGAAACGGCCACCAGTCGCTACCTCCTTTGCCCGCACCACTGTCTTGCGCGACTTAGGGCGGCGTGCGCCTTCTGGGGCTATTTGAGGAGTCTGGAGCGTCAGATCGTATTGGAGGGCAAAGGGTGGGACGAGGATGGCGCACAAGAGAGGCGGACGGGTCGGGGGAAGGTCGCGGGCGTGCAGGTCAACGGGAGGAAGGAGACATTGCCGACTCCGTTGCCTGTATCGAAAGAGGAAGACGAGGAGGCGAAGGAGCCAGAGTCGGAAGCAACGCCAAACCCAACGGCGAAGGACGAGGCTGCCGATGCCACCGCCCCTGTAGGCGAGAAAGCAGCCATCAGCGAAGCAGAAGAGTCCTCGAATGATCAGCAGGGAGACAAGAGCTCAACCGACAAGGAGGCCGAAACCGACACGCATAGCAAGCGTACCTCAAACGGGAGCAGTGATGATGACGATGCCGGCTTTCATGATGCGGAGAGTCAGGGGCACGGCGCCGCCACTCCTGCGGACGATCCTGATGCGGAAGCGGGAGCAGAGAAGGACGAGGCAGCAGAGGATGCTGATGATAGTGGAGCGACTGCTACTGTTACGGAGGATACGGCCAAGGATGAAGGGGCCGAGTCGGAGGCAGCGACGGACTCGGCCACGACTAGCGGGGGCAAGCAGCTCCCGAACCTGGACGTAGCCAAAGCGAATGAGGGACGCTCGAAGTCTAGTATGGCAGAAGGAGAGGAGGGCGTGGCCACGCCGATCGCCTCGTCCGCCATGTCACCATCGGCTTCGGCGTCATCATCGTCATCGGCACCTCCTGTCCCGCCGAGACGGCAGCAGCAGACCAGTGGAGCGGTAGGTCCACCAGCTTTGCCGGCTCGTCGCGACCGGGGAACTACATTGCGGGCCTCTGGCCCTACTGCTGCTGCTACTACTACTGCCGCTGCTCCAGCAGCGCCTGCAGACCGCCCTCCGCAAGCGAAACGCACACTACGTGAGAACGCAAGTCACGAGGAGGACAGTGAGGAGGAAAGTGATGGGAGGGTCAGCGGTCCAGCGACGAGCTGGGAGGAGAAGGTGTGGCTCGAGGTCGTGAAGCACAAGAGGGCCATGTGGGAGGCAAGGGCCGGGTTTGAGATGCGGTCGGAGGCGATCACGACTCGACGAAAGGAGGAGAAGGCACTGCCCCTGTCGACGCCTGCGCCTGTGCGAGAAGCTGAAGCAGAGGCTGCGGGGCCTGAGGTTGTTGTCACGGCTGCGACTACCGATGAGGGGAAGCGGAAGGGTGACGAGGCTCCGCAAGCGTGAGGATGAGGGTAATTGATGAAGCATTAGCGCGACAAGATGAGAGGGCGAATGAGTGATACATTGGTATAATTGCTTGAGCTTGCTTCGGTGACTGTCCCCTCTTGCCTTGGCTTCTTCACGCTTCGTCCTCTGTCTCCGACTCGGTGTGACTACCATTCGAGGCAGCGTCATCATGGCTCTCTTTCGGTGGAGGACATTGCGGCCGATGCCCCTGGTGCTGTTGTGGCTTCGTAGCTCTGCTTTCGGTAGCGGTCGGTACTGCTTCCTCGGTTCTCTGCCTCTTCGCCGGTGGGCGCTCCTCATCCTCATGCTCATCCTCCGTCACATCATCCATGTCAGCCTTGAGCGTTTCTTCTTGTCCTTCCCTCTTGGCCCTCAGCATGCCCAGCCACGCCTGGTTGAGATGGCGCTTCAAAGCTGGGATATTGGCGTACGTCTTGCCATCTACATGCGAGACGAGCGGACCTTTGAGGAGCGACTCGTAGTGCGAGGTGGAGAAGGGCAGCTTTGATGGTGGTAGGGCCGCTGATGGAGATGAAGAGGGGGGAGAGCCTTGTGAACTGGAGGATGGAGAGGCGGGCAAGAGGGATGAGAGGGGAAGAAAGAAGCCAGAGGTGGGATGAAAGGAGAGGTAGTGCTATCGAGGACGATGTGAGATGATTGGATTAACAGTGATTGGATGAGGGCGGTAAGGGACGGCCAGCTCACCTTCTTGTTCTTAAGCCTCTCCGATACCAGCTCGCTCGAAAAGACGTGACAATGCACCGTCTGCATGCTGGGGACGGCATGGAAGCCCACCATGACGTCCCACGTACAGCCTGCCCTCTCGGCCCCGATTGTCGACGTCTGAGGCATCAATGATTCGATGCGCTTCTTGGCCTTCTCTGCGGCGAGGGCGAGACTGCGTAAGACTATGCTGCGATATGGACTTGCAAGGAGAGTCGAGAGAGAAGCGAGGTGCTTGCTTGGGACACTTGAGGAGGAGATGGAGACGACGCCCTTCTCTTGTGAGGCCGAAGGCGACGATAACGATCATGAGGATCTGACTTGAGACTCTCGCTTGTCCGCCGCTGGAGCGATGCGTATTGTCCCTCCGGCAAGATTGAGACGCTGCTGTTGTGGTTGCTTAGCCTTTGTGGCCTCTGGAGGCGCAGCAGATGGTCCCTCATCTGGTCTTCTGACCACCTTGCCCCACAACTCCTTTCTCTCCCCTTCCTCTTTGCGCGTTCTCTCCACCTCGTCCTGCTCTTCTGTAGTCAGACTGAATGGGATACGTGGCAGGACGAGATAGTGATATTGCGCCTTGGGATACATATCGCAGATGGTGAGGGTGCGATCATCATAAGCGACGAGGACGTCGGGAGGTAGACGCGAAGGGTCAATGCTGCGAGCATAGTCTGTGAGGGCGGTTGCCCAGTGAGCCATTGAAGGCGGCGAGGGAGGCGTAGAAGTAGCTTCTGATGGTGGAGAGGTAAGAGAGAGCAGGTGCAGCCAAGCCACAAAGTCGAATGCATTTTCGCGTCAAGTCGTGCACGGACGTCGAGTCGACGATGGGCGGCATGCAATCTTCTTCCTTGCGCGTTTCTCACATCAAAGAACAGCTTCAAGCGCCATCAATATACTCGCTCTCTCAAATTTGATGTCACAGAGCAAGCTCGATACTCCACTCGATAACCAGCAGGGGGCGCAGAGCCGGCGTCCGCTCCAACTTTGGGCAGTTGACGTCTCAGAATGGCCAGCGACTCAGTCGTCGAAGGGAGCCTTGCAGCCGTTGCTCAATGAATTCTTCGAGCCGCATGAGGGGCAGGCAGCTTCATCTACTTCAAGCCAGAAAGAGAGAGACATCCACCAGCGAGTTCTCAGATACGTGCGCGAGATCGATCGGACGAGTAAGCAAGGGGTCCGAGCCCATCGAGGGTACCGCAGCACGCTGACTTGAATTCCTCACTTGAGCAGGATCACTCGCTGCTCTCCTGCTGCCTCGCATCGCCATCGTGCAACTTCTCAATGACGCGTCTTTGACGTCGCAGACCAGCACAGCTCTGGCGCCTACAGCGTGGCACGACCTCTGCTTCGACCGTACGCGAGAAGGGCGTCCCTTCCTCGTAAGTACCTCTCTTAGCCACACTTGATGCTCGATTCGCGCGCTGAACTGATCTTGACTTTGCTCAACAGACCCACCCATCACTCGGCCTCGACTTCAACATCTCTCACGACGGAGACTGGGTCGTCATGGCTTTGTACATCGATCTGTCATCTTCAATATCAACGGCGACGCAGAGCAACCCGAGCAGCGAGCCCATTACTCCACCCGCTGCTTCTCCCTCCCCTCACACCCGCGTCGGCATAGACGTAATGTCCCTCCACCTCCCACACTTCGAGTCCTCCCCCTCTTCCTTCCTCGACACGATGCAGGACAGTGTCACCCCCGCTGAGGAGGGATGGGTGCGCTCCGCTCTTCACGCGGGACAAAGTGAAGAGGGACTGGAACGGCTATGGGATCTGTGGACGCACAAGGAGGCTTTGACCAAGAATCTGGGGCTTGGTTTGGGATTCGATTTTAAGCGGGTGGAGCTCGCGTTGTGGGAGTGCAAGCCGCAAGACAGGCGGGAGAGGAGGGGCAAATGCGAGGAAGTATTACGCATGGATGGACGGAAGGCAGACCAGTACGTCTTCACGGAGGTGAGCTTGCCGGCTGGTAAGGGGAATGGGAGTTTGGAGCAGAGGAAACGAGGTTCGAAGCTGGTCGTTTGTCAAGGGCCATTCGCTGCGCCTCAGGGAGGAGGAGACCAGATTGCCCCCAGCATTGCGCACAAGCAGGCTGAGGAGGAGGGCTGGCTCAGGATCTGGACCATGCAGGAACTCGTTGACGAGGCAAAGAGGCTAGCGACCGCTAGATGACGATGTGAAGTAGAGAGATGTATTGAGAGGGAGCAGATGGTAATGATGAAGAGTCGTCGTGATGAGGTCTAAGAGACAGATAGGGCGTGGTGACATGTGGATACTGAACTTCGTCGAGGGAGACTTTGGGCTTGTAGGACGGGTCTTTGGGGGAAGAGGGCCGAAGGGAAGAGTTGAGGCCTTAGGGGCTTCGTATGGACAAAGGCCGGTATGGAGAGACGGGTAGTCATTTACAGGCGGTCGTGGGGTGGAGGAGGTTGCGGTGTGATGAGTTTGACGTCGATGGCCTGAAGGGAGGCTTGACAGAGGGCTGAGGTCGATGCGAAAGCGTGAGCAAGCTGTGCCCGGCCATCCGTCCGTGGCTTGCTGCAGGGTCTTGTGCCGCCGCCGGCTAAACGGATGAGCGATGGGGCTAGCGCAGGCGGGCCGTGCTGGTAGCGATGACGAGCCAGGAACGGAATTGATTAGTCGCCGAGCATACCGAGAACTAAGCACGGCACTCACATCACTCTGCTTTGAAATCACTTCTTGGCTCCCTCACGGCTCAGCATCGCTGCTCGCCCCAACCGTGCTCGGCCTGCCTATCTGTGGGCCTGCTGTGCCTCTACTCATCGCCCACCTTCCTTGCCTTGCCGAATGCGTGGCTCACATCTCCAACTTCGGGCACAGCTGTGGGACTAGCTGTGGAGGCGGGAGTCTGAGCAGCGTCCGTCTTGATGGTGCTTGTCGCAGCGGCCACGTTGATGGGCTGGTGCTTGACCTCGGCGGCGGCCACGGACGTTGGGGCGGGAGGAGCTCGCAACGCCGAACGGGGCCCGAAGGAGCGAACGGCCGTGGAGCGGAGGGAGGCTTGAACAGAGCGAGAGAAGAACATCGTGACTTGGTGGTAGTGGTGGGTGGAGTTGTGTGTTGGTGGTATGGAAAGAAGGTAGAGAGGGGGCCTGAGACGCTATTTGATATCTTCGAGGCTCGCTGATTGCTCCCGCTCCACTCGACGCGCTTGTGCTTGATGTCGGACTGCCGGCAGCTGGGCCAAGAACCTGGGGACCCCATCGCAAGCAAGCCCAGGTTCGAGATTACATTTCGCCGCCGCCCCCTGCACTGCTCCAAGCCTCAGCCTCAGCCTTGGCTTCAAGACCGGCAATCTTCATCGCAACCGCAATGGCGATCCAAAGCGAGGCAGAGTCATGTTGGAGGGCGTGAACGGGCTCAGCCTCCTTGCGCCGCTTGATAGCTGGGCATCACTTGATGTAGCTTGGCGCTCGTCGCTATCGCTGCGTCCGTGCGCACGCGCCCGCACGTCGGCTTGTGTCGGTGGCTTCACCCCAACGTCTCAGGCCAGCCTGCTCCACTCGAGCCTTGCACTTTCTGGGTGAGTCAATCACGTCAAAAAGAAATCTTGTGATCGTCAGCGCAGCGCTGGGGGGCATTAGCATCTTCAGTTGACATTCGTTGCTTCTGTGAAGAAGCAGGAGGGGTATCAAAGTACATAACGTCTTCGCGCCCATGCCCCGCTCATGTCCACGTTCTTGTTCCTCCTCTCTCCCTCGCGACATCTGCTCGTCCTCCCTCAAATCCACCCAGCCGGAGCGGGCGGGTCATTTAGAATCGTCCTCGTCGCAAAGCCCTGCTGCTGCTGCCTCTGCTGCTGCTGACTATACTGCTGCTGCTGGTGGTTGGCCGCAGACGAGTGGCTGCGCTGAGGATATGGAGCTTCTTGCCCATCGTAGCCGTATGGCCCGCCACCATTCTGCCCCTGCTCTACGGGGCTTCCAACCCTGCCCGCCATCGGCCCCTCCTCGTAGTAGCGACGCATCTTGCTGCTGGTACTTCCGCCACCTCCACCGCCGGCACGACTGCTCCTTGAGCTACTCATCGTCCCCGAGAAGGAGAGCAAACCTGTACTGGCCGTTCCCGTTGTACCTTTCCTAGCCAACTGCGAAGCGGCATACGGCGCCGTGGGTAGCAGCTCGAAGATGTTCTGCACATCGTAACTGTTCATGAGCGAGTGGCTCGGTCCTGGCCCACTTGCTGCGACTCCTGATGCGGACTGAGCTGGCGTCCCCGCTGCTGACCCAGGCTGATTGGCCGGCCTTGTTCTCTGCACGCACACGATGCTATGCTCTGCGTGCGACCCCTCCACGATACTCGCGCTGGAAACGTATCGCAGGTCGTGAGAACGAATCATCTGCACCAACCTGCCGGTGAAGGCTTCACGAACCTCGATGAAGCGGGCGTCGAAGGCGAGGACAAAAGGCGCACAAAAGGCTACAGACTGCGGTGTGCCCTCCCACTCGATGACGTTGTCCAGTCGGATTGGCTCACCAGACCGGTCCACGTAGCAGGCGAATCCGTCGTAGCAGAGCAGGAAGTCCGAGTCCGTGCCGGAGAGCTTGAACATGCCAAGAGGCTTGGAAGTCTCCACTCTCCTGGCCAACGCGAGCACGCGAGGATCATCGCGTGGGCTGCGTGAGAAGTCCGGGATCGTACCGGGCAGAAGGGTGTCGAGGTTCATGATCTCGAAGCCGCGCGCGCATACGACGGCAAGCTTATTGCGGAGGAACTGCATGCTGTAGGCCTCTGACGGGATGAAGAAGACCTTGTACATGCGGAACCAGTCGGCCCCTTTGCCGCTCATGTCATTCTTGATCTTATTGAACAGATTACCGCCCTTGCCGCCTGAGTTAGCAGAGGGCTGGTTGACGACGGGTTCGAGGGCCTTGAAGACCGATTCGTTTGCCTTCTTCTTCATGTAGACGAGCAAGGTGCGGTCTTTGAGCACACCGACACCGAAAAAGAGGACACCGCGGTTACCGCTCAGCTTCTGCGGCGGACGTGCCTGTGAAGCCCCACCTGTTGAGGTTGGAACGAGAGCCTCGAGACTGTAGGAGATGAGAACCTTGTCCGCCAGCACTACGAAGATGCCGAACTCCTCGAGTACGGCGCACTGAGTCACGAGCTTGAGATGAAGCACCTTGCGGAACGACGAAGGGTCGTTGCGCAGCCCGATCCAGACACCATCGGCGCATCCTAGCGCCATGAGCTTGCGCCGGTCAGCCATGCTGAAGGGAACTGCGCAGGTCACACGACCGTGGAAGATGCTTGCGTCTGCCACACCTGAGGGAGCCTTGTCCGGGTCCAAGCCGCTCAGCGCTGTCGGTAGCGCGAAGGTGGACTCGCACAAGTTCACCGTGTCGAAGGCCTTGTTCGCATCGACGACCGACTGGCGCAGACCCTTTGCCTCCTCGATCTTGGTCCGCCACTCGAGACGACGCTGCTTTGATGTGGCGAAGAGGGTGAGGGGCTCGAGCTTGCCGCCCAGGTGGTGAATGGTGAAAGGCCACAAGGAGCGAGACTCGCGGTCTGAGCGCAGATGCAGAGCATTGAGTCCAATGGCGAAGGTGACTGACGGCTCGTTAAAGCCGGACATCTCCAACATCTCAACGGGAATGGGCCGCTTAGCCAGCACAAATGCAGCAGAGTCGTCAGCGCCGCCATCGGACTTGGCCTTCATCTTTGTAACCATAAAGTAGTTGTCAAAGAGCACCGCCTGCATCTCAGTCCAGTCCAGATCCGTAAAGTCAGGTCGCCGATACACTCTGCCCTCGTGCATGAGCTGTCGCTCAGGGTTGAGTAGATCCATATCCACCACAGCCTTGTTTCGTTTGGTCTGCAGATTGTAGGCGAAGCCCCTGATCTTAGCCTTGATCTGGGCCTCCTGAATCGTCACATCCGCCGTCTTGCACTGCTGCACAATGACCTCCTTTGCCCTCACACAGCTCTCCCTGTCAGGATTTGTCTCATCCGTCTTGTCAATGATCGTTTGCAGCAAGAGCGGATGACGCTGCAAGTGCGGCAAGGCACGATGAATAAAGTTGTCCAGCCCCAAGCGTCGACACGCAGGCTCGCGACGGCACGCCTCGAGGAAGTCGCGAAAGCGAGGGTTGATGCTCTGCTCGCGCCCGATGCGGGACTTAGCGATGGGGTAGGCCGAGACGTATGTGACGAAAGCTTCTTGCCACTCCAGGGCTGCATCGAGGAAGATGTCTCCGATGGAGCGGATGATGGGCGACTCTTCGCGCTGACGAATGTGCAGCTTCTCGACGAATGCCTTGACGTGTGAGACGAGCTCGCGGTGGTTCCCAAAGACTTCGCGGATGAAGTCGTCGCGCTCTGGACCGATCCCAATGGGAGGTGGATCGCCATTTGCATTGGGCTTTTCGAGGCCCTTGATGAAGAGATTCTCTAGCAGCTGCAGGTCGGCGAGGAAGTCTTCCTCCTTTTGAATGTGCTCGAGGATGGCATTTTGGCGGGTGATCTCGGCCTTGGGCAGGCTTGCTAGAACCTCTGGAGGGACGAGCTCAGCCCAAGCCTTATGAGCCACACCTCCGGCAGCGCCAGGCATGCCCGCAGCCTCAATCCCCGTCTTGAGTCCCACTGCTGGCGTCGTCGCGCTTGCGGTCCGCTGCAGAAGCGGCCTCGATGAGCGAGGGCATGACGGGGAGTAGCACGCAGTGCCTGGGATTCCACCCTCCCTCCCGCACGAGGGCGAGTAGCAGGTCGTCAGCTGGACAATAACGCCCGTGGGCAGCTCATCAACGCCGCTCGATGAGACTGGATGGTCGCGCGGCGACGAGTCGTAGCTGAGGGAGAGGTCGAGGTTCGACTGTCCAAAAGAGAAATCCCCTGATGGTCCCCGTTCCGCGCTTTCACTCTGCGCCATCGTGTCTCCGAGGAACAGATAGACCTCGTCTACACCGTCTTGTAGCTCACTATCTCCCCAGTCGACCTCGTGGAAGAAGAGCTGGCTTTTCAAGCTCCTCGCGATGCCCAGCACCAGCTGGCGAATCTTGAGTTGCTTCTGCGCCTCATCCAGACCAGCGCCTTCCAGACCCGCAGCTGCTTCCACCCGCCCACGCGGTATCAGCTCTTGAATGGTACTGACCAGATCCTTTCCTGTGAAGCTGTTCGGGTAGCTGATGCTTCCCTTGACGTGAGACTCGCGAGGTATCGCGTCGCGCAGCAGCAAGGCAAGGTGAGAAAGCTGGCAGAAGTCGACAAAAGTCGTACGAGTGAGTCTTTCCGTACGCCGCGACAAGGGTCCCGTCTGCTCGCCAAGCTGACGCTGCCTTTCCTCGCGCTGCCCCTCGTCCGCATTTGTCGTCCAGCTGTCTTGACGCGGGTAGGATGGCCTAATAGTAGATGAGTGTGACATGACGCTCGACGGCCGGTGATCGCCTGGAGCGGTAAAGGGTGCTAGACGGTCTGTGGGAGTAACGAGGTCGTCGTCATCCGCGTACGCTTGTGACGGACGCGAAGGAAGGGGCGGCAGTGGTGCCCTCGCCTTTCTTGATGAGGACGAGCGGGCAGCGATGGTCGGAGGAGGATTGGCTGCCTCAGACTGAACGCGTAGACGAGGGACTGCTCTGCGACTCGAGCCTTCTACATCCCCACTGGCCCAACTATCCGAGCTCAAAGCGGACATTGCCCCAAGACTGTGCTGGCTACGGTGCAAGCTAGGCTGAAAGACGTTTGCAACGGGCGAGGCTTGAGCTGAGGACGATGAAAAGGCAGACGCCGTTGGGCTCCATGCCGGCCCCTCATTGAGCGGACCACCATTTCTCGTCGGACTCAACGTAGCTGCGCTGTTGCCAAAGTAGCCATCGTCCATCTGCGGCATCGGCGGTGTTACAAGCGTGTGTGGCCCAGGTGACGGGTCTGTCGAGTATGGCAGAGGAGAGGGAGCCGAGCCATGAGTTACGGGGGCATACGGGGACACGGATCTTGAGTGAGGGCCTCGCTCGAGCTGGGGTATTGAAAGGCCGTTCTGGAAGGCGGACGCTGAGGAGGAAGGCAGGCCCATTCCAACGTGCGCTTGGTGATGTTGCTGCTGCTGGTGGTGTTGTGGTAGAGTAGGGAGCGGCCGGCTGCTCGTTCTTCTTGAAGGTACTCGCGTCGACGTCTCACTCTCTATTGACCCGTCGCTGCCCCTGCGATAGCCCTCCTCGGCGCCCGCATACAGGCTGATGATACCAGTCGCAGACGAGATGGGCCGGTCATTTGACGCCCAAGCGTACGTGTCTCCAGCCTGCGAGTCATTGCTCCCTTCTTGCAGCTCTGCGACCTGCCGATGCCAATACGAGTTGCGAGGAGGACGAGGAGGAGCGTCTGGCTCAGTGTATGCAGGCCATTGTTGGTCTTGTTGGTAGTAGTTGCTAGCCTGCGTGCCCGCTGAATAGTCGCTGGACCGCGATGCCGATGCCGATGAAGCGCTGAAGGCCGGAGACGCTGTCGCAGCACTACCACTTGGATGTCGATTGTGATATTGCGGGTAGGCTGGATGATGTCGCCCATTTCCCTCGTAAGAGTACATCGAGGCAGCAGGAGCACCTCCCTTGGGCGGCAGAGGCGGCCCGCCCGACATGATGATGATGATGTGAGAAGCGGCTCTTCAGTGGCCGCGCGTGCAGGTGGTGGATAAGACGAAGAGAGGCTGCACGCAATGATGTCGTGAATAGACGCAGTCCACTGACCGCCGTCGTCTTCGTTTGTGAGCTCTCCGAATGGATGGAGCGGTGAAACGGAAGCCGCGACGGGGTGCGATATGGATTCAAAGGCGTGTCTCATCCCTCGACGGCGCAGCGGGCCCCGCCGCCGTCCGCCCTTGGCGGAACAGAGGCCCTAAGCCACAGCCAAGATGAAAGCGAAAGCGAGCTGCGAGCTGCGCCCTGCGATCGCCTTGACGGCAGGCGCAGCCAGGCAGGCAGAGTGGAGACACGGAGACGACATCTCAACCAGTCGACACGTCTTACCACACACCTCAGCGACAACTGCTTGCCGCTGCTGGGGCGGCGATGTGAGACGCTCAGCTCAGCATGGCTTCGTCCAACGACAGGCGACCAACTGCGTCTTCTGGCTTCGCTCCCAACATGTCCAACTTCCTCTCTCGTCACCTCTCGCAGGCACCCTTGCCGACAACGAGCCTATCGACGGAGCATACAGGCGCTAGCTCATCGAGCAGGACGCTGTCCAATGTCCCGCAGACATCGCAGTGGCACAATTGGAGCGCGGTCAAACCAAATGCACCTGGTAGCAGCCATTTGAAAGCTAGTCATGAGACCAGTGGATTCCAGGTCGATCCTACTTTCAGGCGTGACGCAGATCGACCGGGCGATGTCCTGATAAGGACAAGGGCGACGCCCATTGAGGCAGGTGGGCAAGGCGAGGCTGAGATGGTCGAGTTCTACTGCCATCGCGATGTCCTTTGGTTTGCATCGCCCTTCTTTCGCTCGCTGCTCGAGGGCGACTGGAAGGAGACGAATCTCGACTCGCCTAAGAAAGCCCAGGATGAAGGCAACGGCGGTGATGATGATGATGACGACGACGACGACGATTGCTTCTCGGATGTTAGCGATGAAGATCTCGAGGATGAAGAGGACGACGGCGCTGGTCAAGCAGCCACTGTGAGCGACGAAGGTCACGCGAACGTCAGCCCCGAGCTCCAATCAACTCGGCGAGGATCAGTCCGCTCCTCCTTCCACACGGCAACCTTCTCGCTCGACGACGCGCAGCACGATTTATCTCGTAGTGACACGCTGCATCGTCTCGAAGGCAGGCGTAGCTCAGCGAAGAGTACGGGAGCGGCTACCACCTCCTCCTCCTCCAGCCGGCTGGCAAGCATGGCCAAGTTAGCCACTCCTCCCACCTCCCGCCGTGGATCCAGGTCTTCCTTTGGCGGTCGGCCGGTCAGTGTCCGTTCTGCTTCCAGTCGACGCCAACGCCATCGCATGGGCACCAGCAAGAAGCAGCGCAGCAAGGACAAGGCTCCAGCGCATACCCCGTCATCCCCATACCCAACTCATCGCCTAGCCGCTGTAATCGACCTGCCAGAGGACGATGCCGAGACGCTCTCTGCAGCACTTGCGCACGTTTATCCCCACCTCTCTCTCAGTATCACCTGGCGCAACGCAGCCGCCCTCCTCCGTTTCGCAGACAAGTACGACGTCTATGCCCTCCGCCGTTGCGTCATCGAAGACTTCCTGCGCACCTCCCTCGCCGGTCGACCCATTCTCGCCCTGCGCATCGCTGACGAAGCCCGACTACGTGACATATACAAGGAAGCCTCGCGACACGTCCTCGATCATATGCAGCAGTGGGACCCGGAAGAGCTCGCAATGCTGAGCGCAGAGACGTTGCTCAAGCTCGAAAGGAGGCGTACTTGGTTCCTCGAACGGCTGCTCAAGTTGGGTCTCACCTTGAATCCAGGGAGAGACTTTCTATGCCAGGCACACTGCCCTCATCCGGAGGCTTGTGCGGCTCTACTACACGAGAGATGGACGAATGCACTCGCCGTCGCTACGCGCTTTGGCCCGCCGACGCCGAGCGTGGTCTGGCGACACTTGCGTGAACTCGAGACGGGACCTGCAGGAGGTGCGGCCTCGCTCGCTGCAAGCTCTGCATCTAGCAGTAGCGGCTTGGGCGGCGTGGGATCTGTGGGAGGTGGAGGCAGCGCGGGCGTAGCCGCATACGGGCCGAAGGAGCTGGCCGCTTGCCATCAAGCGGCGAAAGCATGGGTGCAGGTGCTCTTCGACCGGATGTTTGAGTTGAGTGGGTCGCTCATCGGAAGGGGTGGGGGCAATCCGAGATTTGTCACCATCAAGCTCGATTCGTAGGCCTGCTTCGAGTCGAGGTGCCAGAACAATGTCAAGATCTGCAGGAGGCACGCTAAGCTCGAAGTCAGCGTCTTGGCAATCGTGATACCATGCCTCACCCAGTGACACCGAAAAGCCGCGAATGCCAATGAAGAGATCTTTCAGCGGGGAGATCTGAATGTCGCGCGGGATCATTGAGCATTCATGGAGCCTCTCACGGTGGGAACAGAGCCGCAATTGCAACCTTTCTCCCCGAGATGCGAGCATGACCGGGTCTATGAAGGTCACATGAGTCGTGAGATGTAAACATGTGCAGAGGGACTAAATCTGACGAGCAGCGGTCTCGCAGACCCCCTCCGGACCTCATACTACCAAGCCACGCCACTTCCCTACCTGCTCACCAACCATGTCGCCCCTCACCCTCACGCTCGCCATCGTCATCTTCCACCTCATCCTGCTCAGGGCCGCGGAAGTCTACAAGATTGGCACCTGCTACGGAATGAGGAGCTGCCTCGGTGAGCCCACTGGCACGGTCAAAGGCACGGGCAACGACAAGCTAGCCATCGGTGTGAACTGCAACACTTTCCGTAACGCTGATGCTGGGGGCAGAGTCTGGTGAGTGGGCACGCACTCGACGCTATGATCAAGATCACAGGGAGGCTGACCGAAGGCGTCTTCCCTTCGCCGCAGTCGTGGCAGGTGAGTCGGCCGTGGAGACTGAACTGACCTTGCAGCACATTCGCGCCGAAGCGACTGGCGAGCTGGCTGGCTGACGTTGCTAGCCACTCATTGTCGATCATGTACTCTCGGACCAGCTGTGACGCGCAGACCTGCCAGCTTTTGAACAAGGTGGGGGAGTGCCTCTGCTGCGATTGGACCAACTTCTGCCCTTGAAATGGTGAGAGATTGTACACTCAAAAGGCGCACGGAGGGAAGCAATAGGGTTGGGAGACGAGGAATAGGAAGGGCAGAGGCTGTAAGGAGGGCAATTGACGCTTTTGAGAGTGCTCTCAGCTATCTGAGTTGGCATCGCCGTGCCTGTCCCAACAGACCCTTCCTGGGCTGAGGCATACACGCAAGAAACTTTGAAGCCACTGCGGCATACCGCACTTCAGCTCCTACGAATGCATGTGATGCTGTTATTCATACCGCCTGCAAGTTGTGATCGTTGTCTGACGATTGCGGTGACTGATGCAAAAGCGCCGTGACTTCCTCCGCCCTCTCGCACGCTTAGAACGGCTCCTACGAATTCTGCCAGCACTTCTGCCAGCACTCTTCTTCCAAGCGACTCCAATGACCATTGTCGCCGTTTGCGGCTGTGGTCGGTGGACGGATTGGATACCGCACAGGTCACGAGGGTCAGAGTATGGGGGAGACGATTGTCACGAAGAGTCTTACTTCACGCCGAGGAGGGTTTGACGACAGGACCGAGCCTGTGATATCCCGCGCAGTAGAGGAGTGAAAGAATGGTTCAAAAGGCTATCTCGTGGCTCCCCTCTCATCAACAGCTCCTTCCTCTGCACCCTCAGCACAATGCCCTCTCTCTTTGCCCACCTCACCTGGCCCGCCCTCACGGCCGTCCTCTTCGTCAATAGCTTCTGGTTGCTTGCCATCCTTGACTTCAGCTTCAGGGCCAACGCCACCGCCACGGTGGGGACGTGCTACACGAGTACGCTACTTCGTCATGTCTACCGCAACCTCTGGCTGACCACGGCATCTGCCTCTGCGCTCTCATCTCAGACGACGATTGCAAGGGTTCAGGAACAGACATCAACAGCGAGAACTTAAAGGACCCCATTCTTCTCAGTAATTGCAGGGCTTTCTTTTCGGTGCGTGTCTCAATGCATGCCCAGCCAGAGTACCTTGTGCTGACGATGCCCTGACCGACCGTAGGTGCGAAGCACTGGTCAGCTCTGGTCAGTGCTCAGAGCCGCGAGGATGAAGAACGCAGCTGAACTGTTGCAGACTTGGATCACCACGCACTCGCCCTTGCAGCAAAAACGGGGTGCGTTACTTTTCCTCCTGATACTATCGCCACATGGAAGCCATTGGCTAACTGCGGCGCTCTACTGTTCCCTCAATGCGCCACAGTGCGACAATTGTACGAGCTTGGCGAACAAGGCGGGCTGCATCTGCTGCGACTGGCGTAACTGGTGCGCCTAGCACCGGGCGGGTGTAATTGCAATGGCCTTTGAGTTCGAGACAGAAGGGATGAGCCGAGATGGAATCGGGTTCAGCTCAACAACTGTAGACACGTGCACGCTGCCCTTCTGTCCATGCTAACTGTGGTCATTCCCGATGACCCTCGTGATGAACGCTGCGGCAATCGCAAGCGGGTTTGGCGACACTTCCGCCGTGGACGGTCTACACAGTCGTCATGAGCGTGAAAATGCGAGTACCATGCTGGCGTCGCGCCTTTGCTCGCCGCGCTGTTCGGTGTTTTTCGCTACCAAGCGTCTCGCACGGGAGTTCTTTCGGATCCCCGAGCCTGCCCCTACGCCCTGCCCAGGGGCAGCCTGAGGTTTGACTCACTCCAGCGCTGAGCGGTCCCCTTGCTGAAGGTGCCCCTGCGAAACGTCACCTTCAACTCTGGCAATGCCATCCCTAAAGAATCTCCTCCCCTTCTTGACCGTCATGCTCACAACGAGCAACCTCTGGCATGCCATCCCTTCCGTGATGGGCAAAGGCACCACGCGCATTGGCTCTTGCTACCCGCGTGAGTGATGAAGCATCGATTTGTGGTGCTTCTGAGCCTCCATGTAGCCCTTATCACGCCCGTATCTCCTTCGCCCGTTGCAGAGGAGAAATGCAAAGGCCAGGAGGTGCCCATCACCGGCACGCTGTCGAAGAATGTCGCCTTCCTCGTGCCCTGCAAGTCTTGGGATGTCGTGCGTACCTTTCATGGCCAGTAGTAGCTGGTGTGAAGTTCAGGAGCGCTGAAACGCTTCGCTGCTCCTCTTATCGGCGGCTATGCCATGATACCATCAGCACCAGAGCACGGGCTACCTCTGGCGAGTGCTCAGTGAGGCCAGCCCTGAAGTCCCCCTGCTGATAGCCTCAGTCTCTCATTTTTGGGTATTCTCATAGCCGCGACGGTGTGAGTACGATTTGCTCTCTTCGTCGACAAAACCATTGACGCGTGTGCCCTCCCTTGCCCTTTCGATGGCCATCAGTGCAAGAACTGTGACGATCTTTCCAAGGTGGCCGGCTGCATCTGCTGCGACTACCAGGCCTGGTGCCAGGGAAAAGGGGACGCCGACCTAGATGCGGGACTTTTGGGACCTAACATAACTCGTCGTGCTGAGAAGGAGGGTGTAGTGATGAAGTAGGTGGGGGAGATCAGTGTCAACTTCACTAAGCTCGAGCCCGGTTCGTCGTCAATCGAAGCCATTCACGTGTGCCCCTTAGCCTGACCTGAGCGTGCGCCAGGTTCAGTGCCAGCGAATGGTATTGCGCGTGTTCTCACCCGCTGGTGTTGGATCGCAGCCAAGGTAATGGTCGTGCCATGGATGGGCCTGCGCTGCGTGCTCATGGCTCTGTCCGCTCCTCGCTCCTCGCTCCTCCTTGGAGTTGACTTGAAGCGCGCTCTCTCCGCCTCGCTCAACTCCGTCCGATCTTCGCGCTTGCTTTGAGCGCGGACCTCCATCTCGACACACACAACCTCCCTTCTTCACGACCAACAGAACCCCCTGCTCGTCCTCCTCGTGAGGACACAAAGACAATGGCGGACACTTTTGTGCCGTCGCAGTTCTTTCGACTGCACAACCTCATCCAGAGGGCCATCGCTGCGCCTTCGAGCAGCGCTGGGACCTCGAACGAATGGTACATCGCAGTTGATGGATTGAGAAATGAACTCGTGGATCTGGGAAGGGTGAAAGCCGGGGACAATGCTGAGCTGAAAGAGATTGAATCGGGTGAGTGCACAGCCTGCATGCCAGCATGCCGTCGAGCTTACCCCATCCTCTCCATCGCTCCAAAGGCAAAATCACCCTAGGATCAACGACGCACACCCTCAACTCAGACTTTGCCTCACTCACCATCCTCCTCGCGACCAATCTCAACATTTCAGCCAAGTACTGCGCTTCTCTCCTACAAGATGCCCTCTCATCTCGCTCTCGATACCCATCACGCTCTCCCATCGAGATCGCCCTCGTGCTTCATCAGCGAGAGCGTTGGGCTCTCACAGAGGCTTGGAAGGAGCTCGTCAGTGCAGCTGTCACGCTCCCGCAAGAGGCCGATGTATCGCAGAGAAGGCTGGGACTGAAGATGAATCAGGCCGTGCAAGCTTTACTTGGCTTAAAGGTCTCCTACGCAGATGGAACCGGGAGGCGGGACGTCTCGCTGCTGCAGAGGATCCTCCTCGAAATCGACTCGCTCAAGTCTCAGGCAAATGCTGTGGAAAATGCGCTTCGCAATCCACCCTCAGATCCAAATCGTAGACTCCCAGATGAGCTTCAGCTCGAACGCATCTCGACTCTCGGCCAGGAGAGGCGAGCATGGGCGCATGTCCTCTACCTTCTTGCCATCTCTGCCATGCTGCAGGGCGAAGAGATCCTTGCAATGGCAAAGTGGCTTAGTAAAGTCAAGGAGGACGAGGCGACGGGAGTAAAGGAGGATCTGATGCCATATGTCCTCACTGCTCTGCTCGCTGCCCTCGAGACATCGACCAAGGCTTCGCTCGAGGGGCTTGTCGGCGCCGGGCAGCCTGACTTGCTCGACGACCGAACCTCTCTCAGTCAGATGGACACCCTCATCAACAAGTCCGGCTGGGCATCACTTTCGCTGCAAGCCGTCGTCCAGCTGCAATGGTCCCTTCTCCTCGTCAAGGTAGTCAAGCACGACGCAAGCCTGGGCAACGAGCTCAACGTGTCAGAAGACTCGGTCAGCCGTGCGGTGCTCAAGGCCATTCAGCAAGGCGACGCATTCATCTATCTGGTCCTACGCCTTCTAGGCTGGAGACAGCGCCTGTTCGATGCCATTGAGGGCACAGAGGACGAAGACGCCCTAAGCGGCGCAGCATCAGCGCAAGCCCAGTCCACCCAGTTGGGCGTTGATGCAGGAGACGAGATCGACATCGAATTTCAGCCATACCTCCTCTCCAGCCTGCACTCACTCCTGCTCGGCATCTCGCGCACCTTTCTCTCTTTGCTGCGCAAGCTTCAGCGCCAGGAAGAAGACGCAGCCTACTCCGTCCTCCGGCCGGGCTCAAAAGACGTGCGTCGCTACGACCTCGAAGCCTTCCTCGATGGCCTTGCCCTTGTCGTGCGGGGCGATGCGTCCAAGTCGCTGTCCTTCTGGCTTACACCTGAGGGCAGGAGATCACGCTTCGTCATGTGGGCGGTCGAGCTGCGTGAGGAAGGACATCAGCGCGCCCTCCTCGACCTGCTCAGCGCCATGTCGACCGGAGGCAGCGAGGGGGCGTGGCAAGCTCACGCCTTGCTCAGCAGCAGTGCGGAGGGAGGAGCAGCGGATGATGGCTTGATCTCGTGGAACAGACTTTGGGATTGGATGGCGTACTACGTCGATGCGCTTCGCGGAGGCGGGGACAGAGAGCGCGCCAGCATGCCACCCGGCGAGATGACCCTCCTACGCAGCTTTCTTCGGCTACTTCGTAGCGTCGTCTCTGGCAGCTACGCGGCTCGAGAAGCCATCCTGGCCCTCACGCTCAATGCAGCCAACCCTGGTACCTCTTCAGCGCCACAAATGGCTGCAAACCCCTTTGGCCTCCCCTCCTCTGCTTCAGGCGGTGCAGGCACCAGCGTACTGCAGCGTCTCTTTGCACTGTACGTGTGCCCCATCCCCATTGAGCTCAAGGCTACTCTTCTGGACACCATGGCTGCTTTTGCACGCGAGAATGGCTTGACAGCTGGGACAGCTGCCTCTGCTCGTCTACCGCGAGTGAGACAGGAGCTCTGGTCCCTCGTCGAGTCCAGCGGGATCCTCAGCGGGCCTCACGCCAACAATCGCAACGTAGCAGCAGCAAGATTTGGCGGACTCGGCGGGAGCTTCAGAGCTGCGCAGGCTCCCCCGTCGGACGTGCTGTTCGAGCTCGAGAACGTCGAGGCGGCTAGCGGCTTCTACCCGGGCACGGTCAGCTTCATCAACTTCCTCTCTGCTCTCGTTGTCCCCGAATTCGTTGGACCCGGCGGGCGAGCAGGCGGGGACGTGGGTGCTCTGGTGGCCGATCTGCCCCTCGCTGGGCCATTGGGCCAGCAACCTAGCCTCCCGCTCGGTGTTCCGCAATCATTAGGCAGCGCCGCCTCTGCACACCAAGGCTCTGGCCATGGAGTGGATGTCGGACTGGAGAAGTACATTACCTTCGTCGTCGACTCGGTCCTGCTCCCCTCTCTCGCGGCCAACGGACCGCGCGACTTCGCCGCCTTGAGCGAGAAGTGGCGGCTGATCTCCTCCTGCCTGCACTTCCTGCATCGCTGTCTTTCAGCATTCGACCTCTCCTCGCTCACGCGCACTGTAGGCGTATCAGCGGGGAACGGACAACGCGGAGCAGAAGATCGCGAGACCCTCCTTCGCCTCGCGATGCACCCTGGCTTCGGAGTGATGAAGAGGCTGATGAGCACGAGTAAGCTCCTCAAAGAGATCTTGGCACTCCTCTCTCCCAACATGAGCGGGCAGCCCATTCCTGGCCTTGCAACCACAGCGGCAGGATACGAGATTGTCGACTCACCCGCAGCGAAGCGATCCGCCATCTTCCTTCCCGCTGCTGTGGGTACGGCTATGCGTATCATCCTGGCGGCCATCAAGGGCCAGGGTCTCTTCTTGCAAGTTCTCCTCCCCACACTTGCCGGCCTATCCGACTCAGCAGCGTCAGGCGCGGCAGGCCCTGCTCCGCTCTTCCCCGGACTCGACCTTGACGCTCGCATCGGCCAATCTTCCTCCTACACACCCATCGACAATAAGATGCTACAAGAGTACGAATCTGTAGTCCAGATTGCCCTCTACGTCAACTCGGTGCGGGACGACCTGGCCCTTCTCAGTGTCAAGCTGCTCACAGAGGTAGCAAACGGAGCTGCTTTCAGTGAGGTGGACCGCTTTGCCGATGGGTCTGGTGGTGCGGGGCGACGAAGAATGAACAGGTTGGTTGGATTGTTGGAGATGACCGAGGAGAGCGGGAGGGTAAGAGAGGGCGTAGTGAGACGATTGGACGCCCTAGCTGGAAGTGACGATGAAGGAGAGGCGGTGCCGCGGGGCGCGGGACTGGACGATGCCGAGGAGGACAGCAGTGAAGAGCAGCTGTTGGGTATCGCTGCCCCGTCGTCCTGTGGGAATGCGGCAGTCTGCCGTGCTATTCTGGAGCTTCTTCTCATCGGCACCTCGACCAGCAAGCATGCGCCGAACCTCGCGCACCTCCTTCTGGGCTACGACCTCCGTGCCGTTAGAGCAGAAGATCAAGTGATCCCCTCCCCATCGCCCGAATCGCCGCGAGGAGGCTTGCACGCTCTTCTCGACCTGCTGCGAGGTGACCGCGATCTGGCGGAGGACGAAACTGCTGAAGCATTGGAGCAAGGGGTCCCTAGTCTTCTCGAGACTCATCCCGCCCTTGCAGAGCGCACCCTCGCTCTGTTGCTCAACCTCTGCACCCATCCGTACACCACTTCCTGCACTTTGCGGTACCTGCGAACGCAAGAGGATTTCTGGGCCAAGCAGCTCAGGAACAACTTCTTTGCTTACACGGTGCCCGTCGAGCGCGGCCTGCACCCACAAGAGGACGAGGAGACATCATCAACGCGTCTGGCCCGCGGGCAGCTCGTCTTTGCCGATGGACGCAGCACCCAGACGTCGGTCGACGCCCTCATCTCGAGCCTCAACGCAAGGCAACACCTCCTTAGCGGCGTCGCAATCGAGCTGCACGGCCTCGTCACCGCAGGCATGCAAAGCCAGGCTGCTCACCTGGTGGGAGCGCTCTACGGGACGGGGCTCGTCCTATCGCGCGGTCGTCTTGAGGATGGCGATGAGGACTTCGATGAGAGTGCTGAGGACTTCATGCAGGCACAAGCATCTGCTGTGGCAGACAGAGATGTGGGTATGCGTCTCCTCACTCTGCTTCAATCCTTCGACTTCGAGTGGCACGACGAGCGTGACGGGCTCGCCTCTCAGCTGGTCATGTTGCGCGACTTGGATGTCTCCCAGGCCAAGGCGCCGCCGACAGCTGGAGGGCGTCAATTCGACATCAGCAAGACGATTGCGCTCCTCGCTTTCGCACGTCGTGAACTGGAACGAATGGGCGAGCTCGGTGACGCCAGGCGCCGTGCCAACTTCGACGCCGAGGCCGCCATCGTGCTGCAGCACGTCAGCGCCCGCAATGCTCACCGTGCGGTAGCCAAGTGTCGTCGCTCTGCCCTCGCAAGCTGGCGCAACGTGCAGGATCTCGTTCTGGCGCACGGCGAATTCCTACTCAGGCCGGAAGCGCAGCCGCTCGTGGTGTTTGACTCTCTTTCTGCTCTGCTGCCAAGGCTGGACGGAGCGGCCCCGGAAGAAGACCCAGTGCTCGCCGACTTGGCCGCTGGAGCTATCTTGTCGTTGCTGACTAGCTTGAGACGACATCGTGCCCAAGCTCCTGTAGGGGCGGGTCTGACGGACGAGCTCCCCATTGATCGACTGCTCTCGACCCTGGCTGCCCTCACGGGGGCCATTCTCAGGGCGGGGACCTCAGTATCAGCCAGGGGCAACCTGTACTCGGCGCTCATCAACTATTTGCAGCTCGTACGCGCCGCAGCCAACACCAACCAGGGCGGGGAATATCCACTCGGCGCAAGTGGGGACAGTCTGGTGGGTGACGATTCCTTCTCTTACGCGGATGGGGAAAGCTTGATCGGTAGCTCCATGGGCGGAGCATCGGCCTACGGCGGTGGAGACTACCAGCAACCTTCAAGCCTCGACAGCCGTACCCGCACCTTCCTGGCGCAACACGCCGAGCGACTCGTCCCCGTGCTCGCCCGTGACGCGCTTGATGCGCCGGACGTCTGGCGGACGGTCGCTTTTACTCTTCTCGACCGTCTGTGCGCACTCGAGTCCACCGGCCGAAGCAAGAGTGGTCGCTCGCCTGTGGTGCTGGACATACTCACCCGACACGGGTACCTCAAATCTTTCGTGGCCCGACTCAGGGATATGGACCTTCCCCTCCAATCAATCCTCCGCCCCGACCCTCCAAGCCTCAATGCACTGTACGTCTACGAAGCGAAGCTGGCCTTCTTTGGTCGCTTGGCCTCGAGTCGCAGAGGGGCTGAGCGGTTGTTGGAAGCAAAGCTGTTCGATACGCTTTGCCAGGCGGATTTCCTTGCTGCGCGACCGGAGGAGGATCAGGACTTTGTTGATCTGGAAAGCTTTCTACCAGCCGCCACCGAGCGATACGCTGCGCTGCTCACGCCGGCTTTGCAGGTCGCCGTAGCTGTTGTGCAGGCTACAACTGGCGGCCCAGGAAGAAGTCGCTCCGAGGCACACGCGCCCGGCTCCGCCACTTCTCGTAACCAAGCGCTCAGCCTCCTCAACGCCCATCGCGAGTCCCTACTCGCAGTGCTGCGCTCTGCCGTGCAGGATACAGTGTCTCTCTCGACGGTGGACGAGGCGCATTTGGTCGTCACCTTGATGTTACAGGTGCTTCCCATCCTCGACGATGAGGCTTTGGTCGCGCCGCGACCGTTGGCGGCATACCACAGCGCAATTCTGCAAGCCGCGGCCGGCTTCTTGCATTCAACCGCCTGGAGAGGACGGGTTCTGCCATTCACTGAGAGGGAGAGGGAGGAGGAGGCTACCACTGTGGGCGGCGGCACAGCCGATATGGCAATGGACGGGGACCACGCTGACGGACGCGACCTCGTCAACCGGGGTGAAGAGAGCGTCTTCGACCAGAACGCCGCTCGGTCAGTCTCACGGCTCATCTTCTCCCTGACGTCCTACCTTGAAGCAGCAAGTGAGCCACTCGCTGGCCGTCAAGTCGCTCGACCCTGCCTCTCCTCGTCACTGGCAGTTCCGCAGCCCTACCAAGCAGGGCGACGAGGTCGCACACCAGGGTACGACTCACACGATGATCTGCGTCGTTCTCGTGGACCCGATGGCGCGAGCACACGAGTAGCATCTGTCCCCAGCTTGGGTATCGCCTTAGCGGCAATGGACGAGCAAGTCGCCTCTTTGGAGCAAGATCTTCCACTTGCCGAGAGGTTGCGCTCTATGCTTGATGAAGGGGAGAACGTTGGCCTGCAGGAATGGGAAGCACTCACAGGCTCGGCTGCAACGAGGCCAGACGTAGGCTCACTGCAGCTGCGTCGCTCCGCGCTTGTATTGGCAAAATTGGGCCAGATGAGGGGCAAGGCAACTCAGAGACTGGACGTGGTCGATGTCCTAATTGTGGTGATCCAGCGTCACTTTGCCTATTACCTCGCCGCACTGGACGATGAGTCCATGGCGAGTAGCAGCGGCATCGGCGCACCGCCTCAAGGCGTTGATGCTGGGTACGCAGCGCCCTGGATGGGAGGACGCCAGAATGTACCGACGACGAACAAGGCGATCGGCACTCTTGCTGCGGACAGTACGACTCTTTCTGCCCTTCTTGACGATGGGGCTCAAATGGTGCAGCTGGTTTTGGAGCGCCTTGGCCGCGTGCTGTTAACGATGCAGCGCATGGACGCTGATGCTGGCGAGGAGCACGGGGTAGCAGGCACTAGCGGGTCAAGCATCGTAAGCAACGCCAGGGAGAGGAGCACCTTCCTTGAGCTGGTAGGGAGGAAGCTGCAGACTATGTTGCTTGTCAGGCAGGAGGCGGAGGAGAAAATACGGGACTGAAAGGATTGAGGGAGGCAGGATGCTGTAATGAATGTGAATGCATAAACAAATCTCAGACTCATCACGATATGGTAGCTCCGCTTGGCAGCCTCGACCGATGACTAGCAACGAGGACATTCAACGCACGCTTACTGGCTCGCTGCTGGCTCGCTCGCTCGCTCGCATCGCTCTTGTGATTGACAAAATGAATGACATTTTTCGATGCGACGATTCGGCGCGCCGGGGGAGGTCTTGAAGTGACCCTGCCCGCGCGAAACGAAGGCGACAAGAAGATACGAGGCGTTTGCCGTGCCGTACATGTGGTAATGTACTCCAATGCGCACCCGCGCAATTAGAGACGACGACCACGACGACCACCCTTCCTGCGAGTCGAGTCGGTGGGGACGGGAGTAACGTCCTCGATACGGCCAATGCGCATACCAGCGCGGGCAAGAGCACGGAGGGCCGACTGAGCACCGGGGCCGGGGGTCTTTGTGCCCGTACCACCCGTAGCGCGCAGCTTGACGTGGAGGGCAGTGATGCCGACCTCCTTGCAGCGAGCAGCGCAGTCCTGAGCGGCAAGCATGGCAGCGTAGGGGGAGGACTCGTCGCGGTCGGCCTTGACCTTCATGCCGCCAGTGACACGAGAGATGGTCTCCTTGCCCGAGAGATCGGTGATGTGGACGAAGGTGTCGTTGAACGAGGCGACTGGCAGGGTGTAAAAGAAGCAGGATGATCGAGTCAGAGTCATAATCGAGGATCGACAGGTACAAGAGGGTATGGCAGCACTCACAGATACGGGCAACGCCGAAGACGAGCTCACCCTCGCCGACCTGAGGGCCGAGGGACACCTCCTGGTTGGACTGCTTGACGACCTTGGGAGGCACTGGCAGCGATGACAGTGAAATGAAGGTTAGCATGCGGCGACGACGATGACAGCAGCCACTCGCTGAACTCACTGTTGACTTGAGGAGAGAGGTAGGGGATACGGAGAGACGATCAAGAAGAAGCGTTGGCAGCCAATTCTCGAATCGACGTCGGCGTCGAGGTCTGCGTCCTCGACTTGGTGCACGCGAGCTCTTGGACTTGTCGACAGTCTCGACTGGACTGACTTGCTTCTTTTCATCTGCGGCTCGGCCGAGGTCGACGGGGCGGCAGACGGCCTGAGCCAAGGTGGATTTGCCAGTCGGGGCGGAGAGAGAGGGACGAGGGCTGCCTTGGTTGGCTGCCTGCTGCCTGGCTCACACGGGGCGGGCGAGGTGAGCGAGCGAGAGGCACTCGACGGGAGGACGGACATTCTCGCTCCCTCGTTTCTACTCTCCATCCCTCGTCCCATCCCCTTTCTTCCTCCTCATCAAACAGTGGGTATCACACAGCGACGGCATGCTTCATCGATCAGAGATGGTAGCAGCAGTAGCAGTAGCAGTAGCAGTAGCAGTAGCAGTAGCAGCACCAGCATCAGTAGCCCCCGCAGACGAGTTGCTCGTCTTCAGATGGGCACAACAGGCAGAGGGCAGGCGAGTTGGGCAGCGATGGCATCTGCAAAGGAGGAAGATGGCGGGCAGCATACATCATGGCGGTATGATGAGAGCATCATAGATGAGGCAGAGATGGGAAGAGTAGGCAGCGTCGCCAATCGAGATGAAAGCTGGCAGACAGCAATCGCTGCAAGCAAAGGGTACAATTGGGTGCTGCCTTTGTGGGTTGGAGGACGATGCCGAGGAGGCTGCCTCGTCAGCATATGACGGATGGCGAGGAAGACGCTGCTCATGCTCATGCCGCCGCCGCCTCCGCTGCTGCTGCTGCTGCTGTGGCTGCTGCCGCCACTCTGGTCGATGTTGCGCCTCATCTTCCTAGCCGACCTTGAACTGACCTGTTCATCCTCTCCCTCGCGCAGCCATGGGTATCGCTCGCGACTCGCGCCACAAGCGCTCTCACACCGGTGCCCGCCGTGCCCACTACCGCAAGAAGCGTGCCTTCGAGCTCGGTCGCCAGGCCTCCAACACCCGTATCGGAGCCAAGCGTGTCCACTCGACCCGTGTCCGCGGCGGTAACATCAAGTACCGTGCTCTCCGCCTCGAGACGGGCAACTTCTCGTGGGGATCCGAGACCATCACCGCAAAGTCCCGTATTCTCGGCGTAGTCTACAACGCCTCGAACAACGAGCTTGTCCGCACCAACACCCTCGTCAAGGGTGCCGTCATCCAGGTCGACGCTACTCCCTTCCGTCAGGCTTACGAGAAGCACTACGGCAAGCCCGTCACCACCAAGCGTCGCGCTGCCGGTGCTGGCGCCGCAGAGGCAGAGCAGGACGCCGAGGCAAAGAAGAGCCGTGCCGTCGTCAAGAAGCTCGACGCTCGCAAGGAGTCTAGCAAGATTGACCCCCTCGTTGAGCAGCAGTTCGGCGCTGGTAGGCTGTACGCTGTCATTGCCAGCCGACCGGGACAGAGCGGCAGGGCGGACGGTTACATTCTCGAGGGATCCGAGCTTGAGTTCGTGAGTAGCCGCGAGCGCGCACAGGAGGGAGCATGGTCATCACAGTCTTACTCACTCGCCTCTCCTCTCCGGCCCTCTTTTCCTACAGTACGTCCGTCGTCTCCGTGCCCGCCACACCAGCAAGGCTTAAGCGCGCGACGTCCATCGTCCGCCCACGCCTACACCTCTCTTCTTCGCACACACCCTCTCACATCGTGTGGTGCGCTGAAAATGTACTATGTCATTCTTCCCCTCCTAGCTTGCCTCATCGTCGAGAGAAGGGCAGCTGTGTGGGGCTAGACCGTTTCTTCTCGCGATCAATCACAATCATCTCGACACAAAAGAGGGAGAGAGAGAGGCTGGGTGAAAGATGGATTAAGGGAGGAGGGTCGTCGTGTGTGCTTCTCGACTCGCTCTTGAGGTGACATCTGGATATGCTCGTGTTCGCCGCCGTCCTCGCGCCGCCCAGGCCTTCGTGCCCATCAGTACGAGCCTCTCGAAGCTAGTGATTCGCGCCTAGCCTCACTAGCCGTGTGGCTGCTGCCATCAAAGCTGCTCTCTCCCACACGATCCATCGGGTGACGTTCCATCTTCGCGATCAGAGATCTGTGCGTGCGGTCAATGGTAGAAGGAGAGGTCGAAGACGGTCAGTGTGCGATCGTGACGTCTGTACGGCTCGCACTCACTTGAACTGCACGTCCAACCTATCCAGAACGTCGACAGAATGCCCCTCAGCCGCAAGGTGCCTCGCTACGTCTAGGGCTGCCTGGCAGAAGGGTCGGGAGAGCGCGTAGTCTGCATAGTGAAACAGCTCAACGCCCATGTCCCAGGCGACGGCCAAAATCCACCTCTGCTCGTCCGCAGGCCATTCTTTGCCCTGGAAGAGGGAAAGCGTCTCCACGGCGGCTTGGATGTGGCGCAGAGCGGCTTCCTGGCGACTTCGGTGGGATGTTGCGCCGACGCCGCTGCTATTCCTGGCAGGACCGTTATGGTGGTGGACTTTACTGTTCGTGATGACCTTGTTGAGATGTAGCAGAACATGGAGTCGCACCCAGGTCGCTAGGCGGGGCACATCGATGCCGCTAGAGTAGATGACACGCTGGTCCTGTCTTCCGTCTGCCTGCACAGTCGTGAGCGTCATATGGCCCTTGATAGTCTCAATTGTCCCCAGCTGCACATCCTCCACCAGCTCAGGCGGCGCTTGCGGGTCCCCCATGAGCAGGTCGGCCATGGTCTCAAAGATGCGGACTGGGATGTGGGGCTGTTGCTGCGGAGCAGGCACTCCAGCGGCTGCGGCTGCTAACATGGCCTGTGCGAGGGCTTGAGCTTGAGCAACGGAAGAGGCGACCCGGTCACTAAAGAGGCGTTGCGCTGCGGCCCAGTCACGGAGCTTGATGGTCGCCTCCCACTGAAGGAGGAGGAGGGCCCATTCTACTTCGCGAAGGAGAGCCGGGGAGGAGGATGGGTGAGTCTGCTCCGCGGCGCTGACGTCGTCGGTGGGTACAGAGGCGTGGTTGCGGACCTCGTTGAGTAGCGCGAATCCTTCGTCGACTTCATCCTTGATCTTGAACCACATGATGCGACGAGCTTGATCTTTGCCGCCAATTCCAACGTCACCGCCGTCCCGTGCACTCTGTTGGGCCTCTCGAGCCGCGCTAGCCCGAGCCACGATGGAGGAGAGCTTGACCCATACCTTGCACTTGCGATAGTCGAGCATCGCGCTGCCAGCTCCAGCAGCCGTGGCCGCTTCGGCGCTTACACCTGCACCGATGTGAAAGTCGACGAAAGACTCCCTCACCTTACACATCGCGAGCACGATGTCGAACAATTGAGCAGAGGTCTCCCAGTCCACACCTCGGAGGTGCTGCGAGACGGATATGGCCGCATTGTAGCTGGCTTTGTACGCCCACTCTGCTTCTTCAGATGCCTTTGGGTCCTCTTTGTTGGAATTGCGCAGCGCGCGTAGAAGGTTGTCTAGGTGGCTGATCAGCGTGGCCGCTTGGTCCTGCGTAAAGGATGTCAGTTCCTCCGGGCTGGACGGCGGGAGAGCATGCTTGACGAGGCAGCGTGAGAGGACTACTGGGTCGACAAGCTGCTTGAAGTTGCCATCTACACGCGACCGCTCCGAGAGGCCGCGCATAGCCTGGTAGAGCACCGACTCCAGTCCCACATCTTGGGCCAATTTGACGATTGGGGTAAGCATCTGACTCTCAAAGTCCGGGCAGGCAAGCAAAGCGTTCAGCGAGGTTAGAGCATCTGCCTCGTGACCTTCGCGTGCGTGTGAGACGAATGAGAGATAGTGCGCCGATGCGTGGTCGTTGTACGGCGTAGGGAGGTCTAGCAGGATCTCTCTGGCCGCAGCAGGTTGCCCGGCTTCAATGTGGCACGAGGCGGCTTTGCGGACGCTGCGGGCCACGTTGGCGACCGCTGCGCTGAAGACCTTATGGCTCGCAAGGCGGTAGAAGGTCGCAGCAATCAAGCGATCACTGTCCCTCGCTTCGTAGGACTCGGCCACCTTCCAAAGGGTCAGCTGAGCAGCGAAGCTTGCGTCCTTGCTGGCGTAGAAACAGGCCCTACTAAGCCGGTCCAGCATCGAATAGGCGACGCTCAGCATGGGCGTCGCCTTGCAGAGGGCGAGTGTGCTGTGTAGTACGATGTGGATCAGCTCATCTGGCTGCTCGGGCGCCTCGAGGAGTTTGGTGAGGACTAGAGAGACTGTCTGCTCGACAAACTCAAAGGACTCGTCTCGGCTGCGCAGGACGGTCATGATGCGGGAGATGCTGTTGGCGCTGAAGGGGGTGGCGCTCTGGCAGAGGGACCTGATGAGGTCGAGAAGGGACTTTGTCGTAGCGTTGCGGAGGGCCAAAATCTCGAGGCGTAGGAGAGTGATGGAAGGGGCGTCCTCGATCGAGGAGCCGTACTGGCGCAAGATGCTGAGCAGCTCGTTTAGTGTCGTTTCTGCGCGAGTGAGGTTCTCTAGACGAGAAGCGTCGTCGAGAGTAGTGGTGTTGATAGCATGCTCGAAATAAGCAGAGGCGAGGTTGTTCAGGGCTTGCACTTGCATCTCCTGCACCTGGGGCAGCATACCATTCTCGACCTTTTCCAAGACTGCAATGGAGCGACGGAGCCAGCGGACTGCGGCGTCGAGAAGTCGGGAGCGCTCTTCCGCCGCCGTAACCTGAGCGCGCTGAGTGAGGAGAGAAGAACCGTGGTCGATGCATACTTTGACTACACGTAGGACCATGCGCAGCGAAAGACCATGCTGCTCGATCTCGGAAAGGGCCGTCTCGAGGGCATACTCTGCAACGACGAGGTTGCTGTCGAGAATCGCCAGCTGATGCTTGGCTAGGCAAAAGACTTGAGTCGCTTCGAGGGCATTGGCTTGCTCGGCATATGCTGGGCACTTGCGCAGCACTTCGTAGATCTATAAGGGCGAGCGCCAAGGTGCGCGATTAGAGCGTGAGGTGGCCCAGTGTTGTCTGAATGCTCTCTTCTCCTCACCTCGGCCGCACCGCTGAGTAGCTCATCGGCATTCTCATGACTGTCGGTGGGTACTGATCCTGCGCCAAGGGCGGCAGCGTGAATATGGCATGTGCTAGCGGTTCTGGTTGTCCAGCAGCTTACCAGGAGCACACATGGCAGAGACGGCCCTGCTGAGGACGCTGAGCAGTCGAGCATTGTCTGCGAGAGGCAGGGACAGGTCAATTGCGACGATGTATGCACCTTGGTGCTGCCCAATCTAGCTGTTCACCTTCGACATCATCGTTCTTGGGGGTGCTGGCATAGGTCAGAAGAGCGGCTGCTCCACGGACTGCGCGAAAGGCGAGGACTCGTCAGTGCTACGCTGTTTGTCAACGAGAACGTTGACCGCTCACCCAGCCCCTTGATGTGAACAGCGCTTCCCTTGTCGGCTGATTCGTGGCTGCTCTTCTGGAGCTGGATCGTGTGATTCCATAGCCTGGTGCCTGTGAGGACGGTCGTGAGAGGACTTGATTGTCAAAGGGGCTGCCATGGCACAGCACTCAGCCAACGTATCGTGGCCGGCGCACCAGCCTCGTCGAGCAAGTCTGCCGTTTCACTGGTCGGTGCCCTACCCCAATGATGCAAGAAGGTCGCCCCGAGCTTTGTGGTACGCTGTGCGAGCTCGATGATCTGGCGAGATGAAGGCTGCGGTGCTGAAAGCTGAGACACGATATCTTCGACGAGAGCTGTGCGGGCAATGATGAGGCGCGGAGGCAGGACAAGGAGAGAGCAGCACCGAGTCAGGTCAATCTGCGAATCAGCGCAGGAGACGATCTGTCTTGCTTCGAACCATGCAAATCTTTTGCATCTCTCTGAACGCTTGGGACTGTCATGTCGGGGGGCGACACGGCAGTGATGATGACGATTCGATTCGAGACGTGACGTGACGGACGGATACGGAGTCAGAGAGTGGAGACGGAAGGACGGCGTTGCAGATGAGGCTTGACCACGGGCTGAGCAGCGTCTTGAAGGGCTATTCTGGGCCGTGCGGCGGGCGGCGCCAAGACTTCCTCGGTTGAGCCTCGCAGCCCTGCGTCACCGAAAGACGTCGGCGCCTGGCTGCAAGGCAAGCGTAGGCAAGCGCGAGCGACGATGAGCTATTGCATGGCTTCCTTCGCTCACACCCACGACCACCCCACACAGACGCACGCGCGCCCGACGAGGGAACGAGCAACACTTGCCATGATCAGAAGAGGACTGCTCATCTGAGCTGTCCATCTTACCATCATCGTCCTCTGATCCCTCTTCATCGGCTCATCCGCCGCTCCCTCCCGTTGCCAAGGGCCGTCCGCCGCGATTGCTACCCGGCTCGTTGGCTTAGCCGTTTAGGAGCACGCCAAGCCAAGCCAAAGACGAGGACCTGGTACTGAGCAACAATCAGTGAGCGACACGTCTTTTCATCCTACCTCCTACAACGATACTACATCAGCTGCTTTGGTTCAACATCAACGACGACGCCTCCACCTTGATAGCTTCATCTTCTCCCACATCGGCATCATTGCCGTAGCGAAACCCTTGCTCTGGCGCAAGCAGCCTCGCTGATACGAGCCATACGAGCCATAGCTGTCAGGGTTTACAAGCAGCGACGCCGGCTTCTGTTTCCGCCTCAGCTGTCAACATGTCTACCCTCAGCCTGCCACTGCGCCGCCTCATCTCGGGCCCAAAGGCTCGCTTCGTGCAAGATGGCGTTGACCTCGACCTCGTCTACGTGACGGATCGACTCATCATCATGGCCTTCCCAGCCTCAGGCGTGGCAACGCTCTGGCGCAATGATCGACGAGCTGTCCGCAACTTCCTCGACGAGAGGCATGGCGACAAGTGGCGCGTCTACAACTTTTGCCCAAAGTCGGAGAATGACTATGATGGGGAGGAATTCTACGGAAGAGGTGAGCACGACGGCTTGTCTGAGCGATCACTCCACGTCTACTGACTTCTGGCCTCTTGGCCCCTTGGCAGTCTCTCGCTACCCATTCCCGGATCACCACCCTCCCCCGCTCTCCCTAATCCCAATGGTGGTCGCAGACATGACTGCCTGGTTCGCTGACGACCCACAGAACGTCGTCGTCATTCATTGCAAAGCCGGCAAGGGACGCTCGGGCACACTAGCCTGCTGCTACCTCGTTTCGCTACCCAAGCTCCCTCCCCCACCTCAAGACCCTCGCAACCTCGGCCGCGCAGCTGGCAAGAAGGGGGCACCTCGCTCCATCTCCTCCACGGAGGCTTCATCCCTCGTAGCAACGCCTGTGACGTCGGACGAGGGTAGAACATCAAAAGAGCTCGATAACGGGAACAGCCTGCCCCGTAAACCCTCTGCCCTCATGCTCAAGGCAAAACGGTCCATCTCTGCGCTGCGATCTCGAAAGAGCTCGGCCCATCTGCAACCGCAAGAGCCGCAGCAGCATCTACAGCCGCCCTCGTCGCCTCGTGCGAGCCGCAAGAGCAGCTTTGCCTTCCTGCGCCGCGCGAGCGAGAGTCAATCGCACAATGACAGCGCCGTTTCCTCACGACGCCCCTCCTTCACCGCTACGCACATCAATCTCGATGACTCGCTAGCATCCTCGGCCGAGCTGAGCGCCTTGGAGGACAAGCTGGAGGCAGTCTTTGACTTGCATACATCGCGAAGGATGAAGGCCAAGAAAGGACATGCCTCTGCGGACAGCGCCGTATCGAGGAAATCAATGGACATGTCGCCACGCAAAGCGAGCGCATCTACGCCTGCCCTACTCGAGCCTCCGTCGCCCAACCGCGCAATGCCGCCACCGTCCCTGCCGCCAGCCATCCCACGTCGACCATCATCATCAGCTGTGATGAGAGCCTATCAGGACGCGCCACGCATAGAGGGCCTGACCTCAACCTCAGGCGACGACACTCCGGGCAGAACCTCGACCTCGGGTCGACTGTCCTTCGCTGAGCCAACGACTCCTCGCTCACGCCATACGCTCCTCAACTCGCAAGATTCGGCTTCCACTCCACCTCGCAATAGCATCGCAGCCGGCAGCCGCCTCCGCGTGAGCAGCGCGACGGACATCGCTGGGATGAACAACATCACGCCTAGATCTCGTCGAGCGGCCCTTGGCGCCAGCCCAACTGGACGAAGCTGCGAGGCTCTGGTCGCAAGCGGGAGGGCGACGCCTACCATCCCAAGCCTGAACGTCTCCCCTTCCGGCTCGACGCGTATCAAGCCAGGCACAGACACCGGCAGAGGCAGCGTCGAAGGCTCGCGTCGCCCCTCCCACGACACGACTTCCTCTCAGTCATGGGGCAGGAAAAGCCTCGACCTCTGGCGCAAGTCACAGCGCTCCGCAAGTGGTGTGAGCGCCAATAGCGGGGTCAGCGCGGCCAGCTCGGCAGTGGCGTCTAGCAACTCTATCGATCGTTTCGACAGCGGCAGCGCCTCGCCAGCCTTGGATGGCCCCATGGCCAAAAACCGCAAGCACGGAGTCAGTATCGCATCACAGCGTCGATGGGTTGGGTACTGGGGAAGGATACTCAACAAGGAAGACTCGCGCGCTTGCATGGACCCTGCGAGGGCTGGACAGGAGCCGCGCATGGTTAGGCTGCTGAGGATCAGCGTGCTGCAAGACTCCTCCAGCGCGGAGCAGGATGATACCGCGGCGAAAAGCCGATCACGCGCGAAGAGCTTCACGAAGACGGATGGCTACCATATCACTGTGGGCCGGTATGACCCCAAGCTCCTGGACAAATTAGAGGCATGGGAGCGCGGTGCTCGACGACGAGACAAGGTGTTCGGCGCGTGTGGTGACCCAAGCCAACGCGCTCCCGATGTCTTTTCGAGCCAGGTGTGCTCTCCAGGCTCAGCTCATGCAACACCTGGCGCAGGCGCTGCTGTTGCAAGGGACGACGAGCGGACTGGCTTTCCCTTTGCGGAGGGAGCAACGGCTGCTTTGACTATGACTAGTGCAAACCTGCATCGTCCAGCATCTTGCGTACCAGGGGAGGATCGCTGGCTAGACAAGTTTGGGCACGAGCAGCGTGGCGATTCCGCGGCAAACCTCTCTGATGAAGACGGGGATGAGTCACCAGCAAAATCTCCTCGAGGCGAAACAGCCTATCATCTCTTCACTCGACGAACTCTAGGCTCACGACGCCCCTCTACCGCTGACTGGGGTCGCTGCTCTGAGCTCAACACGCATGAGGGCGCGGCAAAGAGGCTGGCACAGCATGGGAACGCGGAGGGAGTTGGAGCGTGGGGTGTGAATGTGCTTGCAGAGGCGGAACGCGTCAGACACTTCAATTGGCCAGACGACGAGGTGCTGGCAAAAGGAGAGAGAAGGTTCGCATTCTTGGAGTGGTTTGCTAGGTTGGAGGCGGCGGAGAGAGGAGCCGAGCAGAGCAAGATTGGTAGCAAGGGGACATGGCACCACTTTCAGCCTGCTAGCAGCAGCGACGAGGAAGGTCCTGGACTGATCATTCGCTCAGACCGTGAGCTCTGCATCAAGGTTCACCTAGCCAACCGTGCTCTGCGTCTTCTACCGGATATCGCCGGTAGTGCGGGATGGGCGTGGATCATCCCTGCCTTCGAAGAGCCGGCGCCAGCGACGAAACATCCAGCTCAGCCCAGCGACGGCGCAGGCGAGGAGGAAGAAGTCCTCGAGGACTCAAGCTTCGCGACTGCCCCGGACGAGGATGATGCCAGTGGTGGTGCTGACGACTCGCACGCCAGCTGGAAGCGCGGCAACCTCAATGGCAAGCCTCCCCTCCCGTCTTCTAATGGTGTCAAGCCTACCAACAAGCCTAGCACGGCCACATTCACAAGCTCGTCGCAGAGTTACACCACGCCTTCTAAAGGAACTGAAAGCAACAGCTCGCCATCACGCTCGGCGTCTGCTTCTTGCTCATCATCATCGGCCCCGCAGGAAGCGAAGCGACGCACAACCGTCGTCCGCCTGGAGCGAGACGACATCGATTTCGTGAAGAGGATGACAGGCCTGAAGGCAATTGAGCTTGAGTGGGAGGAGGTGAGGGGGGTAGACGACGATGAGAGTGAGGAGGAGGGCAAATAGACGGAAGCACTTGGGGAAGGGCGTGAAGAGCATCAGACCCGCCATTTTTCGCCTTCGTCATCCCTTCGCCATCTCTTCTCGTTCTTTGTCTCCCGATACTGTCCTTCCCTGTACGATCTACGATCTCATCATGATGACGAAAGACCGATACCTCTCTGAATACATTCGGCTCACAAGCCGACCGCGCTCACGAGTACAAGACTACGCTGCTGGACCATTCTCGTTCGCATTGTAGCACGCAGAAGCAAGTGACACAGCGCTGTTTGATTGCAGGAGCACGTATAGAGGGACAAGTCACGTCGCAAGGGAGTAGTGGCGGGCTGGAGTAGCAGCGTAGGGACAGTGAGGGGCGCCAGGTATCAGGAAAAGAGGACAGGGGAGTATCCAGTGTACGAGGAATAAGGAGGCGTGGACAGCCCGAAAGGCGTCGTCCAGAAGCGCAAGGCTGGCTCTGCCTACTTCGGGTGAGACAAGGATCCAGTCCCGTCGACCACCTGCGCTCTATGATCGTGACGCAAGCATGGTCCCAAAGACGTAGTCCCAAACCTTCGATGTGACACCGAAGCCAAGCTCGAAGTTGCCGTAGTGATGAAGCAAGTGATACTTCTTCATCTCCCTCATGTAGGCCGGCAGCTTGGTGTGGTGTAGCGCATAGTGCATACAGTCGTAGCACACGTACATCGCAAAAGCCCCCGCGATGACGCCGTTGGCAAAGGCTGCCGTCGGGAAGATGAGGTAGGCCAGCCTCGTGAAGGGGAAGGAGAGGACAAAGAAGAGGAGTGGCGGCATGACGAGGCGAAGGCGGTCCATGGGCAGGTAGTGGTGGATGCCGTGCAGGAGGAAGTGCAGGGTAAGGAATGGACCAGCGTCGGGGAGGAACTCGTCGACGTGGAAGAGGAAGCGATGCAGGGTGTACTCGAGGAGCGTCCAGATGAAGACGCCGAGCGCAAAGCAGGCTGTAGTAGTTGCTGTGGCGGCTGGGCTGAAGGTGACGGGTGTGTTGAGGGGAACGAGCTCTGCCTTGCCTTGCTCAAGCAACGTGAATTGCTGCGCTGAGCGGTAGAAAAGAGAGGCGGCGATGGGGAGCCAGATCATAGGGACGACGTACCACGGTGTACGAGTGAACATCTGCGAGCAAGAGGGCGAGCGGAAAGGACGACGATGATGGAGTCAGTGAATGCTACAACGATTCGCCACCATCAAGGGGCTGCAGGCTTGCGGGCACGCTACTCACCTCGAGGTAGTCAGGCCCAAACAATCTAGCCGGCTCCTTGAGATGCCTGGGAGAGTGGACCTGCTGCAAGTAGAACTCCTTTGAGAACTTTGCCCTCCACACCTGCATGATCAAAGGCTGCGACAAGTCGAGGAAAGCGTGCTTCTGGAAGTCTGCCTTGACATCCGAGTCAGGCGGGACAAAGTCGTCGGTGATGACGATGGTGTCGTCTTTGCCATTGAAGTCGGCACCACCCTTTTCAGCATCCGCACATGCTGCTTCCTCCTCAGCGGTGATGGGCAATCGCCCGATGTAATGCTCCTCGAGCAACTCGTAGGCCGAGTCAGAGTGGGCATGCTCAATCACGTCGTCCATAATGTCGCCCATGTCCTTGCCCGCATAGCGCATCACGAGATCATCTCCACCAGGATGGTCAGGCGTGAAGTCGGTGACATCGTAGACTTTGCCGTGGCGGGCGACCCAGACTGACTTCTCGTGGTTGTGCTTGGCCAGCTGCGCCATCGAGACGAGGCGCGTGCGGACAGCCACCGGGGCCGGCGAAGGAGCAGGATTGCCTGTCGACATGGCGATTGGCGTGAATGTAGCTTTGCGAGGTGGTATTGCAGTGACAGGGAGGGGGACTAGGCAACTGGAAACGGAAGGAAAGCGTCGAGGGAGAGTGGCGAAGGGGAATTGAGGGAGAGAGAAGGTTACCAAGAAATAAAGTCCCTCGAGTCGCTCGACAACACAAAGTCAACGTCGAGTCCCGAGTCGAAAGCTGCACGGCGGCGAGGGGTTTCCGTCCGGCTCGCCGTCGCCGTGGCCGTCGCCACGCCCAGGCCCGAGGCCACTCGAATTTGGCCACCCAATTTGCCACGTGGCACGACCATGGAACGGCGACTAAACAGCCCGTCTGCTAAGCAGGGCAGCAATACATTTCGGGGGCCCAATCGAGTGTTGTTCTCGGCTAAGGCCGCCTCCCCTCCCGCTGAGGGAAGGAGGGGGGAAGCTGGGGAGGGCACGATGAGGCGAGTAAGGCGGCGCCGACAAGCACCTCTTGCTTTTGTCGACTCCGCACAATACAAAGCCTGCACGCACACACCGATCCAGGACTTTGTGGAAGAGCAAGACATCTCGTCGACATCGGAATGACTACAAGTTCGGCAGATATGATCCTCTCTGGCTCTTGATCTCGGCAGCATTCGACCTCATTGGTCTGCGATCGCGGCCCAAACGATGGGTTGCAAACTGAGAGATGGCGCATCCTGTGGCGCACTCTCCCGTAGAAGAAGCTGTGAAAAAGACTTTGACTCTCACGGTTCAAACCAGGGACCTCACTCTTTACCAGCACGACCTCTACAGAGTCAGGCTTGCTTCCCTCTTCTCCTCGCTGCCTCGCTGAGCCTGTATCAACACTACGCCCAGCAATAGTGTCAAGCCGGAGCTCATCAACTCCGTAAGAGGTGCCTTTCTGGTCGTCTCACAGCTGCTATCTTACTTCGTCTTCGATCGGTCCCCAAAACATGATAGTGATTAGGACGCAGGACCGATGACCACCTTTGCTGTCTCACCCAGGCCAGCGTAGCGAGAGCTTCCCAGGGCTAGAGCCTGCGCGCCGTGGCTACGTGCGACTCAAACCGCGTGTCGCATCTCTGCGACTGTTGCGAGACCATGATCAGCCAGCAGCATCATCTCGCTGCCATTGCCCATCATTGAACGTGGCCATCAAACTCACCAAGGGCAAGTCTCGCCCAGCGTGAGATCATGACGCATTTCGAGCCAGACCATCAAGCCCCAAAGCTATCTCAACACAGCGCGCTTGTCCTTCAAAGACACTTCTCACGGCTCGCACTTACAACGAAAACATCGTCGACACGGTAGCAAAGGGGACAGATGATGCAGCGTCCTAGATCACACCGTTCGATACTCAAGCTACGAGTACTTTACGGTCACGCAATAGTGTCATAACTCTCGGCTCCTTTGAGGGTATGAGGTCCAGCCAACGAAATATGCCCTTGCCTCCTCAAAGGGATAAAAAGGGAGCTTCACACGCTCGAGCATCCCCACGCCCGTAACTCGATCCTCCATTCTACTCGCACATCACCTACAGACCTGCCTTCGACGCCCCTCGTGACTTCTTTCAGGGCTATCCTTGCCGTCCTCCTCCTCGCCACGTCGCTGTCGATTGGCGTCATCGGCAGGCCTCTGGAATACGAGGTGGAAGCGCGCAACGCCCCCTCACATCCGATCGCCACTCACCCTGTCAAGGCGCATCCTTCGGTTGCCCACCCTCACCCTCACCCTCACCCTCACCCTCATCCTCATCCTGACTCGAAGCACCCTCAAGAGAAGGTAGAGGAGCGTGCCGCGGTTTCGCAAAGCGGAGGCCATCCTCATCCGCACCCGGCGCCTTACCCGCACCCACAGCCTCAGCAGCATCCCGCTCCCGGGCAATCTTCGTCGGGAGTGCCGACGTCTTCGTCCAAGCAGCCCACGTCTACGGTCAAGTCACTGGAGACCGGATCTACCACTAGCAAGAGCAAGGAACCCGAGCCTACCACGAAGAGCGCTGAGTCGAGCAAGAGCCCCGAGCCTACCACGAAGAGCCCCGAGCCTACGACGAAGAGTCCTGAGCCTACGACGAAGAGTCCTGAGCCTACGACGAAGAGCGCCGAGCCTACGACGAAGAGCCCAGAGCCGTCCTCGACACACAAGAGCGAGCCCATTTCGTCGCAAAAGACTGAGCCTACCTCGACCTACAAGACGGAGTCTACCCAGTCGTCCGCGCACAGCACGCAGCCTTCCTCGTCTACGCACAGCACGCAGCCTTCCTCGTCCACGCATAGCATGCAGCCTTCTTCCTCGGCGCACAGTACTCAGCCTACGTCGTCTACGCACAGCACGGGCTCTCATTCGTCGACGCCCAGCACGCAGCCTTCCTCGTCTACGCACAGTACGGGGCCCTCTCACTCGTCGACGCACAGCACGAGCTCCCAACACAGCACGGAGCCTACTCACTCGTCGACTCGTAGTACGGGCTCCCATTCGTCGACGCACAGTACCGGCTCACAGCACAGTACGGGCTCCCAGTCGTCAACTCATACCACGGAGCCCACTCACTCGTCGTCGCACACATCTTCCCACACGTCGTCGCAATCGTCGGCAAGTCCTACTCACTCGTCGTCGCACTCGTCAACGCCTTCGTCGAGCCACAGCACGGAGCCTACTCGCTCGTCGTCGCACACGTCTTCCCACACGTCGTCG